GCTCTGTCCAGCCGCGGCAGCCGCAGCAGCCGCAGCAGCCGTCGCGGTCGTGCCGGCGCCGTCGATGCCGAGGCCTGCGGCGGCGAGCGCGGAGGAGGACGAGGCTGAGGCTGAGGACGCGCTGCCGGGCGGGACGGGGTACCCGCTGAAGCCCGAGCTCGGCGCGTGCGCGCTCTGCCCGGGCGGCGTGCTCAGCTGGTACCGGCTCTGCGTCGGGCTGTGCACGGCGGCACCCGCGGAGCCCTGGCGCGCGGGCTGGTGGTGGTAGCCTTGCGCGGCGCCCGCCGAGGGCGGCGGCGGCGGCGGCGGGTAATTCCCGTAGTGGCCCTGCTGTGACGGCGGGGGCGGGTGCGACGGGTGTGGCGCACCGTAGCTTCCGCGGTGCTGTGGCGGCGGGGGTGGCGGCGGCTGGTGGTGGTGGTAACCGCCCTGGTAGTCGTACACGACCTGGCTCGGCGGCGGCGACGACGAGGGCTGTTGCTGCTGCTGCTGCTGCTGCCCGTGATGCGCGTATCCGTGCGATGCGTGCGGCTGCTGGTGGCCGTGCGGGGGTGCGTGCGGCGGGGGCGGGGGCGCATGGTGCGGTGCCGAATGCGCCGGATGTTGGCTGGGCGGCGGCGGGTGCTCATAGTACCCGTTCTGGCTGTATTGCTGGTGATGCGGCGGCGGCGGGGCGCCGTAGCTCTGGGCGTAGTCGTACCGCTGCGCGTGCGGGGGCGGCGGAGGCGGGTGCTGTCCTGGGTGCTGCTGCTGTCCCGGATGCGCAGGCGGCGGCGGCGGCGGGTAGTGCGCCTGGTGGTGTGGTTGGGGATACGGATCATAGCGGGCCTGCTGGTGCTGCGTGTTCCACCCACCCTGCACAGGCGTCGGTGGCGGGTACGTCGTGTACTGTGGAGGCGGCGGCGGCGCACCGGCTGGACCGGGGCCCGGAGGTGGGGCAGGATGTGAGTACGAGACGTGCGCGGGGGGTGCCATGTACTGATGACCAGCAGGCGGGGCAGGATGCGGAGGGTGTGACGGGTGCGCGGCGTGTGGTGGTGGCGGCGGCGGGGCATGCTGCTCATACCCCGAATAGTGGCCAGGCGCCGCCGGTGGCGGGGGAGGTGGGGCGTACCGGCTGTCGTAGGGCGCGTAATGGTGTGCATGCGGGTCTGCCGACGGGTGCGCGGCATGATGTGGGGCGTGGGGCGGCGGAGGCGGCGGCGGATGGGCGCCCAACACAGGATCGAGCGGCGGCCACGCTTGTTGCTGCTGCTGATGCTGCTGATAGGACTGGTGCGGCTGCACCTGGGCCGAGGCCGAGACCGGGCTCGCGTGGATCACGCCCGCACCCGGCTCGCCCACGTCGGACTGGGCGTACCCATCGTCCTGCCTGGGCCGCTTCGACGCGCGCTCGTTGATGCTGTCTCGCCGCGTGCTCGGTCTGCGTTCGCCCATGTCGGGCCGTCGCTCGGGATCGTCGCTCCGGTCGCGGTCCCTGTCGCGTTCCCTATCGCGGTCGCGGTCTCTCCCACGGTCGCGGTCACGCTCGTAGTCCCTCCGGTCGTCGTCGTCACGCTCAGGCGGGTCCAGCCGCACCGGCAGGCCCGAGCTGCTCGGGAACACGGTCTGACCGGGCGCAGGCGGCGCGTCGGGGACAGGCCCGAGCGGAACAGGGACAGGTCCCATTCCGACATTGATGCCGCCAGGATTTGGAGGCGGCGCCTGTGTTCCGGGAACAGGGCCGAGGGGGACCGGTACTGGCATTGGGAGCGGTGTCGGTGCGTCCATGGCCTGAGCAGGTCTTTTGCGAACACGGATGTCCTTCCGGATGCGGATCTTGATGCCCTGGTCCGCAAGAGAACATGAGAGCGGCGTGGATTCTGAGGGAAAAGAAGTTTGTTAGCGTGCATCCATAGCCGTCTGAGCTGAGTCTACACACCTTCCATTCCTGGAAACTTTTTCGCAGTGTAGACATAAAACGGGGCAGAAAAGATCGACTTGCAGTGGTATACGTGTGATCTAACATCGAGTCAAAACTCAATTAACATTGAAGACATGCGCAATAATGGAGAGTTTCACCCACCCGACGACTTCGAACAAGCTAAGCTTGAGCCGGTAACTGCCTTCTGTCCTAACGCTCAGGTCCGGGAAAACGAAGAACCCGGCGTCTTCGTGGGCGTTCTCTGCATCCTTGAGGTGGTACAAGGACGAGACGACTGATCCCGTCGTGCACTTTGTCTTCCCATCCTGCAAACAGAGATCATGTCAGCCCAAGCTCCAGTATCGCAAGCGAGAGTTCAATAGAAGTGAGCTCGGGCGCGCTGTTGAGCCCCACAATGCCGCGCCAGCTGGCAAAGTAGCACGCGCCCAGCGACACCACACATGGGGGGGGGGGGGGGCCATGCCCAAGACCAGGCAGATGCCCAGTGGCGCCGAACCTCGGTCCCATGGAGAGTCCGAGGTCCGCGCGGCACGTGTTGCAGCGCGCGAACCCGCTTCGGTGTAACATCTACGCTCTGAGCGCGAATGAGGGGACGTCGGAAACGTCCTTCTCGTCGGAATGCAAGGGACGAGGGGAGGGGGGAGGGGGGTCCGCGAAACGCCAGCGAACCATCACCCCAAGCCGAAGCCCCCCACAAACGAGCCTCCCTGCCGCTCACACCTCGACAGCAGCACCCGGTGCGCCCTCGAAAAACGCTTCCCAAAACAACAACCCGACGCGACGGGTCAAACGCACCTTGAGCCAATGCAGCTCGACGTCCTCGTCCGGCTTCGCGAGCGCGGCGAACATGAAGTAGTACGGGTTCTGGAGGTACGACTGCGAGCCGCCCGAGGCCGACGCCGACGACGGGCCTGCGCCTGCTCACACGCGCGCACAAGCCAAAAAAAAAAAAAAACCCCCCCGTCAGCGTGCGAACTGTCACAGCCAACAATCGAGGGAACGCACCAGGCGAGCTGTCGCGCGAACCACCGGCATCGGCGTCGTCGCGGGCCCCTGCACCACCACCGCCACCACCACCACCACCGCCGCCACCACCGCCACCACCACTTGCGCCGCCGCTGAGCGACATCTCGCGGCGCGTCGAGCGGTCGATGACGCGCAGCTGCACGATCGGCGGGGGGTCGATGGGCCGGCGGTCGGCTGTGCGTGCGTGCGTGCGTGCAAGCGTGCGTAGCGACGGGACGGGCGGAAGTGAGATCCGGGGCCGGTTTTTGATGATGATGATGATGATAGTGATGGTGATGACGCCGGCGGGAAGCGTGATGGCGCAGCGAGAGCGATGTTGGGGTGGGGGGGGCGCAGGGCGACGAGGAAGAGGAGGACAAGGACAAGGAGATGACGACGACGGTTGAGCACACACGCAGGCAGATGAAATATGAGAAGGAACGCTCGCCTTTGCCGCCGACACCGCACATCCGGGCCTGCTTGGGCTCCTGGCGCATGAGGAGCTCGTATTCCCTGGGGTCATAGGGACGCATGAGTTATGTCTGTCTGTGGTGAAAGCAAGGCGGCGGCGTCGAGGGAGGTGGAGGGCAGCGAGGAAGGATACGAGGAGGAGATGGGCGATGGTGGGCAGTTTTAAGGTAGAGACGAGGGCGGGGAAGGGCCCAGGGACATGGATTCGGGTCTGGGGCATCCAAGAGAGAGGACATGGAGGGAAAAAAAAGTACTCACAGGTTTTCTCTGTCGTAGGGCTCTGTGACGAGGGTGCTGTGTATGAACTGGGGCTGGTCGTCTTCCATGGCGGACGCGTCGTTGCGAGGCGACGGTGGGCTGTTGGGGGCGACGGCGAGCGAGGAGATGGCGGTTGCGGGATGGGAGGCGAGGCGAGGCGAGGCGAGGCGAATGAAGCGAGGTGAAGCGAGGCGAAAGCTGGCGAGAGACTCTGCGACGAGGAAACGCTAACTGGTGATCCCACGCCCCTGGCCGTTTCATCACCCCGGGGGTCGGCGCCAACACGCCCCCCAGCCCGTGGCCTTGGCTCTCCATCCCGCGTCCCACCAGTCTCCGTCGTCGTGTGTGTCGCGACGCGTAGCAGCCCGCAGGTCGTCCCCGCCGTCGTCGTCGTGTCCGCCGTCGTCGCCCCGACGGCAGACGACGCCGCTCCCACAGCAGGTCAGACCCTAGACCCAAGCCCCCGGGTCCAGCGGCCGCCCCGCCGAGCGCGCGCGCCGCACGCTTCCGGTCCCGCGTCGCGCGGGTCCAGGACCCCACAAGCGGGACCCCTCCTGCCGATCTGGGCCAGCACCGCATCGCGCCCGGCCCAGCAACAACAATAGGCGGCGAGCCGCGGGGCGCCGCCCCACCACGGGGTCCCGACAGCGCTACTGGGAGGGAGGACCTCGTGCACAGCACGAACCGAATCCCTGGGCTCGGGTCGCGTGTCCCTTACGCGTGCCGACTTCGCACGCTCGATCGTCCCCCCCCCCAGACTCAAGGTTTTGCCTCGCGCGCACTGCGCTCGCCGTGTCCGCGTCCCGTGCCTGCTGACAGAGAGGGAGCATTGCCGTAAGCGACCACGTCCCAGGATCATTACATCATGTGCGGCACTGAAGGGCGTCCGTGTGCGACCGTCGGACGCCGCCCTTGGACGCGCAACGAAACGTGGGTGCGCTTTTGCCGGACTCGGCGCACCCAACGACACCGCTGCTGTCCCCCAGATCACCCGCGGCCGGTGGCAGGCCCGGAGCCTCGGGACGTGATAGCACTTGCATCTCCCAGCTCTTCGCGGGGCCCACGAATATAATAGCCGCCGGCGCGCTTTTCGACACGTGTCCTTCCTCGATGTCGCCTCACGTTCTCTCCCTTGCAAACCAAAGGGACCTGCATCTCTTCCTCCTCGGAGCGACCGTCTCACGTGCGTCGTATCAAACAGCACCGCAACGATGAAAGGTAAATAAATAATATTGACGTCGACCATAATAATGATAATAAAACAGGCGAGCTGACAGTGCATCCCAGCACACGCGGGTGTCAGGCTGGCCATGTCTCGCTGCATCCAAGAAAACGCGCAGCTAGCGCCCCTCGCTCGCTCGCCTTCCACCGCGCCATCAAAAAAAAAAACAGGTCCTGCCAAAAAAAACGCCTTCAGCTTCCGCGGGGGCAGGTTGTCTGGGATCGCGACTTTGGAACCATCCTGTTGGTGGACTTTTGACAACGGCGGTGGTGGCCAGCGCGCCCTGTCTCTGCCCGCCAATCCCGGCACAGCAGAGCACCGCGCTCCTCGTCCGCGACGACGCCGCCGACACCGCCGCCCTCGCCTGTGCGTGCATGGGCGCAAGGCCGTTCCCTCCCTTCACGGACACGCCAGCCACCGCGCCCTCACCGCCCCGATCGCCAGTAGCAAACGACGTTGACTCGCTATTGTCGCCGCCGCACGTGCACGCGCGCCCCTTGATTTCTTTTTGGCTCTCCACAGGTTTTTTTTTTAATGCCCTGCAAGTCTACAGACGGGCCGCGGCTGTTACGCTCTGTTTCCGTCGGCACCGGCTAGCCAGGTTCTGGAGCTCGTCACGAGCTCTCGGGCCAGGTGATGCGTGCGTCGCGTGGCAGGGGCTTCAGACATTGACGATCAACTCAAGGCGAGGCGGCTTGCGCGCGCGACGTGAGCCAGAGAGGATTGTATGTATATCGACTTTTGTCACGAGGTGTTCATCACCTGAGCCCCGTCCTTGCCTCTGGCAACGGCCCACTGGAACACCGCGGCAAGCGAGACAGTGGGCAGGCTTGCACGAGTCACTGACATTGATATTTTTGCGCAGGGCTACTATGCGGACCGCACTCGTCACCTGGCAAGGGTCATTTTTTGTATACCTTGCCGCATATCGTCCTCTCCTTCGGACTGCCATCTGTGCTATGAATAGCCTGTGCGAAGCCTGGTGATCGATGGACAGGGAGCCATGCCGCGCCGCTGTGTACGCTTTCCGGAGCTGCTGTGTGCGGCTCGAGGCGACTGCTGCCGACGCTTCTGGCGTGATGTCCGAAACGGGCAGGCGTAGTGTTTGTGGCGGCTTGCACAGCATTTAGATTCCCACGGCGCCCCTGGACACCATCTAATGACTCCGGGGGTAGCCTCCCCCAGATAAGCAGTGCTCTTGTGCTCGATTTGCCCAGTCGTTAGACGAAATAACAATCTGCATTGTAAGCTCACGACAACAAAGCTGCTCCATCTGTCAGATTTTGCGTCCTGAGGGAGTAGTGCGAACCTGCGGAACTTTCCCTTCGGCCTGCGTGAGAGTCGCGAGGCACCCGAGACATCCCCGCGCGGCCTCCCTGCTGCGGGTGCCTCCTCTCCCCTCCCCTTCTCTCCTCTCATGCGCCCTTGGCAGCAGCCCGCCCACGTCCTCTTGGCCTCCCTCGGCCTCGCGCTGTGCCTGCTCGGCGTGCGCGCGCAGGTGACGGTGTACGGCGTGGCCGGCGCCGTGCAGCAGCCGCTCAGCGGCGCGCAGACGGGCACGGCGACCGCCCCCGGCGCCGCGCTGACGTCGCTCCCCGCCTACAACAGCGTCCAGCTCCAGGCCCCGCCCGTGCCCGCCCCGCCGCCGCCCACCCAGTTCGGCCTGTCCCTCAACCAGAGCGCCGCCAACGTCCCCGGGCTCTCCATACAGCAGCAGCCAGGCTTCTTCGGCTTCTCGATCGAGTTCAGCGTCGTGAACCAGGTCGGTGCGTGCGGCTTGTTGTTCGCTTTCTGCTCTCGCGGAGGATACTGATGCGGCGCGTTGCAGTCGGGATCAATGCGACGTTCATCAACGTGGCGTTCTTGAACCTCATGGCCATCATGGCCCAGCGCGCCGGGCGCGTCGTCATCCGTGTCGGAGGCAACAGCCAGGAGACCGCGACGCTCGTAAACAGCCTGGCAGACGGGAAGGCGATCGAAAAAGACAAGGCTGACACGTCGAACCCGGTGAGCCGCAAAGCCGTCGTCTGGCGAGAAACAAATGACGACTGACATCGCTGGTCGCCGCTCTAGACGCAAACCCCCGCCCTCCTCTTCACTTCGGAAATCATATACATGCTCGCCAACGTCTCTTCTTTGCTGCCCATCAAGTGGTACCTCGGTAAGGCCGCTCAGAGGCCGTGCCGTTCACAGACGACTAATGATATACCTGAAGGCATCCCGTTCAACGATACGTCAAACTTGCGCCTGGGCATAGCAGAAGTCGGCGAGGCCATCCTTGGCGACAACCTACTCGGCTTTCAGCTCGGGAACGAGCCCGATCTCTATGCCACGTGAGTTCGCGAGCCCCCGTACTGACTGTCGTCTCACTCCAAAGTCGATCGCCAGACACGGCGCCCGTCCTGCGAACTACTCTCAGCAGGACTACTTCAACGAGTTCGGCACGGTCGTCGACGCCATCGCGAACGACCCCCAAGTCCCGACGCGCAACAACCTCGTCGCGCCCAGCGTGAACAGCGGCCCGTGGTCACCAGAGTCGGTGTGGGACACGGGCTTCGTCTCCGCATACAGCGGCGCGCTCGCCGCGCTCGCCGTCGAGCAGTACGTGTAACCCTTCCCGCACTCGAACTTCTCCTCCTTTCCCATCTTTCGCCGTTCGCCGCCCGCCCGCCCCTCGCTGAAAACCTCTCTCTCGCCCGCCAGCTACCCGGACGACAACTGCGCGGCGGCGTTCCCCGACGCGGGCTTCGGGCCGCCGAAGGACCCGCAGACGGTGTTCGCGAACTACCTGAACCACACCGCGGGCGTGAGCCTCGTCGCGCCGTACCTGAACTCGACGGCGTTCGCGCAGGCGAGCGGGAAGCCGTTCCTCATGTTCGAGACGAACACGGCCTCGTGCGGCGGCTTCCCCGGCGTCTCGGACGCGTTCGGCGCCGCGCTCTGGGCCGCCGACTACGGCCTCCAGATGGCGTACAGCAACTTTTCCGGCGCGCTCCTCCATGTCGGTGGGGAGGACGACACGTACAACGTGAGCGTGTAACCAAAAAAAAAAAATCCGTGTGCCGCCTCGCTGACTTCGACCCCCCCTTTTTTTTCCCCTCCAGCCGTTCACGCGTGAGTACTGTCTTTCGCACGCGCCACACCCGCACACTCTTACCTCTTGAGCCGTCTTCTCTGCGCGCGTTCTTTTTCTTTCCAGCCCCGCCGACGAACATGAGCGGCACGCTCGGGTGGACCGTCGGGCCCGTCTTCTACGCCGCCGTCGTGCTCGCCGAGGCGCTCGGCACGTCTGGCACCGCGCAGGTCGTCGACCTCGCGGCGAACGCCGCCGACATCTTCACGCCCGCCTACGCCGTGTACGAGCGCGGGCAGCTCGCGCGCCTCGCCCTCTTCAACTACGTCACGGACCCGTCCGGCGCGAGCGCGTACACCGCGAGCGTCGCCTTCGCCGACGGCACCGCCGTCCCCCAGGAGGTGTCCGTCAAGTACCTCGCCGCGCCGTCCGTCGCGGAGAAGACGAACATCACGTGGGCCGGCCAGGTGCGCACACCGTTTTGTCCTCGGGCTCTGGGACGTTTTTTGCTGACACGAATGGGCTTTTTTTTTTTTTTTTTTTTCGCAGACCCTCAGCGGCGTGTTCCAATCAGGTAACGCCCGTCCCTCCTTTGCACCCACTCACACTCACATTGCGCGCGCACAGACGGCCGCCTCAGCGGCCCCGAGACGATCGAGCGCGTGCCGTGCGACGCGGCGAGCGGGACGTGCAACATCACCGTGCCGGCGCCAGGCCTCGCGCTCGTGTTCCTCGCGCCCGCCGCGCTCGCCGCCGTCGAGCCGTCCGCGACGGAGACGTTCGCGACGACGACCGTCACGGGCCACGCCGGCCTCTCCGTGCCCGCGTCCGTGCTCGCGACGTCGAACGGCCACAGCGGCGCGAGCCGCGCGCAGACCGAGGGCACGAGCAAGGAGAGCAACGCCGCCGCCGCCGCGCGCGGCGCGCGCCTCGGCGTGGGCACCCTCCTCGCAGCGGTCCTCCCGGCCGCCGTGCTCGTCCTTCGGTTGGCGGTGCGGACTTAGCCGTTGGGATGTTTGCACGGACTCGGACAGACGATGGGGCACTGATGAGCTTGTACACAGATGGGACTGCAATCAGACATTATTTAGCATAGCCCTCGACCTGTGATGATGTAGACCTTCAAACAGGGAACGACGTGCACAAAGACAGAGTATATGCAAGATGTATAGGATATCGCGTTGCAAAATGTCCGTGGAAGGTATCTAACAAGACAAATACTTTGCATAGAGAGAACAATTAGGAATTAAAATCCAGGTCCGTACACTCACTCTCCTCGCTCTGTGGCTATGCATTAAAGGAGAACAGTCCGCTCATGAAGAGAAAGTCTTGAACACGATGCACACGGAGGCAAGCACAGCGAGCACCGCTGTCAGGCTCGGAACGACACCCGCGGCATGGCCGGCGCCGCTGCTGCCCTTGCTCGTGCTGCCCATGAACCTGTCCTTGCCGGCGTGGCCGTTGGACGTCTCGATCACGGATGGGTTGATGAGCGCGGTGTTGAGCGTCTTCGTGACGGCCGTCGTCGAAAAGGTGACAGTCGCCGCGGGCTCCGAGTCCTGGACGGCGCTGTCGGAGACGAAGACGAGGGCGAACCCGGGTGCAGGGACGTTGATCGTGCAGGTGCCCGCATTCGTGTCACAGGGCACCGTCTGGATCTGCTCCTCACCCGAGAGGCGGCCGTCGGCCTCAAACTGACCTCCCAAAGTCTAAACAGGCGGTATTCAGCATGTGGAAGTCGATGTCCGAAGCGATGACTTACTTGTCCGGCCCAGGTAATATTGAACATCTCGCTGACTGAAGGTGCGAGCAGGTATTTAACCTTCACCTGCGAGGGCGTCGACGCCGGCTGGCCATTGCCACCACCGACTTGGATAGCAACGTCGAGTGCCATCGCACCGGTGGGGTCGTCCATGTAGTTGAACAGGGCTACACGCGCAAGTTGGTCGTTCTCGTAGATGGCGTATGCAGGGGTCAAGTCGCTGTTGCTGTTCGCGGACAGGTCGACGACACGTGAAGTGTTCGTGTTGCCGAGAATCTCGGGCATGGCCAGAAGGGAGTAGAAGATGGCGCCAACGGTCCACTGGTGGAAGGTCGACTGGTTCGTAGGCGGCGCTGGATGGTAGGTCAGCATCTCAGACATTTCCGCATATGGCTAACTTACGAGTGAAAGGGTTGTAGTACACGTCTTGTCCACCAACGTGGATAAGAGCATGTGTCAAGTTGCTGTACACCATTTGCAGACCATAGTCGAGTGCCCAAAGCGAGATACCGAAGACGTTAGAGATACCCGGGAAGCCACCACAAGAAGCCGAGTTCGTCTCGAACATGATGAACGGCAGCTGGTATTGCTGGGCGACGAGCGTCGAGTTAAGCAAGGCGCTGCAGATGGTCTTACCCGACTGATGCGACAGATAGTTCGGGAAGACGGTTGGCGGGTAAACCGGCGTTCCAAAGCCCGCGTAGATAGCAGCACAATTGTCGTCAGGGTACCTGAAGGCAAGTCAGCTGGATGCTTTTGCCATACGCCAGGGTGCTGACCTTTCAACGCTAAGGGCATACAGCGAATCGACGTAGTTCGGCAAGAAGCCAGTATTCCAGGTGTCCTCAAGAGTCCACTCGCCTGGGTTCGCCAGAGCCAAACTAGGACCGATCATGGTCTTCTTCTGGGGCACGTTGGCATCGTTGTTGAAGGCATCCAACCATTGACCGAATTCCTCGTAGTAATCCTGGGCGTCATATCCATCCGGACGATGCTTATGCCTGAAAAAAAAAAAACAGTAACGGCAACAGCAAGAGGTCGCACAGAAGAAAAGCATACTGGGCGTAAAGATCGGGTTCGTTGCCGATTTGGAAGCCAAGCAAGTTGCTGCCGATGATACTTTCGCCGTGCTCGACGATCTCCATATGGATATTTTCCGTATCGTTGAAGGGTACACCTGGGCGCCGAGCGTCAAGTCGGAACCACAGCGCTCAACCGACGACACGTACCAAGGAACCACTTGATGTTGACGAGGCTTGAAATGTTTGCCATCGTGTACAACATTTCATCAGTGAAGATGAGTGTTGGCGTACCCGTCTAAAGAATGCGTTAGCAGCACGCAGGGTAAGAACGCGTATATGCTTACAGGGTTGTTCGTGTCGATAGCCTCTTTTTCGATCATCTTGCCATCGGGCGTGCTCGTAACCAATGTTGCATAGTCCTGGGTGTTACCGCCGACACGAATGACGACTTGACCGGCGCGCTCGGTGAGCAGGGACATGAGGTTGAGGAAGGGGACGCTGAGGAAGGACCTGTGCGGGGGAGTTCAGGCAACCATCGGGAACAGGAAAGACGACGCGTACGCATTCACACCAACTGGTCACGACGCTAACGTCAGTAGGTTGTCGCCACGACTTACTCGCGCTACTCACACACTTGCGTCACAACGGACTGTTCAATCGAAAGACCGTAAAATGAGGCGGCCGCGGGGATGCTCAGTCCGTTGACCTGGTTGGCCTGGGGCATCACATTTATACCGAATTGATTGGCAGGTGGTGGACTTGGTATGGCGGGAGGAGGCCATGTCGTGGGATCATAGGCAGCAAGGCCGGTGTAATTCCCTGTCGTGGACGCGGTGGCAGCAGACGCAGAAGAGGTGGAGGTCTGTGCGGCCAGAGGAAACTGGTCGTAGACGGTAACAGCGCGGACGGCCGCGAGAGAGCAGAGAGTGTAAACAAGTAAGGAACGGAAGGCCGCCATGTCGGCCTGAGGGTCGTCGTCGACGGAGCAGGCGTCGAGGTCGGTGCCAAGATATTTCGCTTGGGGTTGTATTATTTGGGTACGGAGCGCGTTCCATATATGGTAATATTGGCGCCAATTACTTGCGTCGCTCCTACGTAAGCTTATGAGCGGGCAATGTTGAACTCGCCGTCGATCTTCTTGCAATCTGGACGCACATGAATGCATGAAACTCGCAGCGTGCATGAAGAGTTCTATCTGCTGAGTGTACTGCAGAAGATGTACGGAGGATGCGTCACGAGGTATAACTCATGACGACCGTTCTTCTTCCTATCATACCCTCATCACATGACAACAAGCCAGCTGCTAGCATAAATAGTACAATGCAACGAATGGCTGTCGCTTTGGGAGCCCTCTGACGAAGCAGGTTGCTCGCAATGTTGCGCACAGCTTTTACGACGCTCCTTGTCGTATCTTACCTCGCACGAGCTTACGCTCAGACATGGTACGCATTCTTACCACTTGTCTCTGGAAGATTGGTCTGAAAAATGCTGCAGGTGTGGGAAAAACTACATGGCAGGTTCGCCTGTGATCCCTCCTGGAGGCCAGTTCCCAATCTCGGCGACATCTTCGTCGCCTCTGCTAGCCTTCCGCTGCGCACCCGCCATAAAGCCATACCTCCCTGAAGACGTCCCCACTCTCTCGTCGTTCATTATAGACACACCCATCACGAAATCTGAAATTACCGGCGCCGCGCCCATCTCCCTGCCCGGGCATGGCAGTCTAGGGTCGGTAGCTGTAACAGTCTCGGTCGATGGTCGCTCGCTTGCCACTGGCGTCGTTCCTCTCAATGCGACCAAGTTCGAGCTTCCATTTTCCCTGGCCGGATTCTCGCCGCGCGCGGAGGCATACAATGTCACCTGTACCGCCGAGTATTCCTCGAGTTCCCTCAGCAAACCTCAGCAGTTCTCGACCGGCGCAGCACTTTCGTTGCTGCCAGACCCGCCCGCCGGACGCTCGGTCACGAAGATGGATCTGCGCACTGGCGCGCTGCTTGCAAAACCAGCTACCGGAAATGGCGGCAGCTATGAGACTGTCTTCCCAATTGGGTTTTATACCAATTTTGCCGGTTACTTGGACAGCAATCTGACGCTGCTGAATGTACTCAAAGAGCAAGGGTACGTCCTGATGGTGATCACTTGAGAATCAAGATACTTATGTACGCGGCAGTTTTACGGTTGTAAGTCAATCTTAGCCAAGTGATGGCCTGCTTTGAAACTCGTTTCTAGGTTCATCCTGTACCTACCTTTGACAACTTGACAGCGCTGGATCTTATCCTTGATCGCATGCAAGAGCTTGGTCTCTACCTGATGTACGACATGCGCTGGTAGGGATCCTTTCGTTCCTTCGAACTTATCACCTCAGCTGACCTGTGAACCAGGACGTACATGAACGATACTGCGGTTACGGAAGAGGTCAATCGCATCAAAAATCGTCCAAACTTGCTGCTTTGGTAAGTTTTTGCTGCTCTTATCTGCTGAAAGCAATGTCCGAATACAGCGGTAGGTACACCGGTGACGAGCCAGATGGGACTTCAGGTACGATTTCCTTTTCTAGAATGAAGCTGGCAGGATCAACGGTATTTTATAGACCCTTTGAACGCTACATCGCATGCTTACGACCTCATCTATTCACTGGATGGGTACCATCCCGTCTCATTGGTTTTGTGAGTTTTTAATTCTTCCCATTCTCGCTGACGGTGAGTCTGATGATACCCCAGAAATTGCGAAGACTACTTCTGGACTCAGTACACTTCGGGTTCGGACATTGTCATGCAGGACACCTACATGATAAGCAACAATGTGACCTTCTCGAATCAATGGGAGTGAGTCACTCAACTTAGCACATTTCTGGAAATCTGCGGAAACTATCTAATGACAATGCGTAACACAGGACACCCTGCACCCTAGACTACGGGTGCTGCGGGTGCGACGACTGTAAGGGCAATTTTGAAGATATTAGCACGCGCATGGACGACTTCGCCGAGCGTCTCTGGGACAACGGGTGGGACAGGACGAAAGCCGTGTGGACCGTCCCACAGGCCTTCGGTAACGATACGTGAGCAGCACCCAGAATCTGTTTTCTCGCAGAACACCTGACCAGGCATTATTGCAGGTACTGGACGCGCCAACCGACAGGCAAAGAGTACATTGTGCAAGCCGTGCTGGGCATCAACCATGGCGGGCTCGGCGTCGTGGCGTGGAACGACCCAACGACGCCCGAGATCAAGGCCTCTGCGAGCGCACTCGCCCTGGCACTACCGACAATGCAAGACTTCATCTTGAGCCCCTCGGCGTCCTTCGCACACGTCTCGAGCGGCCAAGTCGACGTCGGCGTGTGGACCGTCGGCGCGCGCTCCCTCGTGCTCGCAACGAACCTCAACTATGCGGAGGCAACGCTCCCTCTGGCAAGTGTCCCTGGTGTCGAGGGCAAAAGCGTGCAGCAGGTGTTCGATAGCGGGGCGAGCTTTGCTGGCGGGAAGTTTGTGTTTGAGTCCACGGGGACGGGCGGGTTCATTGTTTCGTGACTCCATGATGAACTGTAATGTCCTTCCGCACAATGGCTCTAAGAATGATGACTCCGAAACATACTTGCCCGTCCTGTACTCTTCCCACTGTTGTCATTGTCATGGACTTCTGTCTCTGTCCCTACCCGTAGATTCTGTTATCCATACAACTCTCACATGATACATATATGTCAAATCTGGTAGCTAGATATACAATGCTTCCGATTCCCCTGGTTTCTACAGAGCTCACAAATGGTATTAAGCACGCAATCATGTATGAAGGTACATCGAGAACAAACAGTATCATAGGTTAAGTGTGCGTGTGTGTGTGTGACGCGCCGCAGGCTCTAAGACACGTACACCTTCAATTTTTTTCGAACGTCCATGCTGGACGCCCTGGGGCACTGGTCGGTTCTGCGCTTGCACTTGCGCGTCGACGACGGCTTGTTCTTCCCAGTGGCAGCATTGGTGTCGTGGGCAGGAGAGGATGATTTATTCGGTCGTCCTTGGAACCTCGGGCAAGAGTGTAGTGTGAGTGCTGGAATCGTGCATGGACTCGACCTCCGTGACGAAAGTGGGCTCGACCTCCCCAAGCTGGAGAACGACCCAAAGAAAAACTGTTCGCAGTGGATCACGATCGCGTTGACCGGATGCCTGTGACACATGCATTAAAAAAGATCTGATTCGGCATTGGGGGCCACGCATGCACTACCGCAAGCGCGATGTCTCGCCAACACTCCCCTGCTGCGCATTTCTACCCTCAGGCCACTACTTAAGACAAGCCTTCTAGAGCACTGTCTGCACCACACCTTTATCCTTCGTCATGTCGCAAAGCGTCCATCTCGTTGTCCTCGTCCACGGCATGTGGGGCAATCCGGATCATCTCGCAGAGATGAATAGAATCATCCAGGAGCAGCGAGCTTCTCAGCTGGGGCCTTCAGGCGAACGCTTGGTCACTCTGGCAGCGAAATCGAATCGCGACGGGAGCACATACGACGGGATCGACTGGGGAGGTGAGAGGGTTGCAGAAGAGGTGAGTTACATCACATAAGCCATATTCTATATCTCACCCACGAGACCGTAAAGTTGCTCGATGAAGTAAAGCGTATCGAGGCCGAAGACCAGAAGGTCACTAAACTGTCTGTGATCGGCTACAGTCTCGGGGGACTGGTCTCGCGTTATCTCGTCGGCGTCCTGCAACAGCGTAATTTCTTCGATAACGTCAAGCCTATGAACTTCGTCACAGTCGCAACGCCACATATAGGCCTGGTGCGGTTCCCATCTTTCCGTTCGCGCATGTTCGCTTTTTTTGGCCCACGCCTGCTCAGTCGCACTGGTGAGCAGTTCTACGCGGTCGACAAGTGGTCCGCGTCAGGTCGGCCCTTGCTTGAAGTCATGGCAGACCCGCGTACGTTCATTGACATCTTCATAACCTGCGTGGTATCTAACTATCGTTCTCAGAACGAATCTTTTACCAGACACTATCTTCCTTCGAGCACATATGCTTCTATGCGAACGCCATTAACGACACCACTGTTCCTTACCTCTCCGCCGCTGCAGAAACGGAGGATCCTTTCAAAGATTATGTTAAAACTGGACTAGTGATGTGAGTAGTTTAATGGTTGCCCTGGTACACCGTCTCACGTCCTCGCAGAGAATTTGACGAGATATATGCTCCTATAATCAAGTCGTACCGCTTGCCAGATACCCCACCTCCCCCGCCGGAAAAGCCAAAACGATTCTCCAAAGAATGGTTCAGCGGGCTGCAGCCCAAAATTCCGCTTCCTCCGATCCTACGAGCAAACTTCCCATACAACCTCGTAAGTCGTCACACGCGACAAGTCAGCACACGCATATTCTGAGCGGTTGTTTAGATCATATACATGCTCCTTCCTGTCCTGTTACCCACTTTCATGACCATAGCAATTGTTCGTCTTTCACTGGACTCGCGGAAGTCGCGTGGTAGAATCCAGGTGCTTGAAAGCGACGAGTCCTACCGCGAACGCCTTGTCCATCTGATCGGCCAGATGGAAAAGCGAATGGAAGACGCTGTGGTAGAGTACATGGACGACCCTGTACCTGTGGCACGCCGCGATGAGCCCGCGATGTCTGTGTCTGCTGCAACCCTGGCCGAGCCGGCGTCGACGAGCGGCGAGCAGGTCCAAGCGACCACAGCTACCGGGACGACGGGCATTACCGAACAACAACGACGGATGGTCAAGAACCTGAACGAGCTGCCGAACTTCGAGAAGAAGCTCGCGTTTATTGATCTGGTCCTGAACTCGCATGCCGCCGTCGTTGCGAGGGACGTGAAGAAGTTCTCTTTCCATACACGTGGACACGGAGTCCTTAGACACCTGGCGGACCATTTGATTCTCTGATAGAATTCGAACTTGCTTTGGGCCTCGGTCGGATATTTTGGACTTTAATTCGGACATTCACGCCAGCACTGGGCGATAGATCACGCATGGATCAATCTGGTTGTAGACAGGTACAAGGCGTACAATATTAGACCCTTCCATCTCAATAATATCAGTGTGGCTCATCCCGCTTGGTCCTCCTTGCGATCGGACGCCACGTGTGCCCTCGCGACACCGCCGAGGATTCCGGCCAAAATTTGCAGCTGTTGCTGGTAACCACGAGGGACCCTCCTTCGCCAATCTAGCATGATATGTGCAGCCACATATGTATCGTCGCGTCAGAGCGCTGCAAAACCCATAAACATTCGCTGACTGATCGACATTGCTGCAGCGTCCGCAGGTGCAGGCTGTCGCGCGCCGGCCGCGAGTGCACCGGCGCGATGGGATGGACAGGATCTTCTTGGAAGTACGAGCTCTGCTCATCCTGAACATGAACTCAAGTGCTATGGTTGTCCTGAACGACATCATGCACAGGAAAATCGGCACTGGGCGCTTGACGCAACTACTGGCTGATCACGTGGTAACCGTGAAGTCCGCGGCACTCCTCGGTCCTACCGCTTCTGCTCTTCAACACCGTCCGCCAACGCGCCCAGACGCACTGCTGCCAGCGCGAACAGCAAGTCCAGTCTCGCTCTATCATTGGTCACGCCCTGAGGATTGCACATAGATTGATGCCTCCAGGGCCCGCGTACAACTGGTACTGCGTGGCACACGGCGTGCTCGAGGTCCTCGGGCACGCCGCGCAAATCCGCACGACTCAAGCCGAGTCCGGGGCTGCCCGGCTTCTGCGACGAGAGGCGCGTCATGTGCCACGGCGTGCTGCTAGTGCAGAGGGTGAGGCGTCGCCTGCCCTCGTCCTGAGAGAGACAGCGCCAGCCCTCAGGCACACTGCCGACGTCCAGGTCCGGGACGCGCCGGCGTCCAAGACCTCGGTGCGACGCACGGCTGTGGACGCCTCTCTGGTCGAGAAAAATACGTCTGTGCCTGTTTCTGAGGCTCGAAAGGCACGGGAGGAGCCTACTCCGTCTCCGGTTCCGGCATCGCATGAGAAGCTACTACAGACGTCGCCCGTAGTGACACAACATGCGCCAGAGCTATCATCCGCGACTCGGATACCGAACCCGCCAAGGCTAGAGTTAAATACCATGCGGATAACGGAGCCTATGATAAGTGGAGCTGACAGCTCCCTTGTTGCTACTGTGACCTCTGCAGCGGTAGAGAGCCAGCTCAGCACCGCCGAGTCTTCAGCCGTAACAGGCGTCCCAGACGCACCCCTAGTAAGCCCTGAGCCTCGTTAATAGCACGCTCTAGCGTTATTAACTGTCCCCAAGAATGTCACGGAACCTATCGCAATTCGCAAGCTGCAATCTTCGAAGGTCCCATCGTCTCGCATAGGACGCCTCTTCCACTACGGAGGTCAGTCTACTCATATTGCCGGAATTAATTCACAGCTTGAATACGCCAAGGTCTCGCTGCGTCCTTGGGTTATGGTGCCGCATCTGAGCTCATCCGACGCTCGACCGGCAACTCCGACCAGCACACATCGCTCATGATGACCGAAGGTAACGTCAAACGTCTGGTGTCGAAGCTGACACAGATGCGTGGTGCTGCTCTCAAGCTAGGCCAGTTTATGAGTATACAAGGTATGCAATCTATCAAGTTACAAGTCACCGGAAAATGTAAAACTCACTGCTTGGGCAGACAGCCATGTTCTGCCTCCAGAAATAGAAGACGTGTTCAGGCGCGTGCAGGATAGCGCGCATTATATGCCTGACTGGCAGATGGAAGTAAGTGGAGGCCATCTTCTCTATCGCCGCTTGTCTGATTTTTCCTCGCAGGAAGTTATGAAGTCTTCCCTTGGTCCCTCTTGGATGGACCACTTCGCATCGTTCGACAGGACACCCTTCGCGGCAGCATCCATCGGCCAAGTACACTCCGCCGTCCTCGCAGCTTCATCCTCTCCTACTGGGAAGGAGGAGCTCGTGGCAGTGAAGATCCAGTTCCCAAACATTGTCAACTCCATCGAGAGCGACCTCGGCTACGTCAGGTTGCTGCTAACGGCAGGAAAGCTTTTGCCGAAGGGGCTCTTCTTGGACAAGACGATCGCGGTAATGCGTGTAGACGAACGTCTCTGAGATACGACTGCTAACGTGTGCTTGTCGGAAAGGTCATGAAGGAAGAGCTTGCGGACGAGTGCGACTATACGCGCGAAGCGTCTTTCCTGAAGAAGTTCGGCGAGCCGTCATATCTGGGCAGCGACCCGCGATTCAAGGTGCCCTGGGTCTGGGAAGGCAGTTCTGAGCGTGTGCTGGTCATGGAGATGGTCGATGGCGTCAGTGTTGGTGGGAACGTAATTGAGGGCATGCCACAGGAGGACCGCAACAAGGTACCGTCGCTTCTGGTAAAAATAGAGCAGAATAATGCTGATTGGCGTGACCATGAAGATTGCCACCGGAATCATCGACCTCTGCTTGAAGGAGCTATTCGTGTTCAGGACGATGCAGACCGACCCAAACTGGACGAACTTCCTGTGGAACAAAAGCACACGCAGAGTGAGACTGTCTCTTCTGTGCACCATATACTCTTACTCATCCCCTCTCCCAACAGATTGAACTTGTCGATTTCGGGGCCACGCGTGAATATTCGAAAGAGTTCATCGGCAGCTGGTTCCGACTCTTACAGGCTGCAGCGTCCGACGACCGGCAGGCCTGCATAGGCTGGAGCCTGAAGGTCGGCTATCTCACCGGGGAAGAGAACGAGGTGCGCCTTCTACTGCTCCTGCTTCGTACGGTACGCTGACGGGCGCGCGTGCCAGCTCATGCTCGATGCACACGCCACGTCCATGTCCCTGCTCGCGACGCCGTTCAAGGCGCGCACGCCGCAGCCGTTTGCGTTCGGGCCCCACTCGAGCTGGGCGGACATCACGGCGCAGATCCGTGCACAGATCCCAGTCATGCTGCAGCATAGGCTAACTCCCCCGCCGAGGGAGACGTACAGTCTCAATCGGTACGTTATGGATTGCATGGTTGAGGTGCATCGTGCTGACAAACATACCTGAAGGAAACTGAGCGGTGCATTCTTACTTGCCGCTCGTCTTGATGCGAAGGTGGACACCAAGAAGCTTTGGGACGACGTTGTGAGTCGGTTCCGGTTCTAGATTGAATGGGTTAGTTGTGCGTACGATACATATTGCCGGGCAATGGCAATGTCTCTTTGCTCTCCGTCGTACCCTTCCGATGCTCCTATGACCGGAGTTGAGGTGAGATGAAATCAAAGGGTGCCAGCAGGTGGAGATTGCTTACACTCACTTTTCGGCCGCCCAGGGTTTATCGTGTCAAGGACTGTCAACGCTGAAGCGCATTTAATATATGTTTGCACCTTCGTCCGGGGCCATCACCCCTTCATTCCGTCTCCTGCCGGAGTGAGATTTTCGGACTTCATGTACATCTGCATGTATTTGGGGAGGCGGTCATTCTCCCTGCTTGCACAGCGTGGTACAGCGCCAGCTCGCAACTGCTTGCGCTTTCTGCCAAGTCGTGATTACGCTTCCATAGATGCTAGCCAGCAGGTTCCCATTGCGCGCCACAATTTTCAGTTCAGGGTTGCATCTTTGCCCGCCGAAGAAGTCACCAGTGATCTCGTGGGAAGTTTGGACTGGTCTGCTCATGAGGACAATGTCCCGGGATTAGAACCTATTCCACATATCACGGTACAAACCTACGAACCCATCACTCCATCTATAGTTTTCCACATCCAAGTTCAGATGTCTTGTTAGCAAGGACTCTTGAGCATCGTCTCCGTACAGCCTTATGTGAAGTAGTTCTCTTGCGCATTCCAAAAATAAGTGCCGATAAGATTGGAAATTCCGCCGGCCTGGAAATATAGAATATCTCTCTCATTTCTTTTCAGCTCGCACACCTGAGGGCAGATTTTAGGGTGGGGTGCTGCGAAGCCCGAGCGCTTTGTGGCACGGGACCCGGCGATCACCGTGAGCAGATCGAGAGTCCGGATTTGAACGCAACAGCCGCCGTGTCTTTGCTCGCGATCGAGCACCGCGTCGTGCCCGGCTGCCGCAGTTTACGTTTTTTTTTTCTGCCCGACCTGCTTGTTGTCACCTCTCCAAAGCCAATACTCCTATGTCTCTTGCTCCAGAGCACAAGCATTAATGCACCTGCCGACACCGACGAAATTGAAGGCCAGAGCCCAGTCTGCCCAACGCGTCACAGAGGTGTTGCCCCATAAATGGCCGTGAACTTGAAGTTGTGAACAACCTTCCCGTTGCGTTATTTCTTTTCTGGACGAGGCGTCGTCACAATTCGCCGGGGGCTCTTCGGCATCGTTACCGTACGTGAAGTACTATGCGCATTCCAAACATAAGATTGGAGAATCTTGTCATTCTAGCACGCCCGGACATCGCCAGTCGGAGGTTGCGTCGGACGTCGCAAAACTGCTAGCTAAACATCGGTTTTGTACTGTATATCCGACTCACTGGCCGACAGCGTTTAGGGTCTGGCCATCACGGTGCTCCCCTTGCGCTGGCGTTGACAATTATCCGATTGCTCCGCTGAGGCAGACTCGTTACCGGGCGCGCACTGAGGATGAGATGGAAGCAGAGTAATCCATGCAAGGTGGCTGGTATCGAGCCTACGCTGAGGCTTCAAAGTGCGTCTATCAGCGACTGAAACAACGCCTCCACAACCGCACAAAGGTCGCAATGCAATGTTCTTGATGATCCGGCGTAGCTCTGACATAAACAAACCGTCGCCTAGACGGCATCCCCATCGGCAGGGAATAGGCGGAAGCGCATGAGCGTCCTATGTCGGTGCTTTTGCACCCAGTTAAGTCCAGATTGACCAAGCCTGGTCCAAAATTTTGCGGTCTCGTACCTGTGCATATTCTTCGCTGATGCGACGTCCAAGTTTCTTCCCGAGCTGCTTGATGGCTGTCAAGTAAATGTGAATCAAGGCACGCTTTTGCCGGGCATCCCTGCGACGCTGCAGCATATAACAGTGTAGAGTGCTGGCAGGACAGCCCACCACCCCCGTCATCCCATCATGCACCTTCCGCTCTTTACAGGTTCTCTAGTTTTATCATCCGCAGCGGGTCTCGCTGTGGCGGCGACGACCCAGAGCATCAGCCGGGATAACTCCGTGTGCTCTCAAATCCAGAGCACAATCTCGAACCAATCGAGTGTATACCTTCCTGGTGCGCACGCTTGATTGCGATGCACGCGTTCATGACAGGCACTGATATCTGTGCATGTTGGCAGGCCAGTCCGAGTATGATGCGGATCAGACGCACTACTTTGCTTCTAGCTCGCAGCCAGCTCTGTGCACTGTGGAGCCCAAAGCTCCCAACGATGTCTCCCTCATCGTAAGTTTCCATGCGCCCACGATCGGTGCTTCGCCAGGCACTGACGGAGAGCACAGCTCCAAGTGCTCGCACAGCAGAATACTCCTTTTGCAGTATGTTCTCGGCTTTCTGTAGAGGCACTTGCAAATTTCTTACATGGTCGGTCCATTTAGATCAAGGGCGGAGGACATACGGGTAATCCAGGCTTCTCGTCAACCTCGGGAGTTCTACTCTCCATGAACCAGTTCAACACGGTGCAATACCATGCGTCGAACCAGACCGCGGATGTTGGCGTTGGCCTGGTGTGGGATGATGTCTACGAACAGCTCCAGCAGTTTGGTGTGACCGTCGTCGGCGGTCGGGTGTCTGGCATCGGCGTGGCCGGCCTGACGTTGGGCGGTGGTAAGTGCAGTGGCGCGGTCCTCCCGCGAGCGAGACGCTGAAGTTATGCCTAGGTTATTCTTGGCTCACGAACCAGTATGGCCTGGTTGTCGACAACGTTGTCGGCTTCCAGGTTGTGCTCCCCAATGGGAATGTTGTCGTCGCGAATGCCCAGACAGCATCTGATCTCTTCTTTGCTCTGAAGGGTGGATACAACAATTTCGTGAGTCTCTCCATTCTTGATTAGACTCGGACACGGATGCTAACTCCGAGGCTCAGGGAGTTGTCACTCAGATTACGTTCAAGACGTATCCGATTGGTCAAGTATGGGGTGGATACATGGTCGTTCTCGATGACCAGCTCAATGCTGTGACCGCTGCGCTCAACAACTACATTGCGAACGTCCAGGACCCCAAGGCCGCGCTCATCGCTTCGTACACTGCCGTTCCAGGACAGCTCCTTGCGTCGCTTTTGCTGTTCTACGACGGTCCCACGCCTCCAGCTGGTATTTTCGATGACTTCCTTAATCTTACTTCTGTCCAAGGCTCCATCGGGACTCGGTCCTTCCTTGAGCTCGTCCAGACGCCTCCTTCTAGTCAGGCCGCAGGATCTGCTACACGCGGCTACTATGACACTGCCACCATCGCTTCTCCCACTGGTCCCATCATCGATGCAATTGTCAATGAGACCACTGTGAGCCCACTCTTCCATGCAAAATGTAGACTGTGGTACTGAGAGGTTGTCGCAGTTTTGGTCCACCCAGCTCGCGAGCAGCTCGGCCGTCGAGCTCGTGTATTCCGTCGAGGTCTTCCTTCCAAACATTTTGCAGCACGCGCCCGAGGGCTCTTCGGCGTACCCGCCGACGCGTTCTACGCAGTACCTGCCGCTCGCGATGAATTTCCAGTACACCTCGGCGAGCGACGACGCGCTTATTACGGGCGCTATGGCCAGCAGCGCCGCGCAGCTTGGAGGAGTCGCAGCAGCACAGGGCCAGAATACGGCTGAGGTGCCCGTGTACGGCAACTATGCGACGACGCAGTCGTTCTCCGCCGAACGCATCTTCGGCGCGAACCTCGCCCAGCTGCAGAGCATCAAGCAGAAGTACGATCCTTCGAACGTCATGGGCCTTACCGGCGGGTGGAAGATTTGAACTCTGCTCATTGCGCGTGCGTCATCCCCGCCATAAAGCTGTTGGCGCCCCCGTTGCGTCCAAGTTGCTCTTTTGTCCCGCGTATTGATTGAGATCAGAGATGGACTGCATAGTGTACATAGAAACGCGTGTATACCCGGCTTGCATTTTTAATTTATCAAGCGGATGGACAAGCCCAACCAAGCACACTGCACGGAAACCCTGTTCTCTGCAAAAGATTTCCGCGTCATACAAATTGAAATACTGCCGTAAAACATATAAGCATATACTATTACACCGGTGAACATCTTCAAGTCATTCAAATAGAGTGGCGCCGGCTTTATCGCTGGCAAAGATTACTGTCGTTAAACCAGTCTTTTAAAACTTGCCGTGCGTTAAAAGACTGGTTCCCAGCACCGTCCACTGGGCCAAAAAATTCAGGGATTTTTCGGCGTATAAAATAGCGTATACTATGATGTTCTTTCACGTTTTTACGGCGGAGCGATGCCTTGGTAGTGTACAGGAAACGAAAAGGTGGTGTGGAGGCCCAGGATAGCTGCTGATGGGAAGCGTGACATAGCCGACCATAAGCGCTGCTCACTTGGCAGCATCGGGTTATTCAAATCTCATTGTGACTGATGTGACCGTTTTTAAAGGACTGGTGCCTTCGCCCCGCTCTGAGAGCACCTACGTTAAAACACTGTGCTGCTCTTGCGACATTTGTCCAAATATTCGCAGGAATTAAGGACATATAGCTGAAATGCTGGCTTTTATCGCAGTGCCATTCTTATGCTATCAGGCGGAGGGACGTGAGCTCGGGAATTTATTTGGCGGGATCGTTAAAAGACTGGGTTAATGATAGCTATGGTAGTTCTTTGTGATTCTGATCATTGACGAACGCTTAACTTAGTGTCTGTTATATTTGCACCTTCGTCCGAATCCATGGCATGTCTAGTATCCCTTCCTCATTTCGTCTCCTGCCAGAATGAAGCTCTTAGGTTCTTGAGCTTTATGTACGAGATCCGTACGTATGTATATTTGGGGAGGTTGTCATGCCCCTGTTTGTATAACTTGTGGTACGGCGGCGGCTCGCAGCATTTGCTCTCGGCGTGGCCCATGCGCCCCTGCCAGGTCGCGCTCCGTGCAGAAGGCGCATTCAACTGATAAGCCATGCTTTTGCTGACGCAGCGATCACGTTTCCCTAGATGCTAGTCAGCAGGTGCCCACGGAGGCGGCTGCGCACTACAAATTTCCGTTGAAAACATAGTGAGTCCGCGTGTTCGAGTGATCAATGCAAAAGTAATGACTCACTGCGCGTTGTTCGATGCTTCCGACCGGATGTATAAATTCTATTACACTAGATAGTATGTACTCTCGTGCCCAATACTCTGCCCATGAAACAGTTTCGCGCGGTACAGATCACCGATCCTCGAGAGTTTCTTGAAGAGGCGGTCAGACTTGATTGCGATGACAGCTCCATGTCCTTCACGCTCGGCACGCTGACGGACAGTCTAGGCGAGAAGCAGATTAAGGCCAAAGAGCTCACCGACGCTTCCAGGATAGTTTTCGCAGTCTATTGTGGAGATGCTCTAGTGTAAGCACCTCTGTGTTCCTCTCTCGTGACGGATGATACTCACGAATCTGCCGTCAGGCTTGCACTTGTACGAATCTCAGCTGACTTTTACTGGCATCTGAGTGGTTCCAGACGCGTGGAGCTAAACGAGCTGGACACAGAGATGGCTATCTCGCGCTAGTGACCGTGCTCGCATCAGCAATCGACCCGCAGGTATTTAGCCAAGAGGTCATGGGCCCAGAAGACCTTGTGGACACGTTAATAAACGCGTGGACCTCCGAAATGGCTGCCCGCGGTTTGCGGGCGGAGCCTCTGCCGGTGTCTTTCAGGTCTAAAACGTCATTCGCGACTCTCGCGACGCTCCCTTCGCCTCTACTCACCCTTTCCCAGTATCGCATTGAACTGGCGACCGCAGACGACGTCGAGATTCTCGCACGTCAGTTTTCTGCGTTCACGGCCGCGTGGGGAAAGCGCCTTTCCATCGACGACGCGCGACCGCGCGTAACGCTATCCGTTGACTTCGGCGCGGTATGGGTGTGCCGCGTTGGCGGCGAGCTGGCGGCGTTCTGCGTCACGAGGCGCGCCACAGCCTGCACGATTGCGCTCCGCAATGTGTACGTCGACCCGCAGCACCGTAGGAAGGGGATCGCCGCGGCGCTGACGACGGGCATGCTGCGGTATTTCCTCGGGGCGCAGCCGCTCGGGTTTGAGGGCGCATCAAATGACCCGCCCGCCGCGCCGGGCGTCAAACGGGAGGTCTGCCTGAACGTTGCCGAGGACTTTGTGGAGAACATGTATGCGAAGTGTGGGTTCCTGTTTGGCGAGGACGCTAGGGATCCAATAATGAGCAAGAGACCGTGGATCCCGCTCGTAGTCCGTGGAGCGAAGATGGTTCAGGGCTGAGGTGACTCAAGTGAGCCTAGAGCGCGGTTACTTCAAGTCATTCCAGCTCTCTGAATGTCTCACTTCGATGCCTAGGGTCATCTCGCGTGCACTTTGTGGCGTGGAAGACCGGCATCACCATTGCCAGGGTCCGATTCGGATAGCGAAAAGTAAATAGAAATACATGACACAACGAAAGATAGAAGCCTACGATACACAAGAAATACATAAAGATAGATAAAATAGGGCCACAGATAAGCTTTATGGTCTGGATCAGAGAGCGGACGGCTGCGGCACAGCGAAAAGTGGTAAAGAATAGATAGCCCTAACAGTGTCCATGTTCAAGCCTTTTGCCTGCGCCTGACGAGCACGTTGGCCGTCATATTTGGCACGCGAGCGGTGATATACCACGAGACGGGCGGGATCTTACTGCTGTCGCCTTCAAGCTTGATGTCGTAGTTCAGCAGCAAGTTTGCCACAATCATCTTCAACTCGAGCGCAGCGAAGAAGCGTCCAGGGCTGCATCATATTCAGGTCAGGATCTGTGTCTTGGAACATGTAGATTAATTGGACATACCACGCGGTTTTGCCGTGTCCGAAACTCAGATACGTTGGTGTAGTGGTGGTCATCGACTGGGCGTTTACCTCACCGTCGAACTCCTCGAGCTCACGGTAGAAGCGCCAAGGCTGGAAGGTGTCCGCGTCCGCGTAGTTCTCGCCGTCGTAGTGCATCGCGCGGAGCGGTGCAGCGACGAGCGTGCCTTTGGGGAGGATGGTTCCGTTGGACAGCGCAAAGTCCTGCAGCGCGAGTTTTGTCGAGGCCACTGCACAGTTCATAAGCACAAGCTGGGACAAAATTAAGTGCAGGATAGCTACTCACGTGCACCGAGACCGTTGAAGCGAAGGGACTCCTGGATGAAGCTGTCAAGCCTGCGCATACGATGGAGCGCTTCCTTGTCGTAGCCGTGCTGCTCAATGACTTGCTCAATCTCCTCGCGAAGCGTGGCCGCCCAAGCAGGGTTCGTTGCGATAAGATACAGCAAGTGCGTGAAGCTCTGCGAGGTCGTGTGCACAGCCGCAAGGTTGACGATGAGCATGATGCGCGTGAGGTTGCGCACGTTGCACGCCTCGCCTTGCGTTGATGCCATCAGGAGTGAGAGTAGATCGTCCTCCTTGCCCACCCAGTCCTTGCCGGCCGCCTCCATCTCCTTCTGGCGCTGCTCGAAGTGTGGCTGGATAAAGCGCATGCCGCGCTCGACGCTGGGGCCAACGAGGTCGAGCCACCGAGAGATGAATCTGAGAGAACATGAAGGTTGGCTAAGGATTGCGGAGACGATGGCGTGCGTATACTCACGGTCGGATGCCATTAGGTAGTGCATTGTACAAGAGCGCACCCTTGAAGACATTATTCGTGAACTCGATGTTCAGCTCATTGTATTCCGGGTTACTACCTGCGGATATCGTTTAGCTTGGAAGGACAAGAGCCCACGTTGCATCAACATACAGAGAGGCGCGCCGACGAAAGCACGATTGCTGACGCGGAAGAATAGCTTGAATGACGCATCGAGAGCGGGGATCGGCGCCCAGTCTACATACGTACGTGTGAGCGAGTGTCTCTCACCGAGGAACTGATTAGCAGCTTACCGTCGCTCTGAGGGATGATGTCTTGGAACGCGGCAATCATCTCGTCGTAAAGCATAGAAGGCGAGGGGTTTACGTGACGCAGGAGCTGTTCCCGGACAAGTTCGATGTAATTGTTCATCTCATTCAAATCGATTCCCAGAGTGTACAGGCCCTGCAGGTACTGGCAGTTGCAAACTGTTGAGTATGGTTATTTCAGAGATATATCCGCATCCGGGCTTACCTGGTGCAGTGCAGCAGGCGAGGACATGTATTCCTCTGGCGCTTTGCGCAGCTCCTCATTCAGAGCGGGGTCTGCTACAATGACAAACCAGCGGTTGAATTGCGCGACTTTAAAGCAGCCACCTTTGTACTATTGGATAGTGGTTGAGAATTCGATAGTAACAGGCATTAGGGCACAATCCGATACTCACCTTTGTGTATCCTTCTTCGAGGACCTTGTGTGCTTGAAGCAGAAAGCGGATCGCCCCATACCAAGAGAGAATAGGAAGGGACGGCCCGCCGACGGTGGGGATGCCTTCGAGCTGCGTGTGGCCAAATAAGTTCTACATGCCAGGTTGGAGGAACAGCCGTCAGTCACTCACACATCGTTCGGCGTACATAAATCTGCGGGATGCCCAAGTCAAGGCGTAGACAGCCGCAACAAGGTAAAGGAGAGTGGATAGTTCCATAGCTGAAGATGAAACAGACGAGAACAGAAAAAATCAAGGGCGAGAAAAAGGTGCGAAAACTTGGGGTGCGCGACACGCTTGAATGAGAACGATCCGCTCCAGACTCTGCTCATATGTACTTGTACTTTGACAGAGATCACCGCCCAATTCAGAGCGGCTGTCGTCACTGCCCCAGCGCAAATACCCGCACATGATACCGAAGCGGTGACTAGTCTGCTCGCGTTCAGCGTCGACTATGCAGTGCGAACTTACGGTATCCGGGCACCGCGGGACCGCACAGACGGGTAGTCCTGGTCTCCTGGCGGATCCGCTAAGCGGGAACAAAGCTTGCGGTGCTCTCTGCGTCCTTCGGCGTGACATACATCACAAGAATTCCTCAAGGAGATCCGGCGGGAGATCCGGTGAGCCAAGCAATACGGTAGACGGCCTCCAGGAGATGGCAGTGAGCAACGAGCGTGATATGCGGCATTGGGCGGCCTCAGTCGTCTGGGTAACTGGATAAACCTCTGGCTAAGGTGAGATGAGGACCGCCTAGTAGGAGAGCTCGTACTCTCATTGGTCCTTCAGTGGTGGTTCCGCCACCGCCTATAGTACTGACCCTGACGCCTATCCTCCCGAAATGAGTTTGATCTTGGCAGCCAGGGCGGTCGCCGCCCACCTCCCCCCCCAGCTCGCGAGATTGCACCATTCTTGGCGTGAGCTGTAAGTGTTATCCAACTTACTCCAGGACAGTAAACCACCATTCTATATCGAGGCCCAGAGACAGATACTGTGTCCTGTATTGCCGACCCGGAGGAGGAGCTTGCGTCAATGAGCTACACAGAGGTTCCATAACACATGATGATGATTGTCCGATCGTACCGTTGTGGCTTTGAGGTGCGTCTATCAACAATTGAAACAGCTTCATTTGGTAATTGAACTCACGTTGGCCCAGCCTGCAGTCCGTGGGCCTCGTCAACCTAGGCACAACCGCACAAAGGTCGGAATGTCCTTGGCAGATCCGGCGTAACTCCGACATAAAAAAGTCGCCTAGCCAGCATCGCCATCGGTAGGTTACGCTGGGGAATGGAGCTTAGGGCGTAAGCGCATAAGCGTCCTATGTCGGTGCCTTTGTACCTGTCAGGTCCAGCACACAGAAACGGCCAAGCCTGTTTCCGATATTGTTAGGCTTTCGCGGCCTCGTACCTGTGCATATCACGCCCAGGCGGCTGCTGCATCGCCTCAGCCCGGTACGCGACTTGTCTGGAGTGCAGGCCGCGGATGGCGCACCCTACGCTGATGCGACGTCCAAGTTTTGTCCCGAGCTGCTTGATGGCTGTCAAGCAAATGGGAATCAAGGCACGCTTTCGTGACCATCCCTGCGACGCTGCAGCATATAACAGTGCAGAGAGGCAGGAGGACAGCCCACCACCCCCGCCATCTTATCATGCACCTTCCGCTCTTTACAGGTTCCCTGATTCTATCATCTGCAGCGGGTTTCGCAGCAGCAGCAACAGCACAGAGCATCAGCCGGGGTAATTCAGTGTGCTCTCAAATCCAGAGCACGATCTCGACGCAATCAGCTGTATATCTTCCTGGTGCGCACGTCTGATTGCGAAGCATGTGTCCATGGCGGGCTCTGATATCTGTGTGCTGGCAGGCCAGTCCGAGTATGATGCGGATCAGACGCACTACTTTGCTTCTAGCTCGCAGCCAGCTCTGTGCACTGTGGAGCCCGGGACTCCCAACGATGTCTCCCGTATCGTAAGCTCCCATGCGTCCACGATCAATGCTTCGCCAGGCACTGACGGAGAAGCACAGCTCAATGTCCTCGTGCAGCAGAAGGTTCCTTTTGCGGTATGTTCTCGGCTTTCTGTAGAGGCACTTGCAAATTTCTCACTGGGCGGTCCGTTTAGATCAAGGGCGGAGGACACACGGGTGGTCCAGGCTTCTCGTCAACCTCGGGAGTTCTGCTTTCCATGAACCGGCTCAACACGGTGCAATATCATGCGTCAAGCCAGACCGCAGATGTCGGCGTTGGCCTGGTGTGGGATGATGTCTACGAACAGCTCCAGCAGTTTGGTGTGACCGTCGTCGGCGGTCGGGTGTCTGGCATCGGCGTGGCCGGCCTGACGTTGGGCGGTGGTAAGTGCAGTGGTGCGGTCATCCCGCGAGCGAGGCGCTGAAGTTATGCCTAGGTTATTCTTGGCTCACGAACCAGTACGGCCTGGTTGTCGACAACGTTGTCGGCTTCCAGGTTGTGCTGCCCAACGGGAATGTTGTCGTCGCGAACGCCCAGACAGCATCTGACCTCTTCTTTGCTCTGAAGGGTGGATACAACAATTTCGTGAGTCTCTCCATTCTTGATTAGACTCGGACACGGATGCTAACTCCGAGGCTCAGGGAGTTGTCACTCAGATTACGTTCAAGACGTATCCGATTGGTCAAGTATGGGGTGGATACATGGTCGTTCTCGATGACCAGCTCAATGCTGTGACCGCTGCGCTCAACAAGTATATCGCGAACGTTAAGGATCCAAAAGCCGCACTTATCGCTGCGTACACCGGCGTCCCAGGAGAGCTCCTCGCGTCGATCGAAATGTTCTACGACGGTCCCACGCCTCCAGCTGGTATCTTCGATGACTTCCTTAATCTTACTTCTGTCCAAGGCTCCATCGGGACTCGGTCCTTCCTTGAGCTCGTCCAGACGCCTCCTTCTGGTCAGGCTGCAGGGCCCGTTACTCGCGGCTACTATGACACTGCCACTATCGCTTCTCCCACTGGCCCCATCATCGATGCAATCGTCAATGAGACCACTGTAAGTCCGCTCTTCCGTGCAAATCGCAAACCGTGGTACTGAGAGGTCGCCGCAGTTTTGGTCCACCCAGCTCGCGAGCAGCTCGGCCGTCGAGCTCGTGTATGCCGTCGAGATCTTCCTCCCAAACATTTTGCAGCACGCCCCCGAGGGCTCTTCGGCGTACCCGCCGACGCGGTCCACGCAGTACCTACCGCTCGCGATGAATTTCCAGTACACCTCGGCAGGCGACGACGCGCTTATCAAGGGCGCGATGGCCAGCAGCGCCACGCAGCTCGGACATGTTGCAGCCGCACAGGGCCAGAACACGGGCGCGGTACCCGTGTACGGCAACTATGCGACGACGCAGTCGTTCTCCGCCCAGCGTATCTTCGGTGCGAACCTCGGCCGGTTGCAGAGCATCAAGCAGAAGTACGATCCTTCGAACGTCATGGGCCTCACTGGCGGGTGGAAGGTTTGAACTCTGCTCGCCGCACGTGTGTCATCCCCGCCGTAAAGTTGCTGCTGCCCCCGTTGCGCCCAAGCACATTGCTATCACAAGTCGCTCTTTTGTCCCGCGTATTAATTGATGTCAGTGATGGACCGTGTAGTGTACATAGAAACGCGTGTATACCCGGCTTGCATTTCTTAATTTATCAGACAGACGGACAAGCCTTTTGCGTTTCTATTGTACACGTCTTTGGTCAGCACGGATTTCCAGTCCCCTCCAGCACTGGCAGACGTGTACGCACCCTCGCAAGTCTGCATCATGACATATCGCATGTTTGATGTTTGAGTGCTGTGCGGTGTTCACCGACTCGGTGGCGCCCTGAACTCTGGATTGTTGATCACCCTGAGCAGCTCCGATCATGCGGGACCCTGATGTCTCCCGAGATGACATCGATGAAGCTTGAAGCGTTGATGGGCCGCCGCTTTCGCTACCGCTGGACGGAATGTGCTGGACGCGGACGACGGGACTTGATTGTGGGGCCGGGGGTCTCGGACGACCTGGGTGTGCACTGCAAGGGTTGTCCAGTAGGATGTGCCATCAGCCGGGGTCTCATTCGGTGTCTAGTAGCAGATGGATGACTTGTACGAGGCTTTCCAAGAGTACGGTATGTTGCGAGGGTCTCAGCTTGCCTGAGGCGCACGTTTGACAAATCTATCAGTCATGCCGTGAGATGCCTCCTCCATTCGGGACACTTACTGCAGAGTTATTGGTCATCATGAAGTCGTTAGTGCTTAGCACTTAACAACCAGTGTCAAGGGCAAGCGGGATGCGGGATGGAAAGTGCAAAGGGAATAACCATAAGCGGCAATTTCAAGATAAGACTAGCTCCACCCATGATGGGCGGGACCGCAAGGGTCTGCCTTCATTTCCAGCTAGCTCACGTCTAGCTTACCGTTGGACCATGTCTTCTCTAATGATGCGAACACCGCCCGCTCAACGAGATAAAGCGTCAGGAAGCGAGGACAACGCATTCACTTTTGACCTTGCCGTCGTCGACCTGGGAAAATGTGGCCGTTCTCCAGCGGATATCCGACTCGTACGCCAGAGAGCGTAGCGTCGCAGACGTTTGACTACATTGTCGTCGGTGGTGAGTTCCGTGCTGAGGTTCGCTGCCCGCGAGGCGATCTGACCTGTATGCTGTGCTAGGCGGAACAGCGGGATGTGTGCTTGCGTCGAAGCTCTCGGAGGATCCAAACGTCAGCGTGCTCCTGTTGGAGCGTGGTCCGGTCGTAGACACCTGGGCCTCAAAAGTGCCTCTCCTCTCCGTTGACTACCGCCCGCCGACGGCACCAAAGTATGGATGGCTCGCTGCGCCGCTCGCGGCTGCCGTGGGCACGCCGCCGCTCGAGATGATCTCGGGTAAGCTGTTGGGCGGTACCTCGAAGATCAACGCGTTCGTCTATGCACGGTCCGTCCCCGGAGAGTACAATGCTTGGGCTGAGGCGGGCCGCACAGGGTGGAGCTGGGAGGAGGTTGAGCCGTACTTCAAGGGCATGGAAAACGTGCTGTCGTACAAGAACCCTCATCGCGGCGACAAGGGTACGTGTCTTACTAGAAAACTCCAACTGTATTGGTGACGCCCCCATAGGTCCTTGGAAACTTCGCAAAATTGACACTGTCTTCTTCGAGAATACCCCTGCGTGCGTTCTCGAGATAATTCAAACAGTCATGAACCCTCTAATTTTTGCCTAGTGTAATTAAGGCGACCTCGGCACTGGATATACCCTTTCTGGACGAAGCGAACGACCCAAGCGCTCCGTCGACCTTTTGCAACCGTGCCGACCTGGCCTTGAATGAGAAGGGTCAGCGACAGTCGACGTTCGATGCCTTCTTGCCTCCCGAAGTTGCCTGGAAGCGTCAAAAGAACCTATTCGTTGTCCCTCAGGTTGTGGTGTCGAAGCTCGACCTGCAGCCTTCCGCGAACGGGACGCGTGCCGTTGGAGTCTACTTCCAGCGGGATTCTATCACTGGTGGTTCATCTGCGACGCAATTCTACGTCTCGGCTCGCCATGAGATTGTCCTATGTAGCGGAGCTATCGCGAGCCCGCAGGTGCTCATGTTAAGGTTTGTTTGGCATGCAATTTTATTATGGACATTTTCTTACGCCTGCACTCTCTCAGTGGTGTCGGCCCTGCAGAGCACTTGCGCGAGCACAACATTCCTGTTGTCAAGGATCTTCCGGGCGTGGGTTCAGAGCTGGTGCGTAATCCAACTTACTCAATCTATAATCATTCTTGCTGACTTGGTCTACAACCTGTAGCAAGACCATGTTGGTATACCGCTCATCTACCGGATCCCGCCGGATGATAGCCTCTACAAGCTTGAGCGCAGCCCGCTCTTTGGCCTCAAGGAGATGCTGAAATACATCTTCTTCGGGCGCGGCATCTTCCTATTCCCGAATCCACAGCTTTTCGTATTCGCACAGTCCCAGTACCTCGATCAAGATTTCAAGACCGTGCTGCCCGACGCTTCCGCATCCAACGCACATCTCGCTTCCAACGTTCCCGACATCGAGATCATGCACATCCCTTACTGCGCCTGGGAGTTCCGGAAGCTGAAGGATGACGAGGGGGCCATGTCGTTCTTCTGCGTGCTGCTGAAGCCTCACTCGCGCGGCACGGTCCGCCTGACGTCGGTCGATCCCTGCTCCCGACCGGCGTGCGACCTGAACTTCCTGAGCGACGCGCGCGACTGGCCTACGCTGCGCAAGGCAGTGCGGCTCGGACTCGCGCTTGGGCGCAAGGTTGAGGAGGGCGGCTATCCGCTCGGGAACATGCTGCAGCCTGAGGACGAGTCCGACGCGGGCATCGACGCGTTCGTGCGCAAGAGCGTGCGCACGACGTACCACTACTCGTCGACGTGCCGCATGGCGCCCGAGGCCGAAGGCGGCGTCGTCGACGACGAGCTCCGCGTGCACGGCATCGAGGGCTTGCGCATCGCCGACGCGAGTATCTTCCCGACTATCCCCGCGACGCATCTCCAGGCACCCGCGGCGATGGTAGCTGCACGTTGTGCAGACTTCCTCAAGAACGCTCGGTTCTCAAAATGATTCGTTCCATTTTTAGGTTAGCTCTTCAGGGGAACGACGTTGTTGGTTCTTCGTAGCATATGCACAGGGATTGTGCAGCAGGTGTCCTGTTGCGGACAAGGCAACCGAAGCCGTGATTTCAGCGGGTGCATTACTGCTAGCGTGTCTACTACATCGTGTGTCATTGTACCCTATCAGATTTAAAGCTCAACCACAGTTCGGAACGTATCTTGGAACGTGTGTTATGACCACCGATCTCTCTTCTCGCTACGACGACCCCGCATCACGGACTGTCACGGCTAAGGGAAATGATCTGCAAGGTGCACTTCAGTGTATGCGAGCTACGTACGCCGCCGTCTCCGCGGCATCGGTTGTACGCACGGAATCGTACCAAAGGGGGAGCCAAGAGGCCTGCCCTCAGACACGTTGCTTGCGCCCGCGGCGAAAGAGCTGCAATGTCTCTCCATAGTAACTTCTAGCGGCGCGCTGGTCTCCCGCCACTCTGCGAAAGTTCCACTCCCACGCTGCCTGACCCTGATGAACTTTGGTTGGTTCGAGGTGCGCACTGTCCGATCAGACTTTGCCGATGTCCGGCCGCCATTCAGTATACAACACTCTCGCCAACAGTTTCACGGAGGGTGTATGTCGCTGTGCATATGCAATGATTACTTATCGTAAATTTTTCGCGCAGATACAGCCCTCTACTGAGCCAAGGCTGTGAGCCCTGAGTGCGCCTAGAGTCTATGTAACCTCTACCCAGCGGCGCCACGCTCGTTGGAGAGATGCGATGGCACCGCACTAACACGGGATGATTGAACGACAATCAATTGGCTTGCGCTTGCGCGCGCCGCGATCGATGCAACATGATGCATGATGCTCCGCCTGACTGTACGAAGCCGGCGACCTGTTTGCGTGCCTCCGCTGGTACCGGCTTTGCAGCGCTCGTCTCTTGTAATTTGCCAGCGGCGTTGGTATATAGACTTATCTCTACCGTGGGCGGGGCGGCCTACGCCCCCCACTCTCCCGTCCTTTGTCAAGCAGCCCGATGTCAGCGACGAACTCGAGCGATCCCACCGGCGGCGCGGGCGCAGGCAACGCGACCGCCCCGCAAATCCCGCCCCAGGTCATCGCGGCCGTCCTGGAGGGCTACGCGGACGGGATCCGCAACCCGATTGGCTTCGTGCTCGTCGCGACCATATTCGCGTCGATGCTCATCCCAATCCTCATCGCGCTCTTCTACTTCTCTACGCCCACGTCACGGCGGCAGCCTGCATTTATATTGAACGTTATCACGATCCTGTTTGGCCTCGGCATTGCGATATGGAACAATTACCTCGAGGTGTGTTTTCGGTCATGCTTCTTTGAGTCAACTGGAGCTCATGGTCGCGGTAGCTCGCAGGCGTTTTGAACCCGACGAAGCAGGTCAGCCTGAAGAGTGTCGACGGATTTGCTGTCGTCTTCGGTCTTGCGCCATGGCTTGCAGAGCTGGTGCTCGCTCTGCGGCTTCTCGTGGTCTTCCCGCCGTCGCAGACGTCCTGGCGGAAGCTAGCCGCCGTTTTTGCTTTCCCAGTCGCCGTTAAAATTGTCCGCCTCGCCTGTGTCATTACGTACTTCCACAACTGGATCAGGGAGACGGATAGTGCGGCGAATCCCCTGCAGGCTGCAGAGACAGTGGACTACAAGCATTCGCCATATACCAAGGTGGACTGGTTCCTGCAGATTTTTGACAACCTGTGAGCCCTCTATCGAGTGTGTTGGAGTGATCGCTTACGCTTGCCCGGCAGTTACCTATCCGCTCTTTTCATCGGAAGGCTGTATCACAGCCAGATTTTTAACGCCATGTCCGGACGTCGTGCGAACGAGAGCACATATACCTACCCATCTGAGCAAAACCGAGTCGTGCGGACTCCTGCATCGACTTCGATCGGCTCTCGTCTTAAATTCTTGTTCTGGATCGCGCTCGGCAACTTCGTCATCCCTGGTAAGCAGCTGACATTGCGCTGGCCCGCGGCGTCGCTAAAATCTAGGCCACAGTTATCTTCAACATAATTCTCATAATCGATCTATACACGGATCCTAATCACATTGTCAACACCGTGTACCTTCTCTTCGTCAACTATTACATTTCGATCATCGGCGTCGTCTTCGCCACAGGTGAGCACGCTTTCTACCATGTGTCAGAGGCATTTTGGCTCACCAGTTTACAGTATGGAGCTCGAGCTTCAATTACAAACAGCAACAAGCTGTGGCGACGCTCCATGGCCGCGGCTCCTCGCAGGGCTCGTGGCGGCCGAAGCCGAGCGTGAGCGCTACCAACGAAACGTTGACCGCACCTCCGATGTCTCCGACCATCCAGGGTCACCACTCGTTTAAACCAGTACCAGACAAGGACGAAGACTGGGAGATGAGCGTGAGCCACGGCTCGACCGGCAGGGACGCGATCCCGCTCGCGATGCTCGCGGAAAAGTCGGACGACGGGCGCGCTGTGTAAGCACCGGGTGCTGACGGCTGGAGTGTGGGACTGGGGCTGCAGATGTGACGGACCGAGTGTATTGGTATTCTGATGGCGCTGTGTTTCACCAATACCCCTTCGTGTAGCTTTGTGTAGAATGTATGTGCTGCTCTTCCGCGACGTACTTTCTCTGAGCTGCTTTTCCGTACTCTTGAGTAGGTATGCTATGACTTGAATAATGAATCGTGACGTCCATCAGCTAATTCTCTTCAAATGTCTTGCGTCGGAAGGAGCAAATTGGCAGAGGTAGTCCGGCTGAGCTGCGAGAAGAGCCACCTCGCCTCTTGCTGTAAATCTGTAACCCCTTTCCAACATTAATCAAGATCAGGCCTAGGGTCTCAGTGCGCGGCGGCACGAGCACTAGAGAACACTTAATGATGTCAGGCACAACCAGAACACCGGAAGCGATCTGCATTGTCCTGAAAAGCAATCGCGGCTTTCAGTAGACCTTGAGTCGGGCCGCACCTGTTCAGAGTGATCACACGACTGGGCCGCTGTGCTACGGGTCTTCGGCTGTGCAAGAACGGCCGGGAGCAGCACCCAACAGCAGGTGCCAGCGCCGGAACAGATAGTGAGCCGACCAGCCTGACGTTGTTCGGATGTGGTGCATGCTGATCCTGCTATGACTTGTGTATTCACTGTGCGTAGGCTACTTGATCCTTGACCCAACGGACAAGAGAGGGATGTGGCGAGTTTCTTTAAATAATTTTTGGAATTTAGGGAGTTGTTCGCACCGGCTAAACCTTGTAATATTAAATTGGTTCCCAAAGCGTGAAATTGCCTGGAAATAATCCATTAACGCTTCCTGGCACCGACCTTTGCAGTACACTCTCGTGCCTGTCGAGCTGTAGGACTCCACGACTTCGCGGACGGCATACGATCTGGTCAGAGACATTGTATTCTGTTCCTGGGAGCCTCGCTTTGGTCCTCTACCTGCTGCACGGCTGCTGCACAGGTGAACTCTCATTGATTCGTACACTCGGCTATTGATATCTTCTCGAGGTCTGCTGCCTGTACAATGACCGCACCCAAGGCAAAACGGATACCTCCAAAGTCGCCATCAACGAAGGTATCGACGCAGACCCCTCCACTGGCACCGGTGACTACATCGCCCGCGCCTGTGTCCGCGACCGCACCCACGCCCGCTTCCCCGGCGCAGGCAGCCAACGGGAAGAAGAAAAAGAAGAAGAGAGTCAAAGGCAAGAGTGTTGCGGGGCCCCAGTACGACGGGGATGACGAAGAGGACGAAGACGTGCAAGAGCTGATCGAGGACATGTCTGCGAATGGGCGACCGCGCTCTGGCTCGCGTACCGGGCTCTCACCCGAGCTCGAATCGGTACATCTGTCGACAACGGCGTCGCTCTCAGCCTCAGTCGCGGCCACGCGGCTCAGTCAGACTGCGGTGGCCGAGGCGGAGCTACTCGCGACGGCAGACCACTTGGCGAGGAGCATGGAGGTAGACCCGGAGGGGATGGTGAACGATGAGTACTGGGCATCGTTTCCGGATCATCTCCGCAACTTTGTACGGCACACTTACTCTCAATTGAGCTCTCCTGGTAACGAGGACGAAAAGACTCAGGCCATGTACGCCATTGCTCAGCAAATTCACTCGGGAGCAGGCGTGAACTTTACTGCAAGTGCAACGGTCAAGGGCACGACGCGCACGGCGACGGCGCGCTATCCTCCTGGCGCGTTCCCTCAGACTATGCCCTTTGACCCGTCCATCTTCACTGATCCCGCTTTCACGCAAGCGATGGAACGAGCGGCGGCGGCGAATGGCCTGCAGTTGCCATCGGACCGGAACATGCACACTGCTGGGGAAGATGGGGGAATGCTTAACGAGTATGGGAGTGAAGAGCACGACTTTGGAGACGAGGAATACTTCAGCGAAGAGGAGGTGGACGAGCTGGCGGAGCAGCGTGCGCAGTTTGTTGTGAGCTACGAGCAGCACGCGGGGCTGATGCAAACGGTGAACGGGGACGAATATGAAGCACAGCGCAAAAGGAGCAGGAAGAAAAAGAAGAAGACCAAGATGGGTACCGGCACTGGAGGCGGAGGCGGAGGCGGGGGTGTACAGACGCCCGTACCGGCGACGGCACCGGTAAGGCCGGCTTCGGCGGTGGGAGCGGTGTCACCCGCACCGACGACAAATCTTGCGACGCCTGTCTCTGCCTCCCACAAGCCAATGCCTGCGCCGCGCTCTTCGCCTGCTGCGAACCCGCCGCCAAGCTCTCGAGCTGCGGGCAAACAGCCCATGTCTTACTCGACGCCCGCCCCAGCAAATCCCCCGCCACAAAGCCGCCGCGCAGCCTCCAAGGCCCCCATCACATCCCACGCTTACCAGCATAACCATACTCATCACCACCCATCGCCGCCCTCTTCGAATGCCTCTGCGCCCCACAAGCCCAGGCCTCCAGCAAACGGCGCAGGCAACACTGCCAATGGGAAAAACAATAGCAAGATATGGTCCACCAGCACAACCGAGGAGCGCGAACGAATCAAGGAGTTCTGGCTCGGCCTGGGCGAGGACGAACGGCGGAATCTCGTGAAAATCGAGAAAGAGGCCGTCCTCAGGAAGATGAAGGAGCAGCAGAAACACAGTTGCATGTGTGCTGTCTGTGGGCGAAAGCGGTCTGTGCTCTTGGTCCTTCGTCGCTTCTGTTCGTCGCTGACCTTGTCCCCGACCGATACCTTGCCATGGCCAATTTCCACACTATTCACATCTTCGACACTTCAAACGCTTCAAATTTCGGGATGAAATTAGAAATGCTATTGAGGAGGAGCTCGAGGTACTGTACGATGCTTATTACGAAGAGCTTGAACAGTACGCGAACTATCAGCAGCAATACATATCGTCTGGCGGCACGATACCTCCTCCTCAAGGACCAGGTCCCTTCCCTGGGAGTGTCGAGCTGGACAAGAACGGTGCGGTGATCGGTCCTCATACCATCTCCAATATACCCCCTCGAGCCAAGAACGGCGTCGTCAATGGCAGAAAAGCTGTCAAGGCCGAAAGTGAATTCGAAGACGACGGGGAGGAAGAGGAGTATGAGGACGACGAGGAGTATGAGGAGGAGGAAGAAGAGGAGGAAGAAGAGGAAGAGGAGGACGAGGGAGAGCCAGAAGACGAAGAAGACGTCAAGCCCCAGACCGAGCGACGGGCAGCGCGACGGCGTGGTGCGGCGAATGGCAAAGCAAACGGGCGGGACGGGCTGGCAAACTTTGGGAACAGTCTCACTGTCACAGGCAAGTCTCATCGTTCCCTCTGCTTGTGTAAGCCCTCGATTTCTTATTGTAGACGCAGGTAACATTCTCACTGTCGCAGACGATCTCCTTAAGAACGACGGTCAGAAGTTTCTGGAGATGATGGAGCAGCTAGCTGAGCGGCGCATGCAGCGCGAGGAAGAGGCAGTGGCGGACGTCGAAGACGACTCTGAAGAGGAGGAAGATGAGGAGGGGGACGAGGAGGACGAGGAGGAAGATGACGAGGACGAGGACGAGGACGAAGAGGAAGAGGTACTACGCTTAGTCCGAGGTCACGCGACACGTCGCTCACGCTTTGCAGGTTATGACGGAGGAGCAGAAAATGGAAGAAGGCAAGCGCATGTTCTCCATCTTTGCTGCCCGGATGTTCGAGCAGCGAGTACTTCAAGCATATCGCGAGAAGGTCGCTCAGGAACGCCAGCTGCAACTGCTTCGAGAGCTTGAGGATGAGGATAAGCTGTCGAAGGAGAAAGAGGCGAAGAAACAGACGCAGAACCAGAAGAAGAAGGACAAGAAGCGGTATGTGTTATTCTACATGGGTATATGCGCCCATTCCCTGAAATGCGTGTCTTTTTCTTTAGTCAGCAGAAGCTTGCGAAAGAGGAGGAGCGTGCTGCTCGCGCGGCCGAAAAAGCGGCGGAGGATGCTGCTTTGAAGGCTAAGCAGACAGCACAAGAGGAGGAGGGCAGGAAGCGGCGAGAAGAAGAGCGGACAAGGCGGGAAGCTCAGCGCAAAGCTCTGGAGGAGGAAAGGCTGCGCAAAGAGGAGGAGAAGCGCAAGCGTCTTGCAGAGGAGAAAGAGCGCGAAGCCGAGCGTGAACGCAAGCGTAGAGAGAAAGAGGAGAAAGCGAAGCAGGAGCGCAGAGAGAGGGAGGAACGCGAGCGCAAGGTCCGTGAAGAACGAGAAGCGAAGGCAGCTGCGGAGCGGACGGCCCGTCGAGAGCAGCAAGAGCAGCAAGAGCGAGAGCGGAAGGTGGCGAAGGAGCGCGAGGAGAAGGAGAAGGCCGAACGCGAACGCGAGAGGCTGGAGAAGGAGAAAGCTGAGAAAGAGCGGCTGGAGAAGGAGAAGGCGGAAAAGGAGCGGACGGCGGCACAGCAGCAACGTGCCACTGTTGCGAAGACGGCTCGTCCACCGACCTCACCTCGCACTGCGACCAATGCGACTGCGTCAGGATCTTCGCAGCGTTCTCCGAGTCAGGCCACTCCAGGTCCCTCCACCACTCCCACAAAGAAGAACGCTCCGAAGCAACCTGCGCCCGTACCTGTGCTCCCGATTATTCAACCGCCCAGACAGCACGCTCAGCCCCGCCCAGTACTTGTGACCAGCCCACAGCCGCACATACCTCCGCAACCGATGACCCCACAGCTTACGCCACATCTGCCATCGCCTCTTACTCCGCTGTATCCCCCGACGCCCGGTATTATTTCACCACCTACAATGTCGCCGCGTGTACCATACATCCCAACTGGACCGTTTGGCGGTTTCGCTCCTGGGCATCCGATGGGCCATATTCCGCCACCAACCCCCTTGGCCCCGTCAGCAGTGCCTAGGGCGTTTGGTACAGGACCTTCGTTCGACTCAGCGTTCGCTCGCAACGTCGGCCCCTCTCCTGTTGCGCCCATCGCTCCTCCAAGTAAGGCAGCGCAAAACCCACTGGCCTCACCCCCTCAGCTGGCGCCGGGCCCACCAGGACGGAGGCCGTCGATGGCAGACCTAGGACCGATCGGACGCCCGGCACCTATCGCGCCAATAGCACGTCCACCAGGCGAGCCGACAGGTTCAGGGTCGACGTCGCCAAGCCGGCGTTCACCAAGTCCGAAGGGCGTGTTGGGCTCGTCCGCACTCGCTGCCGACGACGACGAGATTGTGCTGGCATCAGGCCGCCGGTCTCTTGCCCCCGGCGCGGTAGGCTGGGGCGCGCCTGGATCGAGTCCGCAGACGAGTGCGGCCCCGCTTGGTATGCGTGCACCGTGGGCAGGGTCGGCCGCACAGCCGTTTCCGCCGCGACCGCAGCTGTGGAGCGCGACTCCGGGGCAGGCTCCGGACTGGCACGCGACCTCTCCGTTCTTTGGCGCTCCGTTTACGAACCATGATCCGTCGCCGTCACCACATAGCGGCTCCTGAGCACGTCGTGCTGCTGTCCTTCCTGTCGTACCTCGCTTTTTGTGACATTCCTTTCTTTTGTACCTGCTATATCACCTCCTGCAATACTGCTGTCCTCTAGCACGGCGAGCCCACTGACAAGCAAATATGAAATATCTGCCAACTCGAACCTCGGGGTTTGATACAAGGGCTGTGAATTCGTGATGTTGTAGGTCAGGTCAGTTTGCTCGATGCTGCGGGCGCGACCCTGCTGCGAATGAGCTTGATTATGTACAGGGGGAAGGCACTAATCGCGACAATAACAGAGACCTTCCAGGCGAAGCGAACCGATAGGACGAATGTGAGATCTACAGAAGCATTGGTGACCTCGTGGATGTTATACCCGACAGGGAGGACTCACCGAAATACTCCGGCAGAAATGCCAAACTGAGTCCGTAGATGAAGAAAGTGACGATCTCTGATATTACCATATAAACATGCCTGAGAGCGATGAGCACTGCTTCGTCGGTAATAGAGGGGCAGATCGCTCACCATGTCGTGATCTCCAATGCAACCATAATAAGTTCATTCAGGACCAGAGCGGTGAAAGAGATGGACACGATGTTCAAGAACTCGTTCTCGAACAGCACTAGCGACATAATCATGATAGCGGCGCCTTGGTACACGCTGATCATTAACCACATGAAGAACGTCTTGTAGGACAAGACGCGGCCCTGTCGAAGGTAGGCTGAATAAACGCACGTCATTAGAGTAAACGGCGACGTACCTTGACAAGGTCCTTGTACAACTCAGGATAAAGCAGGGCCAGGTCCTCGCTGACATCGCGGTCCAATACGAGGGAGAAGACAGGGGCCATGGTGTAGACGGTAGCATAGCCGGCCATGAGCCAACCCTGGTACAGTGCGATGGGAGCGAAGTAGAAGATGGCTGAGAAGACGGCCTGCATGATCGAGATAATCAGACCACGGTGAATGACAAACTGAGCGAGTTTGGCCGAGCGGCGGTAGGAGTTTCGGCCATGCCACAGCAGGAGCTTCGTGAGGTAGCTGAACTGGGTAACGGAGAAGTCGGCAGCTAAAGAGGCTTGTTTGCCTTCTTTGCCAACAATGCCGACACCTAATTCTTCTGTTAGAGCGACGAATGATACTGGGGAAAACACGGAGCTCACCGACGTCCGCAGCCTGTATCATGCTAACGTCGTTACCACCGTCGCCAATGCAGCAAACGCGCTTCTTCGTGTGGTGTCTGATTAGACGAGCAACATCCGCCTTTTGTGTTGGGGAACACCTGCAAGCGACTACTGCAGAGAGTTTCGTCGCAATCTCGATGAACTCTTTCTTGAACAGATTTAGACACAGCTAACAGACCAAATCAGCGGGTTGCTCTCGGACATGAACAGACGGCACAGACCTGCAATGATTCGCCATCTATCACTAGACAGCAGTCGAGCTTGTTCTGCAGGAAATCCAGCTCGTGTCGTACTTCATCGGCGGTCTTCACTGAATGCGACGTCAGTTGACCTATGATGTGGAATATGAGAAGGCCTACGTTTGGCAACCTGGTGGATGTATTGATTCCTCGCCACAAGCTTGGTAGAAATGGCAATGCACGTCGCCGTCTCGATCTTGTCTCCGGTCAGCATCCAAATTTTGATACCAGCGTTCCGAAGCAGCTCCAGGGTTGATTTCACGTCATCCTGCAGCTTGTCTTCGACACCGGTGAGGCCGAGCAGCTCGAGATCACGCTCCAAGTACTCTGTCACGACGGCCACCATGGCCTCATTGCGGCCCTCGAGACGGATGCTCGCTTCATGGTGCTTCTCCTTGAACTCATTGTATGACTGCTCGTTCAGCTTCTTGCGGGCCATGACCAACGTGCGGAGGCCTTCGCGCGCCATGTTCGCAGTTTCCTCCTCGAGCCAGTCGTTCCGCTGGACAATCTTTGCCATAACGACATCGGCGCCCTTCTGGAGAAAGGTGATCTCCTTGCTCTGTGTGTCGCGGACGACGATACCCATGCGCTTAGACTCGGAAGTAAAAGGGAAAAGCTCGAGGACTTCGTAGACAAGTTTTGTGCCTGTAGGTGTTTGCAGCTCGATGCGCGTGCGATCGCGGAAAGTTAACGTTAAGCCCACGGACTCTGTCCATTTGACGATTGCAACTTCATCTGGAGACGATGCTTGGTATGTAACGGAACCATCATCGTTTGTTACTGGCGTGACCTAGGGTGAAGCTATGAGCAATAGTTACCGTCAGACCGCCATCATGGCTTACATTGTGGCAAAGAGCCAAGCTTAACACGACGTCGTGGACCCTAGATGACATATCTCGGCGACCTCGGTTGGCCAGTTGCACGCCAGTAGTGAGAGAATGCTTCTTTCCATGGCCTACTTAGTCACTAAAAATGAATGGACCAGTCTGACAAGTGAAAGGTCGTTTGACGCACCTCCGTCCGTAGACCCCCCAAATGCGAGGGCAAGCTGGTGAGCGACCTCGTCCATAGATTCAGTTCCATAAGACACAGTGCCCATATGCAGCTTCCTCATCTCCATTTCTGGAGAGTCGTCAGCATGACTAGTCCTCTTAAACCGTTGTTAACGCACCATTCTGAGTCAAAGTTCCAGTCTTATCGCTGAGAAGATATTCTATTCTACCAAGCTCCTCAGGTAGAGTACTTGTGCGTACGATAGTGCCGGGTATCTCTGAGTCAGTCATGATTTGTTGCGCGTACACAGTCTTGCCCATGTCCAAGTTAACGCGCAGACTAGCCAGCCATGAGTTCCAGTAGCATCCACACTAAGTCACTGGGGCGCACCTGATGGGTATAATGGACGAGAACAGGATTAAGAAGCGGAAGATGTAGATGTACCACAGCCCGCGGAAACCATTCAAAGCGACCAGAACGAACGAAAGCGCAAAAGTAACGGTGCACAAGATCTACGGTGAAGCGTTAGGCATATTCGCAAACGTCCTAACAATTACCAACCTTTGCAAGTCGGTTGATCTCGATATCCAGAAGTCCGACCTTCGTCTTCGGGTGGCTTGTATTCATCACAGCACGAGTTTCAGGCCCGGTATAAATGATGAATCCGACAGCAGAACCAGCCGCAAGGACAGTATTGGCCCAGAGCACATTATCCGCGGTCAGGGGCTCGATAGTGGGGACTTGCACCATCGGCACCTCGTTCACCGAATGTGATGGTGGACTATTGACGGTAAATGTCCCAATAAAGGTATGGATATCCTTGATAGGTGCATCGGCTGAAGGCTACTGTCACTAAGGCATAGGGTCACAATGAAAATTAATTTACCGTAAATTTCCGCATCCAGGGAGAACAGTTCTTCGTCGTTGTGCAACTTCTGGCATGTCGGCACAGCAACTCTAAGTTTCCAATCGGTCTCTCCGTCTAGTTGATCTGTACGAATGAAGCATGTTCCGGAGCTGTCGGAAGTGCGCAGCAACACGAGGTCCGCAGGTACACGTTGATTCTTCTCCAGGAGAACAAGATCACCGACCGCTAGTACAGACGAGGGCACAGAGCGCGTATGAGGGCCGCCTTCGGAAGCAGAGTACGCTGATGGCTCGAGGACCAGATATCGCTGTGAGTTTGCCTCGCGGTCGCGTAAATTACGCTTGTAGTCGTCATATGCCTCCTTGCCGATTGTGACGCAGAGGACGAAGGCAAGCGGGGCGATGTATGTCGCAATCAAGCCTATCTTCAGCGCGGGTACGAACTGTGAGAGCGCAACGAGCAAGAAATACAAGTTGAAGAAGAACTTGAACTGCTCATAGAAGACAAGGGGGAGGAAGGTGAAGGCGTTATACTTCTGGTTGCGGACGATATTGGGAGGAAATCTTTTCTGGAATTTCTCTAGAGACACAACACCGTCCGATCAAACAGGTGCGGTGAGTTGACTCATGTCAGATGCGACTCACTCCGGAGACATTGTACCAGTGCGAAGCGCACCTGTGGGATGGAAGGGTATTGTCCGTGATTTGTCTTTCCCTGCTTTATGTCTGTCCGAGCTCGTGCTCCTCTGCACCTCACATCAGACTAAAGCAACATATAGAACAGGATGCACATACCTGTGACGCGGCCTCAGCGTGTACATCCTCGTCTCCCTCGTGTCGGTGGTGCTCTGTTCCGAGCAGGGTCGCCTCCTCGAAGTCGTCCTCGTAGCGATCTCTCATAGCAGTAGTCTGTGCATTTCGGGCTGTTGCTGCCGCTGCTGCTGCTGCTGCTCGTACAGTGATTGGCATATTTCCGCTAGCTTGGCTGTCGCCAGATGCGTGTTCGTCTTCAGGTAGAGCTGTGTATCCGGCGCGAGCCTGTCGGGAACGTTGAAAGTTGCGCAGGGGAATCTCGGACATACACCCAGAGTACGATGAGGCCTGCTCGCTGGAGCCAGGCCAAAGCCTGAGTCGGCAGAAGGTTGTTTGGAGCGGAAAGTACCTGATCAGTGGAGGTCACTGCCAGAGTGCATTATTGGCGCTATTTCTCCGATAGCCCGGGTTATCATGTAGACATACCCCTTAATATCCGCGGGATAAAATGGCTGGTGTAATCGCCACAGCGCCGCTCGCTCAATAGTTCCACTACCTCAGCCGTTATCGACTCAACAGTATCACATTTAGCCCGTGGCCAGCCCACGTACGCGTGCAATCGCAATGCCCTCGTACCCCCGTCCTTTCCCGTATGAAAAGGCCCTCGCGGCCAAACGTGTCCCAAAAGTTGGCGGTCCACGAGTGTAGCGATGTTTATTCCAACCATATTCTAATCGGCTTTCAAGCTCAAGTCCGGATCCTCCCAGTCTCTAGCTTGCTAGCCCGACTTCTCAGTTACATGAACGATCTCCCCCACCCTCCCGGCTATGATACGTTTGTGGAAAGCCTGTCTGCCAGGATTCCCCTTCTCCGCCACTGGATTGATCATCCCTTTGGAGCGGCAAACCTCGACAGAGCGGGGCCGTCCGTGGATCTGGCTATCTGTGACGTGGACACCAGTGTATTCTGTACTCCGCTGAGTCTATAACAGCCCTCGGAAGCTCCAGGTCGGGCAAGTCCAATTTGCTCTATGCCACTGCCTCGCATTCGCCGAGACTACCTGTGATGCATGGACAGGTGTTTATTATCGCGTCCGGGCCGTCCTCGTCAAGTCAGAAACACTCAGATCCTCAGGTGCCGTGGTAGGCTTGGTCCCCCAGCACGAGTGCTGTCTGCTGCCTAAGGGCTTGACAGGTACTGCGCCATCTTTAGCTTCCAAATCCTGACATCTCTGACCAGTCAATCAGTGCAGGCAACGCTAATCGTACTCGTTTCCCAGCCAGTTTTAACGGCCGACTCAAAGACTCGAAGTCAAATGGTGCGCCGCAAGATCGAAGAACTGAGTCTCGCTGGTGCTGCAAACATCCTCGCGGGGGGAGCGGCTCAGGAAGCGTTGGGGAATAATCTTGCACTCAACGGGTACGTACTGCCAAACGTTTAAGGCATGCATGTGTCAGCTAGTCTCCATGCACTGACCACGCGACAGCATGCGGAATATGTACGGGAATGCCATTATGCTGGTCCAGGTGCGGTGGTCTATAATACCGTACGTGTTGTACGTGTTGTACGTATTGTCCAACCGAATGTTGAAATGAACGACAGTCGGATGATTTATTGCGGTCAGCAATTGGAAGACCTCTTGCCTTACTTGACGACAACGAGGTATAATTGCCCATAATTCGTCCAATCTCGCTGTTGACCTTATTCCTGCCAATGGTCACTTTCTAGGCAGAGTGACCTTGTCAGCCGCCTTGCGGAGGACCCCTAGAATCTCCGTACGTGCGATCCAAAGAACTCGAGGAACCATTTCGACAACATCTTGGGCGGGCTAACAGTGGATAAAGCTAAACTCGGTCGCCACAGCAGATACCGACATGCTATGTCGTGTATGCTTAACTGCTTGATCGGATGTTTCGTAACACGTGGAGGCAATGAGCCGCATTTCGCCTCCGGTGTGTTACAGTCTACCCTCTTTGTTCGGAAACAACTGACAATCACACGTCTTCGTCCAGCTGCCACCCGTAGGATTATCGTTCTTCCTGTTCTTTCTCCGTCTCACAAAGGATCCACATGGTGGGCAAAACTGCATTGTCATCGTCGCCGAACGTACTTCTATTCTACCTTTCGTCGGCTTGTTGAACGTCGTCACTCCCCGCAGCCTTCAGCCCCTTCGCCATCATCCCTGAGATTTTGCATCACTGGGCTTCACGCTCCTCGTCAATGTCGCGACAGGCATGCAGACAACCGCGAGGATTCTCCACAAGTCTGCGGCCACAATCTGGATGCAACTCAACTTTGGCAAGTGCGTCGGCGTCGTCTTCGCGCCAACTTTTGACGGAGTGAGCCTCGCGGTCTTAACTGTCTCACTGTTCTTGAGGGCGGCCGCGCGATTGAGTGGCGTTTTCCCTCCGTCTGTCGTGACGTTTTTTGCTGATACGGCTTGTCAAATAACTGCTCCGCTCACTTCTGATCAACGAGATGAACGGCTCAAATTCAAGTGTTCGCCAGCGAGCTTCTTGAGCGAAGGATACGATACATAGATGTAACGCACGAGCAAGTTCTATGAATTTTCAGGTTCCATGGCTGAACTCCTAGGCTCTTGCTCATATTCCTAGCGAACACTCTGTCGCATGGCATCTGCTCGCTTGGGTTCTTCTCGAAATTCGGTAAGCAAAGTCCGATCTAACCGAATGTAGCATGGTGCTAATCACCAAAACGCCACAGGATGTGTTTTGTTTTGCAGCATAGAACAGGCATAGACATTGTTTAATGTCTGTCCTTTTCATCTCGTTTCAAACGACGTAGCAAGTGAGACCGGGAGCTTTGCCTCTCGCGCCAAACCGCACTCCGTTCCGCTTTCAATCCGACGGCATTAATGAGCTACGTCTCAAAGCTCCAAGAAGGGGAACCTCGGTCGACGGTGCCAGCGAGACCCATGAGGCTTTGCGTTCACAGCTTCTGCAGTGCGACTACGGCGCAGGCTCATGGGCTTTAAGACATAACGCTTTGCACCACGTTCTGTGACCGCCTATCTGCACAAGGCGCAACAAATTCATACTCGCCAATGCCGGTGTCAGACTGGATGTACCCCTGTTATCTCAGCGACAAGTCGCATATGCCTGCACGGGCGTTAGTGGTTGCGGTGTCTGGTCCATTCAATGCTTCTCCGTACTCACATGGGCATCCGCGAAGAATATGGGCAAGTGCCATTGCATGGTTGCGCAAGCGGCAGCTACGTAGGGGGTACGGCGTTGTGGCAGTGCGTATGAACGCGTCGGCATCGTGTAAATTCGAAGGCCATAAGTGTGAATGTGTGAGTAAGGTAGGCGTATCAACTAGAAGCGTGCTCACGAGATGGAGGCTGTCAGTGGTGGGAGTAATGATTTCTGAGACTCGAGGATCGAGCGTACTAGGTGGCCCGGTGACGCCGAGGAAGATGTTTGTGCGGGGCTGCGTCTTCCGCTCATAGAAATTGTACACAAACAGGGAAGGCCACGCAGTGATACAGGTTCACGAGACGTGTGCAGTATAACAGGGTTGGCATGTGGACATACCTGAGAGTTTTGAGGGACGAATAGAAGACCGCAGCTCCTCTGATTCTTCGTTGAAAATAGTATACATGGGTCGTGAATAGGACGAGCTCGCCGCGGTCACACGAAAGCACTACGAACGTTAGACCCTTCTGCGAGCTTCTAACGAGACGCTTTCTCGAGGGACCCTAGCCATGACACGCCAGTTGCCATGTTAATTGAGTCAGCATGAGGCATGAATGGGTAAGCCTGACGGTGGCTTGAATGTCAAACGAAGGTGACATCGTTTATTGAAAGCTGTTAGTAGTCATCCCAAGGTCACCGGACAGAAAATGACGACTGGGGAGCTCATAACTGCTGAGACGTCGGGTACTGAGTTGTCGAGTTCGCGTGCTGCCAGCTCGGCGAGGTGACCCGAGAAGCTCGCCGCGCGTTCCGTTATCGTCCCAGAGACCCTTTTCTAATACCATGGTGAGAGAGAACGAACCCGTGCACAAAAGTGTACGAAGCCGAGATCGTACAAGGCCAGCAGCGACCAGATCAGCAGGCACGAGGTGTCAGCTGAGTGCAGCTGTCAAGGCTGCGCAGCGAGACCAACGTTCCACGGAGAACGGGCCAGCAATACGAACCCAATAAGACTGAAGTGATCCAGAGCTCTTCACTTGAGTTTTGACAGATAGAAACCACGATCATTTGCGGGAGGAGGATGTACATGGCAAGTCTGTGCCTACGACCGCTGAGAGGACGGGAGGTGTATACCCGGCGGCCAGACCGTGGCAACAGAAGCATGAGCATAACCAGCACGAGCGAATCCAAGAGCAATCACGTTGCGTTCCTCGTACTTATATATACGCTGGCTATCTGTACAGTGCTTCGATATTTTATGACATACACAGATAGGCGAACAGTACGACTTACGTGTGTGGATGCACTCGGGCTGACCTCGCACATTTGTCAGAAGAGAAAGAACTCAGACGTCACTTCGACTGAGTGACGGAGAAGGTTTAGAGGCATCACCATACCTCGTACACTCCTTCATATCTCTTCATATACCAGGGGTTCGGGTTATCTGGACAGGATGCGCCAAGTGGCGAACTGGGACGGATTCGTTTACTCGACCTATGACATTGAGTGACCCCCTTGAGGTGCTAGGTCGGTCCACGGACGACATAGTCTGGAAAACTGCCCGACTGTGTTTCATGAGCCTGTGTGAGTATGCAGGGACGCTGCAAAGACGAAGAGTCCAGCCAGGGAGGAAGTGCGTTCACGTGACTGGTTTACCACGCCGTTCAGGCGCGGTTCTCGTGTGTTGCGTCCCGCGAATGTTGAACATTGAAGAACGTTGAGCGTTGAGATACGGCCAAGATCTCCTCTACCTTGTTCCTGCTTCTTCATCGCCTCTTTTCTCCTATACGACGTTGAGGAAGGCTCATACAACGAAGTCAGGTGGCGAATTGTCGGCTTGTACATGTCGTAATTGCCCAGAAATGACAGTGATCCTCGCCATGCCCTCGTCTTAGAAATGTGAATGAACTGGCGTCCAAGCCTTTCAAGTCCGGCGGTTGTTTAGGTCAGCAGCTCCTTTACTTCATCCAAGGTAGCTCTCGTCTGGCGCACACAAGCTCTAGACGGGCCGCTTGGCGAACTAATGTTCCTGCGAACGCCAAAGACGAGACCCTCGGCAGTTCGATTGACGCTTCGGTGGGGTTTCAGCCTGGAAGCTCTCCAGACCCTCTCAACTTCGCCCGAAGAGGCGACATTAACCCAGGAACCCTGCGCATCATGGGACGCCATCTCGAGCGCAGACTCTATCGCGCTTTGGTGGCCGCTTTGGACCGGACCCGGTCCTGAGATATTCACGGCGTTGACATCGAGTTTGTTCTTGAAGCCTACACTTCCCTCTGTCCTGCTGACTTGCCACACCTGGAAATTCCTCACACTCGTGGTGTTACTCACAGCCCTTTACCGCTAGGGTCCCCAGGGAAGCGCCAGCCTATCTTTCCGCTGACCAGCAACCTGGCGGATAATGTCGATACGCCAGCGGAACCTCGGATCACTGCTGCTGCTAGACCGGTATGTGTGCGCCTTTTCGACATGTTATGTCTCATACTCCAAGCCATCTGTCAGTCACAAGCTCTACATTCCCTATTCGGGTCTGTTCACGACAGTCTCAACACCGATCCGCTGACTTGCTTCAGACGAGCTGCTAGGCCAACCTGCTTCTTATTCTAACGATTTACAACGTGCATCGTTTACTGCGCGCATTCACCGTGTTTCGACAACAGCCCGAAGACTTGCTTATTCTCTGGCGAAAGCCGCATGTTACGCTGGACTTCGTCCTGTTGTGCTGTTGCAGCCCTCGAATACGAGTCTCATCGTTGATGCGCTTTGAGCCTTGCTGCCCAAGCGTGTTCCCAATGTCTATCTGCCAATCCCTCCACATACCCATGCCGGCATAGTCTGCGAGGGTGATGGAGATCGTGCTGGACACCATTATACCAACTGGGTTCTAGTACACTTGTGCTTGCCTCGTTGTATTCATATCCTGGACGCTTCTATGTGTGCCTATGCTACCGTACAGCTACGCCCACAGTGCCTTGTCTCCTGACCAGCGTACACGTGACCTGAGTCTATTACTTTGCGTTCTGTACCGACATCGATAACACTGCTGTTGCTTATCGGATCTCTCTTGGCCGTCTGCTTGTTGTATAGAGGCACACAGAGGCCCATCTGTCGCTGCCTTGAGGCCACCCTACCATGCCTAACGCCCCGGTGAGAATGGACATTCACGATTATAGCTTCGCAATTACTGACAATCGGCGTTGCAGACGGAGTTGGCGGAGTCCGGCAAGTCTACTTCTCTGATATGCAGAAGACACGCATACACACAGTTCACAGCTTCGGGCTTGTGGGGCACCGTGACTAGGAGCGGTACTAGCTTCGAGAAATCAGAACTCACCTCGAAATGAGCTCGTTACCACCGGAGCCGCCGACACTTCGCACTCAAGGGTCTCCAGCTTCCCCGTTCAATACACCGGGTTTCATAGGGTGTGTGCGTGGCGTTGCATGTGAGCTGGGGTGCGTTCCCCAGCACAGTCCATCGCGAGCTTGCTGAGTGTGCTGACTGTCTTCCGAGGCTAGATGCACTCCGGCTTCTGCGGCTGGACACTTCATTAAAATTCTTTCAGGTTTCACCATTAGAGTCGCTGGATGCCGCCAGACAAGCTGTCGGATGTTTCGATCAGGCTCACAGCCAAGGGCACAAGGATTTGCAACTCCTCCACGCCAGAGGGTCCTCGAAATAGCTGATGGAGCATGGTGCAATTCGCCTCGAGGCAGCGTCCCATCAATGTGCACGATCCCGTGACTCTCGGACAAATGACAGAGCCAATCTGAGCTCGGCCGTTGAGGGCGGCTCGGAAAATTGGGTAAGGAGAAATGAGCTGTGATAGGTACTAGGACATCCGTCTAGTGGCTGCCACCAGTATTGTGAACATATACGGGCTGCGGAGCGACTACTGGCGCGCGCGGCGTGCTAGCGGGAGAGCCACCATCAGTGACCGCTGTCCGCTATTTGGAATGAGAAGCAGCTATCATGGGTGCGCCTGTTGTTTACTGGAATTCCAACCTCGCCCACGCATTGATGGGTCCCATACAGCTTGAGAACAGGTCGATTGTACGGTCCCAATGCTGAGCTGTTTACGTTCAACTCGCTCCAGGGTGGGCGTCGAGATTGATGCATCAATCGTCTTAAGTGCCTGCAGCCATCCGCCTGCCAACTGTGCGTCGTCTTCAGCGCGCCTGCACGACAGCTCGGCGGTGGCGAGGCCGCTGAGTATGCCACCAGTCTGCCAAGCATCCATCAGTCTCAGACGGGCATAGCTTCTGTGCGAGCGGATGTCCGGGTGAAAATCGGCTGTAGACTCCATCGGCCTCACCACCGTGCCTTCGTCGACTTTGAATTTGCAGCCGCCGCCGCATGCAGGGACTTCCTCAATGGCGGGGTCCACGTGTGTGGTGGGTGCTGCATATTTTAGGCACCGACGCTACGGACCGCGTCTACAGCCAGCGGCCGCGGCTGAGCCATCAACGACGACGGCTGTTTCGGATCGGACCTTGTGCCAGATAGGACGCGGGCGTGTAGGAGCGCATACGGTTAGGCAGGGAAGACAAGGCGGGGTAAGTCGCAGCATTTGTTCGCAAGGGCCGTATCTCATCACAGTCACCCTTCTCCGAAAGGTTCGAAGCATCTCAGCGCTCTGGCAGTAGAGGGCTGCCTCAAGGCTGGGACCGCAGACACCGCAATTCTCAAACCTAGCTTCTTATTCCCGCCGGCGCGCGGGCTGACGTCTGTACCATACTGCCGCTTTCGGATATTCTACGCACCACGTTCTTGCTCTCTGTTTTATTAGCCCATTTTCCCCATTTTTTATTCGCCCTACTACGCCTCAGGAACGAGGTGCGTGCCTCGTTGCGTGTCTCCGACAACTGGGCTCGCAACCGTGTGGCATGACTAGCTGAATTTGGAGCTGTTTCACCAGGTCTAAACTTGAGGGGACCAGGAAATTCGGCCCTTGCATGCGGACGGCCGGGCGGGCGAATCTGACCTGAAATTGGGCGGATCTCCAAAATTTTCCGAGATATTACTTTAGGCGCCTAAATGGCGGAAGGGCAGCATCTTCGTCCCGGATAACTTATAACCAGCCCAACTCTCCACTTGTTTCGACGTTTCCCCCATCCTGCTTGCCACGTCCGACAGTAAATGCCCTCCATCCTTAACCTCAAGTTCAAAGTCTGTGCTTTTGTCCGACAGTTGTGCTCCTGAGCTCACCAATTGTTTCTTCGTTTGGAATGACTCGCGTAACTACAGGGGAACAAGTCCTTCGTTCCTTTTAGCAACTTGGGCGATACCGACTCATTGACTAAGACATGGAAGGTACGTGTCCTTAACTTTTGAGGTGTTGCCAAGGTAGTAAGCCTGTCGCAGGTCTGCACGAAGGTCGCCAGTTTCCTCGAGCAGGGTCAGCGTCTCGAGAATTTGAGCTGGCGGTTGTGGCATCTCCAGAACCTCATAGTCGACAGCGACAATGCAAAGTCGAAGCGAGAGTTCCGTAAGCTGTCGAAGTGCATGAGTGACAAGTTAGATAAGGAGAAAGGACGGTGAGTCGTTTTACAGCGCCACCGTCGGGAGGCGCGCTTAAAGTCGACTACGACGACTAGGAGCATTGAAGAGCTTCAGGCCCCTGGGTTCCGCCGCAACCACTCGACAGACATCATCCAGCAGCGCGCTCTCGAACGCGAGCGTGAAAGGGAGGCGAACCAGAACCGCAACGGCACGCTCCACCGTATGCAGTTCACCTTCAGCGTCGACCAGCCTACTGCCCCTGCGACCTCGATGCCGTGCCAGAAGCCCGACCTCAAGCCTTCTGCCGAGTTCAGGGACAACAAGCGAGGACGCCCAACTACTCGTGCATTCAACGTCGACAATGACAATAGTACGAAGGACCAGCCGCTCACTCAGCGCGGCCGCAAGCACTCATCTGCTGGGGTCGACAGCAACGCCAGCGACGCCATCACGACTAAAGACTCTGCATCCCTCCAATTTCCTTCTCTCTTTTCCTCCGATTTTGGTCCATCTGCTCTACTGTATCCATCACCCACTCTCACGAACGTCATGACCTACGGCGAAGGCCTTAACACCAACAGCAGCTCAGACGGATTTTCTATTCCCCGTCCGACCATCGAACTCCCGCTCGACGAGATCCTCAACGCCGACAGCCCTGGCGGCTGGTCAGTAGTGTTCAACGGTTCCGAGGCTCGCCAAAGCAGCGAGTCAACCTTTACTTCTCAGGAAGAAGATATGAAGCCTGCAACAAACGATGCGGAAACCACCGCCTCTGCTCCCACATATGACGACCATCCGCATGAGGACGAGTCGATGGTCTCGTCCGCGAGCGCGCTACGCGCCGTGCCGCACATCGTCGAGGATCTCGTGCCCCGGACGATCACGCCGTCCCGCCTCGGCCCGAACCCTGTGCCCAGTGCGACCCCAGTCAACGGTAAGCGGCCGTCGCTCAGCCTGCGCACTGCGAACAGTTCGCGTTCGTCGGGTCCTGGTGCGACACCTGTCAACTCGACTACGAACACCACCAGCTCTGCCCCTGGTGGTGTCAAGGCAGAGTGCTCTAACTGCGGCGCTACCCACACTCCGCTGTGGCGTCGCGGTCTCAACGATGAGCTCAACTGTAACGCTTGCGGACTCTACTGTAAGCTAGTGAGTGCCAGCTATCGTGTGTCCTTTTTTGTGTTCTCTGACCCGCATTCCCGCTATAGCACAAACGCCCCCGTCCCAAGAGCATGCGCAACAACCACGGCGAGGGTCGTTCACAGACTGCTCCTCGTCAGGAGTCGCAGGAGGTTGTCGCGCAGTGCTACAACTGTCACACCACCGCGACGCCGCTCTGGCGCAAGGACGACGAGGGCAAGACCGTTTGCAATGCATGCGGTCTCTAGTAAGTGCGGCCTTTGCTGTCTATGTACATGCATGCTAATTGTTTGTCGCTCGCAGCTACAAGCTTCATGGCTCGGCTCGTCCGATCTCCATGAAGTCTGATGTCATTCGCAAGCGGGCACGCCACGATGCTCGCCGTGCTAGTGGCAACACCTCCGAGACTCCGTCCGCCAGTCCTGGGGCCAGCCGCCGCGCCTCTCCCGAGGGCAACATGCCAACCCTCGCTCCCGACTCGACGACTCAGTCCAGTTACAGCAGCGAGGATCAAAATGAGTATCTCCCGCCGACTCAAACAGAGATCATGAACGCGTTCGCGAATCTGGCTGCGCAGAATCAGCATAACGGTCAAGTCAACGGTAGCGGCGCGAACGGCGGCGACCACGGCAGCAACGGCTACTCGCAAATGCCAACTTACTCGCTATCGTACCCTGGTCCTTACCACCCTGACCAACTGGCGCAGATGTACAACATGTCGGCCGAGCTCCAGTACCCTGACGCCTCTGACTATGACGTCGCTGAGCAAACACGGTCCACGAAGCGTCGCCGGATGAGCAACGATTCTGAACCGCCGTCGTCTGCCACGACTTACAGCTCGTACAGCACTGACTCGTATTCGTCGGCGTCATCGACGTCACACTCCTCGCAGCGATCGTCGTCGCTGGATTTTAACTTCTTCTCGAGCTACGGTGGCATGTTCCGGAACGCTACCCACCAACAGCACCACCAGGGAGCAGCGGCGGCCTCGGTGAGCCAGCACGCCAACGGCTGGCACCCGCCGATGCTTCCCCCGCATAATTCGCCGCAGTTTGTCCACCCGCCAATGCTTCCGCCGGACGAGTCGTCGATGGACTACCTGCAGACGCTGCAGCACGATGACACCGAGTCGCTCTTCAACGCATACTTGCACCCGCCGATGCTGCCGCCGGGCCCGGAGGACTCGCCGAAGAACGCGCTCGGCTCGCTTCTACCTCACCCGCCGATGCTCTCGCACGAGTGGAGCACTGCCTACGACCTTCACGACACCGCGATGCAGGCCTACTAGACATCGATGTCTCGACTCGATGTTCTCACGGTTTCACTCCCCTCGCTCGGACTCTTCTGGTCTCGGACGATCGTCATCTAGCTTTCGCACAGTATTCTGGGTGTTTGTCGTAGCAATAGTTTTCGTCGCGGCTCCTGCTTAGACCGTCACACTGCATAGCATCTCAATTCCGTCTTTCATCGTCGCAGCAATCATCAGCATTTTCTTCTCTTCTCCCTATTCCCTCTCATCTCGCACCACGTTATCTTCCGCCCACATATATCCATAGGTGTTCTCTTGTCCGTCTCTTCTCCCGTCCTTCTTCACACACACCTCTGTATCATGACACCAAGCGAAGGGCTTCGCAGATCAAGCCCCAAAACCCGGTAGATATTTAAACTGTGGGTCGCAGTAATGTTATCGTAGTCCTTAAGAGTTCACTTATTTTTGTGCTCTCCGTACCCGCAAAGCTGTAAACTCTTCTGTCTTACAACGACGCTTTTGTGCAGCAAGCATTCTGCGGATCCATGTCCGCGCATCTCAAATAAGCTTGAGATGTCAACTGGTGACGAGCTTGCTTCTATGTTACAGTCTACATGATGATTCTCGAGTGAAATGTAAGCCTATAGTCGGCGTGGTCCAGCTGTGTGTAGGGGATTGACCAAGGTTCAAACGTTCAACTTTCAATGCCGCCGACAGAGCAGAAGCGTTTTGACCTGCTCTTCGCCAGGTCTGGCACTCATACGAAAGTTAGAGTTCGCTGTCCGACCCGGTGTAGAGCACCGGTCCAACGAAGTGAACCTGTGGCACAATGCTACTCCTCCAGAGACTCTATAGAAGATAGACGAAGAACGTTCGCGAGGCGCAATGCTGCCGACTCAATTGTGATAACGCTGTGCGGTGTTTCACCGCATGGTATCTTCCCAGCAGACCCATCGAAGTGACTTCATAAAGCGACGAGCTCGGCAGCGCGGTATCATCGCTCGATGATTCAGGCAGAGTGTGATGGGGGCGTCCTTGAGAACCTTGTAGTCTCGGGTACCTCTCCGGCTGTTCGGGGCACGACTTGCCTGCGTGTATGCAAGCTCGATGTCATGATACGACAGAGTCGGGGTGTTAGAATGCAGACCCTTGTAGGACAGGATGTGGCAGTGGTAAACGATAGATTGGCGACGGGGCGGTGTCCAATATGTACAACGAGACCGCAGACATCATAGCGCTATACGTACAACGTGTGCGCAATACCGCACTTGAATGGCTACGGCGTCCCCGGCGGAGGAGCTTGGAGAAGGGGTGCAGTCTATGGGAAGGGGGTCTTTGTCAGCACTGAAGTACCTTATGCAGCAGAGACGATCCCGGAGGAGTAACATGGCGTCAGAATGTGGTAAAGACGTATCGACATCGTTTGTTAAGACAGGGATAACTGAATGATTACTTCTCATCACAGCGAAATTGACTTCGTCTGGGCGAAGCGAGATGAAAGCGAGTCAGGATGCTCACCTCCACTGTGACCCCGGAAAGTCGTCAATCGCTAGCATCGCATAAGATTCCTAGCACACCGGTTTGCTGTCGGCGAGGCGAAGGAGGCAACAAAGATAAACGAAGGTGAGAGCCAGGAAGAAAATGCGCAAGATTTAGGGCAGGTTGACGCATGAGCCGGGGTAATAATGAGGGCTGCAGTAGCTTACTTACCAGGTAAGTATAAATCCTTACTATGAGCTTACCAGGTAGTGACTCTAGTATTACTGCTCGTTCATCCCGCCCACCTTATCCTTGACTTCCGTCCTTCAAGCTTCAAACCTCGGCTCTCTGCGATATGTTCATCTCTTCCTCGCTCTGAGAGAGCTTTCCGAGAGAACTTAGTGCATATGTTATGCGCAGCCGGATGTGGCTGTTCCGCGAGTGGGCTGAATCGACCTCAGGCTCCGTTGTGCGGAAATCTGGTTCACTGCACGCTGTGTCCCGTGGTGAACATAAAAAAGATGTGGATACCTGGTTCGCTCCAAGGCCTTGCACCTGACGAAGACTTCTGCTGGTGCGAACTCCATATTGACTGCCTGGCTAATGGCTGTGTCCTTCTCAGGCCCGTAAGGTTCCCGCGAATGAAATAGTTTCATTTCCGCCTCCAGCGTGCTCGAAGGCATGGGCACGCCCGTGCACCACTCATTGTCGATCGTGCACCATATGCATGCTGTCCTCCGCTTTGGCGTCGTGTTAGCAAGCCCGGGTGGATGTTCTCTGGTTTGCCCATTGCCGGGACCATCTCCTATGGGGTGCGTTCTTTGTGCGTGTTGACGAAGATACTCCTCTATTCAGAGACACCCCTCGAGCCATGGGGTGTAAAATCAAAGTTGAAATGAGTACGGATATCTGCCTTACACATGGCCCGAGCTCCAGCGCGATATACACCTCGATCGCTGCACACAATCTTTGTCGCAGGATGGTTTCACAGCTATGTCAGAAGACTTGTTTCCGCAGGCCGAACTGCACCAGACTGCACCCTACGGAAGCTGGTCGCAATTACACGCGCGATCAGACACCGTATGACATCGACCACGGGTTACGAATTAGCCACTGCGTTCACCGCGAGATATATTATCGACTATGCTACGTGTGTCACCTCCTAGATCGCTCGTCAGCTGAGCATCTTGTGTAACAGGGGCGCAGTGTTCAATATAAATGGTCTTGTCGATTGGGCACAGGCCCCTGCCGCTGTCCTCGACTTTCGCTGTGCATATCGAGTTATCTGCCATGGCACCTGTCGTCGAAATCGTCTACATCCCCTCATCGGAGAAGTATCGCAATGATTCGAACCTCCTAGACGACGTCTGCGAGTACACGAAGAAGGCAAAGGGCTGTTTGGGGTGAGTCTCGCAGCGGCAGTATAACAGTCATGCTGACGAAGGAATGACAGTGTTTACCACGGTCTACAACATGAGGACAACAAAACGCTGTATCTGGTCGTTGGTGCGTCGAGCTTCAGACCCTTTGCATACTCCTTGTCTGACCCGTGCGCCCCTAAGTATGGGAGTCGGTAGAGGCTCACTATGAGCTCATCAACGACAAAGTCATATACCCACAGCTGCAAGAGAAGCTCAAGCCCTGCGTCGAGGGCGGCTCGCTGCACGTTTTGAACATGTTCCACGTCCCCTTGAATGCGTCGCCCGCACCGGCTCTGAATGCCAAGGCCACGTCCTTCGCGCACATACACAAGCTCGGCAGCGGCAAGTCGTTCTCGGACATACAGCCGCACCTGTCGCAAGCATCGGCGGCGAACGGCGTCAATGGCGCGCACGGAGGGGCGTACGGAAAACTTGTCGAGCGTGACGAGTATGTCGCGCTCATCGGCTGGGACACCGTCGAGGTACGTGGATAATTTTCTTCGCAGACCGGTGGTGAATGTGCCTCACGCTCCATGCAGCTTCATCTCAAAGCCATCAACGACAACAGCGCTTTTGCGGACGCTGTCAATGCGGTTCGTGGAATCGCAAGTGAGATTACCGTCAAGCATGTGGAGCTCAAGACGTACTTCGAATACGAGAAATGAATATAAGTATCTGTCTAAGCAAATAGGCACTCTCCAAGGAAATGAAATATGGTTTCGCTGAAATGACATGTTTCGTCGCCAGCGTTAAGCGTTGCTTCAGCAGCTGCGGGCATGGTGGCACCGATGAGTTTCCTAAAGGACACTGGCAGCGGTGCCGATATGCACTGATGTCTGCATATTCATCCACCCCGCTCTCTCATGTCCGATGCGCAGCCGAATTCATAGTACCCTCCACAGATAAGTCTGCATTTAAGGGTGTCTGACCAGCCTGGCTCATCCGAGCCTCAGACAGCCAGCCCAGGCATGAAAGGGGTATGCCAAGTCTCGCCTGGGGTGTGCTTTGTCGCGAATCGTCTCGTGACAAGAAGTGGCCGGGTGGCCACCCTTCCCCGCATCATCCCCCGCGCCGTTAGCGTCTAATTGCGTCGGGGGCGGGACGCGATACACGCGCCTGTTTCAGCAGGCGCCACGAGGGCGAACGCCGGCAAACGCTGCCTTTTTTATTAGCTCTCTTCCACACAAGAATGGGCTTTTCCCTCGACTACGACCCTCTGGAAGATCCTGATCTTGAGCCTGTAGGAAAAGCGGAAAAGCGCAGACCGCTTGGGTGTGCCTTGTCCATCACAACTGGTGCATCCTCGTACGGACAACATCGGGCGTACCTTCAACCACGCGCCAAGATAGATGGACCTTCATCTCATGATCTCCGTGATTCTTTTGAGAGACCGTCGGTCCGCCCGAACCGTGCCCTGCACGTTGCAGAGATGCCTGTTCTCTTGCCGGTGGACTTGGACCAGGAGATCACAAGACTGGTTTTTCACCTCGCGAAGCCCATCGGCTGTTGCACGACATGTGTCGAAGTGGAACGGGCATCTGCATGCCCGCCGAAGGTATAAAGGCGGTGGAGTATCCCCGTGACTCGCTCACTTCCTGACCCTCTAACGGCCCCGTGCAACGAGCACGACTACAAAGATGGCACCGTTATGTGGAAGACGGTTGTACTATACCATCAATCTTGTGGCTGGTCTGGCTATCTTCTTGTAAGTCCGTTTGCGGTCTTGTTCATCGTACATGTGTTCTCAATCTCCCGATACAGCTTCGGTTATGACCAGGGCGTCATGGGCGGCGTGAACACCTCCCCAGATTATGTTACGACTATGGGACTTGGCTACTCCACGTGAGAGCACATTCATTCACGGCCTTTCTCTACCCGTTCTGACTCACATCTACAGGTATGCTGGCCCTTCTGAAGGATATGTTGCGACCATCACGGAGCCTACCAAGCAGGGAGGCATTGTCAGCATATACTACCTAGGAACTCTTATTGGATCGCTCATGGGAGGAATCGTCGGTGACAGGTGATTCCTTTGGGATTCTGGAGGATATGTTCGTTGCTTACGCTTTCGTAGGATCGGACGCAAACGCAGTATGATGCTGGTACGTTTCCGGTGTCCGAGTGAAGTTCATATTCTGATATCTTGCAGGCCGCCGCTTGGGTTTGCATTGGAGCTGCACTCCAGTGCTCTGCACAGAATGCTGCTTGGTACATTTCCCGCAGTCCACCCACTGTGCTCTTCGAACTCACAATCTCGCTTTAGGATGCTCTGCGCTCGTGTTATCAATGGCATCGGTACTGGCTGTCTGAACGCTGTCGTTCCAGTCTGGTCCGCCGAAGTTGCCACGCACACTTCAAGAGGAGCGTTCATCGCTAGCGAGTTCACATTGAATATCTTCGGAGTCGTCGTTGCGTACTGGATGGAGTTTGGCCTCGGATTCGTCGGGGACGGTAATACGCAGATTCGCTGGAGGGTATGCAGGTTCAGCCTTCCATTTCATGTGTGATGCTGACTTCTCTTGCAGTTCCCTATTGCTTTCCAGATTCTGCCAGTCTTCGCCTTCTTAGCTTGTCTTTCGACCATGCCAGAGTCGCCCCGATGGCTGCTCAAGATGGGCCGTACCGACGAAGCTCGCACGATTCTTAGTCGCCTGCGCAGTGAGACAGGCGACCTAGAAGATCCTACTGCCGTCGCAGAGTTTGATGACATCGTCGCGGCTATCGCGCTTGAGAAAAAGCACTCGAAGCGCAACACGTATGTCTCTATGTTCTTTGGCCTCCACGATGACGGCAACCTGCACATCGCGCGGCGGGTACAGCTCTCGATCTGGTTGCAGATTGTCCAGGAGTGGGTCGGCATCGCCGCAATCACAGTCTACGCGCCCACTATCTTCGCTGAGGCAGGGTACTCGGCTCGTAAATCGCAGTGGATGAGTGGTCTTAACGACGTACGTCTCCGCGACATGGCCTCGTTTACGCTCCTGCTGATGTTATACTGGCAGATTACCTACATGATCAGCACCCTCCTGGCCGTCGTCACCATCGACCGTTGGGGCCGCCGGATCGGCTTGTACTGGGGCGCCATTGGCCAAGGCATTTCGCTCATCCTTGCCGGCGCGTTCGCGCGGTTGCTGAAGGATCACCCTGAGAAGGCATCGCAGTATGGCGGCGCGGCAGCATTCTTCATCTTCGCATACACTTTCATCTTCGGCGCGACGTGGCTCACGATTCCCTGGGTGTACCCGACTGAGACGTTCCCGCTCGAGGTTCGCGCCAAGGGCAACGCGTTCGGTGTGTTTGGCTGGTCCATCGGCAATGGGTACGTTGTCTGTGCTTCTTCTACGTCAACTAGGGCGCTGACCGAGGCGTGTATAGGTGGCTCACGCTCCTGAACCCGGTCATGTTCTCGCGCATCGGCGAGAACACGCTCCATATCTTTGGCGCGATCAATTTCTTGAGCATACCGATGGTCTGGGCGCTGTACCCCGAGACAGCGAACAGAACGCTCGAGGAGATGGACCTGCTCTTCGCAAGCAAGAGTCCATGGGTATGGGACGAGGAGGAACACTTCGTGCGCCTCAAGCATGAGCGCGCTGAGCTCGAGCACGTCGGCAACTTGAAGCATCGCACGCCGCACAAGGAGGACGCGCACGAAGCCGACGAGAAGAGCGATTTGTAGATGGGAAACAAGTGAAGCCGTCTGTTTCATCTAGAGCTTGCTCTTACCTAGATGGTATATAATATTCATAATTTTGAGCCCTGAAGGCCTGATCGTCGGAAGCATGGAATGATCTCGCTCGCTCGGCTTCGCGCAAAGATAAAGGTGGTATACTCGCTGGTCTACTTTCTCTTTGCTATGATCTTCATGTCAGCAGGCCGCCCGAGAAGTTGGAATGTTTCCACTACTGCTAACTGGTCCAGTTGGCGATCTCAGCGATGCTCGTTGAATCTATTTTAGGTGATGCTCCGTGGCAGCTCGTTCACACCAACATTTACGGGTGCTGAGCGGCCTCGAATAGCAATAGACGGAGCATTCTCAATGGTCGGTAACTACGTCTCCGACACGACGATCTTCTGTATGTAGCTAGAGAATACACAGGCCTCCCTTCAACGGACGTCATATCTCCAAGCCACCATACTGCTCGGCTACAGCCATCAGGACATTACATCGACATGTGGCAAACATGAGGCTGGCTGCCGTTCTGTCTGGACTTCTGTCTGTTTTAGCCTGTCGCATCACTAGCAAAGCCGAATCGGCTGGTCAGCGGTGAACGGGACCCGAGCGTTATCAAGGATAAACGTCGTTTCGTCATCACGTTCGTATGCATAACGTGTAGTTGCTCGAGCGAATGGCACAGATATACGGTTTGCGAGGGTGCCTGAGGCCTGAGCCTTTGTCGGAGTTGTCACAGTTTGCTTCCGCACCGCCACGCATCGCCACGTTCCCTCGCGCAAACTCGCTGGATCGGGGCAAGTGTCTGGAGGAACTCTCCGCCTGGGTATGAAGAGGGCATCAGATAATCGCCTGCAGCGTGGCCAGGGCTGGCAAGGGTCTGCGGCCGCCAACCACGCCCGATCATTCAAATGCAGCTTAAATCACTTTAACCAAGGCCACGATGCACGGGAAGGTCGCCTGCAGCGCGCTCGCTGTCCTGCTCTGTATCCGTCCTGACGACGACGATTGAACTCACTTGCAGGTCATAGCAGGACCAAGCATCAGCCTGAATAGTGGACTTCGGAGTATTTGGGTTGAACCGCAGCGCCCTCCGCCGTCATTTTGACGCCACTGATTTTCTGCTCGAAACGGAACGTGACGACCAAGGACCGCCATAGGTACTGATGATATCCTATCGTTGCCTGCGGGATAAAGGAGAAATTCTGCACTTTTCTCACTCTTAGCTTGCTCCTCCTAGATCTTCACTGTCCTTCTACATCCTCGTGACACGCGTCCATGGATTGCCCAATTTTGGTCTGGATGCTCTCCTACAACAGGCCGATGACTCAAGAGGTGAGCGTGTGCATATGTCTAACGCCACACTAGCAACTCAAAGTTCGGGTTACGCATTCGCAGGAGTATGACAAGTGCTATAGGACCATACAAATCTGCGTCCCGCACGTCCAAATTCCTTACGCGCCACAGTCGCACGAGTCAATAAGTACGTGAAAAAAAACTTCCGGTAGACTCCGCGGGCCCACTCACGCCACACACCACAGGGCAAATCGTGGCGCAGATGCTCCCGCTGCTCATGATGCGACATCGCCGGATTCCGCGTGCAAAATGGAAGGACTGCAGTAATCAAAATGGCAAGCGCTGGATAGAGCAGGTTGGTTTTCATTCCGGGACTGCGACATGCCTCGTACCCTTCTGTTCCTCTCTGATGTTCTTCCTTGCAGGAGACTGACAACCCAATGAACCCAACACATCGCCTCAAGGCGATGATAGGCTACCACCTCGCGTATGAAGATCGCCTCGTCGGTATGGTCATGACCCAGGGCCGCCAGCGCGAAGTCGTTAATCTCGGCCTCGGTCTCAAGCATCTCTGCACAAGCTCTGCCGAAACGTCAATCTCAGTGTGGGCGGAGTCACAGTACCACAAGGTGTGCCGCCGTCCCGTCTCCTCTCCCTTGTATGGGTAGGCTGAATGACGGACCCCTAGTTAACCCCTCTCGAAATATCATTTATCCTGCCAAATGAGAAACCTGAAGTCATCCTGCGCCGACTCTGTCTCATCCTTGCTCTCAAGCAGGCATACATCAAGGCCATCGGGCAACCAATGGGCTTCGACTGGTCCCGGCTCGAGTTCAACCTCCCCGGTGAGACCGCCCGTGGCGACGGTTACCCTCTCCAGGGCTGGGAATTCCGCATGTGGACTTCTAACATCGGCGTACTGCATGAAAACGGCGAGGTTGAAGAACAGATCTACCAGTGTGCAACGGCGTTCTTCCGCGGCACCGCCGAGAGCAAGTTCATCTGGCAGAAGGACAAGAAGGAACTTGAGGGGTGGGTACAGTACTTGAATGTTGACCAACTGATCACGGTGTTGCCGAAGTTGATGGACTAAGTCGAGTTCTGGTGGTGTAACATTGCTTAGTTCCCTCTGCTTGCTTTCTTCTCTCCCTTCAATACCACCGTCTCCCAGCTATCGACGCTGTCTTCGAGCTTAAAGAGTTACACAGTTTAATCACTAAGTTTAGTTTTTATGAGATCACTAGTACTTGCGACAGGCAGGCTGTGTGAACAACGCAAAGTTAACGTTATCATCCACCATCTCCAGCAATGTCACAACATCACGAATAACGCTCCGTGACAACGCGCGTGACACTTGAGAAGTCGTTGTCACGCCTGTATGATTCATCTCTTGATTCTCTTCATACTCATCTCTACATGCAATTCCACCGCATTTTCATTCTCGGGTACTTGAATTCTCGCGATGATATTGTATAGTGCATAAGTTGAACAAATATCAATCACATTGCTATGCAACAATCGCCGGGGTCAGATATCAGACTGACCGAATCACAGATGGGCTTCGGTTTCAGCGGCTTGAGAAGATACTTATCTAGACCTCAACATCGACCCTCTCTAGGTCTTTACCCTCCCTCTGTGACAGTCTAGGTTGACGAAAGCACCATGGCCGAGCGCAGTACTCCAGAGAAGCAGGCTCGCATTGATATGCAGCGGGCAAGAGAGCAGAGCGAAGTTGACACCGCGTTGGTCCGGGACTTCGCTTATGGTAAGTCCAGTACGCAATCTTACTACGTCGTATGATACTCAGCGATGGAATAGGTGGTCAAGCGCGGTGGGAAGAACATGCGCATGTTGTAGACTTACTCTCCAAGGACCCTACATTCGATCATCGGTATAGGTCCGTGCATCGCTTATACAAGTGGACCCTTATCTGAATCCTTGGTATTCAGAGTCTATCTTACTCGAAAGGAACGATTCAAAGAGTCTCTGAAGCTGGCGAAGAGAATGCATGACCTACAGGACAAGCATGGATGGACGGATGCACAGTTCAGGATGGCAATGGAGAACGTGGGAGAATCGTCTGCATACTCCATGCACTATGTTGGTGCGTGCGGTTCACTGAGCTCCGCCCAATTGTGCTAACAGCTGTCGATGCGCTTCGGTAGCGTTCGAGCCTGTCCTCCGATCGCAGGCTTCCGATGAACTACTCGCGGAATACGGTGCGCTAATCGCCAACCGAGGTCTTTTAGGGTAAGTTTAACCCTAAGTTATCTCTCTATGCACAATTGAACTAGTTCGCAGATGCTACCTGCAGACCGAACTGGCGCATGGGACGAACGTTGGCGGTCTAGAAACGACCGCGACATACGTCCCAGAAAGCAAGGAGTTCGTTATCAACTCACCCACCTTCACTAGCAGGAAATGGTGGATTGGAGCTGCCGGCAAACTAGCTACTCATGGCGTTGTCTCAGCGCTACTCATCCTTCCAGATGGAAAGAATATGGGTCCGCATCTGTTCTTCGTGCAACTGCGATCCTTGGGTAAGTCGCATCTTTCGGGCCCTGCTCTCACGTCGCTCATTTTAGCAGATGATCATCGCACTCTCCCTGGCATCACTCTCGGAGACATTGGCCCTAAAGTATTCGGTGGATTTTCAACAATCGACAACGGCTACGCCGTGTTTGATCATGTCCGGATCCCGCGATACTACATGTTATCCAAATTTGCTCAAGTTACCGAGGATGGCCACTACAGACAGCCGCCCCATTCGAAGATCAGCTATGGCGGGGTAAGTAATGCTTTCGTTCCGCATGTTGACTCTCCCGCTAACGGTGCGGTAGATGTTGTATATTCGCTCGACGTAAGTGAAGCGCACTGAGATGCCTCGCACATTACTCAGCCTGAGAGCAGCATGGTGACAGGTGGAGGATGGACAGCTGCCAAAGGTTGGAACTTCAAAGCACCTTGCAATACTCTTGTTGATTCATATACACAGCCGCGACCATCGCTATACGCTACGCTACTGTGCGTCGACAAGGTAGCGGAACACCTCAGGGCCTCGAGGAGCAGATCATCAACTATCCTGCCGTCTACAATCGACTACTACCTGTTCTTTCTCGCGCATATGTGCTTCTGCTTTTGGGTCGCCACCTCGTATGCTGTATACTGTGTTATTCTTGTCGAACGGTAGCTGACCATTGATTGTCAGGAAAAAGCTTTTTCTGCAATGAATGAGGGGCTTGCACGAGGTGATACTTCGCTCTTGGCGGATATGCACGCCACAACGAGCGGGCTGAAGGTGCTCGTAACCACCGCTGTCGCCCAAGACATAGAAACCGCCCGTCGAGCCCTTGGTGGTCATGGCTTCAGCGACTTTTCTGGGCTGGGTAAAATCTATGCAAACTATATACCTACCACTACGTAAGTGCTCTTCGCTTTGCAGCCCGTACCACTAGTGACGCCATGGTGTTAGGTTTGAAGGGGATAACTATGTCTTAGACCTCCAGGTCGTTCGAGCGGCTGTGAAGGCGTACAAACGTTATGCCTCTGCGCCTCATTCCGACCCTTCCACATTACCTCCGACCGCTCGCTACCTGCGCTTGCTCTCAGAGCAGTCCGCAGCGGATAAAGCGACTGCCGGATGGACAGACCCGCACACCTCCGTGCATCTTCTAGAACAGCGCGCCGCCCATATGATACGCGAGTACGCGAAGCATGAGAACGATCTCGACGCGAGCGCTCCTCAGCGTGTATCCCGGGCTGCTACCGAGGCTTTCGTTGCTGTGCAAGTCGAAAGCTTCATTCAGGAATTACCTTCGCAGCTACCGGACAAGGACGCACATATCTTGAAAGATCTTCTGACTCTTGTAAGTACTGGTACAATATATGTTGCGCCTACATCATTGACAGAGGTTGTAGTATCTGCTAGTCACGGTTGAAGGAGCTCTTGCGGACTTGCTATCTTTCGGCGTCTTTCCAGATTGCCAGCAAACCTTAAACGGAGATCCTACTGGAGACCTGCGCAGGGCCATCAAGCGTCTTGAGCTGAAGCTCTTACCTCAAGCCATTGGGCTCACTGACGCGTTCGGCTTCACCGATTGGGAGTTGGGCAGGTGGGTTCAATCTACACTATTATTGCGACGCTACAGTGGCTCACATTCGCAGCGCGCTCGGCGTATACAACGGAGCGGTCTACGAGGCGCTCTGGGACAGCGCGCAGACCGAGCCCCAGAACCAGACTGACGTCGTCGACGGCTACCAGGTACGCGTCCTTATCTGCCACTTTGGCTCCTGTTCCTGAAAGAGCGTGCATAGGAGTACATCAAGCCTGTGTTGGAGCGAGGCCGCCGTTTGGCGGGACGAAGCGGGGCCAAGCTGTAGGTCTAGGGCTGTCAACGTCGCTAACTTGGATACCTAGCGGTTGTAACATATTCACATCGTTCTGCCTTTCTCACTCCTGTTCCGAGTAAGGAAAATTGGAAATGACATGAAACTCTTGCCTTCAGCAGAACTTGTAGTGCCACACCTCCGCGCACCGCGTCTGTTCTTTCTGACGCTTTGACTCGCTTCCCAGCCCCTTTCCCCATCTGGAAGACTCTCTTGCGGTGGACGTGCCCGCGCTTGGCTGGCACGGAGCCGCTTACCACATGTGAAACTTGCGATCAACGATCCTGCACGTAGCCGAGCTCGGTCGTTGCAAAGTCGGTATCTCCGAGTCGTTGGCATAAAAACTCAAGAGTGTGATGAACAAATGTGATCTTCCTCCGGCCCCCGTTTCTCATCTTCCTGGCGTTCTTTCACAGTTTGAGGGGCGGCGGCCCAACACCATTTGCCAGGTGCAGCGTCCGCAGCCATGGGGATTTTGATAGATGAGGCTGAGATCATTGCGCTCTTTGTGGAAAGCACACTCTACGGTGTGTTACCCTTCACCTACCTGCGCTCGCTTGACTTACCGCCTCGGCCCTAAAGGCATCTTTCTTGTCACGTTCTTCGCGTGCCTGTACACCCTCATCTTCAGACGCGATACGTGCCGCCTGAACGTTCCTATGGTCGTCACCGCCGTGCTGCTCTTCGTGTGTGCGACGATGCACATCGTGACCGACCTCGTGCGCGCGCTCCTCGCCTTCTATACCTACCGCACTGCTCCCGGCGGTCCTGCCGCGTATCTGAGCGACATCAGGCGTGTGACACATGTCCTCAAAAGTGCTGTATATATTACAGAAACGTGTATTTCTGATGCTTTAGTCGTGTGAGTTGTCTGTTTTCGCTCGTAGTCTGTGTACGCGGACTCAGTGCGTACTTGCGTCCGGAAGGTATCGATGTCATGTAGTTGTCAAACGATGCTTTGTAACGCTCTGTCTAAGTCTTATGGTTATAGGGAGTGCTGGTGCGTCCTGTTCTCTTGTCCATCTATACTCACACTGATCAATAAGTAGTCTCTGGGTCTGTATGCTCCTTTGGAACTCTTTCCGCCATAGCTGATAGGTGATTAGGTACGGAAGCATATACATGATTGTTCACTCTTCGAAGCCTCAGAGTTCCATCTTCGACTCGGAGATTGCTCCGTGGATACTTTCCTTCGATGTAATCACTGCAGCGACGAATATCCTTGCCACAAGTACGTTGCTTGATGTTGGATGCAAGGTGTATGCTAAGCAAGCGTTTCGCAGTCTTAATCGCGGTCACTATATGGCGGGTGAATAGGCTTGTAAAGCAATGCTATGAAGCGTACTCGTTGTCTCCTGTGATGTTAATCATCATAGAGTCAGGTGCGGTCTATGGCTTCGCGGTGCGTGCATGTCCATGAAATATGAGTGAAACTCCCCAAGCTGATGTTGCACCATTCAGCTTCTGCTCTTGACGGCGTTCTACACGCGAGAGAGCAATGCGCAATTTATCGTGTTGGATGCTGTGAGTCGTTATTGACCGGGTTCATGGTTAATAGCATCCACTTACCGCCTTCTACCTAGGTACCTCCGCTAATTGTAAGCGGCTCTGGGTGTGCTTGCTGCCTGTGATGAATGCGCTCATTTCTGAATGATAGGGCATCGTCTTCTGTCTCATCATATGGCGAGCCGGTCTACAGACGACTGGCGTATCGTCTGCCATTGGCACGAATGTCCGCCAACCAACATGGCTCTGGACAACCCATCCTGGCATTACGCAGGAGGTTCCCGAATCGATGACGGCTACTGCCCTCGTACTTCCTATCGAAGGCATTCCAGCATTCCCAGATCAGCAGGACTCGGACTCCTACATCCCAGAGAAAAAGGGAGAGATCACTGAAGCCTCTGTAGCAAACGCTGTATAATCATTGATTGCGAGGGCTGGTACCTCAGTTGCCGCTGATATGATACAAACATACAAGTATTGTACAAAGCATACTGGTGGTATAAAGGCGAGAACAGCCGGTACTAACAGGTATACATATATACCAACTAACCGACAGTTAGTTGGCCTGTCGAGTGCGTGTCCAATCGATTATGTGCTGTGCTTCCCAGTTTTTTTGACGACAGCCAGCCTCACTCATCTTCGTCTTCGTCCTCCTCATCTTGCTCTTCCTCGTCCTCGTCGCCGCCCTTCTGTTCGACCTCTTCGTCTTCTTCCTCGTCCGACTCGATGCGCTTGGTGGACTTGGCGGTGTTGCCCTTGGGCTGTGACCTCTTGCTGGACGACTCGGGCTTTGCTGCAACCTTGCTTTTACTCGACGATGATGCCGTAGTTTTGGTCTTCTTAGATTTATTAGATTTAGGGGCGCTGTCTTCGTCGTCGTCGTCGTCGTCATCATCAGACTTGAAACCACCATCGACCTTGGTGTAATCGACGCGGATACCACGCGTGCGGCGTCCGGTGGTCACGACCGTGGCCTCTTCTTGCAGAGCGGCCAGCTCATCTGGAGGACCGCATGCATCTATTAGAGACGTAGTTTCCGGCGTTTGCAGCGCATAACACACCTTCGTCAATACCGCCGTCAGATTCCTCCTCGAACTCCTCCTCGGACTCCTCTTCGCGCTTCGCCCTATTGCCGAGCCGGTTTGCATCGCCACCACCATGAAACAGGCAGACGGGGTGCACTCACTTTTTCCTGCTATTCTTCGTAGGGTCCTCTGCGCGACGCTTCGTTCTGGAGGACATGGGGGCTGAGACGAAAGAGGCGTACACTTATGTAACCCTGAAGCGCGGCCTTTTTGTAGACCCACTGTCTGAAGTGAATTCTAATTCCCAGAGTCCGCAATAGTAGGCTCATTTTCCCCAGGCATTCCTTGGGCGCATATATCGAGGCGAACCTTCAAGCTTCATCTGAGATTGTACAAGCGGTCCGTCACCACTAGCGTAAGCGCGGGATAGACAAGAGACGTCCCAGAAACCGTAAGGGCTGTTGTCGACTATCTTCGCATCTGAGGAACTGGAAGCCGTGAGCCACGATGAATTCGGTCGCTGACTTTCCAAGTAGAGTCTACAGGGAGTTGACAGAGATTCCCTCGTTCAAGTCGGCCCAGTTTCAGGGATCGAATGGTGAGTGACGGTTTCGGGCGTGAGACCAAAACGTCAGCACTTACTCACTATGTACATCGACAGTTATCCGAACAACGACTTCTACGCAGGACCACGCCTTGAAGACTAACAGAAAGACAGTGAAGACATTCGTTCTGAGCACCGACACGGTACTTGTGTCAGGATCTCCAGATGGATCAGAGGTTGTAGCATCCTTGGTCTCGCCTTCCGGAAAATATCTTGCAGTATTGCGAGAGACGAACGACTCTGCAGATAAGAAGCGATATGTGGAAGTATGGGCCGACGATAGGCTTCACGCTGCCGAAAACGTAACGGACAAACACGGCACGTTTTACACGGATGGTGATAGTCTTTTTCCGCCACAATGCTAAAGAGGTGCACTGACGTTACTTTAGAATTCACGTCCTCGATATCATTCTCGCCCTCCGAGACGAAGCTAGTCTATGTTGCCGAGGGTAAGGAGCCAGACAACGATACTGCCGACCCACTGTCCAAGTTCCGCTTCATACCTGACTTGGGCGAAACCTATGGCGGCAAGAAGCGGCCCACGATTTTCCTGTGTGATTGGTCTCGCGAAGCTGGCCGCGCAGTCTTGCCTCTGACTTTCGCTGAAGTCAATAGCCCGAGCGTCCTGCTGGCTCATCCTGTGTTTGCATCAGATGACAAGATCATTGCGCTAGGATACGAATACTCCGAGGATGGACGTTTACTGGGCATCGTCTACTGTCGAAATCGTGCGGCCAGTGTATGGCAGCTCACGCTGCCAAACGACTCCACCGGAAAAGAAGTTTTGGCATGCGCCGGTTTGAAGCTGACGAGCACCGGGCTCGCCTGTCGCTCCCCTCGCATTCTCCGTTACGGCGGACAAACCAAACTTGTATTCGCATCGAACTCTGCCGGTGGCCCACATGACACCTGCTCCAAGGTTGACATACTCGACCTCGACAAGTTAGAGCCGCGCACACTAGTAGAGACTGTGCACGATCCCAAGCCTGACGCTTTCCCCGGCCTCTATACGGCGTCATTTCCTGCATGTCCCTTCCTCCAATCTCCTTCCAAGGAATCCTTTCTAGTCGTCTCGTCGGTCTGGCGTAGCCGCACTACTGTTCTGCTGATCTCATTGGCCAACGGAAACGTCATCGATTTGACGCCAGCGACCGAGGAACAATGGAGCTGGACTGTCCTCTGCACCGATGGCAAATCCAGAGTTGTGTGCGCCCGCAGCGCACTAACCCGACCGCCGGAGCTAGTCCTTGGCGAAGTCGACGCTAATGCTCAGGCGTCTTGGAAGGTGCTCTACACACCAAGTGTGAGCGACGACTGTACGTTTAGTTGATTGCTCGGTGCTACATTTCCCGCATTTAATGTGCCTGATTGACAGTGCGACGAAGACTGGACGACTTAGCCATATCGATCCACGCGATCCCGGGGCGCTACCCCGTAGAGACTATCGTAGTGCGATCCAAGACGCAGAAGTCTCGGCCATGTATCACGGTACCCCATGGCGGACCGCACTCTGGAATTACAACCGCATTTGCTCCTTGGTTTTCCAGCTTCGCTGCTGAGGGCTGTAAGTCCGTCCTTATCATGTTACGCTACGGCATGAGACCAACGGATACTCTTTTAGACACCGTGGCTCTCCCAAACTACACAGGAGGGAGTGGCTTTGGGGAAAAGTATACCAGGAGTTTGCTTGGGCAGTGTGGGAGACTGGACATTGACGATTGCATGGAGTCAGTCCGCTATCTCATTAAACAAGGCATTTCGGAGGAAGACAAGCAGTACGCTTTCGGCGGCTCGCACGGTGGATTCATCGTCGCACACCGTGGGTCTTTGCCATACGTCGCGTTCATTAAAGCTAACTGCGCTCATGCTAGTTATCGGACAATTTCCCGACACGTTCAAGGCAGCCGCCATCCGCAGTCCCGTCATTAACCTGGGCGAGACGTCCACGACGGATATTCCGGACTGGTACTTCGTAGAGATTGGTGTCGAATTCCGGCCTGACTCGATCATGACGCCGGACGTGTATAAGGACGCCTTTGCGATGTCGCCCATCCTCTACGTAGACCGCGTGCGCACGCCGCTGCAAGTGTACCTCGGCCTGAAAGACCAGCGAGTGTCGTTAGACCAGGGCAAGAAATACTACCATGTCTTGAAGGCAAAGGGAAAGGAAGTGGAGATGTTTTGTTTCAAGGACGACGGACATGCTCTCGACAGTGTTGAAGGGGCCCGGGCAGTATATTACGCGGCGAAGACCCTCTTTGCAAGAGTACAAGGCGACTAATATAGGGAATGGTGGAGATATTTTAGGACTACAAATTATAGACAACGCTACATGTACTATGATCAGTAAAAGATGTGGCCGTGCTGAGAAACGAGCCCAACGCAAAACCCAGATGAATACAAGCTAAGACCACGACGTCCTGGAGGAAATTGCACCCAAATGAGCTACAAACAGTCCTACACAGACTGTCAACGTCGAGCGCAGACAAGGTTTACATGAACCAGCTCGAGCTCTGGTCCGGGAAAGCCATAAAGGTTGGCATGAGCTCCGTTTCTGAGAACGCAAAGAACGACTGCATCTGATCCGGATGTATCGTCTGTGAATCCCAAACCGACGGGAAGCCCATGTCGTGTGTCGGCAGATCGAGTTGTGGCATCTTGAATTGGACATGGGCGGAGCTCATGGGTCCCTGTGTCCCCACAGGTGTGAGTAGGGCTGGGATGGGCTGGGATGGCCCAGACCCAGTGCCAGCCTCGGTGCTTGGCTGCGCGCATGTGCCGCTGTTATTTCGCCGTTCCCAGATCCGCGACGCTACCAGCTGTTGCAGGAAGCGGGCGAAGCGGCGTCGCGGGGTTGACTCGTCCACGTCACCCACGTTTGTCGTGTCGATGGCCTGAAGCAGCCGCTTGATTAGCTCCACAACGCGAGTCTCTTGGCGCTGGTCGAGCTTGCATGAGAACTCCGGGCGAAGGCACTGGCTAAATGTAAGTGTTTCGCTTCGGAAGCTTTGGGCGTTTTGGCTTACCTTTGTGAGTATAGCAGCACCAAAGGCAGACAGCGCGAAAACGTACTCCGGCGAGTACCGAATAAAGCCGGTGGGAAGAATGCGTTCCACGACACAGTTCACTACTGCTGATGCGGCGTGCAAACACTACGGAAGGCCTGAGTATACGTACCAGAGTATCATAGGGGAGAAAGCTTACCCCGGCAAAGAACACCGTATCTTCTTGCAGTTTGCCTTGCTTCAAGATCTCTTGCAAGCCGACCGAGAACGTGACCAGTCGACAGTATTCGTATACACTACATTACTCATGTCAGCAATGCCTGGTATATTCGTGAATCAAGAGAGGTACTGACGAGATCATGAGTCCCATTCTAAGTCGATCTTCACGACCTATGGCAGCCATACACTCAGCACAGGCAAAGGGCGTTATGTGAAATGGACCTACTGGCGGTGGGAGATAGCTCTCGAGCACATCGATCTGTGGCAACCTGGTTCCATGAGCGCAGCTCGTCCGAGAACACCCGATGGGCATTTGGCAAGTCCAAGCCCTGTTGCAGATTAGCGTCTACTGAGAACTACCCAATAAAGCTCTCACGTTGCGATCGGCTCTCGAGTCCATGGCCGGGTTTACGAGCGCAGCAAATCGGCCCATAATGCGGAAGAGCTCCACTAGGGAGACCATATAATTATCGGCGTCCTGGGAAAACTTGTGCCCCAGGAACTTCGCAGCGGCGCTACGGATGAGCTGCAATGGACAACTTGAGTATTGCGGCGGCTCCAATTTCGTGGGTCCTTACCTCATCCTCCGGGATCATGAAGGGTTTGCCTAAGTTGATGCAGAAACACCGGTCGATAATGAAGCAGATGATATGCGTGCGGAGTCGATTCAGTGCTTCACGCTGGGCACGTTCATCAGCTGGCATCGTCTCTGGCACGCGGTGTAGCTCCAGGTCGAGAGCCAGCCTGGGGTGCATCGTCAGTACGCAGGCGCTAGTCATGTCAGGAAAGACCCACTCACCGGAAGGCAAGCGCGCTGTAGAAAAATTGGCGATCTTCGTCCCAGCGTTTCGCTGGAGGCATGTATGCAGCCATGAGGGCGAACGCCTGGCACATTTCCAACGTCTTGCACCCGTCAAGGAAGGCGTTCGCGGCGGCTGCCTTGGTCATATGCACCGCCATCGGGTAGATCTCCGGCTTTTCATCGTAGTACCGCGCGGCCACAGTGCAGACTGCGGTCACAGATAGTGAGTAGCTCGCAAGCGTCTCAAAAAAGACCTGCGCCTACCAACGGTGAACAGGAAAGGACAGCGACCTAACACCGCTGCCGGTGTGTGGATGTTCTCATCAAATATAGGTATGACAGGCTAGAAGCATCTTATCAGCGGGGATAGCAACACGCAGGGCCTTTCGACTGACGTTTATCCACTGATAAAATCTGCAAAGGATATATTTAGTTTATCCATGGATTTCCATCGCCATGCCCCAAGGCTACTCACATTTCAAACAAGTTGCTGACATCATCATTGTTAACGAGCCCCGAGAGAATAATATCAGGCGCAGCCTGACGCTCAACGATGAGCCGCCTGAGATCGAGGTTTGCAAATGGCCCTAATAAATCACAGGGTTCCCGATCGTGAGCCAGGCTGGTGTTTCCCCGCAAATGGACACGGGACGTACCAGGCTCGAAATAGGCAGAGCTGGTAATTCCTCCTTCGGCCGGGTCATCGTGGGGATCGCTTTCGCCACTGCTCGTCGGGTCCCGACCAGAGACAGGCGACGACAGGCGTGAGCGGCTCTCGAGCGCGGTGGCAGCGAGGACTCCCGCTGGTGCACGCTTTGCGGGAAGTGGGTGCAGGTGGAACGATGGGGTGGACTCTTGAACGTCCTCCATACCGCTGCTGACGCCCTCTGATTCGGAGTCCTCCTCGAACTCCTCGTCGAAGGCGGACAAGTCGATCTTCTGTCTTGCTGCTTCGCTCGATACTCTCGACGATCCCTGGACTTTGTCCAAATACATAAGTATGTCCCGGTACTGCGTGCGCTGCTCCGGAGTCAGTGTCAGCTTCGAAGGATTGATAGCCAGCGGGGTGGCCGTTGATGACGCCGGGTTGAGCTTGGCGAGTAGGTTGTCGATCATGACGTCTTTCTCCCTGATCTGCTTGCGCAGGATGTCACGCATGCTATGGAAGATGGTAAGTCAAGCCACGCAGCATGATGGCATAAAAAAATAGCTGACACACCCTGGTGACCGAGGCTTCCGCCCGAGGACGACGCACTCATGACCGCCAACGATACATCTCGCGCATGTATTATCGTTGTCCGCAAAGCTGCATTTCATCTATCGAGTGATTAAACGTCGATCAAAGATATCTATGAAGGGAATTATTACTTTGAGTCGCTTGCATCGCGTGCAGGCACCTGTGAGACGACTACTAGCAGAGTAGGAGTTTCCCGAGTCCTTGCGAGACTTCTTTGAGGTACTACTGGGCATATCCTGGTACGGACCGCCCATCATTGAGGGCGAAGACGATATTTTGAACGGCGATGGTACGCGGGCGGTCGAGTCGTACTGGCCTGTAACATGTGGGGACGCATAAAGATTTGAATCGAAGTAGTAGCCGGAATTAGACGGGGATCCCTGTCCGTCGGGCGTTTGTGGATAGAACATGGACGTCTCGCGTTCTGTCATGATGGCGGCAGCCGGTAAGTACGAGGTACAGAACATGGCCAGGAAAAAAGGCGACATACTGAGACCCGACCTCCAGGAGTTTATATCCGCAGGGGGATACTCTGGCGCGAAAAATTGATCAGAAGCGTAGATGGCAGCCCCGCCGTGGGATGATGAGGAAGTAGAAGGTGAGGAACGGGGATGATTGCGTTTGGCAGGCATAGTCGAACTTGCTCCGCAATTCTGTTGTCGTATGTCGGGAGTGGTGCGGGAGCACACTGGCTCGATCAAGGAACGTCGGCCGGGAAAAGGGAGAAGAGGAGTGATATCTCCCGAGTGGACGAGGCGCAGTGCAGACCAGTCGATCGAATGGGACTCGTTTATAAGCCCGAGCAAACTTACTATTCCGACGACCAGGTCGAGAGCCCGACAGGGACCTGAACGGCACGGGCAATGCGACAAGACTGGAAGTTAGCGAGGGCATGTGTGAATATGCCGATAGTACAAGGAAGATATGAGACCATACGTGGGACGTGGAGATTCAATGTCTCCGTAATGAAATCGACCTGAGATTGTCGGACGACGTCGATCTTCCAATCGCAGCAGGTCCGCCGGGTCATGTGAGATTCTTCCGTAATGGACGCGGATGACTAGAACTCACTTGCGATCAACTGCAACCCTGCTTGCATGCAGACAATAAAGTTCGCCTGCTGCGAAGCTTTGCCGTACCATCGCCTCGCGTCGGCAGATCGGACACAGTCATGGCAGCGCCAGCGTGGTCTAGACATGTCGCTGGTGATGAAAATTTCCCAGCAACCGGAAGACACAGTCCGCACATACTCTGCGTCGTCCGCGCTTGGCCACACCGCAAGTTCTAACATTGTGGAGGGACAACACTGGGCCGCAGACAAGGGCGTGCTCTGACGTGGAAAATTGTGGATGTCATTCGTGTGAAGAAAAGCGCACTGAGACGTTGTGCTTTAGAAATCCAGTCTAACGTGTCGGCCGCGAGGCTGCCCCTCACCGGAGGCGTACTTGCCCTTTCAGGTGTTGTGTCCCACGATAAGCGTCGCAGGAATGTCAATATCTGCTTCGCGCATAGTGATCGGTCGGAGCACCGGTAGTTGAGCGGCTCGAAGGAGCTGTGGCTGTCGGCACTGTGTGCAGAGCGGAACTCAAGATCATCATCGAATTGATGGCCTCTGCAAGAAAAAGTCACGGTGCATGCACGGCGCAAGAAGCGTAGATGCTTGTGTCAGCACAGGATTACAGTTGTTGGCACAGGACTACGTAACTTTTTCTTGCGCACTCACACAGACGCAAGCAATTTACTTCAGCCACCTTCTGAGAGAAAGGGAGCCCCGCGCTGTCGCGGAGTTATCCCGAATGTTCAGCGTGTCCGGTATTAGAAGCCCTTCTCGGATGGCTAGCGGGCGATACCGCACAGGAACCATCTGCTACTTTGTAATACGCGCCAAATTAGTGGTGATGTTGACATCGAGTGGCATACAGGGTATCGGATGACTAGCCGACGCACTTCAAGGTCGGGAAAGGGTCCTTCGGGCGACATCAAAATCAGCGGGTATACCATACCTTTCGGGTACTCAGTACTCAAGCCCTGCAAGAATATAATGAATCGGGTTTTATTATACCCCCGAAATTGTACCCTTTGCGACAAGCCACGAGGGAGAGCAGTGCCGGCTGGTGGCTAACACCGTACACGCCAATCCAGCCTAGTCTTGCACAGCAATTTCGATGCATCCTGCGGGGTACCTGGAACCACGCCCGCGGCTCGCACAGCCACACAGGATACATGGATATCCGATGGTACAACGGATGTCATAAGGCGTATGGGTGTGCTTCATGGTCATCACAAAGATGACCGGAAGTGTGGCTGAACGATAGGTGTTCGAAATTTAATTTCCTGAGCTCGCAGAGGGGATGATATCACCGTGAGCACATGTAAGCTTCGGTAGCTGTTTGGGAGAGTATACTGTACTTACGTTTCGAGAACGAGACGAGAAGGCGTTAAGTCCGACGGACAACCATGCAGACTTTTTCAGTGGCCGGTCATTGTCGGACGTTGACTTTCGAAAGAGCACTACATGCAAGATTCTCATCGTCGTCGTATGAGAAGCCTCCGATACCGATCGTCCCCGGGCGTTGTGGAGCTATTATAGCTCAAATAGGAAGGATATTGATCGCGTCGGTATCCCTCCATATATGGATTTTTACAGATAAGATCCGCCGCAATTGATCCATTTTTGCTCTGCGAGCTGACTCCGCTGTGCGTGAAGACCGTCTTCCACCATCCCACACCGCCAAAAAAGGCACGTCCTAAAAGCCCTTCCAAAATTACCCTCGCAAAATGGCCACTGTATCCGCATCGTCGGAGAGACTGGCCGAGCTCAAGGCTGGGGAGGACAAGCCAGAGACAGCGAACACTACGACTTCTGCGTCTGACGCTGATCTAGTCACTCAAGAACCTGCGATTGAAGCTACCACTTCAGCCGCTGGCGCCGCGAGTGACGCGACTACGTTGGATGAAGATGAGAAGGACAAGGCTCTGCGGGCGGTCCGCCAAAGTAGGTCCAGCTGTCTATCAGATTCAAAGCAACCGTTTCACGACAATCTGCCCTGCTACAGTCGAATTTTACTTTGCCGATGCCAACCTCCCATATGACAAGTACGGTTGCCACATCCCGTGCGCTAGTATACCTCTGACGCTGATGTCAATTGCTGTCCAGGTTCATGTGGACCCTCCACACCGCCAACCCGGAGCACTGGGTGCCGATCGCAACCGTAGCGTCATTCAAGCGTATGCGGGAATTTGTGCCGCTTGGAACTGATTGGCTTGTCAATGCACTGAAGAGCAGCACTGCTCTGGAGGTAGATGAAACCAATACCAAGGTTCGTCGGCGAACAGAAGTTACCGAGCCTAAGGGTCAGTTTGAGAGGAGCATCTATGCCGTGAGTCACGCTGGTCCTGCACACCTCTGTCTGTACTCAAATATGTCGTTTTATTGCAGAAAGGTTTTGGAGAAGAGGTTCCAGGCCTGCAACAAAAGCTCGAAGCGTTCTTCAACCAGTATGGTCGTACCAACGCTGTCCGCATGAGGCGCGAAGAGAACACCAAGCGCTTTAAGGCTCGTCGCTTTCACCCTGCTATTACTCGCCACGTCTGATTAATTGCTGTCCAGGGCTCCATTTTTGTCGAGTTCGACGACATGTCCTCTGTGGAGAAGTTCCTGAACGCAGATCCTAAGCCCGCATGGGACGGCCAGGAACTGCTCATCATGTCAAAGTGTGGCTGACATTCCGAACCGCCTGTTACGCGATGCGCTGATCATTCCTCGCCGTTTAGGGAGGCGTACTGCGAAATGAAGATCAAGGAGAAAGGCCTGACTGGCAAGGCGGCGAGCCTCCGCAAGGAGTCCATGACCGGCGCGGGCAGGAAGGGCTTCAATGCCTTCAAGGAGATGTCGAAGATCGCCGACGACAAGAAGGGCGGCAAGGCTAAGGCGAAGCCTGAGGTCTGGCTCGACTTCCTCGGCCAGCGCATCCGCGTCTACGAGGAGGACGGCGGCACGGTCAAGACGGAAGACGTCCCGTTCGTCAAGGGCGCGACCTTCAAGTTCGAGGGCGTCGAGGGCAATGTCAGCTTCGACGAAGTCAAGGTGCGAGCGTGGCCTCGTCCAGCCCCTGAAGCACAGTGCTGACTAGCAGACGCGCTCAGGGTCCACTCAAGGAGCGGTTCACCCGCGTGCCCTTCGTCCAGTACAACAAGGGCGACAGCTGGGGGTACGTCGCCTTCGACAAGGCGCTGACCGAGGAGGACGTCACCTACATCAAGGAGAAGATTGGCACCCTGGGCTCGAAACCTGTTACATGGGCGTTCCTGGACGGTACGCCCTTTATCATCTGCCCACCATGTCACACCACCTGATCACTCCGTCTATCATTAGAGGAGACAGAGAAGGCCTTCCAGATCGAGCGCGCCTCGGCCGCCGCAAAGCGCGCGCTGCACTTCTCTCAGCGAGACGATCGCGGCAGTAGGGGCCGAGGACGCGGTGGCGCGCGCGGGGGGCGCGGGGGCCGTGGTGGTGGTCGCGGTCGTGAAAAGCGCGAGGGGAAGAACGCAGGCGAAGCGAACCCTGCGGCAGGTGATGAGCAGGCGGGCGACAAGCGGAAACGCACAATTGAGCCCGATGGCGGCGCCTTCGTCGGCACGAGGGGGCAGGGCGTCCCCACTATCACTAGTGCAAAGAAGGCGAAGACGGACGATGAGTCATAAGGCGTCTTATCTCTGAACGTTGCATCTATTCGTTGTAGTACTAGTCTACTTGCTCTATGTATGAATATTCCACACATTGCACCCCGCAGAAGCACTCAAATTTGGTGGATTTCGTCGATGTTCGGACGTGTAGATGTACCATACGAGAAGTAAGAGGAACATAATCCAGCTATGGTTCGTGGTTGGATTACATAGGTGACACAGTAGCTGCCGGTACAATAATACTTCTGAAGAGCTGCTAAGCCTACACTTCCAGTCTAAATATCTCATTCTAGAGGAGGGGATGGAGACAAGGACAGAGACAAGTAGGTTGAAAACTTCGTTTCAGCTGTCAGAGGGTTCAGCGACAGAAATGTGACGCTGACGAGCTGGGTACTTGTTACTTCACAAGCACTCCGTTGACACGGAATAAGAAGAGGCGTGGTCCCTGATAGCCCCTTCAGTACCCAGGAGGCTCAGATGGAGAGTTTCGTCACTCACCGCAAAGGAGAGAGCAGAAATCAGCCATCTACGAGGAAGACATGTAGGCTATTCCTAGCGCGACCACTGACAAGGGACTTACGTGTAACAAATGCCAGCCATAGACGACCTAAAGAACTTGAATAGCATGGTGTTAGCGAAGAGTGAGACTTATGAATTCAATATTTGGTTTGATGCGTCCCTTGGCGGGCCGGGCACGTACCAAAGATCAGGATGTATCCCCATACACCATCCATGACAAAGTTTGTCGTTGTCAGTCTCTTTCCCCATCCCCGGTTGACTACGAGCACAATTTTCGCCAAGGTTGATACGAGCAGAGTGGTCTCAAAAGTGAACTAAATGATCCTGTGGAGAAATCCGGCTTGAGACATGTTATACTCGAACACGGCGGAGCTGAGCTTACCAATACGCTATAAAGAATAGAGAGGCGGAAGTCATAAAATACTTGTCGTCGAGGCTGAAGTTGAATATGACAGTGGCGTAGATGCACGAAAGCCCCGACAGCTCGGCGACGAACAGAACGGATAGTACGGCGAGTAATGTACGATCCTTGCTACATGGGATGTACACTGGAGGCAACATAATCAATCTCTAATGCCGCCACACTAGGGGGTGTGTACCACGCAGCATGAGAATAACATCTATGCTGGTGATAATAAGCTGCAAGAGGACTGCTTGGATTACCTCTATCACTGAGAATCGTAAGCCGGTTGAGCCGCCTACAGTTAAGGGAAACAGAGCCCTAAATATGCGTTAGGATGATAGACAGGATGAAGTATGTAGGGTCGGCTCACAGCTGGAAGACCCATGGTAGATATCTTGCGACGAGGTACACTTAGCAGGCGTCCGGCGCTTTCTGGCGATGTATGTCGAAGGTTTATTGCGAGAATTGTGAGCAACGATGCCTCCTGTCATACAAACTCAACCCGCGCATTCCATTGCTAGCTGTCGCGATCAAGTAGTAACTCAAAGTACACGCCTCATCGCGCAAGGTGACAGTGATATCCCACGTCAACAGCGTCACCGAAGCAACTGTAACAGCAGTCAGTCCAGTCAAGTGCGTAACTGTAATCGTGTTTCTCACCTTCAGTGTAACTAGTCGCTCTGGTATCACCCAGAAGATGGGCGAGAGCCTGTTTGGGACAGGAACCTGCGTGCCTCGTAGCAAGGGAAGATAGAGAGTTAGCGAAGTTTCCGGGAAAAACTCAAGCACGCTCAACTTCTTGTACATTAATGCTCCCTACCGCATTTTCAGACCACCATGCACTATCAGCCAAATGGCTTCCATCCAGTGGACAGTGCTCCGAAGCATCAAGCTCCATGTCGTGAAGAATTGGTGTTCCGCGCCATCGGAAGCCTCGACGGCGTGTGGCAAACGGCCGTGAGGGCGGCACTAGCCTCGTTGACTCGGCCCATATGAAAGACTGCTGTGCATGCACCACGAAGATGCTATAGAGAGTCCATTCTACGGTGAGCAGCTCAGGCCACAAGAGTATCGATGTCAGGGACTTGGCGAGCCGTGCTCGTCATCACAGCCTTCTTCTAGTACACGCTGTACTGGGACCGCGAAGAGCATGTCCAGTCGAACCAGGACGATGACTGACTTCCGGTTCGGCGTGGAGGTCTCAGTGTACTTCGTGAACGCGTGAAGGTTGGCATCAAGTTTCAGAGCGCCCAACTTGAACTTCGTGCGGTTACACGAAGGTACTAAAAATAAAATGCTCGACTTCTAGTACGAGCTGTCGATAGTGGAAAACTACCGGGACTATTGCATGACACCATAGCATTTAAATCAATTTATGAAGGGCCCTCTGGTGTGCTAAGCTTCTTAGATAACTCATTTAAGAGGAGAAGACGGGTCTGAGCACCGTGACGTTGTTAGCCAAGTATGCGCTTCGCGATGTCGGCGCTGAAAGTATCCGGGGATAACAAGCTAGACACTTGCGCTGAACATCTCACGGGGATCCGTTGATATGGGATGAGGCTGAGACGTGATCCCGGTCGGCCACCTTAGTACGCAGGAGGCTGAGAGATAATTTATCGCTCACTGCAAATTGAAGGAGAGAACGGAGGATAGCCACCTATAACGAAGATATATGTCATTGGTACTTGCAAGTAGCTCGTTTCAGCTGTGGATAACATGAACAAATGGTGGCAATAAATAAATTCCGTATCGTATGAGAGACTCCGATTCATTGGCATATGTCACGAAAACGCGCTGTGTCGTAATGAGCGCCTGCAATCGTAGACTCGGACTTGTTCAATGCGCCACACTAGCTATAGGGTACTAGAGAGTTTAACAAGTAGATAATGGAGTAGAAAGTTCTAGTCAGGTTCGAAGGTATTGACGTACACCATCAAAGATGAGTTGAAGCAAGAAACTGAACCCTAGTCTGAGACCGCAGCTGCAGCGCCCAAATTCGTGGCACAGCCGAGCACGAATCAGTCTTGTATCCGAGTTGCTTACCCAGCAGCCCCCGGATGCAGTGCTTTCGCCTCATCTATCCTAGACACAATCAGCATCAACAGCAGTATCATCCTATATTCATATTCAAAGCTGGACCGCGATCTCGCAACAATTCACCGTTGCCGTGCTACATCGCTACCAGGGCGATAAGATGAGAGACAGCGAAGCGAGGTTGCTCCGCACGCATGATCATTTTACACGTTAATTCTGATATCTGTCTCCATCTGGGTGCTGTCTCTATAGAGCGGCCCCGCAATCGGACGACACATAGGAATGAACGAGTGCCTGCTCTGTACGATAATCAGCCATGACATGACACTCTGCCAAGCAGTTCCAAGACGTACCGAATATTCCGTTGCCGAAGTTGTCTTTATCTTTGAAGGGGGAGGGCAAATCTGGGGATGTAGGCGAGTACGGCGAGACCCAGATGTGTGGGGTCAGAGGCGTCAAAGGTGAAAGCGGGATGGTAATGGGTTCGGAGCTTGTTATTGATACTCTGCTGATATTTCGTCGGCGTGGGTTGAGAATGACACGGGACCCCTGGTAGACTCTTCAATGTGCAGGAAACGGAGGTGAGCGTGCTACGACTTACTGCAAAGGAGAGAACGGAGAGCAGCCACCTGCAAAGTCATAGTGTCAGCCAATTTCAGATAGGCTACTATGCCAATCGGAGGACTTGCGTGTAACAGATACCAGCAAGGGGCGTTGTATTGAACTTGTAGAGCATCGCATTGACAAGCATGGTAACTAATAGACACGTCAATCAACTGCTCGTTCGCCGCCAAGTACAAATACACACCGAAGATCAGAGTATACGCCCATGTGCCATCCGTGACGAAGTCCCTCATCACCGGTCTTCTTCCCCACCCTTGTTTGACTGCGCAGCCGAACTTGACCAAGGTTAATACGAAGAGTATAGTCTCGAAAGCAAGCGAAACAATCCTATTAACGACGCAGTCTGAGATGTGGATTCTCCAAAGGTGAGGCGACATAAACGTACCAGTATACTACAAAGAGCGAAGGGCTCGAGGTCACAAAGCATTCGTCGTTAAAGGTGAGCTTAGGTGTGACGACCGCGAGGATGTATGAAAGACCGAACAGCTCAGCAAGGAACAGAGCGGAAAGCACGCCCAGAAGGGCGCGACTCCTGTTGTAGAGTGCATACACTGAAGGCCGTTAGTTGATTTTATCTATAGACTGCAGAAATGATACGTACCACGCGTTATGAGAATGGCGTCTACACTGGTGATGATGAGCTGCAAGATGACTGCTTGGACCGTCATCCACCGTTTGCATTCAATGATTGAGAACCGCAGGCCGGTTGAACCACCAATATTCAAGGGCAACAGAGCCCTGTTTCTGAATCAGGATATTGTCAAGCAGAGAAATAAGAAGACTCTTCTCACAGCTGAAAAACCCACGGCAAGTATCTTGCAACGAGATACATGCCCTTGGCAGGCGTCCAATTTTTTCTGTCAATCGTTGGAAACTAAGATCAAGATAGTTTAAATATGGTTAATCTTGCTTACTCCCATATCAACTCAACCTGTATTTCAAGTCAATAGCGCCATCGCGGCGAGGAGGGAACTTGCAGTACACACCTCTTCAGAGAATGTGACAATGGTATCCCACGTCAAGAGTGTTATCGAAGCCACTAGTGCAACAGTGAGCCCGTCGCATTCGATACGAAAAATCTCCAGACTCACCTTCACTGTAGCTAACTGACCTGGTTTGCGTCAGTATGGCGTTACGAGACTGGTCAGTGTAGCCTTCGTACAGCATGATAGCAACGAGAGGGAGTAGGCAGAAGGGGGATCACAAGGGAAAGGAAGCATCTTCCAGCAGAGCGCGCGCAGTTTATACGTTCTCGTACGTGGTTTATCCGTAAAGCGAAGGGTCTCACAGACGTCGCAGGAACCAAACTCCATGCGGTGATTCCGAGCTTCTTGAGCGTTGTTCAACACATGATGCTTTCCTGAATGCCAGTTCATACCCTTCGTTCACGATGAGATGGAGATCTCTGAGTGGCAAAGCCGACAGATGCTTGATGAAGATGGAACGGCGTCCCGTGCTTGTCGGTAAGCAGCTCGATGGCAAGACCTTTAATGGCTATAAAATGCCAGGTAGAGGCTCTTCCTCCGATTACAGACGTAACCTCCGTGTCGCTGTAATGACATGAGGAATTCCGGTATGCGCATGGAACGGTGCTGTGCGAACATTTGAGTCAGCCACGGGACTTCCAGAGTGACAACCGGGGGAACTGGGGGGGACTTCAGACGTGTATGTATGTATGACTAAGAAATTGTGTATGCCAGAGGTGCACCAATCAGAATGACGGACTGCCATAGTTTGTCTAGATGCGAGGTCAACTGGATGTGGCAGTGCGCAACAAGTCAGACCGGCGAAAAATTCAACAGCATTGGAGCGCCCATCTTTGTGGCACGGCTGATGCCGGGATACTATCTCAATTGAGCGCCAAATTGCTTTCGCTCAATATAGCCATGCACTGGATAGTAAGCAGTTTCTTCCCTAAGAAACATTGGAGGCTAAACTTCAATTTTCGCCGATTTTCACGTAGTTTAAGCTCTTTTGGTCGGTTTTGCACCAGTTTCTGCCCTCAGCGCACAACTGAGGAAAAATTGGTCCTTTTCTGACTCACCAGTTCTGGTTAGGATCTTCTCAAGAAACTGCGCATACCACCCTGTGCCATCATGACCACCGCCATTATTCTGGGTTATGTCGCGTACTCATAACAGCGTCTTACTATTATTCTAAGCCTCAAATCTCTTGATACGCGGGCCGGGCAGCGATTATTTCCGCCGGCCGGTTGTACTTCGGAGGTCACGGTGTAGATCGCGGCGCGGTTGGCATCTTCTTCGAAGGCATCGTGACCATCTGTGCACACAGTTACCATCTAAGTCCAACGAACCGTTACAAGCTGTGTGTGCGAGTATGATATCTTAATAAGCCGAACCCCTTGCTGTTCACATTCCACTGCCGGTAGCGATGTTCCACTTCATCCCGGTCTCCACGATTCTCTGGGCAACAGCTTGGACGTCTCAGGCTGCTGCGGTTCCCTCTGCTACTTACGACGTGACTCTCCCTAGCTCCCACCCGTTGATAGCGTATCACGGTAGATGGGACGCATCCCCGGGGACATGGTGGTACGTCCCAAGCGGTTTAACTATGACAACACATCCTCAATTTATCTTAGGGCCGGCTCCGGCTTCAAACTCAATGTTGAAAACCTGCAGGCTCTTGAGCTTAACTTGGGTCCACATACAACTTCACCTCTTACCTCGGTCGGCGTGTCAGTGAACTATGGTCCCTACGTCACGGCGAACGTTTCCGAAGGGCCGAACGCTATCCCTCTGAGTGGATTATCTACAGCAGAAGCTGATGCGAGCGGCAAGAACACCGTGATCAGAATCACGACGGAAGGCTGGCAGGACAATCGGATGCAACTGGAGTCAATTGCGCTCAATCAGGTCGGCTGCCTGAAATATCTCTGTTGCAATTAGTCTGACCGAACCTCGGAGTGCAGGGAGCACAGCTCAAGCCATACATACCGTCGAAGCTATTCTTTCAGGTTATCGGCGACTCGCTCTCCGCAGTGAGTCTCGAGCGTCGGGCTGTTGTATTCAGCGCAGTTGACGTTTCTGCAAGGGCCAATACCTCGAACAAGGCGTACTGCAAGCCTGGCCAGTGCTGACCTCCGAAGCTTTCAAAGCAGAATCGCGAGTGAATGCGCAACCGGGTGCATGCTTGACGGTTAGTTACCACGCAAATTGGTTTCAGCGGCTCGCACTGAAGGCGTGTAGGACATTCCTGCTTGGGGTAACGTTCACGGTGTCAGCTACGAGTACTTCAGAGTGAGTAGAGCTCTTCTAGTCCTGGGTATTTCTAAACTCATCACCCCCAACGTGCTCAAGACTGAAGACACCGGCTACTACTACACGACGGACCACAACTTCACGACGCCCTGGGATTTCTCCCGTGACGACCCAGCGCCGACGCACGTCGTGATTCACATCGGGTACGCAAAGCAACCGTTCACGTGAATCCGTTGCAGTGTCAGCTGACGGCGTTGAACGTAACGACAGAGCGAACGACGTTTCGCAGAACGTCACCGCCTCCGACTTTGAGCAGACATACCTCAGCTTCATCTCGCGCCTGCGCACACTCTACCACTCGCAGCCGATCCTGGTGTTTACTCCTGTACGCCGACTTTGATCCTCCCGTTAGTGAAGACGCTGATATGTAACGAACGCAGTGGGGCTGGCCCGCGGCTGACGGAAGCATCAGCTACTATTACCCAGGAAGCTACGAAAAAGTTGTCGAGGAACGGTACGTCGAACAAGGTCCCTCGTGCTAATTTGTCACCCTAATGCAAGATGGCATACAGTCACACCATCGGCGATGAGAACGTTTTCCTCGTGAACACGACAGGGTGGGTCAGCTGGGAGGATGTCTTCCCAAGGTACGTTATCCTATTGCCCTACAGGCAGGCGGCATTGACCGACGTCGTTGAGAAGCAACGGTCATCCGACGGAGGCGGGCCACCAGAAGATCGCGGGCTTATTCGAGGCGTGGCTTGAGACCTGGGGACTACAGCCTGAGACAGCATGGCCAACGAAGGTTCTAGTTTGATGCAACTGTCCCCATAGCGTTTTTGGCATATGCATTTCTACCCAGCACGTAGATATGGCTTGTGGTTTCGTCGAGACGAGATGTATGTAACAAGTGCTCCATCCAAAAATATGTGCATCCCAGGCCCGAGGATATCTTATCATAAGATGTGTCGATTAGAGACTGTTATCCGGCAGCTCGAATCCAGCCGAATGAAGCAGGGTAGCAAACTAGAACAGCGTTTCAGTATGCGTAAAAGTGTTAAAACATTGTTGATTTTTACCTGGACTTTGGCAATTGACTTGATCTGTTCGAAGTCATATCCTTGGCGGTCGCTTAAGTCACCTACACTCTGATCAGCGACATGCAAGCAGCTCATAACAAAACACTCACCGCTGTTGTGGTACATCGGATCTGCAATCGTACCCGCACGCTCAAAAACCTGGGTAGATGGGAAACCTTGTTCGTGGAAACTCTACATGTCTCTGGTCAGCTTAAACTGAAGTGTAACGTAAGTAACGAGCAAATGCTCGCCTGGTGGTCGCTACAGCATGCTGGCGTAAAGCCGACGGTGAGCTCAGGGCTGTAGAGGGCAGAGAGGTTCGCAACAAGGTGTGTGACTGCAGGTGTACCAATCCTACGATATGCGTCAGCGACGATTATAGAGTTTAAGAGAGTCGGCCCACAGGTTGGGAAGACCGAGCTGCGGAGGCTCGCCCGGCTTGTGGTACCCAATCATGTCGGCCTGGACCATTAGCGTGAGGTTCGCGCCTTGCTCGCGCAGTTCACCTGGATCATCACGCGAGCATCAGTCCCCGTACAAACTCAGCACCAGAAACGAGGGACGCACGAGCGTAAGCACGTGAACCGAGCAGACCTTGCTCCTCGCCGCCGAACGCGCACAGCTGCACATTCTTCCTAAACTTGACACCAAGCCGCTTGATGGTGCGCGCGATAGAAAGAAGCGCGACTGTGCCGCTGCCATCGTCGTCTCCACCTGGAGCGCGCGTGAGGCCAAAGGAGCCGCGGCTATCGTAGTGCGCACTGAGCAAGATGGTCTCGGTGGTGTTGACGGTTGAGGAGTACGAACTGCAGACAACGTTCAGCACACGGGTAAGAGCAACCATTTCCTCGACGACGCACCAGATGACATTAGGCGTGAAACCGCTTTGAAATGGTTGCAGATTACATGTCGCGCCCGTCTCCTCAAACCGCTCTTTCAGCCACTCCGCAGCCGTACGTGCATCGTCTGAGAACGAGTGTCGTGAGATGATGGGCGACTTCGGGTCCTCGCCGGTCAGCCAGCGGACGTCGTGTTTCATATGTGGAACCGAAATGTTGCTGACGACGGACGCGACGACGGGGTCGAACTTGGCGTGCTTAAGGATATCCCTGACGCGCTCCACCGCCGTGATGGGCACAGGGATGAAGGGCTGGGGCTTCGAGGGTATGATCATGGACTTCCAAAACCGTGGGAGGTGCATGTCGATCGTCGGAGCGAGCGATTCGTCTACGCGGAGGAGCATTGCGCTGGCCGTCCTCTCGCGATACATGACCTCGACAGGCTCGGGCTTCTGCTCACCATCCAAGATGCGCTGTTGACCATCTGACATAGACAGTGAAGCTGCAGACTTGATGCTGGCAAGAACGTAGTCGAAGGCATCTTGCGCCTGGATAGAGAGCAACGAGTCGTCCACAGCCGCCGCTTCGCTCTCAAGCCATACGAACTTGGTCTTTAGAGGATGAAGAGCGTCGGAAAGACCACCTCGGTTTATCTGGGGAAACGCTTCCTCCAAGCACGCCTCGTCAGACGTGCCATAGAAGCTCCATTTACCCGTGGGCGATAACCCGTAGAATGACAGACATGGTGCGAGCCGGTCCTGTAACTCTCTTGGCCCCTCCGGGAGCATGAGCAAGATGAGCGGGACAAGCGACGCGAAGGAGATAACCGTAACGACGATCGATCCCTGAATAATTATGTGATGCGCTATTTGATGCGCTCCTTCCCGATACAGTACAGTAAATGCTTGATTCCGTCAGTAATATGCCCGGGACTGACAACTACACCAAATTCCACTGAATATGGAGTGTACTCACTGGCACCCACTGGTATCCAGTGAAGTCCAGTGCTAGTCTCCAGTGGCTGCTGCTGTTGGCTGGTGGGTATCAGTGAGTAACAGTGAATGGCAGTGAGACACACCGGATCCCGCTGGGCTTCGCAGGTTGCCACCGGCTACTGGCACACATCACCAGCGATTTGCATCAAACATTGCTTGAAGCCACTGGCTTATCAAGTACCAATATAGATACAAATATTATTCTGTAATAAGCTCAATACATGCTTAGCCACCGGCATCTGTATAGATGCCTATTCTCCTCTGAACTGTGCACTATCCCAGAACTCAGCTCTCACTGAAGTGTCTCTACGCGGTACACTGTCTGAGTGCAAAAGGTGTGTAAAATTGATTGCCGGATGTGTCCCCAAGTGGAAGCAGCTGTAAGTAATTCTTTGAAGCATATTATACTACACAGACCTGGTTAGAGGCTCCTGAGATTTTTTATAAACTTTCTATAAGCTCAGGAATGAGCTATCAGGCAGTGGGGGCAGGCTGCCAGCAGTCACATTAATATTTCAACAGCTATGAACCTTGTTGTTGTGATTCTCAGGTAAATGTATATTTTCTGAGTGAGAATATGTGTAATATAAGCCATCTATGCACAAAGCATGAGACCAAACCTGCCAGATACTAGTCTTAAAACAATTTGTTCATGAGAGTTAGCCCAACCTGGAAAGCAAGTCACACACCATGGCCCAATGTCACACACTTCTGCCCAAAGACCAGTGAAAAATGCCAAAAATTATTATTCAATGACATACTAACAATAAACAGCATATGCTGATGGATAGTGGCCACTGCCTGCCAGTGGATGTCACCAGTGTTTGGTGGTGTCTGCCACCTGCCATGTGAATCGACCGGACCAAATACCAGTGGCAGCCAGCATAACATGCTGAACACTGGTATATCCCAACATACCCCACTACTTGCCACTGATACACAGCAATATTCACCAGTTGCTGCTGTATTCCGATGGGTTCCAGTGGACAACGAACGGTGGTGTTCACAAGCGCTCACAGTGACGCACCCGTATATGGCAAGGACCGCCGGCGAACACCAATGGCCACCGGCGAACACCGGTGGTTTCCGCTGGAGGTTGGCGAACGCCGAAGTTGCAAGTCACGGGCTTATAACTCGATTCCGTAACCGCTCGCCTTATCTTCCAACACCGAGCGTCGCAACTTACTCCCTTTCTTCGCACAACCACCTCTCGGAGGCGACGGCAGAGATGCTGGCTAAGCCTGGACGCTGACTCTTAGTCCACGACGTTTACGACCTCTGATTCTGCGACGAACGTCCGCAATTCTTAGAGGATATGTTTGAGTCTCCGTTTCCCCCGTACGACCCGACGGATAGATCTGGGTTCGTCGCCTCTCTGCTGGCAAGTCAGTCTTCGAGTTCTCAACGTCGCCTCCATTAGCTTCAGGTGATTGTTCTCTCTTGAAGACGTCGGACTCAACTTTGAACGTCGTATGATATGTAGCTATGAGACAGTTGTAAAGCGGTGGCCAATCATTCTCACCGGGATAATCGACATGATCTACCAGCTCGATCATGAGATCGGAGTGTCGCTGCACACACTTCCCGCCAGCAACGAAGAGACTATCAATGTTGAGGAGAAGATCAAGGAAGGAAAGAGTATCATTGAGAAGGTTGGAAAACTGAAGTATGACATGGCAAGGGACCGGGCTCTAGAGTACGCGACCTTTCTAGCCATTTCGCGCCAGGCTGATTATTTTTTGACAGGCTTATTCCTCACGATGGCGAGGCATACATCGAGGAGTACAATGTTGAGCTGGACAAGCTCGCTCAGAATAAGAGGAATACTTGGTTCACTGCACCTTGGCTCTTTGCTGAGTAAGTGGCCGCAACAACTAGAGTGCCCATGCGAGATCTGACGCGTTGCGGTCATTTCTAGGTGTTATCTGTAAGCAAGGGCCCAATATGGATGGCAATGGCGTGCTGAGTCTTTTTAGCTATCGTCTTCTGCGGTCGTTCTTCACACAGACCACCCATTGGCGTGATTTCGATCCTTTCTCTCTCCAGAAGCAGGAAACTTTCCGTAGCAGTGGAAAGGCCATCTATCGTGAGGCTATTCTCAAATAGTTGCATGTCACCGTGTTGAATAGTTATCACAGAGCTGGCTACAACTATTCATGAGCTGGAAGTCGAGAAGGACGTCGTGCGCAACGACCCCGCGAAGCTGGCCGTTCTCTTCAAAGAGATGATACAAATGTGTCTCTGGTGCGTTCATTTAGCATTAACCTGCTGACTTGTCAGATAATTATCGTATATACATAGGGGGAATGCAACTGTATGATTTGTTTGTGTCTCCATGATGTTCTCGCAACTAACTTTGCAGTTCGTCTAATTAGGATCTCTCTTTGCTGACCCATATGTCTCACGATGACATCGCTACGTTGCAAACTGTCGGGAAGGACGCACAGGCCGCGAGACGCGAATTCATCCTGAAAGACGACCAAGACAAGGTTATCAAGTATCTTGAAGACCTGAAAGGCAAGGACGCTAGAGTAGATTTTGTCCTAGACAATGGCATGTCCCATTTTGTATATTCTGCATGTACACTGATGAATGCATGATCAGCCGGCTTCGAGGTAGGGTCTGCGCTTACCCTTATTCCGTACGCTACTAACAGGTCCTCTCGGTAGCTCTTCACAGACTTCGTTTTCGCAGACTTCCTAGTGACATACACGCCCTACGTCTCGCGTGTAGTATTCCAGTGAGCTTGTTGTTCTCATGCTTTGTACGATCCTCACCGGCTACCCCAGCCCGAAGCTTATCCCGTGGTTCGTCTCCGATGTCACCCCTCCCGACTTTGCGTCGACGATCCCTTCTCTGCACTCTGAATCGTTCTTCCCGGAGCCCAAGGCCGACGCTACCGCTCGAGATACGGCGGCGACGTTGCCGAACGCCGACGTGCACCAGCATCTGAAGACGATGGTCGCGCGGTGGCAGTCGTACCTTGATTCTGGTGTATTTTCGCTGAGTGTTCGGGCAGAGACGAAGTTGGGCGAGGCGAATGACAAGGTACGGACGCCAGTTCTAAACATGTGAGTTCTGAGAATGAGGATTTAGTGACACAGGCGAACTTCTGGACGGGCCCTTGGCCGTATTGGAACATGAGGGAGCTTGCGCCGCAGGTCTGGAGCGATTTGAAGGATAGTTCTCTCGTTGTCTTCAAGGTATGCATATCACTTCGCATCGTACGATCGCCGTTGATCTCAATCCGTGATCTTCTGCAGGGCGACCTGAAGTGAGTACAGGAGGCGAGCTACGTTGATTTCATAACTGACGAGACGAACCTTCACCAACTTCTAGCTACCGCAAGTACGTGCTTCGCTAGCAAGATCCGTACTGTTCTAGAGCTGACCGACGCCCTTTACAGGCTGACAGGAGACGTGAGCTGGCCTGTCTCCACTCCTTTCGAGGAGGCCGTCGGTACGCACTCTTGTCCAACCATTTCCGTTCGCGCCTTACGCATTGTAGGGCCCCTGGCCGGGGACTTTCCAATCTTGAGCCTGCGGACGAACAAGGCGGATGTCGTTGTCGGCGTCCCACAGGACGTCGCCGACAAGCTCGATGCCGCGGGCGAGAAGTGGCGGGTAAACGGCAAGTATGCGTTGGTTTCGTTCTTGCCAAGGCGGGTGTAGATTGGGTCAAGGAAGCAATCGTGTGAATAATAATAGATGGGGTATATTGCGGTCAATTGTAGGATCGAAAGGTGGAGACGCATAGATGAACCACATCCAGATCAGTTTCTGCTAATGCAATGCGACAATACAAATACACTTGACTCGACATCCACGGTCGAGGTCCACGATGTTTAGTTACTCAAACACTTTGCATATGTGCAACGTCCTCCCAAAGATACAAACAATAAAACCTTCGCAGCCCCTACGATGTTTAATCCACGCGCGGTCGCTTTCCACGCTCATCGTCATCATCTGCAGAGTCACGATCAGCCTCGTCGTGCGATCGCTTGGGCGTTACCCTATCGTCTGCCGAGCCGCCGCGCGACGGCGGGGACTGTGCACGCCCGTTCTGCTGGAGGCCCCTGAGAACTTGAAGCTCGGCTTCGAGACGCTGGCGTGAGGCACGCTCCTCGTCCCACATGCGGCGGACCTCCTCGAGTTGCGCCTGGAGATCGCCCATCGCCTGGTCCATGAGCAGCTTCTCGAGTGTCCATTTCTCGATGTTCCGTGCTTCGTTCTCTTTCAGATGGTGGATGTACTGCACGGCGCGGGCGAGGATCGCACCCTTGGCCTTCTCGCCCGAGCCATTCGGCACGATGCGCCCCAGCTCGTTGATCCCCTCGTTGATGTTGCCGCGCCGCCGACGCTCGACTTCTTTCTGCAGTTGTCGTGAGTATGCAAGACGAGGGAAAGGTGCGGGCGACGTACGTGGTTGTCCTTACGCTGCCGCGCCCATTCGTCGTTCGTCATCGACGAACTCCGCCCTGCCCGCCGACCAGCCGAACCAGGCTTCTGCTTTTCTCCGTCTGGTGACAGGTCGTCCAGTGAGTCCTGCTCATCACTATTCACAGCATGTGGAGGCTGCGAGCTACCAGGGGGCGCTGATACCATGCCGGAAAGATTTGGAGGCCCGCGTGGATGCGATGACGGACCCGGCTCCATGCCCGGCTGCGAGGGAGGATATTGTCCCTGATACATTGGCACACCAGGAGGAAGGTGAGGGAAGCTGGCCTGTGCCATATTTGATAAAGCCTCTGCAGCCACTGCCGAGTCCTTTGGGTCTGATCCGGGGCGGGTTGCCTGCTACGGGAGGTGTCAGCGGGACTTTTGATAAGTAGCGTGCGCATCATGCCCATCATGCTGACGACGCGAGACATGCTAACGTGACCGCGTCGACCATCACGTGCAGTACAATGTACTAGTAGTCGCGCTTACACGGTGCACCGTACAACGCAGGGGCGATCGAGCTACTTTGCGCTGATACTCACATAGAAACTGGGTCCTAGGGTTTTGAGAAGTGTAGCGATCTGCTCCTGCCCGAGCGTAGAGAATGGGTTTGACTGCTGTTCAGGGGCGCTTGAGCTCGATGTCGGAGATGTGGGTGATGGCTGCTGCGCCGGTGGTGGGGGCGCAGAACTTGCCGCTGGCTGCTGGGCGGGAGGTTGTGCCGTCGCCATTGTTAATAATTGGCGGATTCCGTTAGAAATCAGGCGTAATACGTCGTCCAGGACGATTCAGATGAGACGACGCAGAGAATTTGGAGCTACTAATTGTGATCGCCGTTGATGAGTTTAAAGTCTTGTTCGCCGGAGTCGGGGGCGCGCTCGTCGTGCGACGCGAGGAGATCACGGGGGAGAGTGGGGAAGGTCACGGCTGGGTCACGAGGAACGTGCGTGATATATAAAATCTGCACGTGAGAACCAGCACAAGCACGCGCAAATAACAGCGGCCGCTCGGTTCCATCATCCGACCACGTGGAAAGCCCCATGGGATGTTCTTTCGAACCTCTTCGCTTCGTACTCACCCGGAATCTGCCTGGGATGTGCGAGCTGAAAAAATGAGAGAGTTGCAAGTCGGTCGTTTCTCCATTTTGTGTTTGGAATGCGCATAGCACTTCATTTACGGGTTCGATGCTGAAGAGCCCTTGGTGAGTCTTGACTCGCGATGGCGCCTCACTCAGAGAACACTCAAACCAACAGAAATGCGGTTTACAGCTTCATGGCCATGTACAGGGCAAAGTGCGGTGTTGCCGCAGCACTAATTCTGTGGCCCGTTTGGCGAACTAGGTTCTGGCTTTCAAGTTCGTTGGTGTCGCACAGGAAAACAATGTTGCCACTGCTTTGACGCTAAACTCGTACGCAGCGTCTTCGCCGTCGCGCCTGATTTGGACGGGAAGAATAACCCAGGCACACCGTGCGACACTGACATTATTGCTGTCTACCGGTCACCTCGCGAGTGTATGTGGCAGTCACTTCTCGAACTCCAAATTGGCTGACGAGAAGAGGATTATTGAAGATGGTCGCTACCTTGTCTGGATCACTGCGCGTAAACTTTCACCCTAGTTTGGCCGTGTATTCTGAAGACGATGATATTATTGAACGCTAGACACTGTCAAGGCGTCAGATGAGACCTTTCTTATTCGATCTCTTAGAGCACCTTAGTCAGTGCACCCGCCTGGAACAGGCTTTCCCTCTGGTTTATTGGAGAGCGACACGAAGTGGCAGAGAAGAGTAGCGCATGGCGACCGTACAGTGCTATGTTTGCGAAAGTGGGCCAAGACGAGTCAAGGCTCACGCCGCCGACTTCCCTCTTCAATGTTGCAGGCTCTGCGTTGCCCCTCTGAGTTTTGGGTGAACTACGTCAGACATGTCTTTCGGCGGCCTTGCCTCTCTCCCGCCGTTTGAAGCAGAGCAAAGGGTTATCGGTTTTTCATTAAAATTACGGATGGTTACAGAGAGTGATAATTTAAGACTGGCATACAACGCCAGTTCGTTCTCAACTTTTCTTAGCCAACCGAGAAGATCGCCTCGCCTTTGCGACTGGGCTGGGTGGCTTCTGCATCGCTGGAGATTTCCGTGCTTCTGCTATCCTGCGACAGGTCGCCGCTTTCCTCGGGCTTGGAGGACTGGGTTCAGCGGCCTTTCGTGTTACACGAGAGCTTCTGGCATTTTTGAGCGGCTGAGATTTGTCCACAGGCGCAGCGGCCGCGACGACCGGCTTGGAGTGCATCGCAACAGACGCAGCGGGCTTTGCAGCTGTCTTGTGGGCCGTCGCGCCACTCGCCTTTTCCCTCCTCGAGCGAACAGCAGTTCGACGTTCCGGGCTGATGCTATTCCGCGCGACACCCTCGTCCTGCACGCGCTGTTTGCGCTTCGCACCCGCGATGGGAGGGGGCTCCTCGGATATGACGGGCAGACGCCGACGTGTGGACCTCCTGAGGGACGGTTGGCGGCGAACGACTTCTGGGGCCTTGGGAGCAAGGATGACCTCCGTCTCGTCGCTGATCTGCACCTTCTTGCGAACGCTGCGTATGGGGCGCGATGATGCAGATGGAACAGCCGACGCAGCTTCTGGAGGGTGACCGCTCCCGCTCGGTACAGGAGTGGAAACGTCGCCCGCCTCCACAGGAGTCGAACTGGTCGTCTTTGACTTCGACTTCGAGCTCTTCGTTTGCCCCGTAGGATTCCGCCGCTCCTGCAGCGTCAAGACGGGCTGGCCGCTGAACTGATCGATGAACTTGGCGACGTCGGATCCTGCGTTCTTTACAGACGGCAGCGCCCGATTGCGCGTCTTATCTCTGAACATGCCCTTGAACAGCTTCCATATTTTTGTGTGCGTGTCGAGCGGTCTCTTGAGATCTTCGTCTCCCGCGTACTCAGCATTGGAGTCAGTAAGGTTAGTGGAGATAGACAAATCGTCGGAGGAGGAGTCGCTGTCTTCGTTGATCAGATCCATCCAATCATCAGGCTCCTCTGGCTCATCTTCTGCAGGGTTCTTTTTCTCTTTTCTGCGCCGAAGAGCCATGGCTTTATCCATCTCCGCACGCTGTTCCTCGGCCTTGGCTTGGTCGAGCACCTTCACCGCGAACTGCTCCATCTTCTTGAGGTTGGTCATGCAGTAATGACGCTGAAGGATATCGTACGCCCGTTGTAGAAACACAGTCAGCAGCATCGGGCTGCCGTCCTTATTTGGGGCGAGCTGAATGGGCAATGTGCCGGAGACAATCGCGAATTTCTTCATCTGACCGCCGCGGTAGTAGCCGCCCTGGCATTTCTCTTCGTAGTAGAAGAAATGGTGGATCGTAGTGGCGAGGTTATCGTTCTTAGCGTTCGCCTCCCGCTGAGCCTGCAGCGAATCCGTTACCCGCACGTCCTGGGGTGACAAGTCGTGGAGGTGGAAGCGGAAGGCCATGAACAAGATGACGTAAATGAAGGACTCAAGGTCGTCAGCAACTTCTGGGGGCTTCAGGGGGTAGCCGAGGGCCATTGCGGACTTGAACGGCCACGTTCCCTGGTGGTACATTAGCGTCCTTCGTCCCGACACTCATCAATGGCAAATGCTCGACTCACCGAAATACCAGCCAGGTCGGACGCCGGCTTCGTGAGGTCTTCTTTGTACTTGCAGAGATCCCAATCGTTTAGGAACGCCGTGCCTCTCTCGATTCCGATCATTATGTTCCCGACGCTCACGTCGCGATGAAGAATCTCCGCCTTCTCCCATGCCTCCTTATGGGCTGTCCGCAGGTGAAAATAAGCAACGTATAAGCAGACAGTATAGCGCACCTAACAAGGCCATCCCAACCACTTCGAGGAGGTGGATAGCGTTATCATAGTCCTCTAGAGGCCTGCCGACCTCCTTCGTTACGAAGCGCGTGTGGACTCGCTTTGGCAGAGAGAAAATCAGCTCTTGCGTCAGCGTATACTGCTCTACGTCTCCGCCGGCGATGGGAGTAGCGATGTGCCGTACATGGTGCCTGTGAAGCCTTCTGTACGCGTCCAACTCAGTCCGCGGCCGCAATACGGAACGCCATTGGTCCTTGAAGAAGACCATGCGACGACTCCCGAGGTCGAAGGCGATGAATCCGCGAGTACATCGGCCGGTAGGCGAATAATGTGAAGAGATGGACTTTCCAATGAGATAAGGCCCTGTGAGCGAGGGCCGGTCGACATCGACTGAGGAACCCGAGTCGCTGCCTGAATCATGCAGAGAGACCATCGGACATTCGACCTGCGTATATGTTGGAACTCCGTACTTATTGTGAGCTACGAGCTGCGCACCTTGTAAACGGGATAACGACGATAGTTCTCTTCGTTCGTCAAGGTCTGCCAGTGCTTCTTGAGATGTTCGTTATCGGGCTCGTTGGCCTTGAGGATCTTTATGTCAGCGGAGTTAGCCAGCTTGACGGTCGTATCATAGCCTTGGACCTCTCGCGAGCTTCGAAGGAGACGGAAATGAAAATTCTGGAAAGATAATCCGTCGTGGAGAAGGCTGATGGGTTCGGTCACAATACAACCCGCACGATCGAATCGGAATAGACGGGCCCAAGAGCCAGCAACGTAGACAGCAAAGAGGTGGGTTCTATGCTGCCGCACCATGAGTTCAGTGGCGTATTTGAAAAACTGAGCGCGAGATCCCAGAGCCTTTTCGTCATCTACAAGCAGGGGCATACTGGGGCCAGTCCATGGCGAATGATCCGGAGGAAACCAAAAACCAGCCTCCTTGCTGGTCGGTTTGACTTCGATAAAGGATAGCATCCATGCCCAAGCACAGCGGGCGACATCAGTAGACTTGCCGGACGTCTTGTGCTTATATGCCTGAGTCGAGAGCTTGTGGCCGGTTCCCGAATAATACGAGGCTACGTCTGGACGCATGTCTACGTCACCGGACTCTGGCACGTCCGCCACGATCTTGAACACAACTTTGGACTTGGCGAGAGTCGCGATGTCGTTGCCAGCGTTTGTCTGGAGAACGCGTCTGGTCTAGCCTGAAACTTAAATGCGAAGCTTCGGTTCACTCACCAGCACCTGGTACATTCCCTTTTCTATTCGTCGTATTTCTTTGACCTGTCTCTTGGTTTCCTCCTCGTTTGTGTCATTGGTGGGCGCGTCAGACGGAGGACAAGGGGTTCCAGCGCCGGTGGAAGTGCTAGGTGTCTGTTGTACGCTTCGCTTGGGTAGGGTCTCCTTAGTCTTGGGACTAGCAGTGGATAGGTCTATTTCGAGGCCACTGTAGGAACTGACTCTTTTCGCCTGTGTTTCGGTCATGTCGTCGCCAGGTACGTAGGACAACATCTTGTCGAAAGCGACCTGTACGATGCGCGACTCCATCTCTCTCCCAATCTCCTTCGGATACGCAGGGCTCTTCGGTGCGGGGTGCTCTGAGCCGACTGCAGCAGCGTCGGCGGAAATCTTTCGTTGGTAGGGCGATTGGGCCCTAAGACGTGCAGAAAGTGAAGGAGGGTTTGCCTTTGCATAAACCACTTTCCTCCTCCGAGAGCGGGGACTATGGGTACGGGCTGAGGGCGGCGCCATGTGGGGCGAAGGGGTGAAGGAGACTCACATGAGATTTGAGATCCAGCAGGTTTATCTAGAGCTTTCGGCGTGGCAGTGGGCCACACTGCTTAGAACAACCAGTACAAAAGGGCCTCAGTTGGGTTACGACGTGGCCCAGCCTGTATCGCGACGATCACTCTCACAGTGACACCACGGCCGTGTAACCACAGCAACTAGGACGTGTAGTTGAAATCGCCTGCAATGAGGCCAGATTCTTCAAGGCAACTTTCCACCGCGGCCGCGGGCACGGCGCGGTGCTTGAGCAAAGACACGGCGGCTGTTGTGTTCGGATCCGGACTCTCGGTCTGCTCACGGTGATCGCCGTGCCCCGTGCCACGGAGCGCTCGGGCGTCGCGCCGGTGTTCTACCTGGGCTAACCGTTCTCCGTTGTCGAATCCCTTCGCCCCTAAAATCTGCCCCCAGGTGCGCGAGTTGAAAAGAGATGAGAGAAATTCTATATTTCCAAGCCGGTAGAGTCTCCAATTTTATCGGCACTCATTTTTGGAATGCGCAAGAGAACTGCTTCACATACGAAGACGATGCTCAAGAGTCTTTGGTGAATCACGACGTTTCGTTTAGAGAAGGATTAAACCAGCGGGTACGTTGCCTATAACTCGCGGAATAGCCAGAATCTGAGTGAATACTGAAGGGAGATTCCACGTTTTGCCCCAGACTGCTCCTCTTTGACCACAGATGTGAGTGAATTTAGAACTTGGACGCTCCGTATGCTGAAATGAGGCGCGTACAGCGAATTTTGGAGCTCTATCTGACATTTCCGGCGATACAAAAAACGATGCGGATGACGTCACGGCTTTATGGTACGTGGCCGACTCTTCAAGAGGGTGGAAGTCGCATTCAGCTCCTTTCTCCATACAGGAGCGGCGAGACAGTGCAATATTGTAGCGAACCCATTAGACGCAGCGAATATCACGTACAGCTTGAGGCTGACGGCGATGAGAGTCGCTTAGAGACTGATGATCAAAGGGATGAAGCGCAAGTGAATGATTCCAAGGTCCAGTACTGGTCAGATTACAGTCGCGTGTACCTCCACCCACGGAGTGTTCATCGCCTTCCTGACCTTCCTGACTGGGACGACGCGGAAGGGGATTGGGTCAATAGCTCGGATACGTTCCAAAAATATGATGAGGTACGACTTCATCTCGACTATATGCGCTGGGTTCACATCTCTGGCTGCAGGATAACGATTTCATGGAAGACTCGTTTCGTATCTTTGTTGAAGAATGTGACCACCTCCAGGTACGAGATCTTCCCGCGAAGACGTAATATCCAAGTCGGACTTTTTTGCTAGGGATTTCAAACTATGAACGACTCACTCACCTTCGGCGGCTTCACCCACTCCTTCCTCACCCGCTTTCGCGATGACTTCGCCAAGTTGCCATGCCTCTCGTTTCCTGTTCTTTCGGGTTCCGTCCCGGGCATGGCAGATGTAGATGACTCTCGTGCGGTCGGAAAAGCACTGAACGATGCCCTACTCCTTCAGAGCTTGAGCGACTTATCCACGTTGACCGTTCCAATACAACCTCCATCCCTCTGGTCGTCAAGTACTTGGCTGCGCGACCTAAACCTGACTGTATGCGGCGTTTCTGCTCTTCAAATAGGATGCAGTGCTGATAAAGCTCAGTTCGACAGCGTGTACCAGACATCTGCTATCCTCGCTACGCACGTCGAAGATGTCACACTCCCGATGAGGTCCGTCGTACTTTTTGATCTGCAGCAATCTGCCACTAACGCCTAAGATTAGACTGAAATATGACCGCGTTGACATGGCATCTCTTGCCTCGTCGCTAAGCTGGAGCAATGATAAGCTTTTCGCCGACCTTCAGGGAGCATTTCCATTGTTTCGTACGTGGGATACAGAGGGGTTTCCTGAACCGATGGTTTATAATTTTTCTACCGTCAACGGAGACGGCACAACCTGCGTGGTAACAATGTCCGAAAACGGTTTTTTATGTTATATGCTCATTGCAAGTAGGACGCAGCATCGACATATGCTCGAATGAACGTCTCACGAGGCTTTTCGGAGGTAGAGAAGAAATCATTCATGGGATGGGCGGAATGTTTCCGACCTGAGCCCTACACGTACGTCCTTGTCTGGGCCTCTCGAGTGACCGTCGCTGACACCTTGCAGCTTGCATGCCCCAGCCATCGAGTTACCATCCTCCTTCCCTCGCTTCTTCGTCTCTTCCTCTTCCTCTTCTTCTGTTCCGCCACACCAAGCAAGGTCGCTCAGCAGCCTATCTAGCGGTGCCTCGCTGTCGTCGCTCTTTGGCGCCTATGGTGCGGTGGCGAAAGATTGCCTTGGACAGCGCCGTGACGTAGTGACAAGGATGGGGCTAGAGGTTGATGACGTGAGGGAGCTGCGAGATAACTTGTGGGCCCTCGAAGATGCGTACAAGATCGACGAGGAAGTGAGCGATGACGATGAGTTGGGCGAGGACGAGGAAACGTGAGGGCTCCCGGTGTAAGCCCTCTGGCAAACGGGAATTATCTCCAAACATTTCAACTTCAACGACGATGGATACAATCGCGATACATTCTGACGGGACTTTGAAACTAGGTTAGACTTGCTACACCGAAAATAAAGCCATCTCTCTCGACTCCCAGAACCCATGTCTCAGGACTCAACACACTCGGGCCCGACATTTGGTCGCTGATATGCATGACAAGTCACACTGTCTACGAGCAGTAGTGCAGCTGCTTGCAAATTAGGCCTTAATCTTGTGCGATATCCTCATATGCAGCATTGAGGTAGCGGAACTCAACACACCGGCCTGGTTACTGAGCCTGACTAGCATACGCCATTGCACACAGAGTTCTAAATGCTTTTCAAAACTGGCGCATTCTACCCTACAGAATGAGCGATAAAATCTCCTGCTTCACATTATGCGAACAACGCTTCAGCACAGACTATCTTACATTATTAAAGCTTTGGCTCATGAACGCTCACTGCCTCGAGACCTTGATAACAATCTTGCCGATGTGCTTCTGGCTCTCCAAATGCTTGTATGCCTCCTGTGCCTGCTCAAAGTCGAAGACCTTGTCGACGACGGGGTGGATCTGGCGCGCGCTGAACAGGCGATTCATATCCTCGAATCTACGATAAAGATGTTAGCATCTAGATCAAAGCGTGCTCGTGCAGAATGACGTACTGCGTGCGCGAGCCGATGAGGATGCCACGGACTATGGCGGCCTTGAAGAGCGTCTTGAGCGGCACGTTGCTCACATCCGCATTGCCAGCGAGGAACCCAATGACGTGTATCCAGCCCGCCATGCGCACCGCGTCAAGCGATTGGTTGAGCGTGCCTGGCCCGCCGACCTCGATAATGTGGTCGACGCCCCTACCGCCGGTCTGAGTTGCACGCGAAGGTCATCACAGGGCCAATTCCGGGAGAAACAATGGGGACACACGATAATCTGCACCTCTTTCTCCCAGTCGGGTATCTTCTTGTAGTTGATCGTGTGATTTGCGCCGAGCCTCTTCGCTTGCTCGAGTTTCTCGTCGGAAGACGACGTCGCGATGACGTTTGCACCGCTCGCGACAGCGATCTGCAGCCCGAAGATGGACACGCCGCCAGTACCCTGGACGAGCACCCAGTCGCCGCCCTTGATCGGGGTAGGACCATGAAGCGCATTGTAAGCAGTGAGGGCAGCACACCTGGGAGATCCGTGAGTAGTTAAGGTGTACAAGCAAGATATGCACCTACGGTAAGGTCGATGCCTCTTCGTACGTCAGGTACTGCGGTACACGGACGAGGGACTACTCTGGCAATCAGCCAAAGAGATCCTCAGTCAAAGGCGAATAGAGCGCTCACATCAGCTGGGAAGGCCCGGTACTCGGTGAGAACACCTTCCAATGAACCACCGAGCGCGGTGTTCGCTGTCTCGGGAGTAATATCCCCATGGAGGTGCGCCTGTGAGAAGTTGGCACACACACGGTCGCCGACGGTCCACTTTTCGACGTCATCACCGACTACAACAACCTCGCCCGCCATATCCGAGCACGGCACGAGGTTCTCGTGTTTGGGGCCACGATACGTCCCGGTCGCGATGGTGAGGTCCCGGAACTAACATCATGACGCTCAGCAAGCGGCAGTCAGAGAGAACTGGGGCATACGTTGAGTGAGACGGCATGAACCTTGACGAGTACCTCGTTCGCCTTGGGCAGCGGGACGTCGAACTCGCGGACTGCCAAGTTGTGGACACCATCGAGCTACCGAAACACCAATCAACACCCATCATCGCTACGACTCTCCCGCCCTACCTTCGGAAGGAAGTATTGGCGAGCCTTAGTGGGAACCGCGCTGCCGTTCGCGGGAGTAGAGCCTGCAGGGAGGTCAGTCTTCACCATATTCGTCTGGTAAGGGTCCTGCGCGTGCTATTCGTGTTGATGGAAAACAAGACAAGAAGCGAGCGCAGTCCTTGTGTCGTTCTGCGCACTTTTATATTCAGCCCCGCTACAGCTGCTTTGTAAACATTGGAAAGTTCGGCGAGTCTTCGAGATGGCGATGACGTTGCTACTGAACCCGAGAGGTATCTGCAGCCTCTCACGGTATGCGTCAAGCAGTGGTCACCGTTATGCGTCAAACAGAATGAAAAAAGGGTACGGCTGCTTTCCAAGGGGGCTGAGCTGCTGCTTGGATATAAAAATGTCAATTGAGCGCGAATTTCTCGCGAGTTGAACGTACTTTTGGGACGCTGGCAGCGCTATGACATAGTAGTGGAGATCAAAGCCGTTTGTCCAAAAGCGACCAAAAGGGGATACGGAATTGGATGTGATGCATTGACGGTCACCAACACTGATAGAATCGGCATCGGGCGATATTCGCTTTACGCAGTTAGAGTCTACTCTGGCCACTGAACTAGCGAAATGCTACTAGCTCGTGTTTTTGCAAAAATGTGTCTCGTTGGCCATGGCGACTCTTATCTTGGCCATAGCTACACTCCCTGGTAGCATGAAAGATACATCATACTACTATGGTTTCAGGATCTCACGTCAGTCAGTCAGTGATGTTAATCTTGGACTTAGATGTCTTTTAAGCAGTAACAGAATTTAGCCTTAGGGTTGAGCATGCATAACTCTTGCAGACCGCTGGTGGAAGCGTCATACACATGCAGCGCCAGAGCTCAAAGTAGCGATGACAAAACACTTTATCTACAAACAATAAGTATTGAGAGGGTACAGCGAATATTGTCTTGGGTCAGGCTGAGATGCATCGACACCATATATACACGATAGGAATCGAGGAAGAGGGTACAGAGTGAGAATCGCTGCCCGGGAAGGTAAAGGTCGCGAGGGGAAGATACAGCGTCTAGCGCGGGTATACAACACTACAACAATAGGCAACGTACAGCACGGATCAACAGAAACGACGATAGATGGGGATATGGGTATCGAGCAACGCAGATCATAGAAGCGCAGCGGCAGCGCCACACGCCGCAAGCATGCCAAAGACGCTGGAGACGCCAAGCGCGGACGCGCCACCGGGGCTGGGCGATGGACTCGGCGAACCGGAGCCGGATGCGCTGCCACTGGACGAGGCGCCTGACGCAGAGGCAGACCCAGAGCCAGAGCCAGAACCAGAGGCGGTGGAAGAGCCGGTTGTGGAGGCTGCAGCGCTAGGCGCACTCGAGGTGGGAGCGGGGGCAGCTGCAAAGCGCGAGATTAGACCCGTTTGCATCGCCAGAGAAGCAGCAACTTACTGCCTGGAGGCATGACCTGGAAGCTTTGGCTTGTCGCAAGGACCTGTGTCACGTTCAGCGGGCTGACGAACTCGACTTGGTAGCCTGAGCCGGTGACCAGGGTGACGGCCGTGGCCGTGAAGGACTGCATATTCAAAGGTCAGAAATGCGTAGTCAAGCAAATCGCACGCGAGAGACATACCGAGTTGGATAGATCGACATCACTAGCTATGGAGAATGGCCCGTTCAGCGTCGCGTTGTCTACGTTGACGATAACGATATTGACAGGACTCGGGTCGCCCTGGGCGAACGTCCAGGTAATGGTATTGCTCATGTTCTGCACCCAGTACGACGAGGGCGACGGGCCCGTGATAGTAGTGGTACCTGCACAACACTAGTCAGACTGGCCCCCACGCTTGGACCCTGGGCAACGCACCAAGCGCGGTAGGGAGCGCAGCGAGGACAGCAGCGACGGTAACGAAACGCATCGTGGTTAAGTTCGTGAATGGGAATACGGGGAGGGCGGAGGGGGTGGCGAGGGTGAGGAAGGGAGACGAGCAGATTAAGAGCGGAGGAATGAAGAGACAAGCAGAAACACGATGTTGGCTTTATGGCGATGGCAGAAACACGGCGGTTCCCGCGATCGGAATCAACTATTGCCCCCGGAATGGGCAAGCTTCCACTTACTCGAGCATTCCATTCTTACTTGTGCGAACATTCATCTTGATCGCTGGAAAGCTGGAAAGCCGAATAGTGTTGTTGGCTGGGCCTCGTATAGTCAGCAGGCTCGTTAGCGAGGTCTCTCACTGAATTCACGCGTGATGCCAATCCAAAAATACAAGCGAAGTCCTGCAAAAGAGAGTGAAATGCCACGCGGCAATTCTGATTCGCGGAATAAAGGCTGCAGGGGACGCGGAGCATGTCCGCGACAAGGTTCGCGTGTCGCGCGCGAGCTACGGCATCATAAATTCTGACGTCACAGAACGAGATAATCATGGTCACAAGTATACTCCGAACGGGAGACGGACCAAGTTGGCAGCATTGTCCAGAAAGTACAAGAAAATGCGCGTCTTTGATGTCTAGTCCGAAAGGTCCGCGGCTGGGTCGTCTGTCATGTACAGGGCAAAATCCTGCACCGATGTCAATACTTGCAATATTGAAGGCCCCGACAACGCTCACCTCCATCCCAGCGTGAGGCATCGGCAGTGTCGACTCAGCAGTGGCAGCTGTTGCATTTGGCTGGGAGAGCTTGCTTTTGTTGCCCGCGCGCTTTTGCACTTCCGCCTTGAGCGCGGCCCAATCTCGTTCAGGGGATGGAGGCAGTTCACATCCGAGGTTCGCTTGATGGTCAGCACCTTCATTGCCTGTATCCCCAGCGTGGCCCTTCACATACTCAAAATGGACCTTAGGTACCGTCAGCCAGAATCATCAGACAATGCCGTAATCTTCACCTTCTGCTGGTTAGCCATACGTTCTTGTAGAAGCGCGGCGCAGTGCTTAATGATACCGAGGTTCTTCACAGGAGCGCCTGCTGCCGTCTTGAAGCCCCTGGTCTGCCATTTTGGTAGGTACTCTTTGAAACACTTGATACTGTAACTCGAGTCCGTCCTGATCAAAAGCGGGATTTTGGTAAAAGGTAAGGTCTCTAATATTCGAACAATGGCCTGTGCAACGCCAGTTTATCAAACATGTCCGTGGTAGCAGTCGTTGGGTACTTACGATGAGCTCCGCGCGGTTGTTCGTCTGGTCACCAGGACAGCGCTCCGCAATGTTCCTTCAGTTTGTGGGTAAGGCGCACAGCAAACAATCGTCACGAGAGGACGCACCGAGGATCGTTGGGCCCCCACCACACGCCCACGCCCGCGACTGCGCCAGCCTTGCCATTTCCTCGGCACGCGCCGTCACAGTACACGATCTGCCAGCCAGTAGTGTCCTCGATTACGTCCTTCCCAAGTAAAGAGCCGCGTGAAGGCTCTTTTGCTTTGCCCTTGGGAACTGCAGCCACGGGCGAAAACCGCGGTATCTTCTGGGCTGTTAGTTTGGTAGCGGTGCTCGTCGAGGCAGTCGGGGAAGCTAGCGCAGGGGTCGGAGCAGACGTTTGCAAGACGGGTGCGGACACGCCGTTCATCGTGAGCCATTGTTTCGCCTCAGCTTCCGTCTTGAACTTTTTGTGTTTTGCGCCCGGGAAGCCGTTCACCTGGCCCTCACAGTCGTCCCTGGACGCGACTTAGGTCAGCGCCGCGAATGCTGGCCAAGCACGCAGACATACGGTTACAAAACTGTCATGGTGCACTTACCAGGTCCCATATACTCCCGGATTGAACCCTTTCGCTACAGCATAATAGCCTGTCGCAGCTTTTGGCATCTTGCGTGTCACTCGGTTGGGAGTAGCTGACTGTATGCGTGGTGGGAGAGAGACAAGTTGCAGAGGAGTAAATCGATGCCCAAAGGGTCGTCGAGATGACCTCAAATATCGTGCCAGGATTGGGTATCGAGATATAATCGTGGGGAAAGGCGAAGACCAAAATGCCAAGCGTGAGCCGCGATTAGTGACGTGGGAGCTACATTCCTTTTCTGGCGTCTGCCGCACAGGTGCGTCGAGTCGACTTGAGCTGCCTCGTCTTTGTTGCGTTCATCTGTTAACACTCGGCAAGGCTAAAGGTGGTCTGTATCCCGTCCTTCAGTTGTAGTGAACGAGTCTGCCGACATACCACGCTCGCCCACATCCTGCTCCGCGCATAGGCATCGGCGACCCAGGGCTTTGGTGATACCCGTGCATACCGTTCCCTCGGGTATCCTCTGCTGCGGGAACTACTGGAGCTGCAGCAACAACGAACCGGACGAATGGGTTTCCACTATGTCCTCTCGCTCCTCGTCCACCATGCCTTCCGTTGGGCCGCAGGATGAGCTTACCGCCGCAGTATCAAGCGTCGTTGAGTCTTTGAAGCCGCTCCAAAAGGCCCGCTTCCTGCTCGACCACGTCTTGAAGCTCATCGAATCTGGGAGGTGAGTGGCTGTTCGCTCGCAGATGCAGGATAGCTTTCTGAAGAAAGTGGCGGAATAGGTACAATGAAGAGGCCGAGAAATATCTCGAGGTGTATCTCAGGACACCAGGGCTATCCAACGAAGACAAGGCGAAAGCGCTACTCGCCCGCGGAAACGCCCAACGCATGCTAGGAGAGAGAATGCTTGCGCGAGCTCAGCAGGGTGAGTTCGTGTACTCCGTTGCTCTCCAATGCTCCTTTGGCTGATTGCCGCCAGACTTCCAAGCTGTCGCCAACCTCGACCCAACGAATCGTGAGCTCCAGTTGTACTTACGCCGCGGGAACATTGTGAGCAGCATACATGACACTAGGCCGATTCATTGACTCAGGACCGTCCAGATCCACTTTGTTGACGAGCCCGCGTCGCACCGTGCGCCTCCCGAGGTGTGGGACCGCATCGCACGGTTCATCCCCCGGTACCACCTCCGGACATGGCTCTTCGTGTCGCGGTTTCACAGGAATATCGCTGTACGGATTATCTTCCACACACTCGACCTCTATTTTGGCGAAGATCAGGATAATCCGAGGGAGAACCTCAACCGTGGGTTAGACATTTTCGACCGAGTGAAAGCGGATCCAGCGTTTGCGCGTCAAATCAAGGTCTTGCGTCTTCACTGGGCATACGAAGAAGGGGACATGCTGGATCTGATGACCAGTAAGCTAGGAAGCCGTCTTCTGCCACTGCGCCTGGAGGATTGACCGTATGTACCCAGGGATATTCCGCACTACGCTTCCAGCGTTCACATCTCTCAAGGAGTTCGAGTGGATAGGATACCCCGAGCTGCGCGCTGACATGGTCCAATCCATCTTTACTTCTCATCCGCACCTGCATGCTCTTGGTCTTATCGGCTGGCACTTCGATGCGGTGGGCGTCAGCGGGTTCCGCAGCCTCTGCAAGTTTACCTTGCGCGCTGAGGATGACGACGGTTTTGCCGACATGGGAGAAGTCCGCACGGTACTCGACATGAACGAGTCAACTCTCCGGCATCTGACGCTTGGCGCGTACTTGCAGCGGACGCACTCGTGGGATAGCGCCTTCCAAAGTGCGACGATCCGCAACTTGACACATCTCGACCTCGTCGACACTCGTATCTCCCACACTGTGCTTGCGCGCATCGCGCACGCGCACAATCTGCAGAGCCTGACGCTGCATGGTACGTTTGAAGAGCCGAGCGCAGCGAGCGTCGTCTTCGGTTCGGATCACATCATCGGTGATAAGCACACTTTCCTGCCGCACCTCCAGGAGTTCCGCTTCGTCATGATCGGGCACGACGACGAATGGGGGCTCTTCCAGAGCGTGACACAATTTCTCAAAGCGCGTCGACGCCTCCGCCGTCTCGACCTCGGTTCGTGCCCCTGGGAGCTCGTCCACGCTGTCCTGCCCGACCTCGTTGGTCTCCGCGTCCTCCGCGTCCGTATCGCGAATCTGAGCAATATCGCACTCAATTCGCTCCTCGCTTGTCTTCCGCGCGAGATGGTTGCCATTCACCTGTCGAGTGCCGTCTCCGAGAAGCCAATGCACCGCTACTCGTCGGCCTTCAGAATCTTTCACGCGCTGTCCATCCTGCATCTTCATCAGAACTGCCGGCGCCCCCAGCCGAACCTCCTTTCCGACAAGGACTTCCAGGTGCAGACCGAATTCTGGCATGCCAGCCTCCGCTCGATTGCGCTGAACGTGCCAAGTGTAGACTTTGTCGGCTGGCATGGCGAGCATTACGTCGTCGTCCGCGGCGGTGAGGAGGGCGGGAATGTCGAGATGAAAGAGCTTCCCGCTAGGCGCAAACTGGATTGTGGAAAGGGTGTAGACCTCGGAGGCGATGACGCTGCTTGGCTGGAGAGGAAAGATGTTCCGATGGACTACGAAATGTCGGGTTTGGAGGCGTGACATTGGTGTACGGTAAGACGCGGCTGTGTCCGGCCACTCCTACTCGTGTACGTGCCAAAAATATATCGAAATATATGTTATTACAAGACCCTTGACGGGTGTCTCCCCCTGTACCAGAAGCAGCGACATAGGACAGTATCAATGTGGAACGGGCAAGTCGGGATCCCGACGGCTTATGTAAGCTTTGATGCGCCTTAGTAGGTCTCTAGCTTCCGCTTGGCAAAGTTTTGCCTCCGTCGCTCGGTATGACATGGACCGTCTCCCCTTGACGTAGCTTCGTAAGTCCAGAATGTAGGAAGTGTCAGCATGTTATCGTCCCGCTCTACTAATCCACTTACAGAAGACTACCCCGGATGTCACTGTGGTAGCGGTCGCGCATTCAAATGTGGCCGCCGTCGTCGTGCTCCGCCGTCCTCCAAACACGGCGGATCGTACTTCCGATCACACGCCTCTTATGGCTCACCCGTCGCGACGTAAGTACGATTCCCGCTCTGGGGTCTCCGGTGAGTGGCTTTACCCGATTGTGCTTGATGTCATTGACGGTGGCGGAATACTGGAATTGTAGTGGTAAATACTCAGTGCAGGTTTGCTTCCGTCGCGGCTCGAGAGCAATGGTCGTCATTCGTGAGCCCCAGGGTTCATCGCGGCATATGAGTGTCGTTGTACTGCAGGAAAATGACGTACTTTGCATGCGATTTTGGTGCTAAGTCCCCAGGGCATAATAGAGGCTGGGATCATATATAAGTGCGGCGGAATTGCTCTCGAGTTGCACCAATTCGGCGAATACCTCCATCTACTCGCATCTTCATCTTCAATCACCTCAACTAGTTTTCTCGCCCTTCAACATCCCAAAATGTTCACTAAGGCCACTTACGCCGTTTTCACTGCGGCCACTCTCGTCGCTGTGCAGGCCCTCCCTGCTCCCCTCCCTCTTCCTGCGCCGCTTCCGGCAAGGAACAACGCGACTCACAACTACACCATCGGCAACACCACTTACTTCAATCAGAGTACGTTACTTTCTGGTGAATATCTGTATTATGGCTGACCGGCCGCCACAGCGAACGGCGGCGAAGCTGCTTGCTCTCGCGGCATTACTCAATGGTGCACCAACCCGACTCGTCGCTCCATCGATCTCGACGTTGCCAACGGTCAAAATGGACAAGGTACGTTCGGATAATGACGCCGCTCACCTGTCCCGCTGATCGTCATCAGGATCTGGTGATCTTCTCGGCGCCGAAGTTGGCACCGACCAGGACTCAGTCAGCACAGTCTCCATTCTCGATGGCGGGGTCTCTGCCAAGGTTGGCGGTGCTGGTGCCTCAAGCAGCGGTAGCGTCAACGGTGACGCTGGCGTCGGGCTCGGTGGCGATAGCGGCAACGGCAATGGTGTAGGTGACATTGGACTCCGTCGCCGCGGAGTTGACGTCAATGTTGCGGATGATCAGGCGAACGGTACGCTATACCCATTCCCTCGATTCTGTCTGTCTGACTTGAATATTAGGAGGTCTCGTTGGCGTGAAGGCTGCTAACGACGTCACCAACGGTGTTGATATCGACGCATTGAACCGTGTAGTTTCCGCCCAACTGGATGGTATCTCTGCCAACCCTGGTCCATCCGGCAGCGATGTCTGACTCGTCGGACGGAGATTCCGGCTCACCGGATAGCAACGACGGCGCAGCTGGCAATGGATCCGGTAACGACAATGGCGGCGGTAACAACGGCGTTGCTGGCGTCGAGATTGGCTCGGACAGCGGTAATGGTAATGGGTTGACTGGCATTGATCTCGGTCGTCGTGCTTTGTAAATTCTGTTCAAGTGATACGTGGCTGCATACTTAATAGTAGAGAAAAGCGTAATATGTATTTGTATCGCGACATATAACATCCCTTGTTTATCTTGCACATAAATCAGTTGTGAAAACAGGAAGTCCGAGACGTTACCGCCCGATTTTTCGACAGGTCCAAAACGATTTGTGCTACGGAATAACACTATGTGGTAATACATTAATGTTCCGGCGTGATCCAGCCTTTTCACAAACAAAACTCGCTGCTCATTGTTTTCGGCATCATCTGGCGGTTGGAGGCGGGGGCGCATCACGAAAACCTTCAGGTGTTGGAGATGCCTTGGATTAGACGCCATTTTTTAGTTTGCCTTGTACATTGCTAGGACTTGTCTTGGAGGCGTTGACTGGCAACTTCGTCAAGGCGCCCAGAGCATGTCGGTCCGAATCAAGACGCACAAGCGATGTCAAGACGTTTGGATGCTTTCCTGATGGCCACTGTCAGGTGTTTGGGGTCTTCAAAGCGCGTGAATTCCACGCTGTCACCGCCGCGAGAAAGTAGAGGAATCGATATCTTCGTCGTCTTCGAAGGTAAAGCCTTCAAGCTTCAAGCTTCAACTTGAAGCTGAATTCTAGTGTGTTGAGACTTCCTCTATCCATAATTCCTCTCCACTTCCAAAGAAGACACATGACAGGAATCACTGCTGTGTCAGAGATTGAAGGCATTCTCAATGAACTGCACATCTCTGCCCAAACCTCGCAGCCGAGGGCCTCGTAAGCATATCTGCACTCTCTGACTAACTTCCGCAGAAGGCTTACGATGCTGCTATTCTTTTGTCGACGTAGCGACCAGAGCTCGCCAGATGACATACTCCAGCTTCAGGTCGCTAGGCTGGCACGCATCGATCTATCAGGCCCAGACTTAGGACATGAAGATCAGAGGCCCGGGCACGCCCATGTACAAGTTACTCCATCTGAGAGTCCCCTAACCCCAATCAATGAACTTCCTCCGGAGATCCTTTGTGCGATATTCACCCTGTGCGTCGAACTTGAAGATCGTCCAAGTAACATCCATCCCGCCTTCACAATTTCCCATACATGCTCAGTTTGGCGAGCCATCTCTCTTGGATACCCTATCATGTGGAGCCGAGTTAACTTGTCCCAGCTCTCGCTTGCGAGTGCGGAGCTCGTTCTTCGCAGAGGCAAGGCAATTCCGTTGAGGATCGTCGGCTGCGATATATCCACGAGGCGGGACGTCACTGCATTAATCCCAAATCATTGTCACCGCCTTGAAGAGCTACGCATTCAGCTTACCCCTAACAACGACACCGCTGCGATGGTCACCGGGATTCCCACCATTGCATATCCAAATCTAAAGCGAGTCTCCCTGCATCTTCCACCGCCATCGTCGAACCTTCCGGTTCCAGCACATATCACCATAATCTCCACACCACTCTTTGGTCGCAACGCGCCACAGCTGCGCTGCTTGTCGCTTCTCGGAGTCCGTCTGCCATTCCGTAGCGGTCATTACCGTAACTTATCCACTCTAAAGATCGCTAGAGGGGACTCTCTCGACGCCAATGACGACGACATTTGCTGGGTTTTACGAGAATCTCCGAATCTCGAGGTGCTCGAGATTGACTTACTCGTGAAGAGAACCCGTAGCCAAGCCCCTGGCGTATTCCTGGGAAGGGCGGTGATGCAGCATCCTCCAACTCCTCTGCTCTGCCTCAGGACGGTCCGACTAAGTATGCCTCTCATTCTTGCGCGTCGCTTGCTGTCGTCGATCTATTCAGACTCCGTCGAAGTATTCGAGATTCGTCTCACCGGCTCTCAACACCACAGCTACAAGCCTGGCGATCTGTTTGAATCCCTATCCGGTCTCAGGCTTACTCGTATCTTCCAGGAATTGCGCATCATCAGCGCAGATGTTGTCAACCATACGCCGATCCAAGGCGCAGTAGAGTACAATTCTATCCGCGTCGCAGGTTCCACTTTCGATAGGCCTGGCATGCCGGCGTCCTTCTCCCTGGATTGGTTGGAGCAAACGTCGCAAACTCTCCCAATGCTTCCTGGAGCAGTTGAAGCTATTCGGTCCTATCATGATATGCCAAAGCTTCGGTCCGTGTGGCTCTCCTCGAGCGAGCCTAGGGACAAGCCCTCACTGAACTGGGCTGCTTTCGGATCGTTGGCGCTGTTGTCGCACGACGGTTTCCTCGCTCTTGGCGGCGCTGCTCATCATTGTATCACCTCCCGTCAGCCACAAGATACCACGCCGATCGCTGGTTCGCCATCACTTCACCCGAAATCCGTAAAGATGAAGGGCGAAATGCACCACGACGAAGTGCAGCGGCTCTGGGAATGGTGCCGGAAGCTGGCGAACCTCCATGATTTTGACATGAGCTCATCTATTATACAATGCTACACGATTGAGCAAGGATTTGCATTCGTACGACAGGTGTCTCAGCACAAGAATATCCACAACTTCATTTGGCCTTCTTTCCGATTTTGGGATCCTTCTACGGGCAAGTTTGGACAGCCTCGGAATATGCACAAGGAGTGGTTGTCACTACTCAAAGTGACTGCAATATGATCGATGTCGATTCGAAGAGCTGAGATTTCGTTGCAAGCTAATGTGTAAGTGCCCTACTGTTTGTCCGCATGCAGACTAATAAACTAGAGCGTCGACAAATAGACGGTCATCTTGTCTCTGGAAGCTCCCCATTAGACACTCCCAAAACGTGGAACAGCCCACGCACGGCGCTGTTTCAACTTTGCCACGAACATCATGCGTCCGCCAGCCCGTCGAAGAACGTTTGTAAGAATGACGTGGACGCTTTTTCGACCCAATGTCAGCCGCACCTGGGTGCGCACACAGCTCGCATTTTCATCTCTATATATCATCCGCAGCTTTCTCTCCTACTCTCGCGACGTCTGCGTACTCTCACAGCCAATAATCCAGCTTGCGCTTCGTGCTTTATCTTATTTGTATAATGTCCACAACGCTTGCCCCCCTCTTTCGCCAGACCAACATCTCCATCCTCCCAAATCGTTCGTCGACCTACTGTAGCTGACCGCTTCTGCAAACGTGATCTTCGTGGACTGTCGTCGTCCCCATGCTATCACCACGCGTGCTGTCTCAGCAGTACATTCCCGTCGTCGGCGTACAATAGGTATGTATCTCCACCGTTCCTCAGTATAACGGACCCTGACGCGGCAGGACCAGATAATCGCGAAGGTGCCCACAGCCGGCTTCCACAACGGCGTACCAACGACGACCTCTTAGCCGAGCCTGTATTCGTATTCGAGCTTAGGGCCTTTCCTTCATTCAACAGGTGCTCAGACGTTTAATGATGACACAGGGCCGCAAAGTGCAATTCGCGGATACTTCCTTCGGTGTCGTAAATATCACCTGGCGACTGCCGCTCTCTCACTTTTGGCTCTTTTTTTTTTTTTTTCTCTCCTGGATTTACAGTGCTACCTATAGAGAGTAGTGCACACTACACCCTTGCCGTTACCTCGAACGCTGCCAGTGATCTTCTGCAACTAGCGCTCCTCGTGGACACTCTGGCTTTGTTCTGGCTTAGACTAAGTTTAGTTCGTTTTATATTCTCCGTTCTGTTCTCAAAACTGGCTCTTGGCGGCACCTGGATCTCTGAACGCGTCTCGAAAGCAAGTAAAAATAGCAAAAGTGGAGGAGAAAAGAAGTAAAATAGGAAGAGCACCGTGCATCGATAAATAAGCATCTGTATATCTTTAAGAATTTGATTCACAATTCTGTTATTCATGGTAGCGGCAGAATCATGATATAGCGCCACGAAGGTTGGGGTCACACGCTTTGACAGCATGACGCTGACATGAGGCCGTAACAAGTTTCCTAGTTACCTCCACCACCGCTCAAGTGCACGCAGCAGCGTCCGAAAATTCTCTGGCTTTAACCTCCTAAGATAAGCCGGAAGCACTTGGGGAACGCGTCGATCCAGGATGTATCATATGGCCCGCGATGAGAAGACGGAACAGCTATCCGAATAACCGCAGGTCACTTGGTCAGAAAAGAGAGCCGAGCTAGCAGCACCTTTTCAGCCAGCCTATGAGACGGGCTAAGCTGAACCGTTCGATGGCAAAAGGTGAGGCACCTCCTCGATGCAGGAGATTAGCGTTTCGGCCTTGACTTGTGTACAGTGGCGGGGGTGACGAACGTTGCAGGCCAGCTGACCGGGTTTATGTCGGACATGAAATCTCACAAAAGCAGAGCGCGAAGCCTGGCAAGAGCGGCTCGGCGGAACTGCGCAAATATTATCGGCCGCTGTGAAGTCCAATCTCGGTATGGGGAGCAGGAGAGCGAGCGTCGCCGCCTAATTGGGGCGTCGGGTGTCGTCGGCGTCGCCACGTGCTTCATCGCTGGCCAATCAGAATTGGCGGTACGTCATAGGCATAGATCAGATCAGTACCTGCGCCATCTCCCTAAAGCTCGCCCATTTCGTTTTCTCCCCTTCGCCAACTTCCCCCCTCTCGTCGTCGTCGGACACGATGAGCTCGCTCAGGAACCACAGGGTCGTTATAGCCTCTCTCTTCCTCCCAAACACCGCGGTATTTGGCGAAGTGGCCACGTCGACTCCTGATCATGTCACCTCCTTGCCAGACTTCAAGTCGGCACCACCGACGACTCGTCCGAGTCTCTTGTCTAAGAAGAGCAGACCTTTGGCCAGTATTGTGGAGGACTTAAAGGTGACGTCGTTCACGTTTTTCTGCCGTCAGTTGTGCTGACATCATCTAGTCTCGAGCAGCATCTCCTGCCGCGACTCCGCGCTCTGAGAGCGTGAATCCTTTCGGCGAATTTCCTGGTCTCAATACTCCCAACAAGGGTGTTGCTGAATCATTTCTTGGCTCAGTAGCTGCAGCTGTCAATGGCAAAGCCGTGGATGGCGCGAAGAAGGCACATCAAACTACCCATGGGCCCAACACTCAGACACGAGTGCAACGCCGCATGTCTCGGTCGACCGCGCACCGCACCAGCTCACGCTCCTTGTCATCTACCCGCCAAGACACATTCTCCCATTCGGCGGCGTGGCATGTCGAGCCCAACCCTCACTGCAATGGAGGCTTGAAGAATGCTGTCGCCAGCGTGAAGACCAGGCTCCGCAAGAAGCTCTGGGTCGGCACACTCGGCGCGAATACCGACAGCTTCAAAGAGAGCTTGAAGCGCAACATGGAATGGAGACTGCGTGAAGAACAGGATAGCCTTCCCGTCTGGATTCCGGATGCCGAGTTCGCGAGCTGCTACGACGAGTTCTGCCACCAGGTCCTCTGGCCATGCCTTCACTATGCCGTCCCCGATGCTCCCAAGACAAAGTCCTTCTACGAGTCTGCTTCCTACAAGCAATACGTCGCGGCCAACCAGCGTTTCGCCGATGCGATCGTTGCTGCTTACCAAGATGGAGACATCATTTGGGTCAACGACTACCACCTCATGCTTCTCCCTCAAATGCTCCGCGCAAAATTACCGAACGCTCCCATTGGCTTCTTCCTGCACGTCGCCTTCCCGTCATCCGAGATCTTCCGTTGTTTGTCCGTGCGAAGCCAGCTCTTGGACGGTGTCCTCGGTGCGGACCTCATCGGCTTCCAGACGGCCAATCATGCTCGTCACTTCCGGCAGACCGTCAGCCGGATTCTCAGTGCCGAGGCGCTGCCGAAGGGCATTCAGCTCGAGGATCGCTTCGTCGACGTCGGAGTGTTCCCTATGGGTATCGATGTCCAGAGTATGAACGAAAAGAGGTATGCATCATACGAACGTGCAGGCATCATTCTGTAAAACTAACCATCTGTAATCATAGACGCGATCCTGAGGTCGCCGAGTGGGTCAAGGCGCTCAAACAGCGCTATGCTGGCATGAAGCTCATCGTTGGGCGCGACAAACTTGACGAGATCCAGGTTAGTGTCACAATATCTCCCGCATATACCCTACTGACGGCTATGCCCTAGGGTGTGCGCCACAAGATTCTTGCTTTCGAGCAGTTCCTCACTCGTCACCCTGAATATCAGGGCAAGGTTGGCTCTTCCCCCAATATGATTGGTACACAGACTAAAGCTCTTCTGTAGGTTGTTCTCATTCAAGTCGCCCTTCAGACGACCGAGGAAAATGAGCTCCAGGGCAGTGTCTCTGAGGTTGTCTCGCACATCAACTCCAAATTCTCGACGTTGACATACCAGCCACTCGTCTTCCTGCACACTCAAGACTTGACCTTCAACCAATATCTTGCGCTGCTGACCGTCGCTGACGCGTTCATTGTTACCAGTCTGCGTGAAGGAATGGCGCTCCGGTTCGTTCGCTGTTCTCACCACTACTTGCAGGTCGCTGATGCCCTACCATAGAACGCATGAGTTCGTCGAGTGTCAAGAGGGCAGGCACAGGCCTCTGATCCTTAGTGAAGTACGTTTCTAGCTGCAAATCTATCACGTCTCACTCATTCGCGTTTAGTTCACGGGGTCATACAGCTACAGTGGTTTCCGCTCTTGTATCTCGATCAACCCTTGGGATAGGCGGGGAACAGCTGCTGCCATGTATCAAGCTCTAACTATGGGCGAAGATGAGGCCAAATCTCGTTGGGAGGTATGGTCAAAGCGCAAGCGAGTGTATTACAGATGCTCAGACGTATGCAGGACTTACACAACCACGTCATCACCCAAAGCGCACAGGCCTTCATCACGTCTTTCCTCGTCCGCTGCCTGCGTGCTAACATCGAGCACATGCAAAATGACACCAAGGCCGTCGCAGAGCTCGATGTTTCTCGTATACTGCCACGCTATAAACACAGCCAAACTCGCCTCCTCCTCGTCGACTTTGAGGGTACGATCTGGCTGCGCGACCCCGCCGCCCTTGCGCTTCGTGGCGAGTTCGAGATACCACAGGAGGCCATCGCATCACTTAGCAAGCTTGCTGAAGATCCTCGTAATGAGGTGTGGCTGCTCAGTGGATTGCAGGTTAAGGGTGCGTTGGAGAAGATCGCCGCCATTGCTCCTAAGATCGGAATTGTGTAAGTGTAATTGGGTAACAGCATCTGTTTGGTCGCTGATCTAGCATGCATCTAGTGCCGAGAATGGCTGCTTCATCAAGACCCGCTCTGACCGTCACGGCGAGGCGGGTTGGGTCAACATGGTGGCGAACTTCAACCTGACCTGGAAAGGTGCTTGCCTCGAGATTTTGAACTACGTGAGTCGCTAGTGTATTACTAAACAGCTAATACTTATATATTACTGTAGTTCAGCGAACGTACTCCTGGCTCGTTCATCGAGGAGCGCGAAGCGTCCATTGTCTGGCGTTACTGGACCGGTTCTGAGGACGACAAGTCGGCGGACCGCCAATGGGCTCGTCGCCAAGCTGCTGAAGCTCAGAACCATGTCTTCGACAGGTGAATGCCTCACAGAGGAGGCGATATGAAGGTTACTAACTGCTATTCCGACTAGTCTCGGTGAACGTTACGGCCTGCGCATTATCCCCGGTCAGAATAGTTTCCTCGTCTTGCCGAACAACATTTCCCGTTCGACCGCCGTTGGCGCGATCCTCAACCCCGCAGGTCCGGCACACTCGCATGCACACGCTCCTGGCGGCCCGGCGTGGATCTCTGCAGACGCAATGGACCTCGAAGACGCGACGCACGTCGACTTTGTGCTCGCGATCAGCAAGGACGAGAAGCTGATGCGCCGGCTGAACGACCTCGACAACGCCGAGACAGTCTCGACGGGCAACCGGGGCACGGACGCAGAGTGGAACCTCAAGCCCGAGGAGGTTCTTCCCGTCCTGAACCGCTTCGCAGAGACCAAGTAGATGCGCGTGCCGTCACGATAAGTTATTGCTTCGTTTGCAGGTGCATTCCGCACAGAAGAAAAACGAGAGGCAAATGATCCTGATCCTCCACATGTACCACCTCATATACTGGCGTCATCACACTGTAAGCTAGGATGTTTTTACGAATAGAGACACGAGAAACAAAGCCTCCTGTACACTTAGATTACATGTACAATAACCTCGACAATACAAGTAGCGGAACATTATTACGTCTCTGTAGTACCCTGCATGCTAGAGGAGAGTCCCTTGCAATGTCTCTATAGTCTAGCAAGTCTTGGAGGGGCGCGTACACAGAGGTGAAGACTCGAAGTACTCACAAACATGTGTTCCATTCTGACCAACTGCCAGTAGGCCGTGATTGCAGCCGGAAAATATCGGTTGTCATGACGCTGCGGTGAGTTATGACTGCAGGGCAGGAAGAAGCTCCATCGCACGTTCACAGCTCAGGTTCTTTTAGGAAGGTTGACTCGGGTTCGAGAAGCTAAGTACCGAACATCGCGCATAAGGATACTGCAGTAAGCATTCCACCGCCAGGACGATGCCAAGACCGCGCCCATCACATCGTGTATGTAAGCGCACAAATCCTTGTTGAGATGTCTCCTTCGTGTTTGTGCTCGTCACCGCCGCAGACAGGCCAACGGGGAGACGCGAAGGCATCGAAAGCATGAAACACACCGGCGCAGGTGAGCAGGAACAGAGCGCGATGCGTTTGCACAGCTTGGCGGACGCCACGAAGCTGTTGGAGTCCTGGCAGGTCACAGTACGAGCCAGTATTTGTTGGATTCGATCGGGACACCCCACAGTGTCCACACGGCCAGGCACACACTCATCGTCCTCTTCCCATGGCAAGTCAATCAAATTCAAAATGTCCATCCTGGTGCGCGGCCCGGACTCAACGGTTTTTACAGAGAAGATAGAATGCATGGTACAAAAGCGAGGCATGTTGATGTTGACCGCCAAGTTCCCCCGTGCTCCGCTTACCTCGAGCTCCCTAGGTCCGTACTCTGCAAAGCAGTTCCTTTTGCCTCGCATAAAATGTTTGTTCCCGCAGCTCGCATCTCGAAGAGATGAAGTCCACATCAGGAAAAAGACTTAGGTCCACAATGCTACAGAGTGCTACAGGAGCATTTTGGAGCACTATGGGCCCGAGTCCTGTTTCCTGATGCACTCTTTTCACCCTCCTCTCGTTTGCCTCGGCTGCCCTCGCGGCAAACCTCAACCTCGTCAGGAATATGCCGGCGGCACCTTCTTCGATGGGTGGGACTACTACGGCCATTGGGACGACCTCAACAATGGTGGGCTTTCCAGCAAATTTGCTCCACGACGGTGCTGAGCTGCTGATATAGGCAATGTGATATTTGTTAACAAGACAAACGCGACTAACCTTGCCTATGTTGCTCCGTCGGGCCATGCCATCATCACGGTGGACAACACGTCCGTCGTGCCGAACGACTACCCGCGAAACTCGGTCGGTGCATTGTCCCGTGTCTGTCATGACGAGACGCTCAACGTGCCGCCTTCAGGTCCGGATTACCTCCCAAGACTACTTTGAGCTCGGCACGGTCTTCGTCGTTGACGCTGTGCATCTCCCCTACGGCTGTTCGGTACGTACTACCTGTACTCGCTCGACCTCCACTCTAGACGACCGACCGCGTGACCCCAGGTATGGCCTTCGATCTGGACCAAGGGCGACAACTGGCCGCATAATGGCGAGATCGACATCATCGAGGGCGTCAACCTCATGACCTACAACCAGAGGGCACTGCACACGGACCCTGGCTGCAGCGCAGCGGCCGATACGAACCAGACGGGCAAAGCAGGTCCTCTCGATTGCTCGCCTACATCTGGTTGCACTGTGGTGCGTTTCTCGTCCGCTTCCTGAGACGACAAAGATTGAGGCTCGGCATGCAGCAAGAAACCACTCCGAACAGTTATGGCGCCGCCTTCGCGAACAATGGCGGTGGCGTGTGGGCAGTGCAGTTTGATGTCTCCGGAATTTTGTGGGTCTTCTGATCTTGTATGCGGATGCCCATTCTGACGAAATACTGCCAGCATCTGGTTCTGGCAAGTACGCTGGAGCATTAAGTATTTCAGTGGGCACATCGAGACTGACCTTCCGTGTAGCGCGCCAATGACCCTTCGTTGGTTACCTCTACTTCAGCTACCACAGCACTCGACATCTCGAGCTGGGGCCCGCCCTCCGCGGCATATCCCTCGGGCTCGTCATGCAATATCACCAAGTCCTTCGGTGCACAGCAGCTCGTGATCGACATCACGCTTTGCGGCGACTGGTCAGTCCACTGCTCCCATTATAGTTTGTCTACAGTACTCATGTGAGAGCGTGTATACAGGGCCGGTACCCAAGACACGTACGCTGCGACCTGCGGTAACAGCACGTACAACGCCTGCGTAAGCCGCGTTCCCCTCGCATCGCATGCCCCCATTCACAGCTCCGTACCTTGGCACAGTATCTCACGAATGTCATCGGCCAAGGCACATACACCGACGCTCACTTCGAGCTCAACTACATCCGCGCCTTCGCCGCGAGCAACGCGGCGGTCGTCAATGAGAGCGCGATCAACAGCACCACCAGTGCCTCTGGCGGCTCTTCGGGCGCAGGTGGCCTTGCCCCGAGTACTTCGACCTCTGACGCGGCGTCTGGCAGCCCGACCGGCAAAACGAAAATAAATGGTACTATGGCCTCGGCGTTGACTCCTAAGGCGCTGGTGGTTGTCTCGGGTTTGCTTGCGCTCGCTAGACTGTTGCTGTGACGGGAGTCAGAGAAGGTGATATACCCCGTGGTAGTCTCTGCCATGTTGATGTACTGTGTTTATTGTTCTAGGTCCTCACACCCCCTCGTCGTACAGAAAAATTGTCGTATACCGCCAGATTCAGTGTATCGTAGTGCCTAACAGTGACAGGTCCCTCCGTAGCTTCGCCGTCTTGTCCCCTCCCGGTCTGAAACGCCTCAGGCTATTTAGCCCGAATGCTACTACTTTAGGTCTATCCTACTGGAGCACGTTAATTGGTCGACACGAGAAGCTGGGAATAGGTGCTTACGTCGACGTCTATGCAGGTGGCGTAGCCAATCTCGCTCGAGAGGAGGTCGTTTCGGACGGGCTCTAGTTTGCCCGCGCCTTGAGCAGACAACGGGGCGTCGTATTTGGAGAGATACTATACTTCCTACCATGCGACACGAACAATTTTTTGTTCAATGTAGTTGATTTTAGAGGACCTACGACATTAGCATGCGACCGCGGAAGATACGTGCCGTTCGGAAGGACTCGAAGCGTTCCTCAAAGACGCGTCGCCTGGGGCTCTGAAGTGACAAGGTGTCCGCAACGTACACAGTTAGCCTCTCCACGTAACGAGGACTGGCTGTGTAGAATGCAAGTTCAGGGCCGCGGCTTCTCTTGAAGTAGTTTGCCGTCGGCGCAGGGAACAGGACCCATCGCTCTTCTGCTACTTGCTGCATCCAATGGTGATGTTTGATAACAGAAACCTGACCATGCTGCAAAACCCCTGTGCACAGACTTCAGCTAATTCCAGTACCTCCACCGCGGAAGTGAGATTGACCGTCGTGGGCTGACCTGCGACATGGTTTGGCAGCACTATGTCGTCGAAAACTATGACATACTACGGCCCAACATACATCAAAATGAAAATAGAACAGTGAGGGTCACCTATGCGTTATTAGGAGGAAAGAGAACGGGGAAGAGAGGCTACCACATTGGTCTTGCAGCGAAGTGCTCTGCACTTGGCGAGGAGCTATGCAATGCTCGTGAAGCGTGAAGCGTTGGATGGTAGCGACGGGAAGCATGACAACTTGTAATATTTACGGGATGCATAAGACCTTGACCAGGGCCTAGGAGGGTCCGTGGCGCAGCGCCGCAGGCGTAGAAGTTCGAACAGAGAACGTACGCTCGCTTATCTGAGCCCGTGTTTGTTGTCTCTTGCGCTCATGTTCACCAGAGTCGAGTGAACTCTGTCCCTACTCTCTCGGTTTTATCCACATGTCTTGCGCCCAAACGAAAGCTTCTGAATGCATTGGGATCCCTAGTTCTCTGTATTGACCTTGAATCCAAGAGATCTTCCGCCAGGATGTCTGCGCTGCTCTCGTTCCACAAGTCCATCTTGGAGAAGATACATGACCCGTCTACCAGCGAGCTCCTGCTGATAGCTCGTGGCCTTGGGCTCCGAAGACTGCTATGCAAACTCCTACAGATCTATGACTCGTCGCAAAACCTCGTCGTGCTCGTGAACGCGTCGTCAGAAGAGGCGGCGGCAATTGGTGAAGAACTCGGGGTTCTGGGATGTCGAAAGCCCGGCTTGAGGCTTGTCGACTTTGAGACAAGCAGAAGAGATAGGTAAGCGATGCTGTGCGTGCATGTATGCGGCTTTGCTGATAGTGAGCAGGCAGGACTTGTACAAAAAAGGCGGACTCATCTCGGTCACGTCACGGATCTTCATTGTGGATATGTTAACTGGAGATATTCCTACTCATCTCATAACTGGGATCATGCTACTTCATGCTGACCGGTAAGGATCTTTGCTTGGTATAACTACGCGTGCTGACAGTTCTGCAGAGTCAGTCCTACGTCACCTGAGGCTTTCATCGCGCGACTCTACCGCGAGAAGAACAAGACAGGGTTTCTGAAAGCGTTCACGGACCAGCCAGAGCATGTCACGAGTGGGATGTCTCCCCTACGAGTGATCATGAAAGAGCTGCAACTTCGCACTGTCCATATCTACCCTAGATTTCATCAGGATGTCTCAGAAACGCTCGGGAGAGATCGAACGGTCCTGCAGCTTTCTGTGGATATGACTGAATACATGTCCGAAATCCACGTTGCCATTGTGCAGTGCATGAGTACGACTCTGTCGGAGCTCAAGCGGTCCAACGCCCAGGTCAGGCGTTCATGCTGTGCCTTTCGTTTGTTAGTCGCTCATTAGTTCCACAGCTTGATCTTGATGACCTGAAAGTTGAGAATGCTTACTTCAAGTCTTTTGATGTTATTGTCAGACGACACCTGGACTCAGTATGGCATAAGGTCGGACCTAGGACGAAGCAACTCGTCAGTGATTTGTCCACCCTTCGGCGGCTTCTCGTGTGCGTCTGTGGTTGACTTATTGTTGCACTCTGCTGACCTTCAACAGATTACTGCTTACGGAGGATGCTTTCTCCTTCCAACTATATGTAGAGAGCCTCATTGACGCCAACACTACCAACGAAGCGGGTAATACAAAGCACAATCAGTCGCCCTGGATGATGACAGAAGCAGCGAATGTCATCTTCCAGTACGCGAAGCGCCGGTGCTACACGGTTGACCAAAAAGCTAGAGCGCGCCCAGCTGTACTACAAACTGCAGACGAGAACGAAGACGGGTGGGAAGCCATCCGAGAGCTCGAAGGCTGCGGCACGAACGGCAGGCGGTCAAAATGGCCCGAAGGTGTCCAACCCGTGCTTGAAGAGCTGCCCAAGTGGAGTCTCGTTTCCGCTGCGCTGCAAGAGATCGAAGAAGAGATGATGCGCCGAGAGACTAAGCTAACCGCACGTATGTGTGGCAGCAAATCATGATTACTGCTGAATACTGACTGGAGCGAGCAGGCGATCCCGGTGCGAACACCGTACTCATCATAACTTCGTCTGTTCGCTCCGCCCAGCTACTGCGCGAGTTCCTGGACCAGATCGACCCCGATGTTGAGCCGGGTGCGCAGGGCCGGAGGCTAATGGAAGATAACATGCGCGCCTACTTGGCTAGACAAGCATTGAAGAAGGCCATGCGAAAGAAGACGGTCGTAACTGGGAGTGGAGCCTCAACACCGTCAACGAACAGCGGGAATGGCGAAGTCAGCGAAGCTCTGAAAAAGAAGGACAAGGAAAGGGAGGCGCGGATCGCCAGTCGGAGGCGGATGCGAGGAAGTGCACCCGCCGTCGTGTCGACCCGGGGTACGGGTCCAGCGGAAAGTCTGCTTTCTGCAATCAATCAGCAAGACGAGGCCATCATCGCGTATGTGCATTCTTGTGGAGCTGTTATTGTGTCTTACCAACACATGCGACAGCGCGCTGCCAGAGGTTATGTTTGGCATGCCTGATCCCGTCGCGCTGCTCACGTTCGATGGTGACTTCGACACGGAGTATGGCATGCTGGCAGCGGAACAGACTGTCATTGTCCGCGCCTACTCGGATGATAGCGACGACACTGTTCTCTCCGAGATCCAACCCCGCTACGTGATCATGTATGAACCGAACCTCGAGTTCACTCGTCGCCTGGAAGTGGGTACTCCATTGTCTCATCCGAGAATGACTATTGAATGCCTTCAAACCTTAAGGTGTACAAGAAGAGCACGCCGGGGCTGGGTGTGCGTGTGTACCTCATGTTGTACAACAACAGCTGCGAGGAAGCTAAGTACCTTACCGACGTCCGCAGAGAGAAAGATGCTTTCGAGCGCTTAATCAAAGAACGGGGGGTAAGGTGTCTCCTTGCTCCGATGATGCGCTGGTATTAACGCCGTATAGTCGATGCTTATGCCTATCTTGGAAGAGCGGCGGCCGACAGATAGCGGCGACAACCTTATTCGGACAATCAGCACGCGAATTGCGGGTGGTCGCAAGGACACCACGACGGAACCACTCAGAGTGCGTTGTTTCTATGGTTACTCACTGCATCGTGCTTCCTGACGCCTTTGGAAGGTCATCGTTGACTTGCGAGAATTCCGCTCCTCGTTGCCCTCATTATTGCACAATGCTGGCATTCTCGTCGTGCCGGCAACGTTGACAGTTGGCGACTATGTCTTGACGCCCGACATGTGTGTAGAACGCAAGAGTATACCGGATCTAGTGTCCAGTTTCAACAGCGGGAGATTGTGAGGCCTTAGCTTGTTGTTATCGAATTCTCATCATGATGCTGTGCAGATATACTCAGTGCGAGATGATGTCCGCACATTACAAACACCCAATACTGCTCATAGAGTGGGAAGAGAACAAGTCGTTTTCACTTGAGGTACGTACACCGTCGTTCGCATCTCAGCGCCCGTACTAAAGTTCTCACTTTATCTCGCAGGCTGTGCAAGAAATCAAGTCCTATGCAAAGCCATCGAACAAGTATCAAAAGAAGAAACCCTCTGCGATGGAGACTACGGCGATGTCGACGTACAACATTCAAGCCAAACTTGTTCTGTTAACACTCACGTTCCCCCGCGTACGCATCATCTGGTCCTCGTCCCCGTACGCGACGGCCGCGATCTTTAGTGACCTGAAGCAGCATAACTTCGAGCCGGACCCGGCAAAGGCGATTGCGGTGGGCGCGGAAGAGGACGGCGAGAACGGCCCCGGCACGAATCACGCGGCAGAAGAGCTTCTGCGTGCGCTGCCGGGCGTAAGCGCGCAGGGCGTGCGTCACATCATGAACAAAGTTGAGAGCGTGCGCGAGTTCTGCGAGCTCAACCTTGTGCAAATGCAGGATATCCTTGGTGTTGAACCGGGCAAGACGTGCTACGAGTTCATCCACCGCGGCAAGCACAGCGCCTCTGCGAGGAGATAGGGGGTTCCCTGTCATAACTTACCGGCTATTTGGCATGTGCGCATTATCTGCGTGCTATGTCTGTGTTAGCCATGTTGTGCATTTAGAAGTTACCCAGGAACAGAGCTTCTGCAATTCACACGAGCTTGTTCCGCAAACTGTCTTTCTTCGCCGCCCTTTCGTCCCCACCTTTCATAACGGCTGTGCTGCGCGCTGTAGCTCTTCGCACGGAAACCACGCGCTCCCCAATATTGCTTTCCCACCTACGCGGCCAACGTCGCCGCTCTCCCAGAGAAATCTCATCTCCTTCGCGATAATCTATCTGTTCCATCACGTGCTGCGGGATACCGTACATTCCTTGTTCACCTGTTCACTACCCAAGCACTTCTGCGTCTGCGGCCTGCGCGTCAGTGCTGCGCGCAACTAATCCGAATACCCCCTCCACATAGACCGCAGTCGGTACCGAAGTTGGTTGCGCTTGATCGTTGCATGTCCTTCACGCATCACACCAATTTCTGACAACGTTCGACGTTCTACAACCTCTGCCAGGCCCGGAAACGTGCCGCGCCGCATGACCGCGCACGCTTATTCGCGGGTGCACTCGGCGAAGTGGCAGTACGAGCGGCATCCACGTAAGTGCGCTTACATCGCCTTGACGAGGTGCCGAATGAAGCCTAACATTTTGTTCGTAGGGTTTGCTGGGGTTCTCTGCCTCCCTGGGACGTGATGCACAGCGTGATGATCGTATCTCGGGATGCGGCCGGCGGATGACTCGGCGTGAGCTTAGCCTTCGTAGCATTCCATCGAGAGGCGTGGCGCGCATAGCTTGTCGCGAATCCAGGTCTATTAGTACTCTACATGGAGAGCTGTGCAGTCCTATTCATGGGAAGAAGGTCATTCTGCTTTGGATAGCACGGTGATTGGCTTGGAGCATACGAAAGTGTGCAGAAGTGATACCTTATTTGACGGCTAAAAGCTACGTGCTACTTGTGCCATGATTCTCTAATAGAAGAGTCATATAGCTGTCAGCGACCGGATGTTGTGCGTCACCCATAGTTGATGTTGGACTAATGGATTGCTGCCAGCGTGCACAGGGTAGAAAGCTACAGGCGCGTTGCTAATCCTGGCTGCAAATATAGACCACTGTCTAGCCCATGTCATGCCCGACATACAAACATACTCGGGGCCTGCCAGCCGAACCACAGCACAGTCAGGCCCCGGTGTGCAGCTAAGCTCCTTGGTAGTATATGCTGTATACCTCCTACAGGTTTTGTCTACGGATATCGCGTCCGGCGTTCGGTCGGAATGAAGGCCGTCGAGGACGCGTACCGCCGGTCCGCGTTTGCTCGGCGGCGCTGTAGGGGCCTGTCTAGTACCTTTTGGGGCTATTGTTCGCTGTCATTTGCAGGGTAGCAGGTATGTATTGCCAGCGGAACAAAACGGCCACCGCCACTCGCACTTTCAGGAGGAGCGTTAGCGTTTCACTGGCGGATTTGCGCCCATGCTCGCCCGCCTCCGTGAAACTCTTGTGGAGGTATTACTGGGACGGCCAAAGACCAGAAAAAATATGGATTTAATCTATAGTTATATTGATTGTCGCACTCAGTGGCGAGCGACTTGTGCCACATCTTGCAGCGTGAGCTGGCAGCCGGATGTCAATGAGAAGTGCTGGCGGCTGCATGGAGTCAGCGGCCGGACGCCGGCGCCGGCCGAGTGATGCCAACGGTGCCTAACGATTAATGGGTTTGAATTTATGACGCAGATTAACCCTGCATTTGGGAGTATGTACTGTAGATCGACCATTTCTGGTCTGACGAATTCAGACACCTCGTCCCGTTCTTATCCAGCTCCTCCTGACTGAACATGTTCGCATCCCTTTCGTCTTTCTTACCATCCTCTCTCCAGCCATATTCGCCGGAGAAAGACAAACCTCCACCAAAACCGCTCAAGGAAAGCATCTCTGTGCCTCAGCCTGTCATGGCAGTAGAGCAGCAAGGCGTAGTCAAGAAGAAGAAGGAGAGGACACATGAGGTGCGAATATCTCTCTAGTACCTGCTAACCTTCACGGTAACACCGCGAACACACAGTCCTTCATCGTCGTTCGGCCCCCGCCAGCCAAATCGAACCACCCTCTTAACCTCCAGATTCAGCTCGTACCCCCAACAGGGCGCACGCCGACAGTCATCAGACGATTCAGCGAAGATTCTACGGATGCGTCACTCGGGAGGAGGAGCTCAACTCGTTCAGACGTGACCGCGTACTCCTCCGTAACATCTCTGTCCACCGTTTCCTCCTCTACCTCCACGAGCTCCAGCGGACGCCGCATGATAATACCCCTCTACAATCTGCAGGCCCACAACGTCATGACGAATGTGATTGTCGATGCTGGTACTGATGCAAAGATCGCAAGGTTTATGAAGCGAGGCTTGGAAGTAATTGGGCTAGCGGTGCTGGAGCCGATCGAGCTCTGCGGTGGTCTCAAGTACGAGGACACGTCGCAGGCCTCAGGGAACTACCCATCACTCTTGTCTCCGGAGGGTGCACACACTCCCACGTCGTCGGCATCTTTGATCTCAGACACGACCCGAGAACCCTCACCACCACCTTCCGTGTCCAGTCCCCCACCTACCGCCCACGAACGCGCTCCGAGCGGCGCCCGGAAACTGTTTGGCAAGGTCTTCAAACGCAAAGACAATTCATCCAGCACGCCGAAACCCCGAGCCGCCCTTCCGCAGCTTGAGAGTACCCCCAAGCGCTCCTCGGTGCTGCTGAGCCCGCCGCACACCGCAAGTTCACACACATTCCCGGACGTACCGTCTTCTGCGACACACAACACCATTCTCGGTATTCATCCGACGGTGCGCTCCCCCTCCCCGGCACGGGGTTTCACAACGCAGAAACTTCGTCCGACGACGTATGCATGGCCAGTGCAGCGGTGGCTAAAGGGCCCACCAGAGGGCCTCGCTGCGCCACTAGACGTATTGTTGGAGGTGCGCTTCGACTGGACGCGGGCCTCGCATAGCAGACGACATCGACGTCCGCAGTCTCGCGATAACCGAGACAGCATGATCGACTCCAATGCGCCATCAATCTCTTCTCTGGCACGGAAGCAATACAGCACGAGCTCTCAGGAACCGCTTTCATCGCCACCAACGTCACAACGGTCGCTCGAGCGCTCTGCATCCCCCGCGCGCGATAGCATACGAAGTACAACAACTACGACAGACGATAGCTCACAGTCTCGTCGCCGGTTCAGCCATGACGAAGACGGTGGCGATAGCGACCCGGAGGACTCGGAGACTCCGTGGACGTGCCACCTGGTTGTGCGCAGGCTGCAGCGCTCACCGAACGATAACCCCGATACCCCGGGCATGGGTGACGTGCGCGTTAAGGTCGCGGCGGTGGTGCCCGCGCCGCACCATCCGAAGGTGGTCTCGCTGCTGAAGATCCCCTTCCCGCTCCCGGATGTCGTTCTCACTTCGCGAGTGGGGCCGCACGGTCAGCACAGCGTGCGGGTCGAGGCGGTCAAACGCGTCGTCACGCCACAGGGCGTCGCGCGGCCCGCGACAGACTTCGTGCCTGCGACGCCTACGCAGGCGGGCATCACAGGTGGCGTGAGCAAGATCGCGGCCAATGCGAGCGGCTTCCTCAAGGAGAAGACGCGGCCAGGAATGGGCGCGGGCGCAGCCACCCCTGCGGGGTGGTCGAACAGCGGGAGCCCGGGTGAACAGGCGCCCATGAGCGGAGTGTTGCTCAGCGCGGAGGAAGTCAAGGACGCGGTGTGCTGCACAGCGCTGTGGCTGGTCGTCCGCGAGGGCTTTGGCGGCGTTGGACGCGTGAAGAGGCAGGGTGACGGGTGGCGCATCCGCGGATGAAGTGCCCACGCGTTGAGCGACCGGCCACAGATGCACTGCTATGCCTGCGCCGTCGCGATAATCTTTTGTACGCTTATCATCTTTGGTGTTCTGTTCTGTTTGTTTATTAGGTTTATCGCGGTTGTCCGTCTACGCACTCATTTGGCATACCCCACTTCTTGTACACATTTACCCCAAGCCAGAGCCGTTCAGCCACCCATTCTCCCCTGCACACACCCCTGCACGCAGCACGCAGCCGCTTCGTGTTTCAAATTCGCCTGCACACATCGTGTATCATCGCATTCGAACCGATGTCAGTGCTGGATTCTGACCTTATCACGGCCTCGATTTCACACCCCGCACACGAAATTCACGACCGCTATGACCCTCCGTTCCTTTCGCAGCCGTACTAGCACCCAGCATGATACCTGTATCCTTCTGGTTAATGTCGCAGCGCGACGTTAGATTAGGCTTAGTTTCCACCTATTGTGTATCATACAAGATCATGGAATATTCACTCACCTCATGCTTACGTTATAATGCATCCCTGGACCCCCATACCGAATATCGTCATTTAATACGTCCTGTCAGGTTGGAAGCACGGCCGCATCTTATGCGAGACTGGAAAGGCTAAGATCAAGCTACAAGGCGAAGATGGATGCAAGGAAGGTAAATCTCTTCAGTATAACCACGTCAGCTGCAGTGACCTTCCGAGTCTCGTTGAAACTTGAAACGACAGCGTGGCAGTAGTTGGGACAACAACCAAGATGATCACGAATGCCAAGAGTGTCAGCACTGAGCTTGCCAGAACACCGTCGGTGTCCACAGTCGCGCCGGGTACAGACGTGTGATAACTTCCGGTACCGGTAGATGCGGCGCGGTCGGAGGTCGAGGTGTCTGGACCAGAGGTGTCCAGAGCGGAGGGACCGGGGATGTCAGAGCAGCTTACGGGCCACAGCTGAATTCTCGGGATGGCGGCTGCGCTCTAGCTTGGTGTCGATGTCCCGAGACAACGATCTCGGGCGAGCGAGCTGCAGCTTCTGCGGCTTGAGCAGGGCCGAGAATCGAAAATTGAGCTGACGCGGCCAACGGTTGCTGCAGAGTAAAGATCCGAGTAGCAGTGGCAAGGCCGGGCGCGTCGAATTGCACCTCTGAGGATATGCATCTGTCGTCGAGAGGCATCGGCTCCGTGCTAGCGCATTTGCCCGTGGTCTGCGGGTTCCTATTTGTCTTAGTCAGTTCGCTCTTTGAAGCATCTGACTGAACATACTTGAACAAAACAAGGTTTTCTTGTATCCAACTACTGCGGGGTACAGTATGGGAGTTCTCAGTTACAGTAGCTGTGTTGCAGTATGTGAAATTCCTCCTGTGAGCTATGTCAGAAGTGGCAAAAACTGAAGGCCTGATGACTGATAACCCACCAGTCGCCGACTCATTTTCCGGCCTCCACTTTAGAGTGCACTTACCGACCGGTCGAGATGTCAGATCCGGAATTGCCACAGTAGCCATGCCACGAATGGCCTCGCCTCCTTCGCAGGCTGCGGTTTGTGAGCGAGTGCTTGGGTCTTGAGCAAGTTCCGCGCGCCGCTCACCCTTGCATCGCTCGGGCGGCTCTGCAATGACAAGCGCCCGTGTCCGAGACCGCGAGGCCGCCGGTACGCTTACCCACTTCCATCGCCAGCCAGCTTCTAACTCTCGAAGAAGGCCTCACAAATTGCGCTCGAACAGAATAGGTGTACAGGCACTGCTCTATCGGACCCTTGTTCAACGAAAAGGAACTCCTTACGTGCATTTCGGCGCGGCGCATGGGAGCGTTAATATGAGTTCGAGATTTACACCGCTGCCCAGTTCCAGTTCAGCGACATTGCGCTCTAGTCCACGCGCGTGCATGCGCCTGCATGTACGTTCACGCCCGTGCATCTGTGTGCATTGTCGGGCACTCTCAGGCATTGTGTTGCGTGGACGCGCACCTCTCAAATCGAAATCGAGTTCTGTCGTGTCCCCAGTTTTCGACATGCTTATTCCTGTCCATGCACAACCTTCATAGAAGTCGCTGATAGAACGCTTCGACCTGTCGTCGTCCTTCAGCTGAAGCGGCTTCATTTGAGGCGACAAAAGTCGAACGCGTGACGTCACGTATCCGATGGCACAGCACGTGTTCACCCGATATCCTAAATTCTCGCGCTTCTCTTGCAGCGCGGCTTAGCGTGTCTGATAAAATTGAGCGACGACCCAGAAGCACGACCCTAGACGCTGCCCTTCCCTACATCTCCCTCGCACGATGGACCCTCCGCCGTTGACTACACCCCGCGGGCGATGATCCCATCCATGCTCGATCCCCCGGGCCCGCCTTTCGCCTACAGCCTTCCTTAGCCACCCGCCGCGACCACGACCGACACCGGGCAGCCTGGGAGTTGTTATGACGATGCGATGAGAGTGCACACTGGAATCCTGCTGTACGAAAAACTGACATTCACGTAAATCTCCGCAGGCCGTCTCGAGATGATCTTCACCGCCATCGCCGTCTTCACACTCATTCTCTGCCTGCTGCTCCGGTACGCCTTACTCACCTCTCTATATTTACGCTGACACGACCCACAGGCTCATGTGCCTCCGGAGCGAGAGCCGCCCGCTCCAAAGCTTCCTCACGCCGCTCCCGCCGCCGCAACGTGATCGCGAGGCCTTGCCGCATCCCTCGCATTCGAAGACGCGCAGCGAGCAGATATATCAGACGATCTTCTTGTCCACGCTCCCGATCGCCGCGCCGCAGCCCCCGCCCGCGATGTACACTGTGCCCGGCGTACCTGCGCTCGCGCCCAGGCGGCACTGACGAACTCGTGGGCGTCGCGGCACACCCGCAAGGATTCTCGGGCGAGGTGCGTGAGATGCGAGAACGCAAGCTCCGTAAGCTGCCGTTGCATGACGCCAAGGACACGTCGCCGAAGTACGAACAGGCACTTTACATGTGTGCGCCCACGCGACACTTAGCGAGGTGCGAGGTGGCGGGCACAATTACGGGCTGTGTCTATGCTATGAGGCGAGTTCATGACGCTAGCTGAAGGCAAGCTTATGTCATGCACAATGACTTGCCTCAGAGAAAGGTATGATGGAAGCCCCGCCGCTGATGGCATGTGCGGATGAGGTCGATGAGCATTGCCTGCGATCTCGGGAGACGGTAATACTGACAACGGCTTAGAATTAGTATAAAGTCTAGCTGACGTCCACTCCAGCTTGACCATGCCTGCTACTGCAGGGTATGGCGATTTAGATTCGGTGCCGTTCGAGGGGACTGGTCAAAATAGTCTACGTGGTATTTGAAATCTTACGTGGTGCGTCGTTGACCAGATGTTTGCACTCCAGTTCATGCCAGCTCAATTTATCGAGGCAGTGCGCTTCATTAGCGGCAATAATTTCGGCGAACATAGTCACCGATGGGCAAGCCTCAGCTGTAAATCTGCATCAGAGACAACGGGAAAAGTGACGCCACACATCAGACAGCGTCCCCTTAAGTATTCATGGGTCGAAAGTTGCCAATGGTGTGCTGTTGGTCAGAATTAGGGCGAACAAAGCGTATTCAGGGTCATAGGCGACGCTTCTGCCAAGCTAACAACTATCTATTCATTTGTACATAGTGTCAAGGTTCAGACGGGGCTCCACTACAGGTATAAAGCCACTAATTGGGGTACTCGATCAATATTTACTTCCCATTCACACTTATATCACAAATAAATACTAAAAAGAGATCACACTATATTACTTTAATATGTGAAGCTTCTTCGTGCGAAACTGCAAGGCGAGAGGACGAAAGATAGAGTTAAGGAGAAGGGTACAAAACTGGGCTACTCCGGGAAGACGGTTACCACTACTTGAGGCTGACGCGACAAATGTGACAATTTGTGACTAGCGGTCCTAACTTGTACAAGCAAAAACGGGTTGCCAGCTCGCCTGCGAGACATTGCGTAGCTATACGAGGTGGAGATTGTCAAAGGGGATGTTCTGGAGCTGCCACTGAGGCGCAGTGCCATAACTATGGAGCATGTCCTACACAAATCGGCGATCAGTACGGAAAGCATGGTTGGAACTTCGCAACGTACGTCATAAAACTCTCTGACGCGCAATGCAATTATATGCGCAAGTTGCCCTGTGGCCAGGCGGAGGTTTCCGGACATGCAGGTTATGGAATTATTTAGTGTCCATTCATCGTATCCTGGCCACTGCGAGAGGCTGAGCGAACGTACGGAAGCGTGCGGCTAGCGCAAGCGTGACTCACAAGTATTCGCAAGTGGACCCTGTTGTTCACACGACATATAACAGGCTTTGTTTCCGCATTGTCGAGCCCGCTGAGAGTAGTAGGTGAAGCCAGTACATATTGGAGGCACACAGAGGGTATTCCATTGCACGAGAAGCAGATGCTCGGCAGAGGTTGAAAGTTATTAATATTTTGTCTTGGTGGTTGCAGATATTGTTTTTGGGGGATTATGACACCTGGCAAGTTTGCACTGATATTATCATCATAGCTCATGAAGGAATGATGACTAAGTTGACGTGTGGCCGGGAGATAGAGATTTCTAAGTTGTGCAAGTAGTCTGTATGATGACACTGAGCGTGGCCTGATGGCGTCTGCTCCGGCATTTATTGAGGGGAGGCAGGAAGTAGGTTGATAAACCTGAGTCTTCATACGGAGTGAGTAATCGCACAAAGAGTACAAAACAGATGTAATACCACATTATATTGCTCACATGTCGTCGTGGGTCTCGTCCTTCTAAGACGTATCTTTCCAGGAGCAGCGAGAAGTTGGATGTGTTTGGGCGCAACGGATCTGTGAGTGTGTACCGTGACGTGTGGGATAGTTTCCAACCCCGGGATACCGTCCTCAAGTGCAGACCAGTCCAATTTTCCCGTGGAGTCACTGATAACTTCGTCAGGTAAAGACAGCGACAGAGACACGATCAGCGTTGAATCATCTGCTGAAGTCGGGCCAAACGCAGCCTCTAAGGATGTGCCCATTGCTTGTTGATCTGTGGTGGTATCATTGTCTGACGAAGTGTTATTAACAGCGAACACAAGGATATCAAGAGTTATTATAAAGGACGTACCTCCTTCTGGAATATATATTAGTCTTATTTCGTAGGTATATTGAGAGAATAGGTGCTGTAGGAGTGAAACGATGCTAGACCATGCGTCTAAGTGGTGCGCAGGACATAGTATGGCAGTGAGGACTGAAAAGGATATTGGAGTGATGGTAGCACCACGGGTAGCACCAGATGGCGCAACCTCAAAGCGGTGCCTAATTACCGTAGGCCGCAGCCGAGCTCGGGGTGCTAGGGCCGCCACCTTTTCGAAAATCACATCTTGCAAGATACAAGATTGCACAGTCCCCAGCTGGTTGATGAGGCGACTAATGTCGGCGGTGCTGCTAAACCGCATGCGCTCCAATGATAGCACTGTGACCCGAAGAAAAACTCCGGGCACGACTAGAGGAAAACTGGAGAAAATGGCGTATGCGGGATTGGCGCAGGCGCGCTCTAAGGTGCCGTTCTGGGCCAAGGCTAGTCGTATGGTGACAACGTTTCTTAGCTGCCTCAACTCGTGGGCATGATATAACCATGGGCTGTCGGCAGTTGGTAGCCTGACTGCCAAACTCACCGAGTGCAGGCAATCGGCGAGGGCCGGATCGAATAGCGAGGGCGATGCCGCGAGGGTGAGAAGCATGTCGACGTCCCCTCGCGAGCGCAGGGTAAGGTGTCAAAAGAGCATAGGTCTAAGGAGGATAGCCCAGTATTTGCATATTGAAATACATCGTGAGAGTGCACGTCTGTCGGCATTCGATAGTGGCTGACCATGGGGGGGCTGGCCATCGACAATGTGGAGGATTATAGCGTGGATGATCTCGGAGGGTAGACGCGATGCGACACTTCGCTCACGGTGGTGCAACATGAGTGGCTAGTTCGAGAGGCGCTCAACAGGTTACTCTCAAGGACGTTCCGCTTTGCTACACTGCGGTTAGGGAGGAGTGGGAGGTAGGAACACAGGACTGCGGTACCAGCACTCACGAGATATATAATTTAAGCTCTTGCCTGTACACGAACCTGTGGAATAGCCCCAGGTACTGTGTAGGCAATGTGTGTGTGAAGGGAAACGAAGCCTGTGATGAGGTCGGATATTAGATAACAAGCTGTCAGCTGGTTCAGGACAAGTTCCGCAGCTCGACCAGTTACTCACAGATGTTCTGACGGTATTCGGCTTTACGGCCAGTTTACATTGTGTGCAGGCGAACAGCGTGCTCTCGGCCTCATGATTGTGACGATGGGTTGCGCCAGTGTCGCTCGCATGAGGTAGCTAAGACCAGCGGCAGCCTGTGCGTCAATTTTCACCAAGCGTTATAAGGTTCACTTGATGTTCAAGCTGGGACCGCGCCTATTGCCGTAGGGATCCAACCTGAGTTTGGCGCGCTATTTTTGGAGGTCGGTTGGAGTGCCTTCGCGATCCGAAAGGTATGTTGCAGCTGCAGTCCCCGAGGTGCCTCATGCATCTGTGGCCTTGCTCAGCGTATTCTTTGCGTCTGCCAGCCACAAGATAAAATGTCAGGAACATGTAAAAGACACATAACTTTCAAGGCCCGTGCAAAGCACTATTTATATCATGATATCCACACCATGCCTCCTCGGGAGGCTGTGCTGTCCCATGGGAAACAGATAGCCTCGACGAACGTGTAGCGCCTGGATAAACCTTAGCCAGAAACCGGTGCAAAAAGCGCCGCAAGCCTGTGTCGTCTCTTGCTTGTATGTAGAGAATGCGTGGGTCAGGTTGCATTCTACGCGGTTTGCGCAAGGAGTAGCTTGCCTGGCATGCATACTCATCCAATTTGTGGCATACCAAAGTCTGCGTTGCAGCGTCATGGACTGCCCACCGTACTTTGACATGGCTGCCAAGTTCTAGTTCTGTCAAGTATTATCACAACTGCTGCGGCCGGCCAACGATTCGAAGCGCGCATCGAACAGAGGAATTAAAGACACGAACAGAAGCACGACGGGCTCGTCGTGACGGACATTGATCGGAGATGCGAGCTGACAGCATTAGCGAGCTTTTCAAGGTATCCGCGTCGTGAAAAGCCGGGACGAAAGGAAAGCCCCCTTGGAAACAAAAGCGGCGCATCAGCGTTGTGGCGTGAAAGCCTAGTCCGCTCTGATCCGTCCCGACGTCGCTGATAGAGCGCTTCGGCATGTCGTCCTTTACCGAGTCTGCTTCATTTGAGGAAACAGCTGTCGCTGTTTCACATCGGGATCAAAATTTAGCGTTTGCCCCCCAGCTCTGGGTTTATAACTTTTGGTGCTTCGATGAATCCATGGGGTAATCTTTTCTAGTACTTATCATGTAATTTCGTGTGATTTTGTTTCGCCTAGAATTGGCTATAGGTACTGCGTCGCATTCACCTTTGCCTGCATGCCGGTCAGGTACGCCCCCGGACAAAGAGGGCGGGGGGACGGCGAGCGGTCGGACAACCACCGACGGAGAAGTCGAACGCGTGACGTCACGCATCTGATGGTACAGCACGTGTCCGTTCGACACCCTAAATTCCTGCGCTTCTCTCGCTTGTGCGAGCTTCGCAGCGCGGCTTAGCGTGTCTGATAAAATTGAGCGACGACCCAGAAGCACGACCCTAGACGCTGTCCTTCCCTATATTTCCCTCGCACGATGGACCCTCCGCCGTTGACTACACCCCGCGGGCGATGATCCCATCCATGCTCGATCCCCCGGGCCCGCCCATCACCTACGGTCTTCCCCAGCCACCCGCGACGACAACGACCGACATCGGGCGTCCCGGGAGCGGCTATGACGATACGACGAGGGTGTGTGTTGGATTTATATTGTACGAAAGGCGAAACAGGCTAATCTCCGCAGGCCATCCTCGAGGTAGTCTTCATCGCTATTGCCATCTTCGCACTAGTCCTCTGCTTTCTGTTCCGGTGCGCTACAACCCACTCACCCATTCATATCCACGCTGACACGGCCCACAGGCTCATGTGCCTCCGGCGCGAGAACCGTCCGCTCAAAGACTTCCTCAAGCCGCTCCCGCCGCCCAGTGCGCCGCAGCCGCGGCACGATCGCGAAGCCTCGCCACACCCCTCGCACTCAACGACGCGCAGCGAGCAGATGCGTCAGACGATCTTCTTGCCCACGCTCCCGATCGCCGCACCGCAGCACCCGCCGGCAGTGTACACTGTGCCTGGCGTGCCTACGCTCGCGCACCCGGGCGGCGATGGGCTCGCGGGCGTCGCGGCGCACCCCCCAGGGTTCTCGGGCGAGATGCGTGGGATGCATGGACATAAGTTCTGTACGCCGCCGTTGTATGACGCCAAGGACGCGCCGCCGAGGTACGAAGAAGCTGTTCTGCATGGGCCGGGCGCGAGTGATGCGTCGTCGCCGGGTCGTCCGCCAGGAGTAGGGAGACAGGAATTGAGACGGAGCGCCAGTCAGTGAGAATCAAAGCAGACATGGGATTGTACTCTTAGTGGGGTGAAGGGTGTCATGGACGCTCGGTGTCTGTTTATGGTTGTATCTGTGCGTGTCACGTTCTCCTTCTTCGGAGAGACGCTAACCCCACGGTAGATGTTACACTGTACCCACCCAAAATGCTATTACCGGCATTCACGGCGTTTATCTCTGGCACTGCAGGCGCATGCCCGCGGCTAGAGACTACACGACGAGTCGAGCCTCTGCGTCGTACACACAACCAGTTTAGACTTCAGTGCCAGGGCGCAACCGCGGCTATTGTCGAGGCCGCTTGCACTCTCTAGCGCGCAAGTATTGGCTCCGATGATCCTGCTTCCTGTCTGCCAGTTCGTCCGTTGGCTCTGCTGTACATATACCGGCGCATACATTCATCTCCTCGTCTCCGCATCGAATCCTACATAGGACATCGTCTCTGTCAATCACCTTTCGCAAGCTAACGTCTGCCTTGAAGTCCATCCTGCGCACGCGGAGTGTCTCATGTCGGCTTGGAAGGCGGTTCCTCCAAGGCCTAAAAGGTTGCCGCTTTTTGATTATGAGCTCCATATAAGAAGCATGTAGGATGAAGCGTCTGTCAAGGCTCAGATCCCAGAATTAGAAGATTGGAGTTTGCTCTGTGGGCACTACAGATTGGGCGTCTATCTAATCTTATCAGCCGCCGCATGCGCGTCCAACGCATTCCATGACCGTGGGCCTGATGGCAGCATCATGCTCTGAGCTGCTGACGTGCTGAGATGGAGTCCCTACCACCCTCTGAGCTTATTCTTTCACGCGTGAATGCGACACAGCCTCAGGCCCTCTGCATCGCTCAACAGGAAGCGAGAGCTTCAAGACGTCCGCAACTGAAAACTCTGGCTCCTTCTGGCTCTCTCTCTTCCGAGGCTCCATCATGTGTCGAGCATCATTTCATTCGCGCAATTGGAGTCACTGGTTGCGATTCGGGCTTAGCTAGCCGCACATCTCGACAGCTCTACCATCGTACTACTGGCCTCTGCTACTCCAAGTCTCACGTAGCTAGCGCAGTCACGCGCGTTGTAGTATGATCCTAAATTGCCATACAATAATGCCACCTCTCGCGGAGATGTCAGCGCTACGGACACTGTTGAGAGAATGTAGATCGGAGGATTGATTGACATGACAAACTTGCAGGATAATCTTCAAGGACGAGCTCGTACGACGTCGCAAGCTAAGAAGATGGTGAGCGAACGCTCTCACGTGGAGTGAAGTATTATTTACCCATTTCCGCTAGGGTGAACACCGTAGCTGCGCAACAGAATCAGCCTGGCAGAAAACCAATTCACGTATGGCCCATACCCATTGGATGCACAGTCGTCAGCATAGGAAGGACCGACAGATCCACGACTCTGATATTTTGCGTGCCATAAACTTTGAACTCGTGGTCCACCACCCCTCCCTTATCCCTCGGCAGCATAGAGTTGCTGCCGCAGGTGTCTATACGCGGCGTCAGTATCAAGCCCGGGTTTTTCCCAGTATGGCGACTCACGAAATGTAGACGTGCTGTGCTTCCGTATGTATTCTATTCGCAGTCTGTTGTTGGCGCGATCCTCTGGACAACAATGTTACGGGCGCACCACAGATTTGCTCATCCGTCTGCACATCTGGGCCCGGCAGCTCTTCCTTCTCGACGATCTTATTGAAGGGCTCTGCCTTCGCAACCTTGCGCATGAACTTGACGCCATCAACCATAATGTCGATGTCGATTTCTTCCTCGTAATAGCGCGGATCCATGGCCGGGTTGGCCTTCGGGTCGGCGGACGTGGCATGCTGCAGCGAGTCTCAGAAACACAGCTAGAAGAATGAATGATGAGTGGACCCACGATTGTCCCTCGGCTGTGGGGCCGCGGGAGGATTGCCGGCATGTTTAGATACGGCTTCTCTGGCTCCGGGTTCGGGAAGAAGCTGCCCATGAAAGGGAGGAAGAGGATCTCGAAGTCTGGTACGTTCGGATCCTCGAGTAGCTGCAGTAGGATCTCGTGCTGTTCCTTCAGACCCGGTGGATACGTGCTTGCGTTCTGGGCAAGCTTTTCCTTCTGCCTGCGAACGAGCACATCTGTGCGGTCACTGATGTTTTGGATGGGAATGAATGAGGCACCATTGAGAGTCATTTTGATGGCATCTGGAAGCCCACTGGCATTCGTCTGATATCAGGTTATATTGGCATTGAGTATACGACAAAGCTCACAGGGCCACACGCAGCTTCTCTGCCTGAGCTGGGTCGTCGAGCATGCCGCTGGTGACGATATTCTGGTCCTCTCTAACCTCTGTCATGTTAATCTCAGTAATGTTCAGCTGAAGAGCATCAGAAGAATCTACTCCATCTGATGAACCCCATCGAGACGTGGTCTTGAACGTTGCTCCCGACGCCGGGCAAGTCGACCTTAACCTCGATTCCAAGGGGTTCCAGGATCTTACGGTCGCCGATTCCGCTGAGCTCCAGAATATGAGGCGATTTGATCGCCCTTGGATAGCCGTTTCAGCTCATCGCGATACCGCCGTGGAGCTTGCTGGAAGACGTACCCAGCAGATAACACGACCTCCTTCTTGGCGAAAACGGTGTAAGGCTGTCCGCCGTGCTCGAATTCGACGCCAGATGCAGCGACGTCTCCATCGCTCCTATCGGTCACAATCTTGTGGACATACGCATTAGTGAGCACTCTGAGGTTTGGCCTATCGAGCGCAGGGACAAGGTAAGCCTGGCATGGCGTTGGCGTGAGCTTGGGCGGAAGATAGTGAGTTTTGCACTCACCGCAGCGGCGTGACCACGCTGATGGGTCTCCGGGTTGATATTAGAGACGGTTTTGAATGTACCTGTGACCTGAAAGTGTCGTTAGACGAGGAAGAACGACACAAATGAGAGGCGCCAACATTTCCGTCTAACTATCCCGATTTTCAGATATATGATTGAGGAGATACCATAGACTCACTTACGCTTGTAGTAATGGTCTCGACACCGTACTTCGCCAAGCTCTGCAATGAAACAATTCAGTACTAAGACCTGTTGTATCAAGAATAGGCTATTCTGACCTTTTGCCAAAGAGCTTCCGCACCAGAGCTGTCACGAGAGAAGCTGATCGGTACGGGGCCTGTTGCTTTTCAGTCCCGCCCCAACAGCACACTATAACGCGCATACCGTCATGACCGACAGATTCGGGGTTATATAAGTTCTTGAACTCCGAAAGCTCATTCTTCGGCGGGGGATAGAACCTATACCGCTCGATCAGCTGTTGTCACGCTACGTCGACAACTCAAAGCATGGCACACTTCTGAAGTTTCTTCTGGTAACTGTGAAAGCGCTCCCATGTCCAGCCTTCGTTGCCCAGTTTGCCGATGCCTGCAAGACAAAAATTGCGAAAGTGAGCGGTCAGCTGTATAGCGCGGACAGAGGAGCGTACCATCGATGTCTTGGCGTGGAGGGATGGTCCACACTAACCAGTTGATCAGAGATGACCCGCCTAAACCCCGGCCACTGAGCCATACGAGAATGAGTGTCATACTCATGACTACTTATCAGCTGAGTGCTTACCATGCCCACAACACCGGCTGATCTCCTGCCCGGGGCTGCGGGGTAGTGGTATACATATAGTCATATTTGGGATCCAGGATGAGCTTCAGAAACGCAGCAGAATCTCCTATTATGCGGCTCAATGGGTCACTACCGAGCCAGTTGTATGCAATATACAGCTGCTTACTGATGATTGGGTCGTCCAAATGCGGCGGGCCCGCTTCAAGAACAGCGACAGTGACATCCGAGTCTTCAGACAGACGACTCGCTACGACACAGCCTGCAGTCTATGTAACTTGTTGAAACACGAGCCGTGATACTTTCGCTATGGGACATACACCACCACCTGAGCGGTCGGCGGTGAGAGGCTGTCGTAGATGAAGACAGAGAATCCGCTGCTCACCAATGACGATATAATCGAAGGTCTTGTCGGCGATGTCTTGAATATCTGCAAGTTTACTTGCCATCGTTGTGTGCGATTACTGCAAGACGAAGGGGCGTATGAGCACAAAGACTTGGGCACGTTATAGCGGCGTACTAGATCTGATAGGCAACAATAGGACGTAAAAACAGCGAGAAAAGGATTAATAACCGTAAGTCCACATTTTTATACTGCCAGCTGCAGCGCTGTTTCAGCTATCCCTACTCACGGGAGGGATGTGATCTCCACCGAGATGTTTCAAACCGGCGTTTCAGGATGTTAGATAGGATCCACCTGACAGGAGTGTAACAAACACCGGCCACCACACACCCCGAAGATTTGTTCTGAGCAATTGTACATAACCTGCTCTCGCGGACAAGTGGAAAAATCGCGTTCCAACTTTCGGCAATGGCACCTTGGTCTCGAGCGAACTTGGACTTCGTCCCAAGAGCTGGCCTGTCCGAGGCGAAAGCGAGATCGGAGGGTTGTATGCCCTTATGATGCGCAGAACTCGTAGAAACGGTATGATCATCTTACCTCACTTCAGCACATCGATGTTGAGTTTGTGACAAGATATCTCGTTCTTACGCGATCGTGATGAGGACATCAGCAGTTCCCCAGCTCTCTTCGACATTCACTCACCGACTCGTACTCCAAATTCTCCTTGCTCTCATCTCGTTCCAAGGTTTGCTCCAAGTATAGCGAGACGCCGAGAGCAACGAGGTGCACCGGGTGCGTAGGTGGTACTCTTGCTCAAGGTCTCCAGCTTCGCGACCAGGGCTGGTACTCCCAATACTCTGTTAGAGCTGTAAGGCTCTCTCCAAGATGATCCAGGACTCTATCGATTCCGTCGAAGCTTCCCTGGCGCTGAAGAAAATGGAATCCCCTTCGCTTCGTACCCCAATGTCTCCGGAATCTGAGCCGCCGCGGATGCAGCCCGAGGTCGGCAAAGTATGCATATGTGCAACCATCGTTACTGCGGCATACCAAACTATTCAGTCTGTCCGTCACGGGTGTGTCCAAAGCGTTCTAGGATAATCTGCTCACTTTAACATACTCGTCTATAGTCCGCCCTGGACACCGCGCTGGGCGTAGTCACCCCAAGGGCGGAAGCAACACAAATTGCCATCTAATCTTATTAGCCGCTGAGCGCAGCGATCAGATCAGTTCCCGGTGACTACGCGACTCCGAGTCGCTCAAGCTCCACAAGCCGATGTACGTCTTCTTACCGCCGTCTTGAGGGCATTCACCACGAGTTTGTGGATTGCTTTGCAATCCAGCATCGACCACATAACACCCCCAAGCTGCGTCTTTGGCGCCAACCGGCAGCCCGCACAACTCCTTGATTTTAAATCCTACTTTCTCGCGGGCTCGACCATGGTACTAGAGGCCGAGATGCATAGCTCAGCTTGTAGTATTTGCTGCGCATCTCAACTGCTCTTCCCTCGAGATTATTGAGTACCTTACAGAGACGCCACGAAGGCCTGGCCGACGATCCGAGACGGAAATAGCTGAAGAATCCGATGGCGATGACCTCAAAGGACTCTCCCCGCAGCCGCCTCGAGGCAGCGCTTTCTCCATATAAAACCGCCTCGGACTGTGTAGCCTTCTCCCGACCATTATCTCATACCTCCCTTCTCCCTTCTGTATCCCTGATTACGCTTCACGACCCCCGGACGACTGGCAACGACGACCAAGCACTAAGACTAGACACCTTGACTGACGACAGACTTAGACCCGCGGAAAACAGAACCCAAGTGTAATAGGCTGACTATGTGCGTTTCCAGTTTCTTTCGCTCTTACTCTGGCTGATTTTTACATTGCTTCCCTTCAGACTCTCATCCTGCACACGATGAAGTCCATCCACGCCTTTGCTACACTCGCCGCGCTTGTGTCAGGTGCATTCGCCGCCAACTTCACGCTCGTGCAAGAGTACTCTGATACGGGCTTCTTCGACTCATGGACCTTCTACGGCAACTATGACAACTTGACGAACGGTGACGTTACCTACGTGAATCAGACGAACGCGACGGGCCTCGCGTACGTCGATTCCTCGGGGCACGCCATCATCAAAGTCGACAACACGTCCTTCGTGCCGTACAACGACAAGCGCAACAGCGTGCGGATCACGACCAATGACTACTTCGAGGTCGGTACTGTTTGGGTCATCGACGCGCTGCACCTTCCATTCGGCTGCTCCGTCTGGCCAAGCATCTGGACCAAGGGCAACAACTGGCCCTCGAACGGCGAGATCGACATCATTGAGGGCGTCAACCTCATGACCTACAACCAGATGGCGCTCCACACCGAGCCCGGCTGCCTTGCCGCGAACGGCACGGACGAGACTGGCCAGCAGGGCGGCGGCGACTGCAGCGTCCCCGCGGGATGCACCGTCATCGAGAACACGCCGAACAACTATGGGCAGGCGTTCGCAGACAACGGCGGAGGCGTCTGGGCGACACAATTTGATGTCACGGGAATCTAGTGCGTGGCATGCTTTTGCCGGTCCCTGCATAGACTGACGGGGTTCACAGCATCTGGTTCTGGGGACGCGCGAACATCCCTCCGTCGATCACCACCGCGACGGACTCGATCGATATCTCGAGCTGGGGCTCGCCGTCTGCAGCATGGCCCGCGACCTCCTGCAACATCCCTCAATTCTTCGGTGCTCAGCAGCTCGTCATCGATATCACGCTTTGCGGCGACTGGTGCGTGGCCCATTTCTCCTTGTATGCATTGCGACTGATTGTCTTGCAGGGCTGGCGTCCCATCAGTCTACGCTGCGACATGCGGCGACGCCTCCACAGGCGCCTGCGTACGTCCCTCCCTCTCCCTCCTCCTCCCCCTCTCCCCTGCTGAACTCACGTCTCTCCCAACAGTACCTCGACAACGTGATCAACAACGGCACGGCACAGTACGCGAACGCGTACTTCGAGCTCAACTACATCCGCGCGTTCGCCATCAACAGCACCGTCGTCGTCAATGCAGACGGCAGCCCCGCCTCCTCCGGCGCCGGCACGCCCTCCTCAACCGCGAGTACGTCTGGCGCTAGTACGAGCGGCGGCGCGGACGCGGCAGGTGGCAAGAACTCCGGTGCTGCTGCGCTCGCACGCAGTCCTGCGGTGTGGGTCGCGGTGGCGGCCGGTGCTGTTGGTGCGCTGGGCGCGATGGCGCTATGATGTCTCTTGGGGCGAAGAAAACACTGTTTTATTTACATTGGTTCGCGTTTTGACTTGTAGTCAATTGTATACTTGTATAGACGTGTAAGATAATCTTCGGTTGTAATGGACTCGGACGCTGTATCGCGCCACTCTGTCTTGTCTTGTCCGTATTTTTGACGCTTCGTAGAGTAGCAAATTGCACGATCTGCGCGTATGGTGAAGTGGTGTAAATGTGTTGGCGCGATGCGGTGGTGTTCGGTTGCGAGGCGTTTGTGGGATTTACTGTAACTTCATGGGCGACCTTCTGGTCTTCGCCGCTTGCGATAGCAGTTACTCACTTTCGGGACATGTGATTAAAGATACGAGTTATGGACTGACGTCCGTTTGTCCAAAGTCGCAGTACTACTGACGACCGGATGTAAATCCTTCCAAAATGACCCCGATATCGATGGCGCAATCTCACAGGCTTTGTTCGCCTCTGCCATATGAACAGGTGTACTGGTCAAACCGATTGGCGCTTCATGTCAGTAGTAAGTTTTGAACGTCCTTTGTAGACAAAGTTTCTCTTTGCGTACATACTCGATCCATGACCATTACGCATTACCTACAGCGCACTATGATGCCATCAAAGTAATCTTCTGGAGGGGGGCGGAGGCGAGTTCAAGGGCGGGCAAATCGAGCGTAGGAAAAGTCGTCCGCCAGCCTTTGGTATGACATGACTGGAGCATCATGGTTTCGTTCGTAATGCTGGTTCCGTCCCAGACGAGATGTCCCCTCCCATTCTTGTCCCAGACGAGGTTTCCGCCCGCGTCGCTGTTCCAAATGAGATGTCTACCCCCGTCCTAGGTGTATAGGATATAACGGCTCGCGGTCCGGATTTCGACAAAGCGTATCAAGTTCGCCTTGCAGCGCTGATTTTCTTGTCTCAACCTTGGGGACGCGCTTGGGTGTGCGAACATCTTGCAGGATGGGCGTCGCACTGCGCTGGTTGACTTGCAACTTCCAGGCGTCCCCTATATCAGCCTGCTTTGTACATTCGCGAGATGCAAGGACCTGCCTGTTGAGTGTCATATGTGATCCCTTCGGCATGCCTGCTATATTGTGCTTCTGGTGACCACCCATATGTTATCTGGATCTCCGTTGCCTGTGCTTGAAGAGAGTCAGCATGAAAGGTAGTCTACAGAGAGCTTGCAGCCCAGGAAGCCTGTCTTACAATTCATTCGCGAGTGCCAGTAATGGAGCATGTTGGCAAGGAAGAAGCTGAATATGCAGCTATGCTTGCTATACCAGAAGACGGTGTCTCCTCGAGTTGATACAAGAATGGGCGTTCTCTCATTATATTCGGCGTTTTCGAAGATTAATGGTTCGAGGACTGCAGACAGGCGAGGGGCAGTTCCCATGGCACCCGTGCAAGTGAGCCGCTCCAGATACTCAGGCACGCAACGAATATGGCTCGGTAAGTAGTCATTGTCTGATAACCACACGAAAACTTGCGTATGACGGGCCATTTCAGCTGCGTCTGTGACTAAGAGAGTATCATATACGCACAGCATTGGCTAACATCAGGAACCCCTCTTTTGAATGGCCGTCTAAGGCCCTGAGGACACTACCCAAGTCTGGCACAGAGCGAAGCACCATAAGGAAGTGATTTAACAAACTGAGTGACTCGTGTTCTCGAAAGATGATGTTCAGGAAAGGAGAGAGGGAAGAGTGTATGGCCCTCGAAGCCTGGGCGAACAATCAGAAGCTTACAGCGTGCACATCGAGGCACGTACCTTGCACAGCGCCGGTCCTGGTGACAGACCTCTCCTACACATCTTTACACTATCTCCGTTGTCGGCGAAAACGGTCCGTATATCCACCTTGAAGTACCCAGAGCGCCACAGGGAATTGCGATAATTGACGAGCAAGTCGCCCATTACCTTTGTCGATAATATATACGACAAGCTTCCCAAATACGCGGCAGCATCGACACAGACTGTGTCTTCAAACATGAACGAAATGTGTACATGCGAAAGCTCTACAGGCAGCTGTTGGGGACGTTGAAAGCGTTCTTGGTCGTCCTGGTCTTCTGAGGTGTGCTCGCGCCCAAATTGGTACTCGACGACCTTGAGTTCAAGCAGCTGCTTAAGGAGGGCGTAGAAGTACGGCAACTGCGCTTCCCGCAGATCCGGTAGAAGCAGCTCGCATCTTGTCACGTACAGTGAGTGTACGTGATGGCGAGCGAGGTGATGGTAAGCGCGGATGTCAACTGACATCGCATCCCGGCTGGCGACAGCAATCTCTTCGAAATTATTAACCGCTCTGTGTAGCACATGTCAGGGCTAGTGGTCGGTATGTTCATGAAATTACTGCGCATCACGTACCGTACTCTGCGTCTACTTCGAAAACTATGAACTGCATCTCCGGCGGTATGAATGAGTGCCTCATGCAGGGATCCTCCTTCCTCCATTCAAGCACGAAGCGGGTTAGATCGACCAGCGCCGGTATTTCATCTACGTGTAGCAGCCCGGAACGCCGCCCTCCTCGTAGATTTTCGGCATGCCCAAACAACCAGAGAAGGCTCATGCTCTCGAGCGAAACATTCTGCGACGATGTGGCAGAAACGGTACGGAGAGTTGGCGTAGACAGCAATGGGAGCGTGCAGAACTCTGTGGCAGTGGCACGCGAGGTATCGTGCCAGGTAACCGTATCCAAGCATAGGTTTTCCAAGACCGTGACGCTGAATGCCCCAACGAGACGCAAAAACGTGCCAAAGTCTCGGAATCGATACCCTCGCAAAGCCAGGGTGGTAACGCTTTGAAAACCGCGGTGGTAGGCCAGCAGCGTGCCTGTGGTGTGAGGAAAGCGAGGGATGTTGGTTCGAGTTGGCCACAGCTGTAGCAGGACATACGATGCCGACGTAAGCCCGCACCCGAGTTCGAGAGTCTGAAGTCGCGGCAATCACTTGTAGAGGGCGGTCGGCACAGTGCGGAGGGATGTCCATGTGCCCAATTCCTTGATCTCGAGGCAAGTGATGTGTCGTACGATTACTGAAGCGGGATTAAGAATGCGGCGAGCTCCTGGAGATCCTTAAGTGTGAGATCGAATGGTGATCTTGTTGAATATGAATGGACGACACTCTTTGGCTTAGGACTTGCAGGTAAGGGAGCAGGAGGAGAGATAGCGTTTATTTTCCTGTGAGATGGAGGATTCGGAGTCACGACATTGTCCAGTTGCGCGAATGAACTTCAACACGTGATAAAGGAGCTCTGGCAGGAGGAGTTGGAAGGAACTGTCATTTTCAGGTGCGGACATATTGGCGTCCTACTCTATGTTGGTTGGAGAGAAGGGAGGGGTGTAAGAGCACAGGACGACGTCACCATGAACTTAATAGCCTCGAATCGCATGTGCCCGTGTGCGCGGTTTTGAATGAATGAAAAATGGGTGGAGGTTTCGCAGTGGTATGCTTTAAGCCGTCCAACATCCTGACATGGCGTCATTGTTTCCTTGTAGCCTCAGGCTGGGAGAAGCATCGTGAACTCTGCGTGATGTCCAAATTGGGACTGGGCCCAGAGCCCGTGCACGTGACTGCGGGTCAGAACGGATTGTGAGGCATTTGTGACGCCACAACGCTCGTTGAGCGTAAGTATCGCGGGAATACTGTATCTGTTCAGCTATGACATCTCAGTGTTCCTGAAGTCAGATGCATACCTCAAATATCGGAATAGAGCTCAATCAAGTAGCGTCGTCACAACATCACAAATCTGGCTCAGAGCCATCAAGAGCTGCTCATATGTTGATTAGTGCAATAGTCCACTCTAAGACTACTACTAACAACTCGTTGCACAGCGCACAAACCTCATCATACTCAACGAATCCTCGTCGCTCAATGGTCTTGCCTACGTCACTCCGGTCGTTTGTCTTCCCAGGATCAGCTTGTGAACCTAATCATGAATTGCTCCAAATGCGGGAGACATTCTCGCTATCTGGGAGCTATCGTGGATGCTCACGTGGTACCCCATGGGAAATAGCCCTGGCGAATGGCCTTCACATCGACGAAGGCTCTGCGATACTCCTTCAATTGCCTCTCCTCCATCTCCTCGCTCTCGAGCTATTGCGACAACTTCAACGGTGACTGAAGGCTCCGAAGAAGACAGATGGTGGTCATTCAGCATGCTTCACTTTCAGATGCGAGCTGGTCCGTGCAGGCGGCCTCTCAGACAGTTGTGCATGCAAAGCGCAGTATCAATGGCACCGGCGTACGTTGTCTCCTCATCTCTTCGCTGTGCACTATTGATGATATCACCGGCAGGGCCGCGCTCTCGCGATTGCTCTCCCGTTAGCGTTTTTTTTCTGCGCCGTACTGCCATTCTTCCTCCGGTGCGTCCTCCACTGTTCACTCCACCATCACCACTTAACCTCTCTTCTACAGGTGGATCTACCTCAAAGCAACGGGACAGTCTTGGCGAGGCTGCCTGCAGCCTATCCACCCCAACGCGGGCGACGGCAACCCACCGACGCCGGGCTGGACGCGCCGCGTTGGCGCGCGTGCACGCCAGCAGCCGATCACGTTCCGAATGACGACGATGCCTTCGTTCGCCGAGGCGAGCACGCGGCTGGACGGTTCCCATGCGTACATCATGCCCAAGCGGCCACATGTCCCTGGCGGCCGGCCCAGCTTTACGATATACGTGCCGAACGAACCGAGGGCGCCTGAGGGCGCACATGTTAGGGACTCCGCGTTGAGTGGAGGGCTACCTGCATATGACAGCTCTGATGCACCCCCAGTGTATCGTTCGTGAAGAGCACATGCCCATCCCGTCCTATCGTACAATGTAATTATAGGTAATTGCGCTTCCGCGGGGGTTAGGATATATAAAGGGCATACACGTTCAATCAGTCGGGTGATTTGTACTCTTTGGGGGATCCTCTGGTCGAACCCCTTCTGGATACTGTCCAAGAGTGACTGCAAAAGTAGCTTTATGAGAGCTCAGGAATCAGCGTCCATGGGTGAGATCTGTCTAGAGTTTCAGTTCGCCGGAATAGCCACTTGAACTTATTGAGTTACACTACATCCTGCAGGCCGAGATGAAGAGGGCCCATTGTCTAAATATCTCTACTTGGGAACGGTACAACCGAAACTGAGAACTCGTTCACTGATATATAGATATATATATATAAACAAGCCAGTCAAATTCCACATTTTGCGCGGAATTGTGCAAACAACAGTCAATGATATTGAGCCAGTCGGCTCTGTGGCAGAAGTCAGGACAATATTAGCTTCCGCACACCGTCATCTAATAGCAGCACATCAAATGCATGAAAGTACAGACTACATGATGAACTGCAGCTACGTTACACAACGGGTTTCGGTCCTCGCCAAGCGAGATCCATCTTGACTTTCTTTGCGTCGCCACGCCATACTTCCTCAAACCTTCCGTCATACTCTGCCTCCAGCATCTTGCGCTTCCGGGTCTGGCTGGATCGCGAGCCTGCCCCGGTCTGTTCCTTCTGGTCCTGCGAGACGTACTCCTTCAGGCCATCGTGCTGATCGGCAGTCTTCGACATCTTCACGAACTTCGCGCGGGGATTCTCTTGCAGGATTTTGCGGAACAATGACGCTAGCGGCCTGTGGTTATCTAGAGTGCGCTCAAGCTTCTTGGTGCGAGGCGTCAGAGTCGAGGCTGCTGGCGACGCGGGTGACGAGCGTGCACTCGGCGTCCGCTCTGCTTCAGGTGGCTCCGCATCAAACAGCCGGGCGACAGGTAAAGCATCTTCCCCCTCTTCCTCGCCCTCGTCAGAGGCAGTGGTTTGGCTTTCGCCCTCGTCGTCATTCTCCAGAGCGAGGACCTTGAAGCGCTCCAAATCCTTCATGTTGATGGCGTCGTAGTGGCGTTTGAGCAGCGAGTAGAGCCCGTCGAGCAAGATGCCGAGAGGCGTAGGGCCACTCTTGGTCGGCTTGAGGTCAACGGGCGAGATGCCAGCCTGGATATCTCGCATCTTCCTGTCTCCGCCGGACCAGTATCCGCCCTGCGCCGGGTACTCATCGAAGAAGATAGAGTGGACCAGAGAAGCGAGGGCCTTGTTCTGCTTGTTCATGGCGCGGGCCTCATCTCTACCGATATCCTTGGGATACGCCGGCGTCCGTTTGTGCTCGTGATAGCGCAGTGCCATGCATACAAGAATGTATATGAAGGCCTCGAGATCGTCGGCCAACTCGTGCGGTTTCTTAGGATACTGGAGGACCAGTGCCGACAAGTACGGCCATGTACCCTGGCAGATGCGAAGATCAGCTAAGTTACCGGTAGCATAACATTTTTAGAACGACGTACTGAGCGGCCAGGTAGATGGGGGACATCCGGATGCATATCTTCTTTGTATCTGCACACATCCCAATCGTTCATGAATGACTTGAGCTTCTTCCCGATAGATTCTACGTCGATTAAAATGTTTGCTGGGGTGACATCGCGGTGCAGCATCCCCGCAATTTCGTAAGCTTCCCAGTGTCCTGTCCTGTGATCAGCGCCAAGTTTCTGGAGCCGAGAATGTTGACTTACCGACAAGTGCTTGGTAGAGAAGGTCGATTAAATCACGCGCCGTTGGATAGCTGTCCAAGGGGATGCCGACCTCCTTGGTGACAAGTCGGGTGTGTATACGCTCGGACTGTCTGGCACTTTCTGGGAGATGTTTATCTGTCTGCGTGCGCTGAGGGCCATCGCCTGGGATGTCCACGTCTCCTCCGGCGATGGCAGTGGCAACGTAGGAGACGTTATGTTCGTGCAGTCGCGCGTATGTCTCGACCTCTGGACGCACCCCTGGGGCATTAGGTCGCCAGCTGTCCTTGATGAACGCGAGCTGGTTTGTTTGCAGATCAAGCCCCACATACGCCTTCGTACAGCGTCCAATCGGTGAGCAGTGGCCTGAAACAGGTTGGCCGATGAGGAATATTTTCTCCTTCGATGAAGAACGAGTGCTACGCCTAGTATTGTTTACCTCGGCAGTAAGAGGCTTCACTTGCATCTGAAAACGCACTTCAGCTATGGTACCTAAAGTAACAGGTCAGAAACTTGCCTTGAAGATGGGATACTCGTTGAGAGAATGTGCCATGAAGTCACGATACTGGACCAAAATGAGGTTGTCAGACTTGTATCGCAGGACCTTGGCGATTTCAATTTTCGTGGCGAGCTTGACAGTGGAGTCGTATCCAACCTGGGCCTCGGAGAGCTGACCGAAACGGTAGAGAAAGTCCATGAATTTTCTCCCGTCCTTCTTGAGGTCCAACGGCTTTGTCACAGTGCACCCCGAACGATCCCAACGCTGAGCGCGGACCTTGGTATCACATATATAGAGGGAAAACAAGTGTGTGCGGTGTTGCCGAAACTGGATCTCAGCGGCGTACTTGGCGATCTGAGCGCGGCTGACTTCGCCCTCCTTTGTGTTCCGTAAAAATCCCGGTGTTGAGAAATGGTAAGCCGCGTTCTTCTCACTCCGCTTGCACTCGATGAACAGGACCATCCATGACCAGGCGCAGTAGGCCAAGAACTTCCGGCGTCGCTCATCCGAAGACGATTCGCCGAGATATTCGAATGCAGCCCGGGCTTGAGCCGTATCTGGGTAGCTAACAACGTCTGGGCGCATTTCCTTCGCGCCACTCTCACGAATATCGGCGACGTCATAGAAACGGTATCTGGAGCCCGCTAACTTCATGATCTTGTTGCCAAGTTTGCACTGTTGAAGGCGGTAAATATCAGGCCACTGTAGCAGAAATAACAAACGCACCGTAGGGGGATACATCAACCACTCCTCGTCTGTTCGTTTTTGGCATGTGAGTTCTTTCAACTCGGGGGTCTTTCTCGCCTGCGTTTCGAGAAGGGCCGTCGTATGAGAGAGATAGCACTTCACAAAATCTTCCCATTCTCGCTCAATAAAGCATGCGTCCATCTCCTCAACAGCTTTGTCGTTGTAAGCAGGACTCTTGAAGCAGCCGCCGTTACTTCCAAAACGCGGGAATCGCGGTGTGGAATCGAGACCTTCAACGACGTGGAAGGGAGTGCGGCCGAGGAATTCGATTCGAGGAGGTGTACCCTCGCGCAACTTGACGCGAGCATGTCCAGTTACAAGCTTTCCTAAGATGCCTGGGTCAAGGCCACTGAGATCGAGTGGTAAGGACATAATTGGGCCATGGAAGAAGTCGTGCAGAACAAACCTTGGGCGATCGAGCGCGTATAAATGTCTCTACTGTTGGCCACATTTCGTTAGTTATCGTGGCCACTGATGATGTGAGAATAGCGCCGACATTGTTTGTATTGTCGCAGCGCGCGACAGAGAAAGACCTAGACCAGCGCTAGACGTGGGTGTCCACTGAAAGCGATGAATTACTCTAGTGCTAGGGCAATAGGCCTAATCTCTACAGTTGCAATGCGACGGGTAAAATTTACCTATATCATCCGGGAAATTGCTAGTGAGTAGCGGCAGGTCGAGCTCGAGTGGCGGGGGTCAAGGCCAACTTCAAGCTGGCGGTTGTCCGGCTGATCTGAGATCCGAAACACCCGATCATCAAGATCTTGGCGCCAGTAACGGTACTGCCTTTTCGCACCCTTTCATTCGAGACAGGCTGCGCATTATATAGCACAAAAAGAGGAATCATTAATCAAGCGAACGCATTTCAATATCGAAGGTATAATCCGTCGCACGCTTTATTTCTCTGCCGCTCGATATTCATGGGTTGAAGGCTTCAAGGCTTTAATATCTCTGAATTTTACTTTGTTTTTATTTATATTTAATTAAAAAAATTAAAGCAAATGCCAGCGTATTTCGTGTACTGGCCAGATGTACAGCTGTGGGTCTTTATGAGCAGAAAAAGGACGAGAGGTAAGGTTGGCGCTAAACGCCCTGTGCGCCACAAAGGATCCGGGAATCACCGAACCCTAGCCTCTGGCCGGTTTGGCCTGCCCCTCCGGGCGCTTGAATCCGTTGAGATCTCCGCCCATCCCTGGCACAGATGGATCTGCAGCATCCGCACTAAACCAAATTTACCCCTCTCTTTATATACACCTCCCTTTTCTTTCTACTTAACTGCATCCGAGCCCCCAGACAAGTGGCTCCCTGCAATGCGTGGGCGGGACCGGAAGCTTGAGGCTTGCAGCATTCAGGCCCAGACACCGCAGAAACACTGTTGAGTTCACTTGACTGGGCGTTATGCGTGCTGCGAATAAGCCCAGCTTCCTGGCTGCTGTCGCAAAGAGGCGAACTGTGCCGCTTATCTCCGTCGGGCCGAGAATTGTGCGTTTGGGCAGTCAGCATGCATCTGGTCAGCACAAACGAGGCTCGGCAGGTTCAATCGTCCAAATGTCTTTCGCCGAGCTCATGACCGCGTTTCTTTCCAGATCAGAGGATTGCGACGCAACTGTCAGTTTGACAACTTATACTATGAACTGGTTCTCCGCTCGAGGTAGGGGGCGATACGTATGGCAAATTGTGCGCAGCCTGTCATCCGACGTTTTGATCCATCTCGACCATGATCTCGACCTATATCAACATCTGGACAGCGAATTCGCCGCCGGCCAACATAAACTCAATCAATAGCGCTTATGGCGCATGCCATTTTGGTATTTAAGTCCTCCACTACGACGACCCGGACGACCGGTTCTGCTCGACACTCGTGCGAAGCACAGACGTGGAACCTGGATCGATATCGATTCTGTATCTTCGTTTGGCTCCTTAGCCTCTCTGTCTCCTACCCTCGTCACCGAGCGGTCTTCCTGGTCGTCCATCAGACGACTTTGGTGCAAATTCGCCGCAGAAGTACATAGAGCCCGAGCATGGTGTTCTGTTTCGAAAGCGATATGGTCTCTGTCCTTATCGTCGACGATGTGCAGCGAGGTGCGAGCGAGAATACGAGGGTATGTGCAGCTCCTGCCTACTACGTCGTACTTGGCTGACGACTCAACGACCCTGCAGCATAAGGCTGGTCTCGCGCTCGCGATAATCGCGATCATCATTGGCATTCTGGTGCTCTTATCACCGTGCATTAAGTAAAATTATTCTCCAGAGCTCAAGAGTATGCGCTGATGCTCAAATTCGAAACAGGTGTCTTATCCTCAGACGTCAGGGCAAGTCATGGCGCGCTGCAATGCAGGAAGCGTTGCAGAGTACGGCTCCTAACCAGCGCCGAACGCCACGGTCGACCCGACCTTACCAGCTTCAACCCAGGCGGTCACACTGGAAAATTCGTTTTGTGCGCCTGTTGTCACATGGACGGCAATCTGAGGAGACCTTGCCTACGTGGGCGCTTAGTCCCCCTCCCGATACTGTTCCTCTGCCCCCGCCGGCCCACGTCAGGCACGGGAGCATCAGCGAGACGCAAGACCCTCTAGGATTGGATGCATTACCTGCGTACAGCGATGAAGCAGGCCGTCCACCAAAGTATCAAGAAATGATACCATAGCTAGACTCGGCTCAAGTTATTGTACCGTTCTCTTCCGCTCCCTCTTGCAACCTATCCATTTCAGGTACGCACTCAGTTGTCTATGCCTACCTCACTTAGCCTTACTGACATCTCTGTTAGCTTTCGTATCTGTGTCGTCATCATCACTCTCCCATAGCGACGAGTACCAGTCATCAATTCCTTGGGCGGATGTACTATAATCACATGCACACTACGGCCCTGCCCCACAGCGGATCTTGGTGGAGCGCATGTCGGACGAAGCGCCCTCGGACCTCGTGCGTCGTCCTACGTGGACGTCTGTTCGCCTGGAAACTACCCGAGCTCGCTGGCCCAGCTGACGGCGCTAATGCAACCCCACCGCACCACGGTGACGTCACCGCCAGTCTTGGGCAACAACGGGCGACTTCCTTCGACGCGTCGACGTCACTTCCCAAACGAGCCGGACGTCGCGATATATAAAGGCTACCTGGAACATCCAGTCTCTTCAGAAACAACACCCACAACCACAACCACACACAGTTTTCACGACTTTCACTATGTCTTCCACCACCAACAACAACGAGCCCAAGTACGTGTCGAGTGACTCGCGTCCGAATTCAGTAATGACTAACGCGCCGCCTGTTTGTAGCAAGACCTCTGGCCAGTTCCACTCGACCAAGGGCAACGTCGTCGAGATGGTGGGCAACGCAACTGGCTGGGAGTCGTGGCAGACGTCTGGTCGCGAAGAGCATGCCCAGGGCGAGGCTGAGTACAAAGCTGCTCAGGTCAAGGGCTACGCGGAGGGCGGCGTCGACCGCCTCGGCGGCAAGAAGGACGCCGTTGTCGGTGCCATGACAGGTGACCGTCAGCAAGAGGCTGCTGGTAAGTTTATGCGCTCCCAGCATGTTTGGCGTAGTGCTCATTTAGCTTGCGCATAGGCAACATCCGCCATGACAAGGGTCAGGCCCAGCAGAACATCAACGACCCAACGTCTTAAATCACGTCATCATTATACCCCGTTATGCTTTACACATGTACCCATACTCGCATTGATTGGAGAGAATATGATGGCATAATACTGTATTTTGAACAAATGCATGAAACGTGAGATGCTTGCATGCTAGATTCGTGTCAACGAGTAGTTCGATAATGGCGACCAGGACAAGTTCCCTGGACTTGCGGATTACATCCGTGATCCTCCATGTCGTCAACTTAGTACTTACATAATAACAAGTTCAGTCAGCAAGTTGCCAAGCTGTAAGCTTCAAGAGCCAACGCATCAATCGTCCTACGCACATTTTATGCGCTTCGAGTCGTTCCAGTACGCCATTGAGGGTGCTATCATTAAAATATTAAGGAGGTGAGTTCTACCTTTCTTGTTGCCCATACGCGCCGTGTGGGCAGCATTTGTACCCAGTTCGCAGCTGGACTTAGCTCCCGAACCTCCCTAACGCATTTCATCCCCGACACCTTGACTTTCTGGGTCGCTGATGCGCCCTGATGCGCTGATGCAGGCGACCCGACGCGGTCCAAATTTGGTAGCGATGATCATCGATCAACTCCGGCTTGCCACGCCTCGTGGGTGTTCGTTTTAAGTCTCTCCCAGAAAACGATCATTGCATTCCTTATGGCGTTTTCAGCGACATCCTCGGACATAGGGGACTCAATTAGAGGTGTTGCGCGTCGCATCACAAGCTGGGCACCAAATCCCGCGTGCGTATCTTGCTTTTCTTCGTCATGTACACTCGTTGAACTTGCCTATACCCGGCTTATTACAGACTGACCACAGCTGTGGTACATGGCGAGCTCGAGGAGCTCGATACGCTGGAAGAACAGTGGAAAGAGGTCTCTATCGGCCTCAAACGTGTGCGAGCTGCACTGAACCGCAGAAAGAATTCACTTGCAAGGGTGCATACTCTGCCCGTAGAAATCCTCCGCATAGTATTCACGCTATACTGTGCAATCACAGACCACCCCGTTCACCCTGGTCTCACTCTTCTATTGGCCTGTTCGCATTGGCGCGATATAGTACTGCAATGTCCTGCCATATGGACCCGATTGAACTTGTCTATCCTTCCCCGGAGTAACGCAGAACTTCTCTGTGCCATGTCACAACAACTTCCTTTGCAGCTGCGATTTCACGGCATAAACCATCGAATAATGGGCTCTACCATATCCTTCCTCCGCGACATGTTGTGGCGAACAAGCGAGCTCGACCTGTGCGTGGACTGCGACTTTCACACCGATACCGGCCGCAAATTTGTGCCCTTTTTTCGGGTCCTCCCCACCGACAATAACATCCCATTAGAGTGTTTCAAAATCAGGTTTCAGTCGATATGGCGTCCAGCTGATATCGTGATCGGCGCTCCGCTCTTTGGTGGACATGCGCCACATTTGAAGTATCTAGAACTGGATGGCTTGCGCCTGGCATGGAACTCCGGGTTTTACTGCAACCTATCGACTCTGAAAATCGTTAATTGCAGGGCAGATGCGCGTGGCAATGCGGACCGTGACATTCGCTATGCGTTGCGCGACTCTCCCAACCTTGAGGTGCTCGAAATCTCTCTCATTGGCGAGGGAGAAGCCTATCCCCTGCACGGCAGTTCACTGCACGCGTCATCTCGAGTAGAGTTGAAGTCCTTGCACACTTTAATCCTCGGACTTCCTGTTCGCTCTGTCCACCAAGTGCTTCGTTCCATCACGGCTGACTCTATCAAGACGCTCCATATCAACATCGACGCTTTAACGGACTACACCTTACATACCCATCTCATCCCATCAGTTCTCGACGACGGCGTGCTGCCGTCCGGAGCTCTTCCACCCCATGTTGAACGAGTCGACCTCATCCTCGATCAAAAATGCTGCCTCGCCGTGTGGAAGTGCCTAGAGAGTCCCGCACCCATGTTCTCGCTTTCATGGCCGCACAAGTCGTTCACCGGCGTACAGGCTGTCGTGCTCCAGCAGCTCTCGGATAGATTGAGCGCTTTGGGTGTCTCGCATGCAAAACATCTTAGCTTTGCACTGGGCGATAGCCTGCGCCCCCTCGACGACCTTAGCACACATCCCTTCGCACCCCTCCTCATGTCGTCGTCACTCGTGCGGCTGGACATGGATGGCGCCGCCCCGAACGTCGTCCTACCCATCTTGGCATCTGACCGTGTTGCCTCTGCAGCGTCGAACTGGCCACATCTCGCTCAAGTGCAGGTGACCATGACCAACAACAATACGCTGCATACGTATGCGTCGGATGCTCTTGTTAAATGGCTGGAAGGTCGTGCCATGCGGCCATCGTTGAACTTCCGACGGGTTTCCTTCGCGCTCAACTCGGAAGCAGACCAATTCACCCAGACTGTGACGCGCCTTGCGGCAGCTGTCACTTGGGACAACTGCAATTTTTTCTCGCTATATTTAGATGATCTTGCGAAGTGAGATGTGACCGGGCGGAGACGACTGGGCGATGTGGTAATGTGAGAAGGAACACAGCGACTAGATAGCCTGGCCGCTGTTAAGATGAATTTCCTCCTGGTTTGCGTTCACCAGTAACATATTGTACTGTCTCGTTGTCAGGTCAGCTGGTGTTCGAAACTTGTCACTGGGCCCTCGGATGTCCTGCTCTAATAGTACCGACCGAACATCCCAAACTACTTTCTGGTATCGACCTCGCAGGATATGACATCTCGTACTGCAAGGACCCGGGAGCATGCTCAAGTGCGAGTTTTTCTCAGCTGTTGTACAACGGTACAATCTCCAGCATGTGCACACGTCGGTTCTGTTTCTATGTCGGCGGAGGTCAGGTGAATTTTATTTCAAACCCATAGTATTAGTTTGATGCGGTACAAAACTCATAGCACTATTCACACTGCACTGAACAGATATGCTGCTGCAGCATACATTGCACTCTTTTTTCCTTCGTTCAGCCTCTGATAAGACTTTTGCGGGAAAATACTAGTTCCACGCACGACGGCCGCTCTCTGCTTGCCGTCAATAGCAACATGAAGTCGTTTTGCATCTCAAATTTGACTCACTGGACTAGCAGATGAACGCCATGCACTTAAAGCCTGCCACCAGTGCACGGGAGGGTATCTTGACCAATGCTCACTTGTGATGCTTTACACCCTGGTTTGTATGAGGCACCTACGCATATGCAGATGTTTGCAATTCTCAAATAATTCAGCGGCGCATAGGAAGCCTCCATGTGGCACTTCTACAGTGACAACCTAAAGTATTGCAACAGACTACAGAGGGGTGTTAAGATTCCTCAATATCTCCGTGAATATTACAGATGGCTGGACACATTGTATATGGTTTTTAAACTGGACAATTAGCTGTATTTTCTCAAGGTATCGCCTTGTAGCAGAAGGTGTATGCTGGAAGAGTATATCAAAAATAGCTGAAAATATGCATATTTATCATATAATTTGTAGTATAATACAGACTGTAGAATGAAATTGAATCTGCACATATTAAAATGGAGCTAGTTGTATAGTATGTGTACAAATATAATGATGTGATTAGGCATCCATTTGAATGAACTGTAGAGCATATCACATTCATTGCAACATGCAACAGTGTATACTCATATGCTTCAAACATAATCAGATGCTGAAGTTCTTATATTTTGCTACTATATCTCTCTCCTAGTAAAGTCCATACTGTAAACAGATTTTGGGAAACTTTCCTCTCCACATTGTGGAGTTAGATATGTGCAAACTGCTATAAGAGAAACAAGCCAATGTGATATGCCCTACAGTTCATTCAAATGGATGCCTAATCACATCATTATATTTGTACACATACTATACAACTAGCTCCATTTTAATATGTGCAGATTCAATTTCATTCTACAGTCTGTATTATACTACAAATTATATGATAAATATGCATATTTTCAGCTATTTTTGATATACTCTTCCAGCATACACCTTCTGCTACAAGACGATACCTTGAGAAAATACAGCTAATTGTCCAGTTTAAAAACCATATACAATGTGTCCAGCCATCTGTAATATTCACGGAGATATTGAGGAATCTTAACACCCCTCTGTAGTCTGTTGCAATACTTTAGGTCGTCACTGTAGTACTGCGCAACATGAAGGCGCCAATTACCGTCGCAGCTCTGACTTGGCAGAACATGACCACCATTCAGGATATTGACAAATCGTTGGACGAGTTCCTTGGTACTATTCGAGCATGGGATGAAAAATCCAGGTAAGCACACGTTAAGAAGGCATTTAGTAGCTCACACGAGCCTTGAGCTTGGCCTTTCAGTGACCTTCGGGATGCGGCAATAGATGCTCTCGCGGATGACGTCCGGAATCACTACGATCTTCCCATCGCCTCCATCAACAGCATGCTCGCGAAGATTGACAATGGTATGAAGGAGCTTCAGGTCATCCGCGCCAAGTTTGCTTCCCGGCGCAGTGCTCGGGCGAAAATCAATGAGCTCCCCGAAGATATCTTGCGTTTGATTTTCGGGCACTGCGGGCGTACGGAGGTCAGAACTGACAACGGAAGTCTTTTCTCTGGGTTTGCCGGGACTGCGTCTCCTGGCCCGCGTCTGCATCCTGCATTTCCCGTTTCCTGGACATGCTCCTATTGGCGCAAAATATCACTTGATCATTCAGGGATGTGGGCCCACGTCAACCTAGCGAGCTTCTCACAAAGGATGGTCGAGGAGCTATTCAAACGAGCGAAGGAGCATCCCCTCGTTATTCACTGTCACATTCCATCACATGGTCAGAGTGAGCGAGCCTTCGACCTTGCTTCCGAACTCCTTCCTTTGAAGATGTCGCGGGTCAAAGAGCTATCGCTCGACATTCGCATATCTGGAAAACAGTTGGCAGCCACCCCACTAACGTGCCCAGCTCCACTCATTGAACAACTTCATTTCGGTCTGTCGACTCAGACTTTACACAATGTGCTGCCGTATGCGTTGTTTAAGGGCGAGGCTCCAAAACTGCGCCACCTAACATTAGACGGTATTCGTATGCCTTGGAATATTGGCTTCTACCGCAATCTCTCGACCTTGATAATCCGGAACTTTGATCGCCACGCAACATCTCTACGGGACTCAGATATCTGCTGCGTTATTCAAGACTCACCACGACTTGAGATCCTGGAAATCCGGTCCGGCTCTTCCATAACACAGCAAACACAGCAAACACAGCCAAGTGACCCCTCTACCATGGTCTCTCGCACTTCCTGTCCTCGTGTTGAGCTCAAGCACCTATCCACGCTCACACTCGTAATCCCAGTCCAAATTGTCCACCATTTATTGTCATCTATAGCAGCGAATCACATCACCTCCTTGACTATCAGTCTCGAGGGCGGCGTCATGGATTCGAATGCTCACCTTGTGGCGCCTCTGTTCCATCCGGATATTCTTCCGCGCAGTGCGCTATCTGGCATGAAACAACTCATCGTACATGCACACGGATCGCTTCCTATAGGCACGTATCTCTGGGCTACGGAGACACTCCAGACAGGCTTCATGCCGTCGCTAAATCAGCGTCACTGCCGAGTTGAATGGCGCGACAGCTCGTCCCAGCCGGTGTACATTGCAACCCTTCGTCAGGTCGCGTCGAACGTCCTAGCACATCGCAAGATTGAGCACATCGAGCGCCTCGTGCTTTCCTCGGATTGCGATGCTGACGACCACCCATGTGCGATTTACACGCACCTCCCGTCGCTCAGCAGCGTGGCGATCGATAGAGCTGTTGTCCCTTCAGCCATCGGGCAACTATGCTCTTCAAACGCAGGGACGCCGGCCACTGGAGAGCGATCCACAATAACCGAGCTCACTATACGCCACTGTGCTGTTACGAGCGAACAGCTGGACGCGCTTATCGTATGGTGTAGCCGTCGCCGGGAGCCGCTGCGCAAGCTAGTGTTCACCGCTGTTGCATTCAAGATTGCGTCTCGCAGCGCTATAGAAGCTATAGTGCGCGGCTTTGACAACATCGCTCAGCTGGATGTTGTGTGGGGGTGGGGGTGTGAGTTTTACTGCTCTGACGACAGCCAAACGTATCAGCTCCAACGCAAGCCCTTGAGCAGGAAACGATACGAAGTTGTCCACAGCCCGGATCTAACGTAGTGTAGCGTCTTATAGCGTTCCGCACCATAGGCTCGATAGCTTGCTAGATTTTAGTCCGTGTCTTAGACCTACTGATCGGGCTCGTCTCAACATTGCATCGATGGTCAGCGAATCCGTGTAGCATGCTCTTTCACCGAGGTGCAAGCTGGGCCAAATCATACCCCTTGGGAATCACTGTCCGGCAGTCTTTGTTTCATCTACGTAGTCGGGGCTCAGATATATGCGCGATTGTAGAGAATTGTTGTTGGCCGTGGCTTGGTTCAAAGTTTGGAGGGAGCGCCTTACGATTTTTTTGTGATTCCGAATGTCCGGGCGTCTCGCATCAGGCTAAGCAGCCATCTCACCGGCGGCGCGCGTCGGGTTCGTCCTTTCCTTCAACTCTCACTTTCACCTCGGTAATATGATTCTGCGGGGCGCGTATTGTGCTGGAGGTAGGGCAAGTGTTCTTGGTGCGGGCGCAAGGTGCGTCATAAAGGATCACAGCACGGTACAGTACTCATCGAATAACACTTTCGTAGGTTACCCCGTCATTTCGCGTCCAGCTCCCAAGTTAGACTGCTGTCACTCGGAGGCGTGCAAGTAAGTGCTCCAAATCAAACAAAGACTATCTCTTATTCCAGCATAGCGTGCAACACCATCAACGGCTCGGAAGAGCCCGTATGCTTTACCTGGCGGTTCTCGCAACTTCTGGTGGTCATCCTCAAAAGTCTCCACCGCTGAGCCTTCAGCTGCTACGTCCCCGGAGTCTCCTGTATTGGCGCAGGACAGCGCAGGTGCTGTCGCAGTCACCGAGCAATCACCCGCGGAGGCCGCTCAGCTCTTGGAGTCGACGAACGCGCTTGACACTGCACCCATCATTGACACCACGCCCGTAGCGGAAATTGTCCAAGATACCATTGCAACACCTCTGTCAAGCAGTGCTCTTGACACAGTTGCCCAAATCACGCCACTACAATATGGCGATCTTGCTGCCATGGGTCTGGCTAGCTGGTCACCGGCTGGACTGTGCCAGTGGTTTCTGGAGGTTTCCCAGGTTGCTAGCGGCCTACCGTGGTTCTGGACGATTGTCGGCGCGACCGTAGTTTCACGTCTCATCGTTTTCCCTTTCGCCGTGAAGAGTATCCGGAACGCAGCACGTATGGCGCCGCACCAGGCCGAGTTCGAGAAGCTTAGGGAGGAAATCAACAAGGCACGCATCTCGAAGGACATGGTTGAGATGCAGCGCGCTGTCATGAAGCAGCAGATGCTCTACAAAAAGATCGGGGTCTCTCTCCCTGGCATGGTCCTTCCGCCGTTCGCCCAGATTCCTGTCACCCTTGGCATGTTCTTCGGTGTCAAAAAGATGTGCGACCTGCCCGTGCCCCAGCTCAAGCAAAGCGGCGTCGACTTCTGGCAGGACTTGACTGTACCCGACCCTATGTATGTCCTTCCCGCGCTCGCAACAGCAGGTATGAACGTTGGTCTTACGGTACGTGTCGTCCTTTCTTTGGAAAGCACCACTTGACGTCTGCTTCTAGCTCGGTATGCGTGACATGGCTGCCGCAGAGCACACACCACATCTGATAAATGGTCTCCGCGTTCTGTCCACTGTCGGTCTCCTCTTCATGGTGAACCTGCCTGCTGTAAGTTTGTCACCGCCTTTTCACATATCTCGGCTGCTCATCGCAACTTCCAGGGCGTTCTGGTTCACATCTTGACCGGAACCGTCTGCATGTCATTGCAAAGCACGATTCTTCGGCTGCCCGCTGTGCGTAGCGCGCTAGACATCCCCCAACGCCCAGCGAACTTTGGCGTTCAGTCCACCAGCATGGTGGACACATGGCGGTACATTCAGAAGTGGTGGGCAAAGAAAAGGGAGGATGCCATCCTCGAAGCTCACGTGAAGGCGCAGCGGCGGCGGTAAAGTTTGTTAGAAGTCGTCTCCCCCTTTCGCGTACGTGCTTAGAGTACCATCGTATGTCGAATAATCGAGATATATCTCCACTCTACGCCGACTGCTTCGTGCTTTCATGTTATACGATTGACGAAGGCTAAGAGGCATGCAGGAACCGAGCCGACACTCTCTAAGCCAGAGATACTCTAAAGACTGGCAAAAGTTCAAAAGAAGAAGGTTTGATACAGTAAAGAGTAGTGCATAGAACGTCTGCTCATGTCTCTCCGCGAGTTTGACCTTCGCTGTCCCTCCTTAACATCGGAGTCGCGAGCCCCCTCTCGACGCGGCTCTCGCCTATCATGGGTCGTGGTATATCTTGCGCGTTCGAGTCTTGTTGCACGGGTGCTGGCGACGCCGTGTCGCGCGGAGAGCGCACGGGGGTGTGCGTGTTCGAGAGGTCGACCTCGCGCCCGTCGTCGCCGTCCTCTTCATCCGACTCGCTCACGGCAGCAAAATGCCCTCCAGGGGAGTTCATGCCCGACGCGCGGCGCGCCTTGCGTGCGTGGAATGTCCGGCTTGCAGTCGCGTTCGAGAAGAGCGGGAGCAGATATCGCTCGTCGAGGGCCTGGAACCACTTGCCATCCTCCGACGTCCCAGCCGCGGTCGTCGCCGCCCTCGACGTTGACGCGTGCTTGCCACCTGGCGAGGCAACATCGCCTGCCGCCGCTGGCGCGAGAGGCAGAACCTCGACGTCTGAGTCGTAGTCTGACGACGCCGCGGAGAAGATGGTGTTTGTATTGAGAGCCGAGCCCTCTGCTAGCGCCTGGTGGTTGTAGCTTCTTGGTCCTGGGTCACCATAATGAATACCAATATTTCTGCGGCCCTGCCGAATGGCCGCGGCCTGCTGGGAGGCCATGTATCCATCACCATCATCTGTGTACCCAGTCCACCGACCGTTCCCGCGCCTGCCGTAGCCGCTGAACCACCCGGAGCGAGGGAGGTCTTCGTCGCTGCTGCTTGCTGTGTTGTCTTCTACGCCGGTGCGAATACCGAGAACCTGGAGCATATAGGCCGTGGTGCCGCCGAACGTGATGACCGTGAGCACGACTACAACGAGGACGGTCGTGCGGAGAGTCTGCGCATTGTCGCCCTTGAAGCCAGCGGCAAGTGCAACGCCCACAGCACCACGGAGGCCTGCCCAAAAGAGCATCATTTGGTACGAATGGGGAATCTCTTCGCTGCGCTGTCCCCGCGCATGTCGGTGGAAGAGATTGATGGCCTCTGAAAGTGGGAAGACCGCCGCGTAGCGCGTGAAGACAACGGCAACGGTTGTAATGATAATGAACAGCGGTTTGAAGTAGTTTGTGACCTTCGTCGACGAAGGAGGGCTCGTGAACAGTGAGAGACCGAGATAGATGAAGATGAAATTCTCCGAGAGCTGTGCAAGGGTCGAGAAGATGTACTTCGTCGTGCGCTGCGTCCGTCTTGACATCGTATGGTACGCGTAATGTTTCAAGGTAATGCCGCAGAACAACAGCGAGACGATCCCGGACATAGATGTGCCATTCGAGAAGAAGTAGCAGGTGTATGCTGAGAGAGCTACCAGGCAGGACTCAATGCCAGGGTAGTGCGATAGAGAGGAATGCTTGAGGAGAAGCGACATCGCTAGGCCAAAGACGACACCTAAGGCCATGGACACGCTGAATGACAGCAGGAAAATTCCTATACCATGGAAGATGGACCAGGCGTAGATCTCGGTTCCATGGAACTGAGAAAGCGTCCTGGATGTCTTGAGAACATAGTACAAGGGACGACGACGGAAGAATACTCACTCATACATGACAATACTAACCGCATCGTTGAGCAAACTCTCGCCAAAGATGATAGTGTAGAGCTTCGGGTCGACCTTGTACTGATTGAAAATGGCAAGGATGGTCACTGGATCTGTCGCGGACAGTGTCGAACCAAACGTCAAACACTCGATGAGCGAAAGCTCGAGAGATTCCAGGCCGAGGAATGAATAAATGTACACAAGCACCCTATACCGCAAGTGGTAAGTACCATTGCGGCGCAGCATAACAGTCCACGCACCCAACTCCCACAGCAGATATCATCGTTCCCAGGAACGCAAAGGTTAGTATTGAGCCAAAGTTGCGGAAGAAGTTCTCCTACGACAACGTGCTTTAGAAGGCATCACGCAGCTGGGGCGTAGATGTCGTACCTGCTTGAGTTCATAGCCGGAGTTGAGAATGATTGGGGGAAGCAAGAGATTGAAGAACAGGGTATGTTTGAACGTCTATCCGAGCAGTGTTAGATTGTCTCCACGTAATACGCGTGCAGTGTTGGCATGTGGAGCATAAGCACGACGAACACACCAGGCTTCCAACTCACCAGCATTTCACGAATCATCGTCCCTGGTGCAAGGCGCACAACCAGTCCCACAAACATCCCCGCAAAGATGGCCACGAGTGTTTCGTGTATGAGCTTTATGCGTTTGATTTGCAGGTAGTACGATGTCCATAGCGACAAGATGAGCAGCATGCAGACAAGGAACAGCGACCATGAAGAATAGTACTCTTCTTCCTCCGCGATGGGAGTTGCTGTTGGTGAAGGAGCTTGAAGAACAGCTGGTGTAGGCGTGTCCCAGAACGCCATTCTGCTGAAATGAAACTAACGAGGCGAGTGGAATCTGGCACGGAGGTGAGTGGGCGGTGTCGGCAGCAACATGGGCGTAAGCACTCACTCTTCAGAGATTGACGCCGTGCCCGTGGTAGGTGGCGATTTGCACACGTTCCGGGAGTCTAATGTACGAGGCACGCTGTAATAGTAGGGACCCTGAAAATGTGACAACAGGAGTGCAGTGCATCCGCCTCCTCGGTGGTTGCAGGAACGAAGGGTGTAGGCTGCGCTGCTGCACAGACGCTCATGCCGACGGTGTTGATGCGCCCAATGCATGTAAATATTCTGGGTACATTCAGGCAACAGGGATTTAATCGTGAGTATGAGACGAGCTATTAAAACAGATCTCGTTGTCTTCGCCGTCAGCCAGAACACGCCACCTCTTCTAGCCAGCGTCCAACTTCGAACTGTCTCTCCCAAATTCCAATAATACGGTAGACCTAGTAGTCGTTGAGCCCACGAGTCCTGCAGCGTTTTTGAGGACGCACGACATGTACTACTTTGTGCGTGGCTGCCAGATTGTTCTCTATGGAGGCCTTGGGGCCGGCCAGAAAGACGACGCGGACGAAACTGAGTGTATGTAGACTTGCCGGAGGACGCACCACTGAACGAGAGCGTCGGAAGCTTGTACGCTAAGCTCAACCTCCTTCAAGAATCTCCATTCGTATGCAGCGTTCAATGACGTGTCAGAAAGTAGCTTCCTGAAAAGGGAGTTGGTGACGGTGCCCAGCAATTCAAGGCGACGAAGTAAAGGGGACCGCAAGAGAATCGCAAGACGAGGGGAACATCCAACATCAGGATAAGCTCGCGTGTGGAAAGTTCCGCATAGCGTTACTCGCGGTTTGGTTAATGATACTCAGGCAGGTCGTTGATTTGGAGATCCAGCCAAGGTAGGAACCGTGACGGCGGCTGGGCTCTCTCGGAATATAACCTTCAGAAGATGTGTGTTGGAGCCAACTGGCGCTTACGTTCGCCCTCAGCCGGAGACCTGTGGTAGAGGAGAGCAACCCAGGTAGAAGCATGCCAGGTCGGCAAAGCGATGGGACAAAACCGTCATAAAGATCCGAGATCAAACCCGGGCTCAAGTTGACCTCGAAGACCCGGACAGAAGGAACCTCTATCGAGGACAAGATATACTGCGCCAGCTTGACTGTGCGCGAGTCTTCGAGACATATGCGCGTTAGCGAGTCGTAAGAGCGATTTCATGCTGTAAAAACCCCGACACGTAAATGTTGCGTAGTTCGAGTGCCCGGAGGTTGGGCAAGTCCTTTGGCACCATGTGGTAGGTATCGACTCTCGAGTCTATCGAGCGTTCGGTATTAGTCAGCGTGGACAGATTGCGACGGCATCCCATGTTCCACGGCGTGTCGACGCCTTGCAGTTCGAGATGCCGCAGGTGGGGAGTATAGCCTCCGAAGACGGGTCTGTCAAAGGCTGATGTCAGCGTCCACGGCTACGCCACAGAACACACCGCCTGAGAGATGGCGGTGACAGTGTCTGAAGCAGGTCATTAGAGAGTTATTCGCGATGTTCTGCGGACTATAGGCATCAACAACGAAGTCCAGGACTTGATGAAAATGCCCAGCCGGGAAGGAGAATATGGCTTCATTGTCCGGGCTATCATGATCCTATGCATGATAGACAAAGGTTAAGGGGTAGCCCTCGACTCGCTCACGGAAGTAGTCGAGCCTAGGGGAGGAGTAGCTGAGGTTGATGTGACTCTACATTGCAGGGTGGGAAGTAAAAATGGCATGCCAGTAGGTGCGGGTGAACACAACGGAGAATGCAGGATGAGGACTAAATGGCCCGGTGTCTGTCCGTGATACTGGAAGATAGCGCAAAACCGCTCAGGCGGAAGCTGGGTGACCTTCGGGAGAGCGTTGCGGTTCGCAGCAACAGATGCGCGTATGCTGCGGAGTCCGTCCATCTCGCTCTGGAGCCTCAGAGACATGGCGTTGATGCTCTCGATATCAGCGTCGTGGGAGACACTTTTTGCACGCCTGAGAGGGCCTGCTGCAAACGGGGCGTGAGGATCATGATGCGTGAGTGTGGAGCATTAATTATGACATTTATCACTAGGCATGGCTTTCTCAGACACGAATTGCTTTCGCGAAGCGGTCGAGTGCCTGGCCGATGTCGTGGATCAAAGTCATGCCAGACGCAATGAAGCACTTCGAGTCGGTGCAAGGCGCTTTTAGACGAGATCCGTTAGCTTGAGGTTACTATGTAGAGATGCGGGACGGTACACAAGGAAGAAGCTCCATGGATTATAGTAAGGCTCTTGGCGGCTTTGTCGACACCGTGGAAAGGGGCTACGACAACTGGCGCTCACCTTGTGGCGAATTGAGCCACTCTGATGCGCCGATGCGCCTATTTCCGCTCGTAGACAGAGTCGGCAGTCCGCGAACAATCTTTCCCCGGCATATGAATATCTAGACAGTTCTGATACAATGATCGCGAGCAACTCACCTCGCAGCATGAAGATAGTACTAGGGACCCACATATAAACATACAGCTGCAGAGCGACTGGCTTATTTTGATGCATATATAGCTCACAGTACGCTGCGAGTCGACATGCTTTTGGCTGTTGCATATTTGCCACATAACGTCGCCTGCAACATCCTTCGACTCTGCCTGCACGATAATGGCCGCGGCCAACCTGATCCGTTGCTGGGGACTCAGGTTATAGCACCACTCGACCAAGGCGATGAGCATTCGGGACGGAAACGAGCACTCCGAGGCCACTTCTTCCAGACCTGGCCATCCAGTAGCGGCGGACGACGCCACGTCAGAAACGCGTCTCCTAACTCTGCCAGCCGTCGCTCATTTGAGCGTAATGCGCCGCAGCAGACGCAGCCGCAACAACATGTCGAAGAGGCAGATTGTCATCTTCCGAGGTGAACGAAGGCTGGGGACGTGCAGGGCCGTCCGATGGTATGCTATGCCAAGCAGAAGCAGACAGAGTGCCTACATCTTAATAGCGAGGTATGAGCGGCTGCCCTTGCACTCAAGTAGGAATACTCGACTTAGAGTATCTCTTGCGAAGTCCTCGACGGCAATACATCCTGACTCGTAAGCGTCGCGGTAATGATGGACGTTCAGCGACACGTCCGGTGGCTTTCTTTAGATGGCAGAGACGTGTCAGCAAAGCGCACAGGGGTACAAAACACGGCATATACAGGGTCAACTGAACAGTGCTCAAGAGATTGCTGGCCGCTTCGGCGCATCGTTGGGGAAGGGGATACCATGGAGGATTCATGACGAGCAGCATGCATCTAATATAGACACAAAAAGTTTAGACGTTTAAACTGAGTGCTCACACATCGTGGTATCATATGGAATCCGGTACTTAGCAAGCATAGGATTTCCACTAGCCTGTCGCGTAATCTCTAGGCCCCTTCCCTTTGAGACGCCACAGCGACAGTGATAATGATAAATACTAGTCTGGCAGCGAGGAGATGTAAATGAGCTGGTTGCAAGGGAGCCTAGGATTGAACAGCTGTGGTGTGGGTATACTGGCTCTGAAAACAGATCAACATAAGCCCGACGGGCAGAAATCGCGCAAGTTAAAACAACAGCATCAACTCATTAACGTCAACCCTCTCCACTTTCCTACTCTCCCCGACTGCCTTAGAGCGCAACCATGGCGATGGTGACGGCACCGAGCAGGGCAGCGATGCCGCCCGTGTGCGCACCGCTCACACGAGGCGCAGCACCGCTCCCAAGCTGGCCGATGACGCTACCAGAGAGGGAGCCGGCTGCCTGGACAGCGCCGTTGAGGAAGTTGGCGCCGCATTTGCTCTGGACGGCTTGGTAGAGTGGGGCCTGGCCGGACATGAGGACACTGTTCGGCATGCCGGGCGCGTAGGCGATGTCGGACTCGAAGGAGATGAACGAGGTGAGGGTATTGCGCGTGCAAGTCGTGCAGAGCTGGGTAGAGCTCATGTTCGGCGAGAGGAAGAGGAACACGGCGTTGCTGCTCTGGAGCGTGTTGAAGTTGGGCGTGACGACCTGCTGGTTGCTCGAGAAGAGCGAGGACGCGGACGGTGGGGAGCCGGCAATCTCGGTCGTGCAATATTGGCCATTTTCATCCTTAGAGCATACCGCGCCGAGCATGGGGACGAGCGTGTAGAAGACGTCGTAGATATCCAGGACGTCAGTGTTCAAGTTCGATGTCAGCTCCGCCTGGCACGCGCTGTAGAAATTCGCCAGGGTGCTGCGAATGGCGGTCTCCGAGCAGGAAGAGGAGCTGCCACAAAGGCTGTCAAGGGCGGAGCTCACGGAGGACGCGGAGGAGCTACCGCTGCCTCCAGGACCGAAGGACTGGGTGGCGGACATAAGGGAGCTGGTGCAAGACGAAAGGCTGTCATCGCTGTCGAGTTGCGTCAAGTACGACGAACAGGGCGCGCTAATGCCCGAGGGGATGGGCTACGAGGGGGAAATAGTTGAGTGTATGCACCTTATCCGCGTTAAACTTCTAGAGACTCACGCTTTGAGCCAGAGCAAGGACAGCGAAGAGGGAGAGGGCAGCAAATGACTTCATTGCTGTATTGCGGGCTGTACACCGTGAAGGATAAGGAGTGGACGAGTTCTTTAGTGTCGACGACGACGGGGAAGTGTATGAACGTTGGAGGGAAAGAAAATGCTCAGCGGGAAGCCTTAAAGAAAAGGGGTACAGGGCGGCTGCTCGACCACCGTCTCGATTGTTTGTTGCTAGGGCGCCCGGGCGCCAAATAAACGCAAACCGAAGCGGCTAACACACGCGGCCTTGGCACCCCCGCGAGTCACGCGTCTTTGTCGTGACTGGGCCGGCTTTCATCAAATAACTGAAGGAACACTGATAGTAGTACATTGATTTTTTTCAGCTACATATGAGGTGAGTTCTACTACAGCAACGAGACCCGGGAACGGATTGTACAACATGAAGAGAAGTTATACACATTTAGAGCTCTGCGGAATGTTGTCAGGAACACGCTTAACTTCGCAGAACGACGAGAATACTCACTCTGCATAGCAGCGATATCCGTGGACTGAACCAAGTCCTCAATTTCCTGGACCTTTTCTTGGAGGTCGTCGAGCGAGACAAGCTCATCCTCTGCAAAGAGCGGCGCATGATGAGTAAAAACGCGTCCCACCGAACGAAAGCTGACACGCACCGACGACGAGAGTGATCTGAAGCTTGCGGATACCGTAGCCAATGGGGACGAGCTTGGAAGCACCCCAGACGAGGCCCGGCATCTCGACTGAGCGGACAGACTTCTCGAGCTCGGCCATGTCGGTCTCGTCGTCCCAGGGCTTGACCTCGAATGTGACAACAGACTATACCAACAGAGATGTGAGCACAATGTTCATAGATGGACGTGTGTACAAGGGGATCGTGCTACATGGGGAGCAGAGTGGAGGGGAGATGCAAACCTTAGCGGCAGCCTTGGGCTTGTTGGCTTTCTTCGCGTTGTAAGCGGCGACACGCTCAGCCTTGATGCGCTCGGCCTCCGCGTCGTCCTCCTCGTCAGAGCCGAAGAGGTCGACCTCCTCATCGTCATCCTCCTTCTTTTCCTCAGCGGACGCAGATGCACCACCGAGGAAAGCCTCGCCAGCAGCACTAGAGCCAGGCAGGGCGTTGAATTCGGCCTCGTAGGATTTTATGTGGTTGTACCAGCGGTTCACGTTAACGAAGGAGGCGGCCGGGGCGGAGGTGATAGCCTTGAAGATGGCGACATCGGCCTGGGACGCGGTATACCTAGGTTGGGAAGGTTAACAAGAAGCTCGAGATATACGTGTAAAGATTGCAGAAGAATCAGAGGGCTAGGTAAAAAGGTATCGGCATACTGGAGCAGCGGTGTCTAGTCGCTTCTTGGAAACACGGACCATAGCGTTGTGTTCATCATATTCACAGACAGAACTGCTCACAAAAGAGTCGCAGAGATACTTACCCTTCGACGTAGGAGCGGGTAGAGAGGTGGGCCTCGAGCTTAGCAAAATTGACGGGCATTGTGCAGGGGAGTAAGTGCAGTGAACACCTAGACATCGATCTCAAATTTTATGGCGTGGTCATAGTTTAGGGCAGGCTGATAAGATAACATGCTTTTCATAGTCGCAGATCACTACATACTAACTAGCCGCGGGTGAAAGGGGTAAGTACCGGCAAGTGCGCACCGCAGTGACGCTCAGGCTGGAACAGATAATGAAAGCCGAGAAGCAGAACTGAAGTGTGTTCAGATTGATGATCGTTCTCTCCGTATTATGCAAAATATTGCGCTGCGTCACAAATGCAGTAGTCACAGTGCTCTGGGAGGGAGTCTGCAGGCGTTGTCGAGAGGAGCACAAACAACTATAGAGAGTGTGGTAGATGTGTATGTACTATGTAGTGTGTGCAAGGAATCGAGATGGCGCAACCTCATGGCTCTGTACGTTTACAGAGACACGCCATCAGAGTCGAGGGCGTCCGGTAAGTCATTCCATTACGAAGCTCCGATGCACATGAGAAGACTAGACAGGAGAGCACGGGCGAAAGAAGCACAACAGATACGGTACGCAGATAGCAGTCCGGCCTAGGGCCAAAATATAATACGAAAGCCGACCAATTATGTTACGTTCCAATATATATATATACCTCTGCAGCAAGTCGCCGGTCAGCCCTACATTGAAATCAAGTAAAGGGAAATGTGCGCACAGATGAATAAATAGATAGATTTGAGACGTGTTAGAGGAGATCGGCGTCACGAAGCTGTGTGCGGAGGATGTTCTCGCCGACTGCAGACAGAAATCAGCAGGAGCTGCGATCACCGGCGTGACGCGGAGACATACCGATTCCGAGTGTGAGCGCTGTTGCCTGAGTATCCTGGCAACAAAGTCAGACACGGAGGCCAGTGCTCAATGACGGAAGATACGCACGACGACAGACGTGAGATGCACACGGAAAGGCCGGGCGGTGACAACGTGCTGCTTGGCGATCTCCTTGAAGTGTTGGGCGAAGTCTGTAGGCAGTCAGCACAGGACATGACGAGGCACAAAGCTTGTGTCCTTACACTGCGCGACAGTCTGGAGGTCGTTCTTGCGGTCGCCATAGCTCGGGACGCAGTCTCGCACGCGCACCCCGCTTTTGAGCTTTTTGTCCACTGCGTCCTGTCAACACCCCGCCTAAAACATGCAGAGAGGAGATACCACTCACGCAAATCGCATTTGTTCAGGAACAGGATGATCTGTGCCTTGCTCAGAAGCTTGTTCGAACAGATCATCTTCCACAGCTGGTAGCTGTCTTCGAGCCGGTTCACGCGCCGATCCTCGGCGAGCTTCTCATCGAAACAGCTGATTGGTGCGAGGAAGATGATTGCGCTGCAGTCGTCGAAGTACGGGAACCACGCCGCGCGTTGCGTGCGCGACCCACCGACGTCGTACAGGCACCAGTCTGTACCAGCAGCCGAGCCTGGCGGGGTTCAGACGAGCAGATTGGTATAAGCGACGCGGAAACATACCTGTCTCGAAGTGTATCCGGTGTTCCTGGACGCCAAGCGTACGTAGCCGCGACCGAACAACGTCTTCGTCCGCGGGAGAATAGTCGCGCGTGGCGATGCGGTCCACGTCTCGTTCATGCAAGAAGCTGCAGCTCGTATGCTGAGACAAAAAAGCGAGAATGGAAGACGTCGCGAACTTACAAGCCAGGCTGCAGATCCAGCCGCAACCTTCGTCTCTTCAGCATCTCCTGGATGACATCATCCGCCCAAAGGGCCTTGATATCCTCTGCGCAGCTCGCGAGCACCTCGCCCGTTTCGTTGCTCTCGTCCTGGCCCTTCCGCCTGTTGTGGTCTGACGGCCACTTCGCGCTGTTCGACCGGAGCGAAGACTTCCAGGTTGCATTTGAGCGAACGAAAAAGTCTTGCATCTTAGACTTCTCGCCGCTTGCGCGCGGAGCGGGCCAGTCTGATGCACCTAAACGCGCTTGTAGGTCCTCCCGTACACTGCGTAGGGGTGCGAGACGTAGCTTGAGGAGACGGTGCTTCTCTGTAAGGCGAAGCGGGGGGCTGGATGTGGCTTGCCTCGAGGGGCGCGAGGGTTCGTCTGAGTCGCTGCTGCTCTCTTCACTCGTGACTTTACTCATCTCTTGGGTGAGAAGGTCGAGAATGATGACAACATGACGGATGAGATTGAGTTGGATGACAGCCTTCCATGCGAGGCGTTCTTTTGCCCAGGCTTGTGCGGCATAGGCGAGCTGAAAGTCTGTTCAACACTTGTTCGTCAGGTTTCCATACGTGATTCGGAGACGCTCTTACTCTTCAGAGTGGTGGATTTCCCTACAGAATGATATCAGCTGTCGCGGAACTTCGGAGGAAGATTGGGTGGCCTCGCAGAGCCTGCCCCCCAAGGAAAAACTGCGTAGAAGGAGAGTGGTGTCCAACCAGCTGCGCTTTGAACTTGCTGGTGGGTCTCCTGGTGTCCGCCACCGGATCCGCCTGGTGGTGACCTGGACTGGAGGCTGACACTCACCGCTCTCGCTTTGTCCCAGCAGTAACACCTTTATCGGCTTCTTCTGCTTCCTCAACGCGGCCCCCTCTTTCCTGATCTGCTCATCAATTTCCTCGCTGACCCTTCGTGCATGTTCTTCTTCTTCAAGTCGCTGCTCGCGTTGCTCTTCAGTCTCATCCGGCGGTGGTGCAAGGGCGAGGGTGAGGGGGTCGACATCTAGTGTGAGGCCCATGCCAACAGGCAGTCGAGTGAAGGAGGCGGTAAGTGCAGAGATAGATGTGTGGAGTGGGCAACTGGAACTAGTATTGGCGGCAACGGGCGGCTGTCCCGGTTGATTGTCACTGACGGATGTCGACTAAGCGAATCAGTACGGTTTCACAGATGGGCGGGGGACCAGAAGCGAGATGGTAGACAGAGCAGTATATCTCACGAATATATTTTTCTCGAATATTGTGCACTCCAAGGCTCAGCTGTCCCTCTCAGCTGTCTCGGAGACGGCTTTGCACTGATCAAGACGCCTCGGGCCGATAAAGATTAGATGGCTGCACCCACAGCCTCATACGGCAACTGTTGTGTCCGACAAACAACAAGCCAACAGCATTGTCCTCACGCCCCCTGAAAATCAGCCGTGATGACCCACATCGTATGCCGCTATCCGGCCAGGGTACTCCACAGAGACCAAAAAATCAGCGGCGTCCGGAATAAGGCCATCCTGGGTGAGACTGCTCGGCGCACAAGGCACAATAGCGGACGGGAGTCCCTCAACACGCTTGTCGCAAATGAAGGCTTGGGCCAACAGGATAATCCACTTAGTATAAATGTATGGGACCGGATTCACGGAGAGCGGCACGACCTACATGTAATACCCGATGCCATGTCCCCGGATTAAACTCCTCAAGTGCCGGTACTAAACTACCACCGGCATCATGCGTATGCGATATCAATGCCCCAAAATCGTTCACAAGGCAACCTCATGTTATCCAATGATGCAAACTCTCCAGGTCTGTCAATATTCCGAATTGCAGCGGGAAGCCTAATGCGTGGAGTGGCGCTACGAGGACTGGCGCCAATCTACCCCTCTGACCGTGGACGACGAGCACGCCAGCAGATGGCGAGATGGCGAAAGATCACCACTACTACCAGTACGTCTCCAGCTTTGCTTCGCGAGCTCGCACTGACATCCTGAAGTGGAAAACGTTCATACTCGTTCTATCCACAGGATGTGAACGAATTGGGTAGGTCTCGGGTATAGCACTTGAGTCCCATCAGAGACTAATCCGCCGACTGTCCTATTCCAATTTCGCCAACTCCCGTCCAGTTGAGTTTCGCGCACGTCAGAGGACGTTTGACGGTGCTTATGGAAGGAGCGCTTTGGGTGCGCTCGGATATGCCCTGACTGCGCTACGCTTGTTTGACAAGCGGTTCTACAACAGTGCGTGACTGCGCACCCCGACTATCTCGCATCTAACCCATCCGCTAGTCGGGATCTTGTACACCGTCCTGTCCGGCCTAATATTCGTGGTCGCGTTTCTGCGACAGAGGCACTCGCTCCACGACTTTGCAGACAGCTACTGGGCGCATCCTTCTTTCGCAAATCCGATACGCACTGTTGGTCAGTCAGGCAAACGAGTGTTTGGGAGACCGTTTGTCACGGCGGGACGGATCGTCGTTTCCCTCGCAGTTGTGGTCGCCGCGGTGGAAATTGGTCTTTTGGTTCTGATTTTTCAGGTGTGACCCTGGATGCTGTGGCCTGTCCTGCGCGGAATCGTCTGCTTTCTGCGCCCGACGCTCACTCATGTTTCTCATGCTTGTCCACCATCTCCATTACATACTCATAGATTTACTTCGGCTAGTTTTGTCAATGCATGTGCGCCATTTAAAATGCGCGGTACTGCCCTTAGCTGTACGACTTACCCTCGTCAGTCTAACGTAAGAATCTCATCACTCGAGTCGCTACTCTTGGAGTTAGTCGCAGTATGCTTCCCGACCCTTTTCTACGTGCAATATGCGTGTGGGAGCTGTTGACGGTCTCGCGCAGGTGGATCGCATACCGTCAGCTGAGGACGAACACAACCGTCATCGAACGACGTTATTCCCGCTTTGCATGCTGCCGGTACTCGGGACCGCGACGGCTCCAGATGTGTCTTCATTGACTGGCTTCTACACTTCCTTGACGGCATAGGAGTCAGACGAAGCGGAGTGACGAGCGAGCGAAGATCCCAGGTACTTACGACGCAGATCTTCTCGGCTCTGAGGTATTCGATCGATTGACCGACGAATCAGACGAGCTGCAATACGTGTGCAATTTCGTTGCTTCTGTCCATGCACACCAGTCCGTTACAGCTCTGGCGCATGATGGAGCCGCATCAACGTGATCTCTTCGTACACGCAGGGTAGGATGATGCTTTGCTGGTATGCAGGCGGAGACCCTATACGTTTATGGCTTACCGTACCCGCCCTCCGGCCCATGCTAGGCCTCCTGCAAACCAGGGAGCCTCCGCTATTCCAGGATCGCTACGGAGTACTGATCTCTATTTGGCAACCCCACGCTGGAGATATTGCAAAGCTCCGCCATCTTGCCGCTAGGCATTACGCGCGTGCCTGATCCTCCGTGCATCCCCACGCCCAGATTATCTATCCTAGGGAGATGATCCGCCCTTGGGGCCGGGGTCCAACAGTAAATTTGTATTTGACAAGATCGTAATATTTAGTGATTCCGCAAAAAGGAAAGGTAAAAACTCTCGATGAAGTTAACAGCAAAAGGCTACACCGCCGTCGTGTACGTAACTGACGGTTTACAATCAAAATGATCGAACAAACGCCTGACTGGTCTGATGCTACTCGGCGGACAGCCAGGAGTACAGGCGCGAATTCAATTTGCTAACCGTTAAGTCTCTATTTGTGCCTGACAGGCTAGCCGTTCGCCTAACAGATTCCTGAGCGTGAGGAAACGAGCTCTTCCAACTTGCAACCGTAGCTACGAGCCTACTTCCTGCTAATAAAATATTGGAAGCTTCCTGAGGGCAGTAACTAACCTTACTTGCATCTTTGTTGCATCCAAAATATTTTTCTCGCCACGAACGAAGGATGTGTCCAATGAAACGACTGACTTTGCGAATGCTTCAAGCCTTTGAGCCGGGGACAGCTTTGAACTCCGCTGATGCTCGGCATGCATCGGCATTCCCTCGGTGTGGTTCAAGCGCTTCTTGTCTGCCACGTCTCTTCCTCTCCCATCCTCCATTCACTTCGCGTATACCTTCACTGTATCTTCCTTAAGCTACAGTACAAATCAGGTTGTGCTACAGCTCAAGGAGTAGCTTCCTGATTGATATGTCCTTTGGTTCAGCAGCACCTACACTACTCTGACAGGTATGTCACCATATATTCTGTGGTAGTCACAGCTGACGATTATCTAGATGTGTAATCATATGTAGCTGACATGTCGGGTGATAGGTGTCACTCATGTAAGCTCATAAGTCTGCTGTTGTGTTTTAAGGGCTCACACTTTTAGCTTTGTGCAGGGTATCCATGCAAGTCTCAGCAAGTCATGACAGATGTGAAGAGTACTAAGCACAGTGTCTGTCTGGAAGATTAGCATGTACTGTAGTGTAGTAATAATCCCTAGAGCTTTGTATCTTCCCTAGTTTTGTCAGGAATATATTGCTTTTTATTGTCAAATTTTCATGCAAATAGAGCGAAAATTCAATGGAAAATGTGTAATTTATTCAAACGGGTACTGCCGACATATTCAAACCCCGCTGCAGAACACCTCGGGAATATGGAAAGACCAGCCCGTTACCCAATCTCGTTAGCTAACCGTTAGAGCTTGCCTAACGGTGCACTGATGTTATTTACTTATCTTTCTGACAGTTAGGTAACGAGGAGACGCGCGTCACGTACCGCGCAGTGAACTGTTCGGTAACGGCATCAACTCATTTATACCTCACGGCGCGCCGGCGGTGTATAGCACCTTAGTACTTAGTATTCATATCGTCGATACATTTCTCGGTCCCGAGCGGTACAGCTTGTAACATTCAGAGTCGACGCCGGGGGAGAATAGTATGGTGACGACCAGAGGTCAGCCGGGTCCCTTCGGGTGGGTCGTGACATCGACCGCCCAGCAGAGCGAGCCGTTCAGATAGATGCGGGAGTAATAGAACAACAGACAATAGAAGTGAAAGACGAATGCAAATGGTACAATCGAGAGGTAGCGGGCTGTCTATATTTGTGCGAGCGCTCTATTATAAAACTGATCACGTGCCCGAAACGCTAATTCCCTGTCGTATATCCCTTCCTCAACTTCTCGTCCGTCGCACGATTGCGCACCTGAAATGGTTCCACCATGCAATACATCATCTTATAGAAGCACCATACGTGCAGAGAACCTAACGAAGACCCTGGGTGAACCACCCGATTAAGCATTTGCACGAAATAATCCGACTAAGCATATACTCACTTGTCCAGCAAAGAGCCGCAAATCTGCCCTGGTCTCGTAATTTTCCCGCTCTGCACTGTTGACCTTGACGACCTCAAACAGTCCCTCGTCACCATTCCAGTGGAAGACTCGTTTCACGCCTGCCCAGCGGCACCACTCGAGACAGCGCCAGCACGGCTTCGCGTTGCCCATCCCGCTCTTCGTAACTCGCGCGACGTAGATATCTGCGCCGTTGACCCGGGGATCCCGGCGTCGCTCAGTCCAGTCCTTGCCCGGCTTCCAGAGCGGAGAGGCGTACTCCAGGCCAGAGCAGTCGCAGTCGCTCTTACCGCCGGAGTCGTCGAAGCCCCTTTGCGTCCTAGGCTCCCGACGCAGCGGCGAGCGAGACTGTCTCGACGCCTTGTGCTTCCCCTTAGACCGAGACATGCCGGAGTTCGTAAGCGTTGATGGTGGAGTGCAGGTCGGGCAGGGTGCAGTCGCCGAAGCGACATAATCCTTGCTCGCCGCGTTGCGGTTGTTTCGATAATTTTCGCGGCCTATCTGATTTTTGGCACGTAGCTGATCGTTCCATCGCTTGAACCTGCGTCTTGAACGACGGGGACATGCCAATGCAGCTGTAAATCGCGTGCATCTCCGCGTGCATCGACACGGGCTGAGGCGATGCCGTCAGCCTGTGTCTTGCGACAGATAACATTGTACGTGACTCACCTTGCGGAGCCCGCGCGTCCCTAGCTCGCCACCGTCATAGTGCGGACGGTGGTGATTGTACCCAGTCGAGATAACCTTCCCACCCTTGACCATGACGGCCCCAAGCGTGAAACACATCGGGCTCTTCGACGCAGCGTCGATACACTGCGATAGGTAATGCTGCGACTTGCTCATTTTACTATCGGGATGTAAGTATTGTTGGTGCGTTTGTGCTTTAAGTAGGGCGTTGAATGTTAGGAACGAGTTGGGATTGGAGTGACTCGCAGCCAGCGGCTCCAGGTCTAACGTAATAGTCATCATCTAACGTAAACGGTCATGACTAATCCTGGCGTGGAAGCAATCCAGATGGGTATAGCAAGAACCAACGTAGGCAAGTGCAATCAATGCAAGAATAGGACACGATAATGGCACGCGTATCCCGAGATAATGTGCCTTAACGCGGTGTGGTGAAGGTGAGAGGGAAAAAAAGGAGGAGAGGAGGGGGGAGGGAGAGGGTTCGTAACAAGGCTAGGACTCTGAGAAGCCCCGGGCAACCAATATCCTGTTTGCTATTGCACTCAGATTTGCGTCGGCAATGATGACCTCTGGGGTAAGCTCGACGCCAAACGCCTCTCTCAAGGCCTTGCTGATCCGTACTGCCTGACCCTCGGACCAGAACCTGAAGTCGTCAGGGTCGCGTATGCCGTCTTCCTCGGTCGAAGTGATGACGCCGTCCGGGTGCGCGTCCCGTTCGCTTTCGCTATTCGCGCCCGCGACCGTGGCGCTCTCAGCCGTGGAGGGGGAGGCGACCGTGGCATCAGCCATAGCTCTGCACGAGACTGGAACAAGCGAGGGATCCGAATCCAGAGCGAGCGTCACGATGTGGGCCAGGGACGAGCGGACAGAGTCGAAACCGACGGTGGATGGCTTGTCCACTGCAGGTTGTATTATGTCAGAAGTCCATCAATGTAAGCAATAGACCCATAACTTACCGTAAATTTCAATAGGACCAGCCAGGCTCATGACATTATACTTCCTGTCGTGGTGGTACCGGATCTCATACTTGCCCGACTTCCACGGTAGCTGGTTGCTGCGAAAGACAACTTCGCCTTCTTGGTAGTCACCGCTGCCCGACGGCGCAGGCATACCCGAGCTGAGGGGGATGTCGCCGTCCCATTCCTCGCTGTGCACAGGGACCCACATACCCAACGAAGAGGCCTTCGTGACCAGAGTGGAGATATTTGCGCCGACCTATGTAAGCCCCGAGCTATCGTCAGCCTGAGCTAGTAATGAAGAGACCAGGTGACTGACCCTGTAGATACCGATCCAATCCTTGCGGGAATGGTTCTGCGGGGCCTTCCAGCAAACACGGATTGACTCGCCCATATGATAACGCAGCGTGCCATCGATGTCGCTGGGTACAATGGAGATGCTGTATTTCGAAGTATCATAGCGGGAGAGGTCGCTTGCTACACGACTGTCAGGTTCGCGGAACTCGGTCAGCTGTCTACACATTTTGCACTGCAATATAGGGGGCTCACGAAATCACGAGCTTCTCACGGGATTGCTGCAGGAGGACTTTTGTTTCCTGCACCACCTCCGAAATCTTTGGTTTTGCTGTTAGGCTGTCAGCATGATATCGCACGATAAGGCAGAAGGGAGAGACAGACACTTCGCAAGGAACTCCTCGAGCGCGTCGGCAGTCTCGCCATAGACCTTGTCAAATGTCCCCTTAACTTCCCTGGCGACTCGCTTAATCTCCGGCGCGTGTCGCCCTGCACGTCGTTCAAGTATGCGGGCGTTCCGCTGAGCGACTTTCTTAATAACCTTGACGAAGCCTGCGTCACTTCTAAGCGAGTCGCCGTAAAGTCGCCGCATGTGCGGGCTGTGAGAAAACGAGGCGAAACGTCAGCATCGAGCTCCTCACGGGTACGCGTAAAGTAACACGCGGCGAAACTCACTTCTCCACCTTGCTCATGAACCACCACTGGGACAGGTGACGGACAACAGCGAGGGTGAACACGAGTTTGCTACCGCTGATGAGCGCGAGCCCAAAGAACGCCGCGCCGCTCATGACCTCCGGATTGTTCAGGTACCTTTGATCCCACCGCGTATTAATCAACGATAAGCACGGAGCGTCCGTCGTGTGCACTTACCGGTATATGCCGTTGTATTCGAGTTGTCCGGCGAACCCCTCCATCATGAAGAAGTCGCCGAAGAACCAGCCTGTGCATAATCATACGGGCGCGTGAGAGCCCATAGTTTCAAAAGGCAATAAGTAAACCTTACCGAACATCCCAAGCACCTCGTACTGCTCAAGTGTGGCCCAGACGTGCAAGGCTATTAGGAGCTAATCACCCATTCAACCTTGTTAAAGAGATATCCATCGCGGGCTCTCGAGACGTACCGCGCCCATTGTATGCCGTAACAACTCATTTCCGACTGTCCAATTATACGGAATAGAGTACGTCTTCCATGCCAGGCCAATGAAGGAGGCTATGCAAATCAGCCTCGCCCCGCTTAGAGTCAAAGAAGAGGACCCACCGTAGGTCATGCACATAGACGTGTTGTAAATAGACTTCCAGTTGGAAAATGCTTCATAGACCGCACCCTTTCCGCCATCATTACGGGGGTAGTGATAATGTTTGAGGAAGTGGCGGACGAGGAATTTCCGCTCAGACTGAGCACGAAGAACAAGACCCAAGCCGAAAGAGTGGAAAAGCACCCAGGCGAGGGTGTGCACAGCAAGGAACGCCAGGGTGGCAGTGTACGAGAGCGGAGGAAGGAACGCCCAAAGGAGCACATAAGAGGTCACGAGGACAAGTTGGAAATCCGTAGCCCTATAACGGAAGTGATTCAGCACTCGCCGACATCGAGCGGAGAAGTCAGCATACATACCGGAACGGATCCAGGTTGTGGAAGATGACCATGTCCCTGCGGAAAAACTGATTGAAGAGGTCATGCTGCGATACCGGAGATGCGTTACTGCGCGGCAGGTCCGTAGCGCTTCGACCAGCTGCAGATGCGAAGCTCGTGGTCGAATCAGTCCTGGCCTTACGGCTCCGGATAAGGCGACTGCCCTCAATCTCGGTGTCGGAATCGGATTCAGTCTCTGGGCCGTCTGTCTCTGTCCCTGTCTCGCCCTCGGTAGCCGATGGAGTAGTCGAACCCATAGATCCGATGGACTGGCTCCGGCCATGCTCCTTTACGGAGGTGCCATCCGCATCGGTCTTGCGGGTGGTCATACCGAGAAGAGGGGTCCGTTGGGCTAAGAGCTTTCGCTGACCATAGGTCCTCTCGATATCTGTACAAGTGAGACTGTCAGCGAGGAATATATTTCTGAACGAATAGTGCGCACGTGGGTTTTCAAAGAATACGAGGAAGCCAAATTGAGCCGCATGAGCTGCGAGACTGGCAAACAACACTGCGTAACTACCGACAATAAGAGATAGGCCATAATACCCAGCATAGCCTGTTCGCTATTCAATGTCTGAAGACCAAGCCATCTATAATGTGACTGACCAACAGAGTACATTGGGTGAGGTGCCAGTTCAAAAACACCGTCGAAAACAAGGGCTCCGCGCTGGAAGAAAACATCTCCCCAGTACCAGCCATAGTCTTTGACGACATGGTGCGCCTCAGTCTTGACCCAAAGATTGAAGGCAATCAGAGCCAATCCCCCGATCCACCTAACGCATATAGTCAGCATATATGCAGTGTTACAATCCAAGTATTGATACCTCATAATATGTGTCACGAAAAACAAGCCGTCAGGAACACGGAAGCACGCGAAAGCGAACATACAATACGCCACGAAATCACTAAGACAAGAAAGGCGTCAGGAATCCTCCCCTCAGACCAATTTATTGTCACATACTTCAGCAGAATAATGTCGACGACCTGGCGAAAAAGTAACCAAGCATTATATTCCAATGGTAGCTCCTGTAGGCCTGATGAGTCAACAGCATTACAATGAGCCTTTAAAATGAACATACGTCAAAGGAGTAGTCCTTGCCCATCTTGCCTGCCAGTTGCTTGCGTATCCAGTTCCTCATCTCAGGCATGCGCTTCTCGTCGAGCCATCCAAGTTTTTGCACCTCTTTGACGATCCATTTCTTCTTGCTTTGTTTGGTGAGCACCCAACCGAGCCCCACGTCATACGCCGCCCGCCACAACGCAAAGTAAAAGAAGAAAAAGACCTTGGACACAGAACGAGGAAGGACGCAGAATAGCAAGATCTGGAAGCCGAGTAAAGCAAGGTTGGCGAGGTCGAAATGAGATTTTGGGTACGTCGGGTTGAACAGGGTCAACACGTCGTGCGTCGTTGGGACGCGAAACACTGTGACAAAATCGCGTCAGTAAATGCCAGATAACACAAAACGTACGCCGGTACCTTCACCGCCCGGAGTCTTGCCCCATACCACGTCTTCTCCGCGGACATCGTTCTCGACGGTCGCGCCAGAGTCGGTGACCTGTTCTTCCTTGCTCTTTCTCTTTCGCAGCCGCAAAGTCGCACGAACATTGGTCTCCATGTCGGTTACGCTGTCTTCACCGTCGTCGGGCTGTATGCGCTGGCTGGCGATTTGTGTGACGTGGACAAGAGGCCGCCGAAAACGCACCTGGTCGCGCGACCTCCCCGCTTTGCCACGTGATTACCGCGCTTCGGGGCTGAGCCAGGTTTTGGGAAGAAGCTTGCCCTGAAGAAGCCTCAATTTGAGCGCTTGAACAGCGTTTTCAACGCTTCTGCTTCGATTGTCGACCTGCTGCTCGACGACCATGTCTTTTCATCCGCCTCGCTCGGTGTGCGCTTTTTGAAAGTTATATGAGATCTTCAGAGCGTGGAAAAGGTGAGTACGCATCTGCGATCGAACCCTTATAATTCACTCCTCGTTCGACCATCTCACATCGGACGAGGAGTTGCTAATGAAGGGGAGAACGAGGCATGGACGTCAGAGGCATTTAATTTCGGTTGCTCCTAGTCTTTCTTACTTGGGTGGCCTTACGAGGTGCCATACAGACCTCACTGTACGAATACAGAGTCCGGGAATAATGTATTGCATGCCGCAGAAGTCGTCGATCCTCTGGCTGAAGCTGTGGGAAAGTGGTGGGCCCAGTTAAACATGGCTGCGCAACTGAAACCTATTAATGCAGATCCTTCTCACAATGCCTATGCTAGGACGCGTGTTTTCCATGGTAGACCGTTGCCACCCTCGTGGGTAGTGGGTGGATCTATAATCATCGATACAACATCTCCATACTGATACAGACAGACTAGAGAATATCCAAAAGCACTCCTGCAAAACGACTTCTGGAGTCCGAGCCCTCCACACGCGCCATGACGAATCAAACCTTTGGGGACGCGATGAGCAGAGCGAAAGTGGGCTTGGAAAACAGCAGTGCGATAAAATTGAGGCGCAAGAGCAGTGTTCGCGTGCTACTTCTGCTGCTGCTCCTCGGCACTGCGGGAAGGAAGGTGAGTGACGTCGTCATCGAGGGGTAGATTAGGTTTGCTTACACCGAGACGTAGGAGCATTGCACATCGCGGCGCTCGCAATTGACACAGCCAGGCTTTCTGCCGTCACAACGCACTTTGCGTTCTGGAAAAGCGTGGTGGCGTTAGCATCAGCGACGGCGATGCGATCGGGGAAGTGATCCTACTGCGGCAAGAAGTACATGCCATCGGGACGCGGCGGGGCAGACGCTCCTCGCCGCCGTGCTGCTCCACGGCGAAGCTGGATTGACCGTACTGAGACGAAGCGGGGTCAGGGTGGACGTAAAATATAGACGATGTTGCTCACGTGAGGGGAGGACATTGTGCGGATTGTGACTGTAGAGCCGGATGTTGAAGGTCTGGGCAGTCCTCCCGGTCTTATAGCTCTTCACGGCGTCTGAAGACTTGCCAACCGACAACATCTCCTTGGACTCCTTGACGGAAATTATTCATATTTCCAACTCATCTCTTCTCGTCGGGTATGAATCTGCCAGACTGCCATGAGGCCAATTTTTTCAGTCTTGTCGTCCAGCGGCGGAGAAAGAAGGCTAATTAGGGCGGTGTCATCACGCCCCGTGTTGTATGACGACGTATGGCACGGTCCGTAGATCGAAAACCGGCACAATAACCTCCATTTGTGATGGACATCGGACCACGAGGGTAGACCCTTTGTGACATGTCGATGGAATAAAGGGGCCACCCTACAGGCGTTGAAGGTACGATGGAAAACTCGAGAGTCATTGAGATATATTGCTATGAAGAGTCTCAGGCGGTCTGGGCTGCCTAGGGCTGTTCGAACCCTGGTTGATCTTATCGAAGTGATGTACGTGGTTGGCTACAAGCGACTACATGTGCATATTAATATTGCGCCACTGGTCTAAGAGAAGACACACGAGATAATACAACCTAGATCTAGCGCGTAATGACGGAACAACCACCAGGGACCCTGGCATGGAACGAGACTGCGTAGACAAAGAAGCTGCGGTCCGCTATTCCACTCAAGATTCTCGAAGACGGTCCAGACCGCAGCCACTTGGTTGGCAAGTTGTGTCGAGTGAGTCATAGTGCGAGACATGGACACGCCCTCTGTGTAAGGTTGAAAGGCCGACAAGACTTGGAATCCTCGAGGCCATTATCGTCCGAACAGAGGCCGCGCTCTAGGCATCGAGTGCTCGAAGAGGTATACTTGCCTAAAATAGGATATGGGGTGTACTCATCGAACGGGTAATCTCAAACGGGTTTGCAATCACCTGCACTCGTCGGTGCGGATGCGTTTTGCACCCGTACGCACGTAGGTGAGATTAATTCGCTCGTTTACCAGCGCAGCATCAGCGCAGCCAAGGATCAGATGGGGTCGATATCTCCTCCCGAAGACGAGCTGAAGGTGGCACTGCAAGGCCTGCGCGCGCAGAACCCGACGCTCGGCGTCACAAAGCTGCATGCGCGCCTCTTGTCAGAGCACCCTGACTGGACGGTTAGCGAGAAAAGAACGCGAAAGATCTTGCAAAACGAAGGGCTCGTAATCTCTCCGGACGGCGCAGCGAGCTCTAGAAGTAAAAGTGGCACTGGGAATGCGCCATATCCGACCTCCGCAGTAATCGAGGGGCTCGATGTCTCGAAATGGACGTCTAAAATCCAGGTCAAGTATTTCGGCAAGCACAAGGGGAAGGGCCTCGTCGCAACGGAAAGGATCGCGGAGGGGGAGGTTGTATGGAAGGAAGACCCTTTCATACTCGCTCCCGAATGGTATGAAACCTCGCTTCGGGAGCATGCATCTGTGACATTAACCGTCCATCTCCGTATAGGTCGCTATACGATCTCCAAACGGCGTCGGTAGCGTGCACGCACTGCTCAACGCCGCTGAACAATTCTCCACTCGCAGTGCCGTGTTCCGGATCCGCGAAGGTGCCCTCGTGCTCGGCGCGATTCTGCAATCGGCTCTGTCTGTCCCGCGCAGCTCGGACGCATCCTCTGTTGTGTCCGGCTCAAAATCCGGCCGCACTTCCCCTCCTCGAGTTTGCACGTCGGCACGAGTGGATGGCGTTACACGCGCTTGCGCAGTGCACCGCACGGGTGCTTCTTGCGGAACAGCAGGACGAGGCGGCATTCAGCGCGGATTGGGCCGTCCTCCGTGGCCTTGCGCAGCTCGGCATGGAAGAGCGTGCAAAAGGCGGTTGGTGCGTGCCATCCGTCGTTTTTAGGGCTTATCTCGGGTGCACTTACGGCGTACGACGACAGGCTTGGCAGCGCCGAACCTGACCGAGACACATGGAAAAAGGCCTACGAACTCTTCGTCCGGGCATTCAAGGACCCCGGCACGGAGTCTGAAAAGAAACGGTTGGCGAGACTACTCAGGAAGCCGACTAGAAAAGAGGTGGATGATGAGATTTTCGGATACGACGCCTTCCTGCGCGGCCTCGGACGTATGAGCCTGAGTAAGTGTTCTGACCGGAGGTTCAGAGATTAATGGCACTGACATGAAGCATAGACTTGGAAGCGCACGGAGGCCTGTACGTCCTTCACTCCCATGTCAACCACTCCTGTACTCCCAACCTCTCTGCTCGCCATCTCGACCAGCGCTCGGCCCTCTCACGTATCACTGTTGTCGTCCGCAGGGACATCGAGGTTGGGGAGGAGCTGTTCATATCATACGTCAATCCGGACCTGCCCCTTGAAGGCCGGCGACGGCAGCTGCTAGAGTGGGGCTTTGGAACGTGCCAGTGTCCACGTTGCGTGATGGAGGAACAAGATCCCACGAGACAGACTCCTCTAACCAAATCGGCTCCGGGCGACCTTGAGCAAGAACTTAAGGCAGGCCTTGGGATAATGTAAAGCACTGTCGTACTGTAGATAACGGCTGTCGTAGATGAAGAGATAGACTAACTATCCTGTCCCCACGCTCCTTCATTACCCCGGGGGGATTGTGGCACAAATTACTACTTGACTTCAACGTGAGGCCGAGAAGCGCCTTGCATGTGGTACACTGATAGGGCTGTCGCTCTCAATTTCATCACCTTAGTGATACACAATCTGAGTTGTAACCGTAATATCATGTCCGTTGGCTGGCGGAGATAAAGTTTCTCGGTGTTCAACGTCTATCGCCTACCGATAGCACGCCCCGCCGCGCTCATCACCCGTTCCACGTCCCGACATGTCAAGCTGTAGCGAACACCGCGTTCCAAAATTCCGCCGTCTCGCACAGCGCGCCTTGTGGCGTCGTTGCTAAGTTGCTCAACGTTGGCAATAGTCGGGGGCGGTCCCCCCGTTACGCCGGCCTCGGGAAAGACGTCCTGCCCGACCTCGTCGATACCGTGAAGACAATTTGTATATAAACTTGCCGTCGTGATAATGAGACTGCGCGGTTCGAGGAAGACTGAGGACACTGGCGCGGGATCAACGGGACGACCTCTTTCGTTGACGGGCGGTGCCGACCCTTCTTCTTCGGCGCCGTCATTCTTGTATCGGTAATAATTCAAGACAGCATGTGAGCCTAAAGATAACGTGGCCACTACTGGGTGATAGGATGGCCCATCCTCGTGCGGCTGTAGAGGCGGAGTAAATGAGAATATTGCGACATGTGACGCGTGCCATAGGGTCGTCCCTACCATGATCCCTTGTCCCGAGAGATACTAGCCAGGAAGACCAACCATGAGTCCGCGACGTCTTCCAATGAAGAGCGTTAAATAAGAGGGTACTTACCTCGTTCAATATGACATGGTTAGGTCGGCCGTGAGGCGATGCATTAAATGCACCTGTTCGCTGAATGCGCCCAATAATGTCTGGGCTATGAAAACATCAGATGACAGTCACAAGCGCGGATACAATGAGCGCACATACAACTCTACGATGTATGGAGGCATCGGTTGCGGCAGTAGGCGATTCTTCATTATCTCTCCGCCTGTCCGCGAGTCAGGATGCTTGATTATCGATGAAAGACATACAAGACACACCCCAAGTTTGCAGCCTGTTCAGTGAATCAAAGTCTGCATCTCTGAGATGGCAAACGCCTTACCTGCGGTTAGGCATGATCTTCCACTTCTGTTGTGGAGACTCCGTAATCTGCATGACGGAGATGTGTGGGCGTGATCAGGATAGCGGGGACAGACAGGGAAAAACCACTAGCCTTGCGTATCACGTATGCCTCCTCATCCTCAGACACAAAATTAGGGATGTAATACACTCCCTCTAGTCCGGGTATAGCAAACGACTGTAGATCCATTTGACGTTTATGTTTTGCTGTAGTAAAGTGGTGCGTGATAAGCGAATAAGCGTGCCATGAGCGCCACCTCGAACTTAAGGCAGGCGCTTTACAGTTTCGAACTTCTGTCGAACTCGCACTAGACCTACTACTACTAGCACCACCACAACCTAGACGACGATGTCAAAGACCCTCAGCAACGGGCTCATGAACCTACGCTTCATGCAGAATACGCAGCGGGCAAAAGAGCATGCGCAGGATGCCCTCGAGCAGGCGAAAATTAAGGACGAGGCGGATTGGGAAGTTTCGCAGGAAATTAAGGACGCGTGGGGTATAGGCACACCGCTAAACGCAAGGTATGCAGTCATACCTGTGTGCATAGCTGCATATCCGGCTTACACATGAATCCCATGCAGCACGTCCTCCGTGATCCATGAACCATCATATCTGCCATTCCTCTTTACATATTCTACTGCAGGGACATCCGAAGGCGAGACACGGGCTAAGCCTAAAGGACGGCGGTCATTCAATGTCAAAGGAAAGGAAGCAGAGATGGAAAAGGTGCGTCAGAGTGTACTGAGGCGTTCATACGTTGCCTGATGTGCGCAAACAGGTCGAAACCGACCCAATACCAGAGAATAATGTTCCAGAAAGCCAGCCCTCGAAGCGATTGACGTCGATATCAGGGTTTAGGGCACCCCTTCCCACCAAGCTTAGCTTTACGTCGTCAAAGAGCGTGAAGAGCCAAAGCGTACAGGAACTGATACGGCAGGACGTCACGAAGCGAGCACCAGCACCGCTGACTGCGGATACCCCTGTGCCATCCTCTGCCGCACCTGGGACCTCAAAGGCGGCACTGGCAGGCTTCTTGAAGCCGACAGGCGTTGATGCGCCCCCGTCTGTGGCATCTACACAGGCCAGGAGTGCTGCTGCAAAGAAAAAGAGAGACAGAGATGAAGCTGGTGATGGTGAAGGCAAGAAGCGAAAGCGGAAGAAGGAAAGGATTTCCGATGCGCACACCATTGAGTAGTCTTGCCGATTCATAGGCGTCCTCACTTACTTCCGTCGCCGCCATAAGACTCGTTACGGCAATATACCCTGACCTTCCTTTTCATAGGTGCGCGCCCCGCCTTCACGCTCCGTCGTCTATCTCATTTCTTGCCAATGGCGCAGATACGCCGTTGTGTACAATCGCCGCTGTGCATACATTCTGTTTTGCAGCGTCATTAGCATGTCTGTCGACATCCCGCTAATCTATTCAGTATTCTCCGACTGACTAGGCGGAAATTACTCTCTGTATCGCCTGCCGTCGACCCTGAGCACAGGATTCGGGCTCACGAGGGGATTGTCTACTATCTCGGATGGCCTAAGTGCCTCTGTGCATGATCCCCTCAAAGCTACCCGACCTTGGAAAGTTGCATCGCTGCTAATGTCGGCTCATTCGGTGGTAGCAGTGAAAATACCATGAATAAATAGCTAGATATATACAATCTGGCTCATTGTAACGCCGTCGTGGCTCAATGGCTAGGGCGTCGCTTTCCTATGGCGAATCCCGCTCGCAGGAATAGGCGAAGATTGCGGGTTCGAGTCCCGTCGTCGGTAGTAGGTTATACTTTTTCTATCTCATTTTGCTTCAGTTCCAACTTTCTTTCTTTGTCTTTAACGAATTTTGATACCGATGGAATCGCGTTGTATTTGTCCGAGACGTGAGCGTCCACCTGGGCACGCTTCTATTTTATTCTATCCCTTTCTCAAACTGTCTTTTGCTCGCAGGAGTCCTAGCTCCTTGTTTCACTCAGTCGCTAGTGGAGACTATCCCCAAAATACAACTTTCTCAAGCTACATGTTGTATGAGATCTGCTCGTCATCTCTGATGCCGCACCTGTACGACGCGGATGTGACATGTAACCGTAGACGGCGCTGATCTGTGACACCGGCGGCGGTCCAGGTCTACGGAGCAGCGACAGAGACAAGGGCAGCAAGGGCAACAATAGAGCCGCGGAAGGCGCATGTACTTCTTGCACCGTAGGCCTGAAAGTTCTCAAATTATAGTTTTAGACTTTGGCAGGAAGGAATATGCAAAGCGGTGGTCGGACGGTCGGGGGTTACGTGACGCGTGACGCATCGGATTGGTCGTACGGGTACAGCACTTCAAGTCTAAGATCTTGCTTGCGTCTTTCAGCCCCGAGCACCATTCATGTTACCATACCATTACCCGCGGGAACTCATTCCATTCGATACGATCAGGACGGTTAGTATTGACCGCCAGGACAGCAGAATTCAATTCGGAGAAACGGCAGGACCTTCCTTGCACGCTGACAACAGTGAGGGTGCAGTTTTGACATCTTCTCCCGGATGACTCGGACCTCTGCCGAGTCGATCTATCAATTCTTTGCACACGAATATACGTATGCCGACCTCCGATGGGCTAGAACCAGAACCACTCGTGCCAATCGTGTCGATCACGCCCGATAGTAGTAATTCGAGGAAAAGCACTGTTTCAGTGTCTTGCTCCCGACCCTATCAGCTCTTGCTAACCCTCGAAATGTGCCACCCCGCTCGACCCGATTCTACTTTCCCCTTTATGAGCCACTACAGTCCAAGTCAGCCAAGGGTCCGTTAAGGGTCGAGCCTCAAGTTGTCAGACCGGTACTTCGCGGATCAGTGTCATAAAAAGGGCAGCTACGTGGGGTTTGACACTCGCCAGCCTACGCTCGTAGTCGACAAAGAGAATGGGTGACGTGCTCCGGAGCTTGCAAACCGGCAGCGAGCCTGACCGGTGTCAGCTGTACCGCGCCTCGAAAATGTCAAATACCAAGGCACATGGGTGGCACGCGGATTCAAAGCTGTACCCATCAACTGTCCCTCAAACTCGTTGTGACCCGATGTCATCGTTGTTGTGCTAGCACACGCCATTGCAATGCATAAGCGTTGATGATCTCAACTGAAAAGGGAGCAGCAGGTACACACACGTGCCTTAGTGTGCAATCCGTCAGAGGCGAGAAGACTCGAACGTGTTCATATCAATACCTTCAGCGTAATACGCAATGCTGCAGATAAAATCTCGTGCATTGCAGGGACCTTTAGCTGTGTGGGCCGAAAGCTGCAACGTGCGTGAAGTCACGAGTCTAGAGCCAGGGAACATGATGAGGGCAGGTGCAGAAGAGGCGCACATTGAATGGTACAAAGTCCCTTCTTGGAGCTTGTGACTAGATCACGAACGCCGCCGCCCCGCTAGGTGCATCAAATTACATGACCGCACAGTGTCAGTAGGATAGGGCCGAAGAGAACCCCCTGGCTAGGACAGGCGGCTTTCAATGCGGGTAGCACGGGCCTACTATGTCGCCTGGAGGGGCTTAGTGCTTCTCATGTCGATTCCGTCACACTATCTCCCAAAATGCAAACCCTGAGAGTGTGCGCGCGTGTGTGGCGCTCCTGTCAAGGAAGTCGCACTCGGCTGTCAAAATGGCTGTCGAGAGCGGGATGGATGACTCGGACCGGTAAATACCTCTTGAATATACCTTCTCGTCGAGGAATTGCCCGAAGGCTGGTCGTGGGGTCGTGCGGCAAGACAATGCTCTAGCGTGCGACATTTGGTCGGAAAGTTCAGTCAGATGTCATACAGAAGTGGTGGCGCGCTAGAGGTTCAGTGAGAGAGTACGCATGCTGTGCATGACTGCGCAGGAGGTCAATCGTCTCACGAACAGTCACAACACCGCCCAGTGCTGAAAATATGACCGCTGTAGATAGCTTCTCTCGGCTGAGAACCCCGAATGAAATGAGAGAAACCTTCCAGCACTGCAGAAGATGGGAAATTCAATTGAAGAAGGTCGAGAAATGATAGCATGATGACGCACCTTTCCTTCCGGTGCCTATTCCTGAGACCGCCTCGATCGTGGTGCGGCTGTTCCTGAGAATAGACTCCCTGACGAGGTAGGGGCACCGAGACTACTCCTTGATGGCGGGGAAGAGTTGAACTCACTAGTCTACTTGCAGAGAGGCATACAGTGCAGACAGAATGTAGCAAACACAGACGTGCCGGATGGGAGTGATCGGCTCATGGGCAACACAAGTACGACGAAGTGCCTCCGTGCTCTCCGGCGGAACAGCAGTAACTGATCTATCACCTACACGACGACGCATGTAGCAATCTGAAAGGTGAAAGCGCGTTCATATGAACGGCCAGAGACTGAGTGCAGACCCGTCACTGTCGCAAAGATGATAACTTGGCGGGCTAGAAACTTAGAGCAATACAAATAGATCAATGTTCAACAGTCAGAGGTCTGTTCAGTGACATCGTGACATGACAGAGCGCCAGTTGGGTGACATTGCCGTTGACACACGTAACGGCTACGGTTGTCAGATCACGATATATGTTCACGCTTTCCCTGAGCGACGCCTGTTTGCAGAAGACAGGCACCATAGATTGTGCAGTATCATACAGCACAACCTGGCGCCAAATAATTTAGCTTTTGTACTGAGAAGATTTACCTGGTAATTGTGTGCTCACTGTTGATCGTTATTCAGCCCAATCCCCTGTGACGCCGATATCCGAATCTTCTACTTGAATCTTGGTGACGCAGCTGCAGGAACCCACGGAACGCGAGGGCCGATTGAAAGCCAGCCACGCACCCCTAAATCACGGGCTAGGCCCAGTAAGATGAAATTCTAGACGTCAGGCCCGCGATTCCATGACCAGCACAAGTCTGCACCCTCAAACTGTCCCACCAAGTGATCAGCGCCCTGTGTATTTCCACCGGTGCCACAGAAGTCGCAACATACCGACCTTGGTTTCTCCATCAAATGCAAAGACGTCGGAGGGTTGGCTGTGCAAGATGCGAAACTTTACCACGTTGACCCGACGTTATGGCACATATGAGATGGCTGCGCGGACGCAGTGATCAGGATGCTGCAAGAAGTCCGTCGAGACGATGTCGGGCGAAGCGAGAGGCTATGCTAGACAATGCGGCGGATGATAGTATAGCCAAGCGCCAAAGATACGCTGCAGTGATCCACATCCGGTGGTCAGTGCTACATGTAACTATTTCAGTAGGTGCGCCCGAACTCGGCAGAGGATTGCAGGCATTTTAGAGTTGGGAGAAGACGTACAAGGCTCCAAGTAGACTGAAAACAAAGAGACTTCTGGGGGCGCAGAGTTTGGGAGGCGTGGACTCGAAGCGGCGATGAACGGGGGAGAGGTCATCCAGACCTTAAGACTGGGGTGAGAACCTACCATGGCAGAAGTACCCCTACATGGCGCGAAGCAGCCGCACAAGACGGGCCAGAGGGGACCAGACAAGATATAACGTTACAGTGGACCTAGGCACGAGATACGTAGAAGAGATACGGTGGAGCGGAAGCAGTTACCGCCGATACATAGTGAGTAACGACGGCTCCAAGAACACGGAGGAACCGTCGCGCCAGGCGTCGTAACAGAAGTTGTCACCACAGTCAGCTCTAAGGGGAAACGTGATTGTAGTCAATGAGAGGAGACGGAAGTGTGGGCTGGTGTATCATTGCACGCACCGACATATATCATGTCTGAGGATCAGTCGCCCCCAGCTCTTTAGGTCGGAGGCAGTTCGCTCGTCTATGACCAATTCATCGAGCAAATGTCATGTAGCGGCATCGGAAACGCCATGCCACCCGCATGCCTGTCAGGACCGGCGGTGACTACGGCAACCTCCATGACCATTCACTTTGGCAGCGTGTCTAAAGTGGATAAGCGCAATGAGGATGGCCTACGACGCAAACGGATTCGCACGGTCTATGTCCAGCAGCGGAAGATGGCGACGTACCTGGGTATGCTCCTAGGCGGCGGGAGATATTCGGTGCTTCGGCGCATCTCTGAACGACTAGAACGACAAGAAGAGCTCAGGGCCTCCACGGGTCCATGGCGTGGAGACCGGGAGAGAGGTAACCACCTGCCGTGTAGCTTAAATTGTGTAGGCAACACCCGACGGAGAACCAAATACGTTCCGGGAAATATGTTCAAGCTGACAGAGATATATAGTGCGTCGGAGCACCTGGATTCCCTCGGCTTTGCGTTGTGAGCGAACATCTCGGAACGGAGGTACTTGCAGCTTGCTTCGAGAATCCGCGGAGGCGCTCGACGCAGTGCATCCGGAGAGCCTGAGAAGAGTGCGTCTGCCGGGATCTATTGACCTTCCGCATCAAGCAGAAACTGTCAGTGCTGATGACGCCTTGGATGCAATTGAATGAACTATGTCCCGCCCACGTCAAGCGGCCAATGTATGTACATCGCCGACGCTGTCGACGGCATCAAGACATTGACTCGGATGCGGCGGAATAGCACGCAATGGTCCATGGTGAGCGATAGATGTGGGATGCTTTGTTCTCCGAATCGAACGCCGCGATTACGATAAGACGTCGTAAGAGGGATCTGGTAGGCGCAGCTTGAATTCGCGGGCAGCGTGTATGACATGCCCGAAGGCCTAGACTCGCAAATCCGTTGCGTGTTCTGGAAGGTCAGAGAGAGTAGTTAGCAGCTCATATGATGGGACGTAACGCGGCGAGCGAGGCGTACAATCACGAGAGCGGTCAAGCGGTGGTAGTATGTTGATACCCTATTTGTTCAAGACAAACAGCGGTTCTCCCAGGATCCATTCGGGTTGGGCTTTCCCTGCAAAGCGAAATCCACGTTGCCATCCCAGGGAGCCAGACACGAAAGAGAAAGGACTGGCAACTCGTTATCTGGCGACGGGCCGGATGTCATACGGTCGCCCACCTGTGAATGGCGACCGCACTGCCCTGCCGACATGAATTAGCTCCAGATCGCCTTCGACAAGCCACTGTCCATCTTGGGTACACCTCCGACCCCGACAGCATCACGGCGTATATATAAGGACTCACTTCTGATTCTTCGGATTCTCACTCCCCGCTCCCGCGTCCCTGCCCTGCGTTATCCTTGTCATGAGTGCTTACAGCCTGCGACCCGTTACCCAATCAGACAGGTCGTCCTCACCGGGCTCCAGCACAGCGAGCGATCGCACACCCCCGCCCCGAGAAAACAGGACACATATCTTGCCGCTGTCCCCTGCAGACCCTTCGCGTCCCCGAAGGCCATTGTCACCTTCGATACCGATACGAGGTGCCTGCTCTGCATTATTGTCACGATTGTCGCTGATCGCTGTGCTAGACCTTGATCTTCCTATAGATCGAAATGTCGCTCCGCGAAAGTATCCCGCCCCGCCTACAGGCCACGAGTTGATGGCACTCTTCCCTCCGCCGCCCCCTGTTACCTTCCCCACGGGGCCTACAAGCGGCTATTTTCAGAAGGAGGAGCGCGCGTTCTTCGCGCAGGCAGGAAAGGAGATCGTACGGGTGTGCATCGAGGTAGACATCAAAGACGGTGAGGATGCGCCTACAAAAGCACCAGCACGGCCAAGAGACGGCGCTGCTCACCAGATGCCGCGGCCATGGCCTGCCAACGCTGGCCCACATCCACAGCTACATCCACCTACCCAGCCCCCGCCAAGTCAAGCTCCCCCCCCCTCCTTCTCCCCGCCGAACCACCCGGTGCGAACACCTCGTCCCTCCACTGCCTCTACCCCTGCTGTCGCCCCCACCCCCGCTGTCTTCCAGATACCCACACACAATCCTGCCCGACCCCCGTTCCCACCCAACGTCCATCCGTCGCCGGGTGCGCAGCACGCGGCGTTTCCGTTACGTACGTCTTCGCATGAGCGCCCCCACCTTCCTGCTGAGGGTAGTGAGACGCTGCGCGAGGACTTCCGTGATGACCCTGACGAAGCATGGCGACGGCCTACACCCCATAACCAGCGACGGCGCGCAGGGAAACACACGAAGCGCGTCGTAGTGAAGTAGGACTTCCTCTCGAAGGGAGGGATGCGCGCTGTCGCTTAGTGCTGGGGAGAACGGACCTTTCGAGGTCCTGAGGTCGCTTGTCCGACATGCACATTCTGGTATCGGTAATAATTCGCTTTGTGCTTTTTCTTGCTACGCTATGTATTTATCATGTAGTAACAGCCAGGGTGCTCCGCTGGTCATTCGGCCTGTTGATCCACTGACTTCGCCATGTCCTGCGGCTCTAGAATCATGATTTCACGACTTGCACCACGACCATCGTAGACACTCACCAACAATGTTGCGCCGTATATCCTGTACAATACAAATCGAGCGACGAATTTTCGGGGTGTGTCTTCGCGGCAGGCTCGGACTGCCATCTGTGCGATCTCATTCAGTGAACGCTAGGAGGTGATCACGATCGAGTGCGGCAATCGCCACACGGTAGCAGATCCATCTCATTTGTTTCCGTGTGGGGATTATCCTCCCACAAGGGGGAGGCACGATGACGCGCTTGGCGCCCATCGATAGCTTTCCCTGAGGTTCCCTGTTTCCCACACGCAGCGTGTCCGAACCGCCCTCAGGAACTCCGGACGGGTCAATTTCGAGCTCGGCCGTTAAGTTCTTTCATGACGGCACCGGCACCAGAGCCTGCGTGCGTGCCCTTCGAGAACTCGGAAGTGTCACAGACTGGGCCCGAGAGGCGGCTCGCCTGGGGAACGTGCATTTCATATGTAGAGAAGTGGCGTCGCAGACCTATAGCGGGACGGAGGATCCATGGACTCTCGTTCCGACGGATTCTGTTTCTGTGAGCAGAGCACTGCGATTGGCAGTCAGGCAGCGATGTCCGTCCAATTTGGGATAAGTACTCACGAACAAGCAACATCCGCTGGTTTCCGATCCATCCACGATAAGAGCCGTAGCTTTTAGCAAAACGTAATTGGGAGATATTCGGAAACCGACGGCAAATCTACGCACGGTGGGGCTCTCGTCCAGGGTTTCGAGGCAGAACCGAAAAGCTGAGGCTTGTGGTGAAGCTTAGCGGAAATTGGGCATCGTGGCCGCGGTACGGTGAGCTGCTTCGGCAATGCCATACGATTGTGGCGATGCAAAGCGAGCTAGCCGCTTTGAGCTACCGAAGGATCCTGTCGCTGCGTTCACGATGTACGATCGTGAGAATAAAGGGCGCCTGCGATATCATATGGATATCTGTCTTCGACGCACCCTGGGAAACAGCGCTTGACTGCTGCCAACGGCATGTAGAAGTGGGTTCTTGCTTCACGAGTCGCGTCGGCTGCTCAGCTGTCTCACAAACTTCACGCTCTGATCACTGACTTTCCAGCAGATCGAAGGCGCTGTGCCCCGCCCGGTATTGCACTATTCACCGGCCGAGTGAAATTCGGTTTCCCTGACCGTGCAATGGTGGGCGCCATCGCTTGACCACTGCCGAGATGTAGATACTACTAGGCACTGAAAAAATGGGAAAGGGTTAGCGCATAATCTGGAGAAGCAACGGAGACGACTTACACGAAACGGGCTGTCGGCGGAGCAGGGTCCTCGCGGAATCCGTGTCGTATTTTCATCAAGGCGTAGGTAAAGTGAGCCTATCGTCCCTGAAATATGGCGATTGTAGCATCCACAGAGGTTATGAGGCGCATACAGGGTAGATAGAGCGCCCAGGGTGAGATGTACCCTGCGAGAAAATTGACGCGTAAGATGTCGCGCATACACATGGTTGCCGCGCGCATATACGCAATGATTAGCCCGGAATTGCTTGGAAGCGGCATAAAGTCGAGATTATGACAGGCAGCTCAAGTCGTGTATGACTTTTCTACGCCGCAGGGTGGGATACGCGTTCCGAAGCTCGCTAGCGGGAGCACTCACCACCGCATCTCAAGTCGATAAGCAGCCTCGGTCACAGGACCACAAAATGCAGCCACTGATGTTCAGTATTCTGCACGGCCACACGTAAGCTAAGGAGCCAGTCACTTCAAAGGGAATGGCTGTTTTGCAGGCGCCTCCAGATTTATAGTCGTCTCAAACATCAGCTAAGATGCACTGGGATAGCGTTGTGTACTGTGGAAGAGTGTATCAAAATCTCGGGGCCAGAGTGAGATTTGAGACTGAGTGAATCTGAATGCAAGACTTGCCTCAAGGCATCGACTGACGCAGTGCGTGCAAAAATCTAGCGTAGGTGTGATTGACCAAACGTAGCGGGGGAAGACGCGTCAGACACGCGTGTGACCTAGATAACGGCAATCTTCGCGCATTTTGAGCACATTGCGGGGCTTGTTTGGTGGTGAAGGTCGTGGTCAACGCGAAAGACGAAGCGCGTCTGGATTGGTTAGAGCTGAATTGGGGGCCAGCGGCGCTTTGCTCAGATTGTTATCGACTCCTGATTACAGCATCAAAGTTATCGAGAAAGCTAACTGCAATATACAGCGAGCACCATTTCCTACACTACGGACGACATAAAATCTTTGCGGTTCGGCCTGACTTTGCAGTCGCTATTCATCTGGCTGTTCGCGGTCTTCCTCTCGTACCTGTTCGTCAATTCCTTCCGAGATAGCAACATGGTGAGCGTCGTTCCGCACGCTGCGAGGATGGAGTCACAATCCGGAAGAACTGACCTCTTTTGGCGAACTCTATCACGACATGCCTGCCGTTCACCTCCCTAAACAACCGGAAACGCATCTTCTGCCACTGGTGTCGCGGCCGCACACGCAACGCCGCAGTCAAAGCGCATTGACAAGCAGCTTGAGGAGAAGATCAGCCAGTTCTGTGTGGTTACCGGAGCGTCGTGAGTCCCCCTTACATGCGATATCTGAACCATCGCCGTGATTCGATACTGATAAGTATCGCCACAGGCAGCGAGACGCAAAGAAGTACATTGAGAAGTACAAAAGTGTTGAACCCGCTCTCAACGCATTCTACAACGACATGTCAAGCCGCTCGACACCTGCACCCTCTACAAGTAAGCTGAGCCAGCTGTTTGATCAATATAAAGGTCCGTCGTTGACCCCTGGAGTGGTCGCATGCCTCGCCTGACCTTGGAGGCACCATTACTCAGACTTGGATGGTGACGAAATCACCGCGGAGGGAACGCTCAAGTTCTGCGAGGACCTCGCTGTGAACCCTGAGGATGTCGTCTTACTTGCAGTTGCCTATGACTTGAAGTCACCTCAAATGGGGGAGTGGTCCCGAAAGGGCTGGGTGGATGGATGGAAAGCGATCGGGTGAGTAACAATGCTCATATCCCAGGAGGTAGCGTGTAGCTAAGGCGGGAGAGTGTAGTGCTGATAGCATCCCAACGATGAAGACCGCGTTGCTGCGACTGCGAGATAAGCTTGGGTCAGACCCAGTTTACTTCCAGAAGGTCTACAACTATACCTTCGAGTTCTCGCGTCCTCCTGGTCAGCGCAGCCTGGGCATGGACATGGCGAAGCCCTTCTGGAGCCTGCTGCTCCCACACGGCCTGCAGGGCGGCGTCCTATCGCACATCCCGTCAACTCGCGACGTCGATGGCGATGACCGCATGGGTGGCGTCGAGGAGGGCTGGCAGGACAAGTACATGCAGTGGTGGTTTGATTTTTTGGACGAGAAGAGGCTCAAGGGCATCAGTAAGGATGTCTGGCAGATGGTGAGTATATGCTCCCCTTCCTCTGCCGGCAGACGTATTCAAGCAGGTTGCCGCAGTTCCTTGAGTTCGTACGTACCATCGACTCGAAATTCGAGAAGTACGACGCGGAAGGTATGTGTCGTCTTGACTTTTCTGGTGCCGATTACTCATTGCTTACATGCAGCCGCTTGGCCATCCACGATTGATGATTTCGTAGATTACGCGAAGAAACGGCTCGCATCAGGACAGTAGTCCGTGTACACGCACGTCTTTCAACCACGGTCTGTCATGGCGGAGATGGAAGTCGCTGATATCCTCGGGGTTGTCAGCGGCGCTCAAGCTCGGTGCTCCCTGGAACTACATCATTAACAATGAAATTGACCACCTCGCTGAAGGGTTATCATGTATTGGTCGCCACACTGGTCATCTTACGAAATGCAGAGGACAATTGACAGATTGTACCCATGATGTGAAGCAGCAAATACCACTCAAGAAACCCACGTCTCCGTGACCCTTCAGACTCTTGTGTTGTCATCTTCGCGTTTTTCTGCAGATGCCGTTCGCCGTCACTTACCATCACATTTCCGAGACCCTTGACTGGCGGGGGAATGGTGACGTTGTGAGAAGTGCCAGAAAACCTCAGGAATACACCAGCATGCGTCACGCGGTAATTGTCACCAGAAAACGCACCCGATCGTGGCGATTTACGGCAAGCTGCCAGAAGACAATAATGCTGGGAGGAATGGCGAGTCCTTGATCAAGGAAAGCCTAGGCGGCGCCGAACGCGCGGCCGCCGCGGCCGTGACTTTCGTGGCTTCACTGCTCACACATCTTGTTAGTATGGATTTCGTTGCATTGTCCACGGAAGCGCAGCACACACCTGCTGCTCACACGCACAACTACCTCTGCACCGTCCTCCGCCAGCCACAGGACGTCCACGTAGACGTTTGCGGAGGTCAGGCCAAATGACTGCAGGAGCGCGTCTTGCAGCGCCTTGCGGATCGTGAGACCGTCAGTGTTCGCAGGGCTGACCGAAAAACGGATATAGTGGTTGCCCTGGTTGTCTTGCATCACCGCCGCACAGGCCGCCGCTTGTCGTGATTCGTCGCAGCTCGAGACAAACGTCGGACGCGCCCGCGCAGGTCCTCGCGCTTTTGTGGCAGCGTGACGCTCTGGTCACGGCGTCCAGACTGTCACACGTGACATCGTAACGATGTGCCTTGTTCGCCTCCAGCCTCTCTAGCTGCTGCCCTGCTCTGCTTTCTTCGCTATCTCTGCTTGTTCTCTTTTTTCTAGACCGCACTGTATCGTGTTACTGGCTAGATCAGAGTGGGCTCTATGGCCAATGATGGGGACGTCTCGGAGAAACGGCCAGAAGGCAAATGCTGCGGCATCATACAAGAGGCGACCACGAAGAGTATGGAGAGGAGAAGCAAGCGCAAGGAGAGTGCACAGCCGTGGATAGTGCTGAAAATAACGATCGGCATCACTCTGGGGATCATAAGCTATGCGTCTTATGTGTATATAGGTCGTTTCTGCGTGCCCATGCTCAAGCGGAATAGTGGCATTTTGGGCGGACGGAGGTTTGGGAGTAAGCATGTTGCCTTTGTGTTATTATACGAGAGCTCATGCGTATCTTCTCCCAGTCCCCTTTCTTGTCATATTCTGCATCTTGTTAGTCATGATGCTGTGGGCATACGCAGTGGTGCGCTACTCGAGTCTGGGTCTTTTAACTTACTCAAGCATAGCTGTAGATTGTCTTCACAAGCCCTGGGAAGGCAGGAGATGTAAGTAATACTGCATCTGCAGCGCAATATATTTGCTTAGGCTATTCTGCAGTATGTCGAGCCGTCGCCTGAACCGCCACCGCGACCAGTCCCGCAGTGGTGGGATTCGACTAGTGATATTGGGGCAGGCCAATACGAGTACACGGGCAGCAATACGGTTGGAGGTGCGCAGTCAAACGGTAACACGACTCTAGAGTCCCATGCTGTTCCATCCGACAAACCGAGTGAACAGCGAGGCAAGTACTCTCATGATGGTATCTTTGGGATGTGCTGACACTGACATATGTTAAGACGACAACGCCGGCGATGCCGATGCTCTTCCTCCAGTCCAGGCAGCCCACGCTCGCAGCGAAATGAATGGAGATGGTAACGGTGCACAACAGCCCTCCGGTGATACCAGCGGATTACCGATGGGTCTCACGAGGCGTCCGCCCATGACCCCGGTGCTTCATCCAGATCACAGATACTGCTTCAAGGACGGTTTCATAAAGCCTCCGAGAGCCCACCATTGTCGTGCATGTGGTACTGTAAGTCGGGGTCGCCCTAGATTGTGGGCCGTGTGATTGACCTGTCAATTATAGTGTGTCTTGAAGTACGACCACCATTGTCCATGTAAGTTGGCGCCTTGTCGAGGCAGCGGTTTTGGCTCATTATTACGTAGGGATAGGGCAGTGCGTGGGCGCGCGCAACCACAAGTTCTTCGTGAACTTCCTCCAGTGGGCAGCGATATTCTGTATGTGGACCTTCGCGACGCTTGTTCCGGGTGCAGTACAGGAGGGGCGGGATAGCGATCTCGATGCGCAATACATCGTCATCATTGCCTTGTATGTCGAATGTCCCGGCCGCCGTTATCGGTACGCTGACAAGCGGTGTAGATCAGCGCTATTCATCTTCTTCACGGTCGCCTTGTTGGTCACGCACGTTCGGCTGATTCTCTTGAACATGATCACGGTTGAGTCTCTAAGCAAGGAGCGAATGACGGAACGTGAGAAGGCCGTGCTCGCTCGGCAGTTCTCTTGGTATCAATTCGGGTGAGTGCTCGCTAAGTGGCCCCGGTTTCATCATGACGCTCATTTCTGAATGCAGCGCCAAGCGGAAGTTGAAGAAGCAGTGGGACCGCGAGTGGGGAGAGCCCTACACCGATGGGAATCTCTGGTGGCTTGGTAGCTACAGAGAGAACTGGGAGTCTGTGATGGGACACAGTAAATGGGAATGGTTTTGTGAGCATTATCATTTCTCGACGTTACCGTCATGCTCACACAATCGCACATCGCAGTGCCTATTGGACGTAGCGATACAGACGGCCTCAATTGGCTGCCCAACCCTCGATTTGATTCAGAAGGCAGGCCAAGGCCGCGTAGCCAATGGCCTGCCGCACTGCGCTGATACCCTGCGCCACCTATCCCTATCTTCAGGTGCGGTGTTTCGCATATGACCCAATTGGCCTGTGCAAATGGATCATAATAGCTCTCACATGACTGGACGATATCATTTGACTCTCGTTAATGTCCGCTATGAATCTATCTGGACCTACGTATGTACGATACCGTACAACCTCCGCCATAATCTCTTGTATTATTTCTATGTGTAGTGATCGTTGTGATGTGCTTGGGCTTTGACCTGTTTTTGATACCCTTCCAGAGAGCAGCATGTAGAGCATTCTCGTCAATAGTCGTCAATGATGACGAAGTCGGCCTGCGCTTGGCGGTGGCGAGTGGCGGCGAGAATTAGACGCTATGATCCGTACCCAGCACCGGGGGGAGGTTACCTTATTCAGCCTAAAAGCTCACCTGGGTCTGTGAAAGCGGAGAGGTCCCCGAGATCAACTTGACCTCATACTACCATCACCAACCTCTCGCAGTTCTCCCTCGCAGCAGATCAACGACAGACAACCATGGCACCCTCCGCTACAGCGATCACACCCACGAGCAACGGCAAGTACGCCGTCGTGAAGAACGGACATACCAACGGTCGCGAGAACGGTCACAGGAATGGGAGCGTGCACCTCAGTTCAGCGGATGTCTTCCACCTTGAGCACGAGTATGGCGCACACAAGTGAGTAGCAAGTTTGAATCTGCTTAAGATGATGCGGTTACGGTCGCCTCCCTGTTCTTGATATTACAGCATCTACTCACCTAGAGCGCTGACCCGAGTTCGAGCGGATGTCTGGATAGCGCCAGGATGTCGGCCCTGGCTGACAGTAGTAGTTCGCTGTTCCTCTTGTATACTTTCTCAGACGCTGGTGCTGATCGGTCTCTGTTGTACTGCGGCAGTTACCACCCGCTTCCGGTTGTATTCGAGTCCGCGAAGGGCGCGAAGTGAGTTACTTTCGCCTATAGCTCTGCACGAGCTAAATCTGATATCATTTGTTATAGAGTATGGGATCCGGAAGGCAAGGAGTATATTGACATGCTTTCAGCATATTCGTGGGTCTTGTTTACCTTCGTCTTTGATAACCATGTATAATATTTTGTTTTCCCGGTGCAGTGCCGTGAACCAGGTTTGTGCTCCAAGCCAAGATACATCCCACACGATTCGCTGACGATCTGCATGTGAAGGGTCATTGTCACCCGCGAATAGTTGCAACGCTCGTAGAGCAGGCGCAGAAGCTTACCCTATCTTCCCGAGCATTCTATAACTCCGTCTTCGGAAAATATGCTCAGAAGGTTACTTCCATGTTTGGCTACGACATGGTTCTCCCCATGAACACGGGTGCTGAAGCCGTCGAGACGTCCATCAAGCTCTGCCGAAAGTGGGCATATGAGAAGAAGGGTGTCCCCGCAGGCGAAGCGATCGTCCTCAGCGTCGCAGGCAACTTCCATGGCCGAACTATTGGTGTTATTAGGTTTGTGGCGTTACCAAATATCGCATCATGTTGCTGATTGCAGTTGATGGTGCTAGCATGAGCACCGATCCGGAGAGCCGCACAGGCTTTGGGCCGTACTTGGAGGGTGTCGGTCCCACCTTTGTTGACAACGGCCCTACCAGGACTATCCAGTTTGGTGAGATCTCAGACCTGGAGCGTGCCTTGGAACTCCATGGCTCGAGGGTCGCGGGTTTCCTCATCGAGCCTATTCAGGGCGAGGCTGGGTGAGTGCTGCTCGCAATATCTTTGGCCCTTTACTAATTGCACGGTAGGATCGTCGTCCCCCCTGCAGGGTACCTAGTGAAGGTTCGCGAGCTTTGCACGAAGCACAAGGTGCTCCTGATCTGTGACGAGATCCAGACGGTATGTGTCTATAGAGCCGCTTGATCAGAAATCACTGATCATCTTGCAGGGTCTCTGCCGCACTGGCAAGATGATGGCGTACGAGTATGACAACATCCGACCTGACATCGTCCTTCTCGGCAAGGCTTTGTCAGGAGGAAGTAAGTTCTGCGCTTAGCATCACGGGAACCGTAGTAGCTAATCTGATGTCTCAGTGTATCCCGTATCTGCGGTCCTTGCTGACCGCGACGTTATGCTGTGCATCCGTCCCGGTGAGCACGGAAGCACCTATGGCGGGTGAGTACCTACAGCTTGCTTTCGCGCTACATGGTCTAACGGCAGTTGCAAAAATTCTAGCAATCCGTTAGGCTGTGCGGTCTCTATGACGGCCTTGGACGTTCTGGTCGAGGAGGACCTCGCACAGAGGGCGTACGATCTGGGTGTGAAATTCCGTTTTGGAATCTCCGCGATCAAGTCGCCCTTGATAAAGACTGTCCGCGGTCTCGGTCTGTTGAACGCCATAGTCATCGATGAAGAGAAGAGCATTCGCAAAAGGACTGCCTGGCAGCTTTGCTTGCTTCTGAAGAGTCGCGGGGTGCTCGCGAAGCCGACGCATGTCAACATGTGGGTCACCCTCGCCCTGTTACCCTTGCCGACGTCTGCTTACGCTCTCACAGTATCCGCTTTGCTCCGCCCCTGATTATTTCCGAAGAAGATTTAATGAAGGCTGTCAAGATTATCGGCGAATGTCTTGAGGATCTCGACAATGTGAGTGTATATGTTTTTCTATCGGTTAACGACAAGTTAATGGTTTTTGGGGTAGCTTGATGTAATTCCGGGCGAGGTCGAGAGTGAGAAGGGGTTCAAGGAGGTTCTTGACGACTAGAGCTACCGCTTGCTTGCATATCTCTCGGTTTACGTCGCTGTCCTGCGTCCGAATCATGCTCTGTATTACTAATCCCCTGTAGCATTCCTGTATAGTTCTAATCAGCATGCCGATGGTTACTCCATCTTTTACACGCTAGAACAGCCAGCGATTGCCGAGCGCCAACGGCGACATTAACACAGCGTGAGCCCGGACGGAAAGACGGACCTGATCTACACGCGAGAAGAATCAATGTGCATTTGCGGGGAAGAATCAAGCAAGGCAGATCAAGATAGCGGGCTAATGCTTCGCGGTTGACGGATGGAAACACCTCCGTGAAAGATATGATAGGCAGGTGCGTACCCGCCGCGGCATCAGCAAACCTAAGCGGATGAAGTTGAATGAACGTTGCAGTCCTGAGGCTGCCTATGCTCGGTGCGTGTTGACTGCGTTGCCCTGTGATAAGGCCTGCCACTCAATGCTCTCGAGGCGGCACACGCTACCATCACGTAAGAGAAGAGCCCCAATATGCGGATAACGGGAGGAACAGCGCCTGCGCAGCAGCAGCTTCGATACAAAAAGTGAGTAACGTCCGGTACCGACTCTGGGCTGCCGTGCTGAAGTGGAGCAATACAAACGGAGATAGGCGAGGCTGTGAGGATAAGACAGACAGCCCGGCCGTATGGGCCGCCCATTCGTGCCCGTTGATGCTGCGCAGCCGTTTCCATACAGGGCCCGCTCTAGTATTCAAGACGTCGACTATCCCTGATGCATTCATGCGACCTCGTCCGTGCCTGCTTTCTTGATGGCCAAGTGGAAGTGACACAACTGGTAGGGCATATTGACAGATCCCGACCAGAGTAGCGAGCAACGCAATCACAGGAGTCAGTGCAGGGCGATAGCAATCGCCGAGCTAAACCGTAAACGTTAGCAAGGGGAAGAGAAGGACTTGCAGCAGCCTCGTATTTGATTGATATACGCCCTTAGCGGGAAGAAAAAGGGCGGTGCCTCGGCTGTTGATTGTCATCAGAGCTCGCACATGACACAAGCGGGCTTGAGACATGCTGAACAATCTGACACGGGATTGATGCAGGCTACATGCATGGCAGAGTGACACGCACTAGAATTATTCATGGCCCTCGAAGCCCGGGACGAAGCGCGAAGTCCAGCAGCGAGGTTGATCCAGTTGGCCGCGATTGGAGGAGACTGATGGCGTGTAAGCTGTTGCAATAAAATCTTCGTTGTAATGCTTACGTCGTTGCTACAGAATGCAGGATGGTGCGTCCCTCGGCCGAAGATTTGCAAACCACAGCGGTTACCTTTCTCGGAAACGCTCCCGCTCGGGAACATCTCCGACCGTCCACGCATCTTTGTGTCCGTGCCTCGATCAGTGCCTCGCCGTGTACTGTCGAGTGCTGTCATATTTATCACAGCGTCTCTGGCATAACAACTTCACAGTTCTACGTTAGCCCAACTGGCTCCGAGCCTCGTCTCAATACTGATAGGGACGACGCTGGGTCAAGTCCGTCGCTCGACAATTTCGAATACTGCCGCTTGTAAACGCTGCAGTGACATGCTCCACTACGACCCTAGAATCCCAATACTTACGGCAGCCTGCCTACAGCCTGCACATCCTCGACGAGCGACGGAAAGAAGTCTCACCCGGGACCAAGCATGCCGTATGCAAGTGACAAAGCCGCACGCCTACTTGCGCGTCCTCTGAATCACCTGCGCTGACACTCAGCGGAGCGCGCCCGGGCGCCGTCCTACCATACACAGAGCAAACCTGTGCCGGGTCTCGCAGTTTGGCTTCAGTCTCCCGTTCCGGTTCGAGAGTGATCGGTTTGTCGGTGCTGCGCGGCCCGGATAGGGTAGACTGAATGTTTGATTGAAAGGTAAGGCCCTAGTTCATCACGACAGCGGCATGTTGCTGCTTTCCTCGAGCGGGAATGTTTGCTTTGCTTTGGTAGCGCCAGTGCTCTGCTCTATATAGGCCGGAAGGGAGAAGCCAGGACGGTAGTTTCCACTCTACCGTCGGTACCATTCCCCCTCGTTGGTGCAAACCACATTCCGCTCCCATGAGTGAAAGTCAGGTACGCCGCCATCAGAACCGTCGCGGAACGGATGTGATTACCTGATCATCGTAGACTAGCAACCCCCAGGGGCACCAGGAGAACGAGCTTGCTAGGATACCCAGGCGGACACCGATGGCATGTTCATTCTGCAGGGGTGAGCGGCCCCACCTTCTTTCCGGGCGCGATTGTGAGCTCTTACGCGTAACACAGGCCGCAAGCTCAAGTGTGATGGACGCCAAACATGTGGAAACTGCGAGCGCCGCGGAATCCCGTGCGTCTACGTGCCAGTGTAGGTGCTCGGTGCAATGGTATCAGTGGCTGCGGTCAGAGCTGATGCTGTGTTTCCGCACTAGGTCTGCTCAGCAGAAGTAGTTTATCCCTTTCACTGGTGGATGCCGGCAGCTAGCCCGACGGTCTCTGTGTTTCGAAGGACTGGCCTTCTCGTTAGTTTTCGCGCCTCCCATACTTATGCTACTTCACATACCACACTATCAGTGTATATTGTACACCCTCTCGACAACGTCCTACGGATGACAACGCCGAGTCCATGGTCTTCCTCGACCTCGACCGGGCCACAAACATCAGACTCAGCTACGTCATTTCGAGCGATGCTGTTCTGGACTCTCGAGATAATGTTACCGAAAGGGCATAGTCATGCGTAAAACCTGCACTGTGGCGTGAGCCTGGCCTTCTCGCACTAGGTCGCCTACGGCAGGTCAGCACGAAGAAAGTGGGATCGAATCGGGTGCCGACCTCGAGGCCTCAAGGCGCATCTTATAGCGTCCGATTGGAAGGGGATCTCTACCCCATGATCACGGTACCTGGCAATGCGACGGCCCAAGCGATCCCGAGCCCTGACGCGGACACACAAGACAAACAAGGCCCGGAGGGCGGTGCAATCTGATGATAGGAATGTGAAACCTGAACGCCTCTATCCCCGATCCCGACGGCGACTGCGGCTTTGGCCTGAATGCAGCAGCGGCCATAAGACGATGCATCGCAAGTCATGCCGTGTAGCTTCGGCCATGCTTAGGCGTTAGCACGTATATACCCAAGTTTCAGAACCGCCTGACTGAGTAACAGATGTCACCCGCAGGCCATCGCTTCGGTTGCGCAAGCTGTACCTGCACAGGTCTGCCGTTTCATGCGGGGCTGCCCAAGACTCGGAGGGTTTGAAAGCGGTCAAAGGGAAATGGGAAACCGGGGGATACACACCTTAAAGTCGTTAACCGTGCTCTGCTGTTCCCCCGCATAGCAGGCACCGTAAACAGCACCACCGCTTGTCGGGCTGCACAGTGCAGTCCGTTACAGCGCCTTTGAGTTACTAGTTGCGCCGCCCGGGCAAAACTCTATTTGCCCTACAGACGCTGTGTGCCTTCTTCTGGTCCGCATGTCCGAAGTGGCGGGGCGCGGCGTGCCGCGGGTTGTATGCAGGAATGAAAGTATGTTCAGAAAGAGTGAGCTGCAGTTTTCTCTCGCTGCAGCAGTCCAAGAGGTCAGCACAAACATAGCGGGACGAAGACATACGGGCTGCCGTGTGCTAGCTGGCACTTCGGGGATTTTCACATGACAATTTCAAACGGATGGCAAATGACGAACGGATTGGAGGGCCACCACTTGTCCGACACGAGGTGATATATGAGCCCATGAGAGTATCATTAAAAGTCTTTGTGCCCACTCCTGATCAGCGACCTGGCGGCTTTCATACAAGCTTATCGGACCCTACCACCTGAGATGTTGTCTCGGCAGCTGACGATGTCCAGATGTTCAGGTCCAGCGTACAGGTGGCACTCGTTTCTTAGATGCAAATGAAGTCGGAGCGCACGCCTCGTGTTTGTGCAGATGATACTGGTTCGAATGCTACTATTATGACACGGTCGGTCAGCTGCAGTACATTCACACCAGGAGTTCTGCGCACTCACCGCATTCCTGACCAAAATTGACATAGCACATTGACGAGCAGCCGAGTAATCAATCAGGCTCAAAGCTTGCGACCCTGGATTCTTCCTTCTTCGCTTCTCACCTACATCTGTGTACTCAAGACCCATGAACGTCCCCGAAGATCTCGGCTGGAACATGTCCCCATGTATTCCGAACGAGCATCGTAGCCCGTATACCGTCTAAGCTCGTCGCGAGCACCCCTCATTGTCCGTGGTCGTCAATTCAGCGTCGCGCCCCGGAGGGGCATCCGCACTATCTACACCATTCGACGCCCCCGCAGCAGCGTCAGTGAAGCACGAGGCTGTACTCCTGCTTCCGTGCAGCGCCTCTGGTGCGTGCGCGGTGCCCCCAGCGGAGAGCTCAGCGCTGTGTGGTGGGCTCTCGACAGGCGGGCTCACGAGCACGGCGCTCGCGGCGATGCTGTTGCTTCGGCTCAGGGACGGCGTGCCGGTGACCTCGCTCAGCGTCAGCGTGTTCGCGCGCGTGGGCGGTCGCGAGAGCGTGTGCGCCGAGCGGGAGCCGCTGCGCGGTGCGGAGCTCCACGCCTCGCGCGACCCGAGCGACTCGATCGTCGGCATCCGCGTGATGATCCGCCCCAAGACGGGCACGTACGCCATGGCGTGGTTGTCGCCGCTGTCGCCGTCGTCGGGCGACTGGGGATCCTCGTGCAGCGAGTGCGCAGGCGAGCCGCGGTGCGCGAGCAAGAGCCCTGCTTCTGTCTCGCGCGCGACCTGCTCCATCATCGCGCGGAAGCGGTCGGCGAAGATCTGCATCTCTTCCGCAGTGGTAGGGCTCATCGGCTCCGCGGCATCCTGCACACCTGGCTCCGGAAGTGTGCCAGGTGTGTGTACAGAAGCTCTCTCCCCGGGCACGCTGCCGTAAGGTGCGCGCGCAGATTCACCGTAGAACGGAGGTGAAGAAAGATTTTCCGCGGAGGAGCCCGCTGGCGCGGCGTCGAAGTCCTTGGCGAAGCGTGTTGTCGTGCCGCCGTGGTCGTCTGAAGATAGCAGCGAGCGGCCCGCGCTTAGCGGGAGAACGGGTCGTGGCCGTCCGTCCCCTAGCGGACGGTCTGAGCTGATGCGAGAGTGATACTCTCGCAGCCTGCCAGGCCTGGATACGCCCGAGACCGCGGTGATGCTGCTCTCGTGCGTGAAGTCGCTCTGCGAATGCGACGAGTATTGGCGCAGCATTTGTGGTGCTGCTACGGGCATCGTGGACACTGACATCATCGAGTGTGAACTTCGCGTAGTAGATGAGTTGACCGTCCCCGGCTCCACATCGAAGGCCATCGGATGCGTATGTGCTCGTTCGCTTCTACGGTGGCGTGGGGCTCGGGCAGTAAGGTATCGGTACGATAGGATGTGATAGGTAAGCTGAAAACTTGCTGTTAGCGTCTCTGACCAAGGCCGTGCATCGGAACCTTGCCGCTTACGAGAGTCAAAGCGGTGAGAACCAGGCGCACGATGGAGCCTGCAAGCCAAGCACCCCACACTACAGCATGGCTGCCGCTGCATTGCAGTCCCGTGCCAGTCCACAAGATGTCGATATCCCCATGACAGCGCCCTTGCGCTGACAAACCAGGATCGGCCGAATGCCTCCATATGGTCACGAATGCTACGTTGACGACGGCGGGTCCGAGTAGCAACACGGATGCTACAAGGCTGAGGAAAGGAAAGATGCGTGCATGTATCGAACGTGGTTGATGCCGCGAGTCGAGACGCCGAGCAAGAAACGATAGGACAAGCGTAAGTAGAGTGGTAACGAACGAAAGTGCAGACGCGACGCCGAGCACGAGCAGAGCGATATGGCGATCCCGCGCTGTATAAATAGTGAAGGCCACAAAATAGCGGACTGCGGTGTAGACGCCCCATGCGGCTGAAACAGCCGCTCATTAGCCTTTCCGCGACTCAGTATACAGTGCTAGGGTCTTACCAATCAAGCTCATGAGGAAGTGGTTTGCCCATCGCAGTCGGCGCAGCTTTGTGTGTACTAGATGACGTTCCCGCTGCCGTTTGCGCTCGCTTGATAGCACCAGATCATCTGAGAGGGACAGCCCTGTCATCCATGAAGTCCTATTCGATTCGTAATAGATGGGCTGGCTGGCAAGTATGTCCAGGTAGGCCGCAGACGGCGCATGGAGACCATTAAGCAAGGGTTCGGTAGGGTGGGAACTTTCCGAAGTAGACGTGCGCAGGGTCACTCCAGACAGCGAAAGATCGTACATGCCACGGCTGGTCCTATTTTGCTGTGAGGTAGGCGCAGGGGCATCGTTCACGAACAGGGCTTGGTGAAGGTATAGTGCGGCCATGCACTCTGTTTGTCGTGGGTGAATTTGCGAGTTGGAAGGGAAGTACCAGTCAGGAACTTGTATGTTAGGTACGATAAAGAGTCTCTGCGTACCTCAACCGGTGTGGTCTAGCACCGTCCTTGGTCTAAGACAAGGGGTCGGTCTCAGCCTGCCAGGACTCTAACACGACCGGAAGAGCCGGATGGTGGTAGACAAGCGCCGCAAGCGTATGTTGTGCTGCGGGCCATGTCGCCATCATCGGGTGGCGTTCCACAGTGATGTGATGAAGCCAATCGGACTGAGACTTGAACTCTACACGACAAGTATCGTAGAACGACATGCGAATATTCATGCTCGAAAAGAAGAGAGTGTCGCCTATAAAATGAGAATATGTTTTGAGGGAGTCCTGCTTCGGGATTTGGTGGGAAGCTACTTTTCGTACTTGGCTTCAGAGGTTTGTATAGCTCGCGATATTGATATTCTAAACCTGAATAAAAAGCACCGTACGGCGGCACATGCATACTGTTCGACATGGTAATACAGTAGGACATCAGTGCATCAGCGCGTAGCCACGGTATTGAGATTATTCGGCGCTCACAGTAAGACTATGTAATGAGTCTCGGGGGATTTTCGGTCTTTTGCCGGAGTGGTGCCACAGCGATCGTACCCGCGCATCAATGAGGGACATAGGGAAAGAACAAAGGCCTGCCGTTGACAGTAAGCAGCAGTTGCTTATTCACTTACTTCTGGTGCTAAGCATTTAGATCCTCAACATTTCGATCCTCGATCAATAAAGGCGCTCTAACTATTGCATCCGATATTTGAATTGCGCTTTGTGCCGCCCACCCGGCGTTACCGAGTGTCATCTCATCACCGCCATGTCTGCCTTGCACTTGCTGTGAGCAGGCTGCGTCTGCAGCCACAACGTCGCCCGAGACATTCGTTATGTCGTGGTCAAGGAGAAACAGCGCATCATCAGTTCAAACTGTAATTAACCGTCAGTCAAACGTCGGCGACGGCCACCCCGGGCAGCGACCGCTCTTGGACAGCCCGACGGCCTCAGGATATGGATCTGTCGATGTGCAAGATATCAGCCCAGGGCCTGCCGTAACACGATCGAGTAGGCGGTCCAGTCCCGAGATATGGAGGCGCGATTCCCTGCTAGACCAGGTGCCAGAGGAGAGCGGTTTTGGAGACCCGGTGGACGAGCCAGAGGCGATAGAATGGTCACTCGAGGAGAGGGGCCTGTATAGTGGTGCGTTTCCTGGTCTCGACACAGCGAACAGAAGTCTAACGTCCATGCAGGCTCTTACAGACGGATCGTGGCAATGTACACCTTTGTGCCTCTCAGCTCGCTCCTGTTGCTCGGTTGCCTAGCGTGCTGCCCCCGGCTTTTCTGGAAGTACGAGATCCATCCTCCCGAATCACACCCGCCGTACTTCCCCCCGCCTCTACCCTATTTCCTCGTCTCGTCCGCGCTGTGGTCGCTCGCGTACCTTCTGCGGACGCCCATCTTCGCACTCGTCTCCTCCGTTTTCGACGGCTTCTCGCCTGTGCTCGTCACGCTCGCCTTCAACGTCCTGCATGTGCTCCTCTACAACGTCTTCCGGCTCTCGTCGCTCCCGATCCTGCGCATCCGCGACGCCATGCAGCACGACATCGCGACGTGGCACGACCCCGCGTTCTACCGGGTCTGGTGGGTCGCCCTCGGCTGGGCGACGATCGACGTCGCGGTTGGCATCTGGCAGAGCTACACGCAGATCGCGCTCTATCGCAACGTCATGGTGCCCGAGGACCGTGTCCCGCAGGTTCTCGCCCAGGGTAGCGAAGGCGGCAGCATGACGAACCTGCTGTCGGCAGACCTCGAGGAGGCGGTGCCGCTGAGCCCGCGTGCGGACACTCCGAAGACAACCAACAGCGTGCCGAGGACACTCGACGAAGCAATACGGGCTGCGGTCGACCAGGACCTCGAGCAGCTCATGAACCTCAAGGAACGGGAAGACGTCGAAGAGATTTATGGTCTGCCTGTTATTGTGAGTGCCTTCCTTCTACGGATGCACCGTTACCAACTAATAGTATCAGAAAATACCCGTATTTGTGTCCTGTCTGCAACGCCTCGACTCTATACTGCTGTCTACTGGAATCACGCTAACACTTTCGGCATCGTATCTGAATTCTTCACTCTCACTTCTCGTCCCTAAATCCAACGTCACGCATCTGCCATCCACCAATCGACCGCTCCTCATTGCTTTCCCTTGCATCGTCCTGCTGAATCTGTTTTTGAACCTCATATACACACCGCTCATCCTACCGCGCATTGGCGTACACACTACTGCGTACATCAGTTTCTTACTTGGACTCGGAACTTTTTTCACTGGTCTCGGTTTGTGGGGTGCTTTAGCTTAGCTAACATTTCGTCTTGTTCATTTACGATGTAAAATATGCGTTGCGTCGCATACAATGAGTTATGGCTAATGAAATGCATTTGATACGATGATAGACAACATGAGTGCGCATATACCTACGGAAAAGTGGGTCAGCACGAGATCTTCAATGGGCTGCGGAATGAAGAATCAGGTTCTCGATGCGTTTCAGCAGGTACCCAGCCCCCCTCACTTTGTACATCGGAAGGTTTGGTGTAGGCTGAGTACATTCGTGTCCGCCCATCGAATAAAATTTCATCCGATGGCACGTCAAGGAAAAGAGACTCACCAATTCATCAAGCCTGATCCCCAGTCCTACAACTACCTAGTGCAGCTGATAAATCTGGGTATAAGAAATTAGCGAAGGGAACTTGCGAGAGTATGGCAAGCGAAGGAGAGATCAGCCAAGGCTGAAACTAATTGGTAGCATTGTTCCACATTGTGTCTTCGGACAGCAGTTGGATATGGTACTAACGGAATCATCATCGAAAGTAGAGCTCGGTGCAGATACTTACCATTTCCACCAATCTACACGTTTGTCTGGAGCATGAACTCGATGTCGAGGAAGAACAGCAGACGCGTCACAAAAATTCTGTATTTTGAAAGCGCCGGATTTGAGCTCCGACTGAAACAGGCCAAAGCACGATTACATCATGTGGTCTGCGTTGCCATGAAATTACTTTTTCCACAGCTACCACGACCTCGTTCTCTTGGAATAAATCCTCGATAAAACTTCTCAACTATATCTATGGCGCCATTTATTGACCCTGGAGGCATGTCGCTTCAATGATATGGTGGTTTGGGATGTTGACACTGGGGTTGTAGAGCCCAAGGAGTCGCCCAAACCACAGCCACTGGGTAACTTCGCTGTCTTGTTTCTGTTCACTACATGCACAGTCTGCATCCTCTTCTTGCTGTGGCGGCAGGCGTCCTCGCTCAGAACTGTAGTCGCGCACCAGTACGTGACCCAGACTCAATCAACTTTGGGATTGTCGGTCGACATCATCATGCAGGATGAGCACTTGGAATGGGGAGGGGGGCATCCGTCTGTCTACGGACGACGGCCCCCCGGCAAGAGAGTTTATAGACGAAGACAACGATGACGATGATGATACATCATATGATGACGAGCCGCTTCCCACTGCGCCGTCGGCGCCGTTCGGGAGACAGATACCACCTGCACTAGACGGCCATGCTAGAGCGGAAGACGTGCCCTTGCAGAACCCTTTACCTGTGCCGCCGAAGCCTTAGTCAGCATGCCTTCTGACCTGGTGTGTTCTCCGTCAAGCCTCTATGTCCCTCCCTCGTAACTTGCTTTGAGCATCCTGTAATGACCTGCTATTGCTCCATAATAAATCTCTAGGCACCGCTGTCAAATTCATCAGACTTCCTTTGATGATAACTGTGGAAGGGCTTCGGTCATAGCCCTCCTCGGTCGTAAGAGGCTGTCTGCGGTGCTTTTTGTTGCAGCTGACCGATGCCTAACGTCTACTCGCCATCAGGGCGAGGTCACAGGGCCGTAAGCTTTGCAGGGACGGCTCCGCAAGAATACATGTCGCGTATACAGACTTATGGTGCTGCATGGCTCTCTGCACCTCTCAGACATCTTTGGAGGTCGTCTGCTCACCAACCGAGGTTCTGCCGTCCCACGTACCGCGGTCACAAGGCCTGCATCAACGTCTGGGTGACAGTATTGGATGTGCAGGCATCGCGAGAAGCGGGCCGCCTCCAGAACACTGAGCCTTGCGCCGCCTTCATAAAACACGGCGGTATACACCGTACATCGCCACAGTCGAGAACACGTCGCGATTCATCATGCTGTCTCCCTGGAGACTCGGCACCCTCGTGGGCCTCCTCGCCGCCGTCGATTCTGTCCTCGCCATCGGCCAGGCCACCTGCGTCGCGTTCAAGTCAGCGCCGTCGACGTTCCCCATCGTGTCCGGCGGCAGCGGCACGCCCATCTTCCTGTCCGATGACGACTGGCCCGGCGTGCAGCGCGCCGCAATCGACTTTGCGATGGATATCCAGCGCGTCACGGGTGTGATGCCGTCCATGGCGAACATCACGGCGACAGCGGGCACTAATGCCTCGAACGCGATCATCGTAGGGACGCTTGGCCGTTCATCCCTCATCGACGCCATCGTCAACAACACGAAGCTCGACGTATCGTCCGTTCAGGGCCAGTGGGAGTCGTTTTTGGCGAAGGAGGTCAAGAACCCGCTTCCTGGCATCGATTCTGCATATGTTATGATTGGTGCCGACAAGCGTGGGACTATCTTCTCTATGTATGATCACTCCGAGCAATTCGGTGAGTTCGCAGTGTCTTAGTGCTGAAATGGCTGCTGAACGTCCATGTTTGTAGGTGTATCTCCCTGGTACTGGTGGGCTGATGTCCCTTCAACCCAACACTCGGAACTCTTTGTCACTTCGTCCGGATGTGCGCACGCCTCACCGACAGTGAAGTATCGCGGTATCTTCCTGAATGACGAGCAGCCTGCTCTGCAAAACTGGGCATTTGTGAAGTTTACGAACGGCACTGGCGCGGCCCTCACCGGGTCGCCGTTCAACCAACTCTTTTACACGAAACTGTACGCGTCATCTTTGAATTACGAAAGTGGTCAACTGACGATGTGGCAGTTACGAACTCATTCTCCGTCTAAAGGGGAACTATCTTTGGCCCGGTAAGTCGTGCTTCGCAATACTAGGTTCAACCATTTATGCTTCATGTGCTCATCTTCTCTTCCCTTCCAGCACAATGGAGCAGGTGCGCATTGTAAATTTAGCACTTCCATACACCGATGCTGATAGAGGGTCCCAAAGCGCATTCGCGGTGGACGATCACCTGAACCAGGTCCTCGCAGACTGGTACGGCATCGCTATGGGCACAAGCCACGAGGAACCGATGACGCGTAGCACGCCCGTCGAATGGACTCTCTTCGGTGACGGCCCCTGGGATTACAGCGTTAACATGCAGAACATCTACAACTTCTGGCTCGCCGGCACCGAGCGCGCGGAGCCGTACGAGAATGTTTACACCATGGGCATGCGTGGTGATGGTGATGGTGCGTACCCGCTTCCTTTACCGTCGCACTGAGATGCGTATTGACGAGGCACCTGACAGAGCCGCTCGCTGAGGGCCAGGACATAGGGCTCCTGGAACAGGTCATCTCAGACCAGCGTGGAATCTTGTCCAAGGTGTTCAACACCTCGGACGTCACGACCATTCCCCAAATGTGGTGTCTATGTAAGTCGAGACCCGTGAAGTTCTTGAGGATTGGAGGCGCGCAGGAGACTGAACTTTGTGCACAGACAAGGAAGTTGAAGGCTTCTACGATGACGGCATGACCGTGCCGGACGACATCACCCTGCTCTGGACCGATGACAAGTGAATCGTTTTTGGAATACGTTTGGGGTCATGCTAATCAGTCCACGCAGCTGGGGCAACATTCGTCGGTTCCCTACTATTGCGGAGCGCAATCGCACTGGCGGTGCTGGTGTCTATTACCACGTGAGTAATTTTTGCATACTAGCAGATGGCCCGTTTGGACTCACTGCTCTGCGTGTAGTTCGACTATGTCGGTGACCCGCGAGACTTCAAGTGGATTACAGTTTGTCCCATCGTCCTTCTCACTACGTTCTCTTCTGACGATACTTTGGGCTATGTAGTCCAGTCAGCTCTCTAAAACCTACGAAGAAATGTCGCTCACCGTCGACCGTGAAGCTACCCGCATTTGGATCGTGAATGTCGGTGACCTAAAGCCGTACGAGATGGATATTGAGTTCTTCCTCACCCTCGGGTGGAACGCCTCGATCTGGAATCCGAACAATGTCGCGTCCTTCGTCAATAGTTGGGCGGAGCGCGAGTTCGGCATGTCGACGGAGGACGCGGCCACCGTCGCAAGCATCCTCGCGAACGTGACCCGCTTCAATGCGCGCCGTAAGCCTGAGCTGCTCAACTCGACGGTGTACAGTCTCGTCAACTACCGCGAGGCGGAACAGATGCTCGCGGATTGGCAGAACCTGAACACAACCGCCGTGCGCCTCTACAACTCGGTCTCGTCCAACAAGCAGCCCGCGTTCTTCCAGCTGGTGCTGCACCCGGTGCAGGCCTCCGCAACGCTTGGGACAATGTGGATCTTTGCCGGAATAAACAACCTCCGAGCGTCGCAGGCACGCGTTAGCGCGAACGAGTACAAGACGAAGGTAGAGGAGCTCTTCGAGACAGACTTTGCACTCGAAGAGGAATATCATAGCATCCTGGATGGCAAGTGGTCCCACATGATGGACCAGACGCATGTCGTGTACGCTTATTGGCAACAGCCTATGCACAACACGTGAGCGCCGTTTGCAAAGCTGCAAGGATATGAGCACTAACCTTTCTTGTATAGCATGCCGTTGGTGACGAAGGTTCAGCAAAAGAAGCAGGCCCTAACTGGGCCCATGCGCATTGCCCTCGAGAACAGCCTGGGCGCGTGGCCAGGTGATAACATGAATGACTGCGCGGCACAATTCTCGTGTGGACCGCCGACGATCGCTCTTGACCCCTTCGTACCATTTGGCAATACTTTTATCGACATCGGCGCCGGCGGGCCCACATCATTCACGTGGAATATCTCATCGAACGTGTCGTGGCTCCAGATCTCGCCAAGCAGTGGCTCGATAAGTCCGAGCAACCCCGAGACGCGCGTGTTCCTCAGCGTCGACTGGAGCAATGTCTCGGGTGCCGAGATCGCGAACCTCAACTTTTTGTCGAACTCCGCTAATCAGACGGCCCAAAGCGCGTTCTTCCTCGCGAACAAGACCGTCGTACCGGATGACTTCCACGGTGCGTCTCGTAGATTCGCTTTTTGGGAACTGCCCTGGACTTATACCCCTGCTATGGCAGGCTTCGTTGAGGGAGACGGTGGTATTTCTATTGAGGCTGCTCACACTTCGCGTAACACTAGCATTGACGGTATCACCTGGATCGAACTCCCTGAATATGGCCGCACCCTCTCTGCCATCACGCCCTGGCCTCGCGGTGGCGATGAGCTGAACTTCACCGCAGGCGCCGGCCCACATGTGTATGTTCCTCTCTGTCTCGCCTCTGACTTTACATTAATACCCAGTGTATAGCGAGTACGACTTTTACAACTTTAACACGATCGGCCAAGCGGGTAACATCACGGTGAACACGGTAGTCGCGCCAACGTTCAATAACTACGGCCCGTCTGCCAACATCTCGGTGGCGGTGTCTATAGACGACCTCGAGCCCCAGACGACGGCCTTCTTCCCGACGGCGCCGGCTGGCGGGACCCCGCCACAGTGGGACGGCACGGACGGCTTCGTCGCAGACAGTTTCATCAACGTGCCGAACAACTTCACCATCTCGCCCGGCGCACACACGCTCAAGATTTGGATGACAGAACCGACAGTTGTTGTACAAAAAATCATCATCGGTGCGTTGGCTCTGTTGTACTGCTTTACGGGCTGGGCTCACCAACTCGTTTCTAGACACTGGAGGAGTGCGCCAGAGCTACCTGGGTCCCCCGGAGAGCATCCGCGTGTAAAAATTCTCAGACGAGAAGTATTGGTAGCATCGCCTCAATGGACTGTACACATGCAATCTTCAATGCACTATCATCGGAAACATACTGATACAGTGGGTCATGGATACATTATGCTGCAACTGTATGATTGTGCTTCTCTTTCGGTCGGGCGCGGCCTACTCGACGGTTTTCTTGAGCGTGCGGAGCTCGTCTGCCGAGATACCCCACCTGACAGCGAGGGCATCGTCACCGCCCGTCTTTTTGCTCTGTTCCTGCAGGTACGCCGATAGGGTGCGCTTTTGCTCGGGACTGAGCTGGCCTTGGCAGCTTGTGACATACGTAAAGAGCGCGCTGCAAAATGCTATGAGCGTCCCATTGCTCCTTAATAACGGAGATAGCGACTTACTGCACCAGCTTCTCCTCAAACTCGGCGTCGCCAAGCTTCTCCCCGTCGGGGCCGTGTGGCACAGGGCTGACAAGCGCGTCGATGAGCGCCTGGAGCAGGCCCTGGTTTTCGAGCGCGTCGCGCGTGAGCTCGGACGTCGAGGACGACAAGGGGTCCACGGCCATCGACGCGTGCGAGTTCGGGTGCACAGGGTCCTGGCGCTGCTGGCCACCCTCGGTTGGGTGGAGCACTACGCCATGGCTGTCCGCAGCTGCACCAGCGTTCGCGGCTGCCGCCGCGCGAGGGTTCGGTGGATTTATGTGCGGAACCTCGGGCACCGCGGGGATGAGGAGAGCATTGAGAAGGAAGGCAACCTTGCGCCGGACGGAGATATCCGAATCTTGCAGCGCGGCCTTCAACGAGTCCCAGCCGTTCGCGTTCTGAAGCTGCTGGAGCGCGGGCTGACAGTGCTTCGTCATCCCCGAGAGCGCATATACGGCCTTGGAGCGCAGCTTCGGAGAGCCGTTCGAGGGGTCGAGGACGGAGAGTAGTGCATGCATGGGTGACAGCGCAAGATACTGTCAAGAGAGTCAGACATCGGTGTATGTACCGCAGAGAGCTTGACTTACGGCGTTCTGTGCTGCTGGATTGTTTTGTACCGCAGTACCGACTATCCACAGGGTTTGTGTCTTGATATCGTTTGACGAAGAGGATGATGTGATCAGATTGTGCAGAGGCTCCCACATATTGAGTTTAACCAGGTCTGCAGAACTGACATTTAGTATGCATTGCGCTGTCTTCTCCCCCAATACGACTCACCATTCGCGTTGTCGATGTGCTCAATCAACTGCAGGCCATAGCATCAGTATTCGCATGGGCATATACGTACTCTAAACGCACCATCTCGATGTTATCAAGAGCCTGTAACCTCTCATCTTCGTCGCGCTTTTCATCCAGAGCAACGGTAAGATTTTCCTTCATGAGCTCGGAGTCGGGCCTTCCCAGAATCATGTCAATAATCCTGGGGTCCAAATCCTTGCGCTGTTCGGATGACTGCTGTGCCTGTGTGCTGGCATCGCCAGTCGAGTTTTCGATACCCCATCTAAGAAGAGACTGCATGTCGTTCTGTCAGTCAAAGCCGGGTTCAGAAGATAGTCGGTATGGAAGGGCAAGACGAGATGTTTTGTGAAGGAAAACGGTGATATTCAAGTAGGTGGTTGGTACTCACGTTGTGGGCGGACGTCGAAGGTTACTCCTAGCTCTGTACGAAACTCGAAGCAGCTCGAAGGTATGAGAATGGTCGGTTTAGTTGATGCGCCATCAGGTATCAGAGCGCCTAGGGACGCCTCCGATCCGCGCAATGTCCTCCAACTTTGTCTTTCGCCAACGAACATGCCACTATCTGGTGTCACGACGTAACATACGCAAGACTCAGGCCATACATTCTTGGGCTGTACATTTAGCAACCGTCATGAGTATCTTCAGCAGACACACTCGTTATATGCTTCTCCGATACGATCCAACAGGCCTCACTGAACACTTTCATGATTCAAAGTAAAATTCAAATCTAAAGCGTTTTGTTGAGGACTGAACCTATGGCAGACCAGGTTCGTTATAGGGCTGACCCCCTTGTGCAAGTGACGAGGACCTCCCGCAGAGACGAGGCTTACAAGATTTGTTGCTGACATGGTCAGAAATTCTGTAAACCGCAACACCGGGTAGTGTGAGCGGTGGTTGTCTTGTCTTCGGTCTATTACTGCTCTAATCGGCTTTCACTGCTGTCGCTCTCTCTTGTCTCCCGAGTTTTGGCACCTTGCTCTCAGAGTAATGGCTCCTGTATCTCCAACTCCCGCTACGCCTCCCGACACTCCCGACATCAGTATGCAGTCCTTTCAAACAACGCTACAGCAGTTCAAGAACCAAAGCCCACAGCTCTTCTGGCTCGTCGTCTGTGTCTTCTCCTTCTCGTTCGGTTTATCTGCCCTCTACTTCTGCTACAAAATCGTGATGTTTCTGTGGAAAGGACCAAGATGGAATGACGACCCGCGCTTGATTCCCCCACCAAAGGAGCTGAAAAGGTTATATTCAAGTAGGCTTGCAAGCCGGTCGGACTGCTCCCTTTACCGCACGGAAACAGAGAAGTTTAAGGTATGACACCCGAAACTATGCACCTTGAGCTGATAACGAGCGCAGTCCAGCAACAACTCCAAGAGAGCGACCACCGGTTTCATGTCGTCCCGATTACGGTCGAGGAGCGCAAGTTCGCTACAATGACGAGGAGGTCATGGACGCAATCGCTACTCGCGCGCGCAACTCTCACTGTACATCAAGGCACCGGCGTGGAAATACGGCTTGGCGACGAGTTCGAGAAGTACAAGACCCAGACCCTGCAGGAGGCTGTCGCTTTGGTCTCGCCCTTGCCCTCTCTATTCGAGAAAGAAGTCATCGCCGCACCCAGACCTTGTGTAGTGAAGGGCACGGGTGTTGCCTGTCCCCCTTCGTCGAAGGCCGTCCACCCAGCGGCTGATAGCACCAATGAGATACCTCAGGTCAAATCGACTGACGGAAAGCGCTCATCCTGCGGCTCGGAAGCCTCCGTTTACTCGCAGGCCTCCGTCACCAGCACCTTGACCGAACTCGCGAATCTAGACTCTACACATTTCTCTGAGCCAGACGACTCCGTGCCATCCATCATGGTTCAGTCCTGTGATTCGCCCTCGAGCAAGTTCTCCTCGCATTCCTCTCTCTCGTCCTTGCAGACCCCACCCTCGCCAGATTCACCAAGCTTCGCATTCTGTCGGCAGTCGCCACGGAAAGAATACCTCCAAGTCCCGCCGTCGCGCATACTCGGCTCGACACGCCCTCGCGCTAGACCCCCGAGTTTCGCGAGCTCTCGTGGCACGTCTCACGCTATGGGCAGGCGCAGGGCTTTGGAACACGCGAATGGCGTTGCACGCGGACGAGGCAAAGAGAATGCACATGCTGGACGGACCACGCCCGAGAAGGCGAAGGCAGCTCCAGTGTTCATTCCGTGTCCGACAAGGAACAAGGGGTTCTCGGCTCCAAAGGCGCCGCTCGCTGTCAAGGAACGGGCCCGGGATGTGCCCGCGTCGTCCCCCTGGCCGTTCTGAACATTTTGATTGTCTTGTTGCTCGTAGCTGCTGTTCTCGATCTTCGCTTTGCCCTCGTACGCCAGGATCAACTGAGTTGTTTTTCATCCAGCGCGGCCATCCTCGAACCTCGTGATATCGCACCCACCTTGCAAGTCTTATTTAGCAAGAGTCTACCGAACCCTCCAGTAAGGCACACAGCCAAGGATATGGTGTCGACGTAGGCATACCGAGATGATCCCGATTGTATATTTAATTTGACGTGTGCCGTCCACGCTTTCGCTCCCATGTGTTTTCCGTTCTTTTGTGCGAGCTCCTCGTGTCGTCCTGCTGGCAGGCTTCCCATCAGAGTTTGGGGGCAAGACGAATAGTCCGATTACATGAGTGTGGCAGAATACATAAGCACTTGTGCATGAGACATGACCTTATAAAAGCAGTACAAAGCAAGCCGTGATATACCACACATGGATACGAGCCCACCACCACCTTTTTTCCTTCGATACCACCTCCCCCGCTTTGACTAGCGTATCCCAAACTTGCCCGAGAACGAGCTCGAGGGGCGCGCAGGCAGCTCAGGCGCGCTCCAGACCTTCCACATCTTCATCGCCTCCTCGGCGGGACAGATCGTGAAGACCATCGTGCCGTCAGGACTGAGGCAGCTGTGGCCGACGGCGCCGGCGTGCGCGGGGACGCTGAGGAGGCGGCGGCCGCTCGGGAACGCGTGCACGGTGATGCTGTTCGTGAGCTGGGTGGGGACCGCGACGGGGCGACCGGCGGCGTTGCGCGGCGCGTGGGGGTCCCAGCTCGTGCCGTGTGTGCTGAGCAGCTCCTTCGCGTGCGCCGCCCAGTGCAGGGACGTGACCGCCGTGTGCAGCGGCAGCACGTGCAGCGCGCGCGCGATCGGCGCCGTCGCCTTCGTCGTGAACACGCGCACCTTGCCGTCCGGGTACGTCGAGCCCGTCGCGAGCAGGTCGGGCTGCCACGGACACCAGGAGAGCGCCTGCCACGCGCGGGAGGGGAGGAGAGGGGGGAGGTCAGCCAGCTGGAGGCAGCGCACGGCACCGGGCACGCACAGACACGCACCTTCACGGGAGCACCGTGCTTGATCCGCCCGCCCATTTTCTTGCAGTCGCTCAGCGGCTTGCCCGCACGCATGTCCCACAGGTACACGACGCCCTGCTGGTCGCTGCTCGCGAGGTAGTTGCCGTCCGGGCTGAACTTGACGCCGTGCACCTTGCTGCGGTGCAGGTCCAGCCGGGCCGCGAGCTGTTCTTGCCGGGCGTCGTAGAACTGGAGCGTGCCGCCGTCCAGGCCGACGGCCAGCACCGACCCCCGCCAGTCCGTCCCCCCGACGGCCTCCCAGTTCTCGTCCTGCCACTCTCTGACCGCCTCTCCGACGCCCGCGTCCCACAGCTGCACCGACCCCAACGTCGTGCTCACCGCGATCTCGTGCGGACTCTCGGTGCGCCACTGCACGCTGGTCGGGCGTCCCTGGGTCGCCTTGACCTTGCACAGGTGGGTGATGACGCGGCTGTCGAGGTCTTGGTAGTACACGTCCTTGCCACACGCGACGGCGATCTGGTTGCGGCGCGACCAGGTGAGGGGGTATGCGAAGGGGTCGGGTGGGACGCCGGGCCCGTCGAGCGCCAGCACGAACTGCTTGCGGGCACCGAGGGTCGCGACGCAGGAGGCGGGGGAGACCTTGCTCTTCTTCGCGAGGAGCTGCGCAAAGTTGACGCGGAGGTGGTTGTAGTCGGACGAGTCGGCGACGCCCGAGTTCGGGTCTGTGAACCGGAGCACGCGGTCGTCGATGAGCCCGAAGACGTTCGCGATGCGCCGCGTGCGGGGCGTGATGTTGAGCGGAGCCTGGATGTCGGGTCGTGAGGAGATGAAGCGATCGCCCTGGGAGACTTTTGTTATGAGCGGGGGCACATGGAGAAGGTGCGTTGGGACGCACCGAAGGCTGCACGCGCGCCGCCGCCGAAGACGGTCCTGGTGTCACCTCAGACTTCAAGTCCACCGACGCGAACGAGACCCGCCTCCGCTTAGTCGAGTATGCATTTGTTGTCGAAGACGGCGTCCAGGTTCGCTTTCGCCTGGGGGTCACACAGAGGTTTGTCGGGATGCCGCCTTCCATATGTCGGGCAGGCCTAGGGCTGAGGGAAAGTTGTCGTTGTCGGTCAACGAGGTAGACGCCTATCCCAACAAGGTGACGTGTTCCCACGCATGGCTCAAGCGACGGGATTACCTGGGGCTGTGGCTGCCCGCGCGTGTTATCACAAAAAATACAAGTCCTGGCAAGGCTGGATGATACGACGCTTGACATGAAATAAATTCTATGGTTTTATACGCTGCCGTACGTCAGGTCTGGACACGACGGCAAGTTCCGCAAAGCGCCACAAGCCTTTTGCTTTCCTTATGCGATTAGAGTTGCCTCCGCGCGGCCGAGTGATATGCTTCGCACAGCGGAACGGAGAGACGGACGAGGCCTGGCCTGGTCCACCGTAACACCCGCGAACGGTTCCCTAGGGAGAGCCCTTCTCCGCACCAGACGAGGCAGGGAAACACCGCCAGGCTTATTTGCAATCGCTCGTATCAAGGTGGCGGCCGCTGGTTGCCTATCGAGTGGGCGTGGCATGAGAACGCGGTTTGTCAAGAAAGCGGACGATTGGTGTATCCATCGGCAATGTCTCCATGAGGACGCCAGACACAAGGTGGCCAAGACCAGCATGCGAGAACGCGACCGAACAAGTGCAGCCAGACCACCCTGGATGCTGAATCAATCGCACAGCATGCACAGCACGGGGACAGTTGGCTGACTAGCGGTAGACTCAGCAAGGATCTGCGGTCGCCTGGTATGGACACCACGCTGGCCGCTCTTCCTACGACTTGCCGCTGTGGCGACAGGACGTGGGACCGGCGATCCTGCAACGCCCGTAACTGTTCTGCCAGCCCCAGGGCGCACACCGGACAACCGTTTGCGCCGTTGCTGGCTTGTGCGGTCTGTTCCGTCCCCAGACGCAGGTCAGACATCCCCGGCGCGCCCGGCTTGCTCCGAGCGGCCGGAGCGACACCTTGCCCCTAGGCTGGGGTTATGACCCCCAGGCCTTTCCATTTTCTGTCTTACTCACCGCTCGCATGTTGGTTACCTAAATTACTTTGGTTCTTCTTCTTATTGGCTGCAAGGCTAGGCCTGTTTACGCATCCGTCGGGCAATTTGACACTGCGCTGACGCATTGTGCGTGCAGAGCGACCGACAGAGTCAGTTCATCGCGTTGGCTGCGTTTCCTGTCTTCGTCATATCCACCAGGACCCGGGTGAGTGAGCATTCCTTTCTCAGAGTGCGCAACCGTCACCTCCCCATCACCGGCCGCGGCCGCTGTTCCATTGACCGGCCGACCCAGACAGCTACTAATATACACCGCTTGTCCAGCTCGTGCCATCGTCCAGCCCCGCTATTTCCCCTCGGTCTCCTTCCCCCGCTGCCATGCCCGCCGAAACGACCGCGTCTCCTCTCGGAAGAGTCCCACAGGAGGTCCTCGAGCACATCGCCTTCTTCGCCGCCACCGACGGCTTCCTGGGCCCCCCCGCCGGCCTCGTCCCTCTCCTCTCCCTAAATAGGGCAATGCACGACGCCCTCTCGTTCCAAAACAACCCGCACCTGTACGCCCGGGTTTTCGCCGGAAAGTACGACGAGGACGCCGCCGTCCGTCGTCTGGGCGCCGCCCAGCTCCCCGCCACCGCGCTCGCGGAGGAGCTCCAGAGACGCAGCCTCGTCCTCAAGCGAATACGCGCCCGCTACGACAGCAAGGTCCCGTCCAGCGACAAGCACCTCGGCCGCGTCATGTGGACCGCGTACCTCATGGTGCTCGAGAACGACGGCAAGAACGAGCGGCAGCTCCTCGAGTATGCGCGCGCGAACGAGTGGCTCAAAGAGTATCTCTTCGACGCCCGCGGTGCCTCGCAGTTCTTCGAGACGATAACGGCGTCCGATAAATGGATTGCCAACTCGGAACTGATGTCCCTGGCCTTGTGGCTCTTCTGGTACCTATTGCAGCCGGGTAAGCTTATATTCACGTGATGTCCCCACCGCTCTATTGACGGTCGCTTAGAGGATTACCTGAACAATGACGCGCCCTCTCGCGACGCGTCGGGTATACTGAAGGTGATAGCCCTCGGTGCTCACAAGGTAGTGTTTCCGCCTCCCGCGCCTGTTGGACTAGCTCAAGGTTGACTCCACAGTACCCTTCGTGCTACCCAGACTGGGTAGACTTTGTCCCTCGCGGCCCGAATACCGCGCCCACGACAATCAGACACTTTTCCTCCGAGTTCAGGCTGGTCGCGCCCGCCCCGGCCCCGGCAGCGATCCTCGCGTATCTGACGTTGGCAAACAAGTCGGGGGTGTCGTGGGACAGTATCAGCTACTCGAAGCCCATCTTCCCGCCTCTCGACGTCGACCGTACGGCGCGCACCAGTGCCGAGCGCGACTGCGAGTGGGCGCGCCTGCGCAACCTCGCCGAGCCCAAGATCTTCCTGCGGCCGACCATGTCGGGGGCCTTCACCCCGGGGAGCCTCGAGGGCGTGTGGGAGGGGGTCTTCACTGTACGCTCCAGCCGCCCACTCCCTGCTGACCGCAGCCCGCCCGCTGACTAACGCACCCCTCCTGTCCTGATGTCGCAGTACACCGAGTTCACGTCGTACGCCGCGCTGCTGTCGGGCGCGCCGCCGAGCGTGCTGCAGAGGAGCCTCGTCGCGCAGCACTCGCAGACGATCAAGGTGCGCGAGTGGCACTTTGTCGCGCCCGCTGCCGACCACGACAACGACCACGACCACGACGCGGACGCGGACGCGCCGATGCTGCTGCTGCACGGCGACCACGAGCAGCGCCCGCTCGGTCCCGGGAACCCCTCGCGCGGGTACGTGCCCGACGGGATCGAGATCCACGAGGGCTCGGACCGGCTCGAGCTCGTGCTGCCCGGGCACAAGCGGCCGGTCGTGTACCACGCGTGGGCGAGCGTGCGGAAGCAGGGCCTGCAGGCGCGCGTGCAGGACGTGTTTCTTACGGGAGAGGTAAGAGCCAAAAACGCGCCCTCGCGTGTCCTCCTTTTCCCTGCGTGTTCGCTGACGGTTTTGCCTTGGCGGTGCGCAGGGCCACTCGGCGTGGGGCCAGTTCAACCTCGTCGGCCGCGTGCGGCCGAGCGACGGGTACATCAGCCTGTCGAAGGAATACGTACGTGCGCCCCCTCCTCCCGTCTTTTTGCGTGCCGCTCGCGGCGCGCCGCCCGCACGGTGCTGACCACATCAGATGCAGACCGATGGCGACCGTGGCAAGTGGCTCTACCGCGCGTACATGGTCGGCAACGCGAACGGAAACCTCGCAGGGCGCTGGCGCGACACGCTCAGTCCTGCGCACATCCAGGGGTACGAGGGGACGTGGGTGGCCAGTCGGCGCAGGTAGACCGTGTGGACTGCAGGCGGACGCAGGCCGATGCTCCCGCATTGTATTGGACGCGCCGCGGCGGAGCGGAAGTGGGAAGATGGTGCATGACGGGGACTGGTCAAATTTGCTTTACTTGCATCCATGGTGTCACATTAGCTGGGGTCTTGGTCGTTCTCTCAATTTCTCAATTATCCTGCCACAGGATCCTGGCGGACGGTCGCGATCGTGTTCATGCCTGGCTTTAGAGTCTGGCGTTCTCGCGCGATTCGTTTAATGAACGTGCTGCAAGCCGTCTACCCGACCCGTTCCTATCATTCTCAACGCGGAAGTGACACACGCTTGTAGGCAATGCGACAAGACGCCTCCCGACCGACGCCCGTTCTTAGACCCGGGTAACACTGCAAATCCCGAGACGTTCCTTTGCTTCTATCCACACATTTTCCATCAAGATGTCGGCATGTAGAGAAGTGCACTGTGACACGGGCGTCACGAGGATGCAGCTGAAGTGTATTGATTCCGAGACATGTGGTACAGTAGCACAAACGGTTCAAGACCTGACCAGCACTGTTCTTTCACAGTAGCCACCACCAGGGCGCACAGGACCTCGCTCACGGCTACGGGAATACCTCCAGCAGAATCTGCAGACGATACGCAATCATGTTCAGCGTCACGACATTCTTTACTTGCATCTTCGCTCTCTTCGTTCTGAGCAGCGTATCGTCTGCGATTCCGCACCCTGGCGACGGGCCGTTGCGCTCCCGGCAGGCCGCTGTCCCCCAGTTCCCTGCCCAGCCGCCGTCGTGCCCACTCTGTGAGCAGGGGTTCCCTGGTATCGATAGCTGTGCACAGGCTGCGCCCGTCCTCGCGAACGTGTCTATGGTTAGTACCTGGCACTTTCGGCTTAGATCATGGCTTGATCGTTGGTGAGGTACTGATATGCGACGCTGTGCAGATCCTCTTCAATCCTGGAGCATTCATTGACGTGATCAAGTGTGCTTGCACGGACACGTTCCAGAGCGGTAAGTACGCGACCTGATACGGCTCTGGCTAACCTGCTGACGGAGCTCGTTCTAGCCTACCCGCAGTGCGTCGACTGGTGAGCGGCCTTTCCGCGACGCGTACTGATTCTCCCCTAACTCGATCGGCGCAGCTTTGAGAAGACCAACCAGACCTCTTTCCTGAATACCACGAATGCACCCGCGGTGGTGAATGGGATCCGCGACATCTGTTCCTTGGCGAGCATATTCGTTGGTGGTGCGCCTTCCGCAGACGGAGAGATCACTCCGACGAGCTCTGTGGCATCCCCCACGCCGACTGCCAAAACAGGTGATGCACACGTATTGCGCAGTTCAATTTTCGCAAGCGTTGCCTCCCTGGTGCTTGCCTTGACTGCTCTGTTCTGACGTTTCTTCTAAGCCGTGATCCCTCAGGCTCTCTGGGTTCCATCTTGCTCAGCAATTTCTTAGCTTTTTTCACGACCTTCACGTTTACGACCTTCACGAAATAACGACTGCGATGAATGTAATGCAGCAGATAGCTTGCAGCACTTGTATCACGATGAATATCATGGTCCTCCGAGTTTACGCGCCACATTCCGAGCTGCCTGAAGCGCTTAGCTAGGTGACGTCAGGCGTCGGTGTTGCTAAACTAGGTAGCGCCGGCTTCCAGCAATTTCTTGAACATTCCTGAAGCGCCGAGTCAGTACGCGCAAGCTATTGCTGACTCTCATCCTTCCACCCGACGCCGACTACGTTCTCGAACCACCGACGCTGCGCGAGAGAGCTTGCGTGGCGGCTTACGCGGCCTCGACGTCGCTTACCGAGTGTAGCCCCGACAAGTATAAGATCTAGCACGATGTCGCCGTACCACCCATCATCCTCTCCTCCCATATCCACCGCGCACAACCCACAATCTCGGAATGTTTGTTTTGACCCCAGTCTCTGCCATCCACTCTGGGTACCCCTCGTGCCCAACATACAACTACGAACGCGCTGCAGAGGCTGCCGTCCAGCGCGCTGCGTATGACTACGCCGTCGCTCAAGCCCGCGCCGAGGCCATCCGCCAACAACGCGCCGATGAAGAGCGTCGCTACCGCGAGGCCGTGCTACGCGAACAAGCTCGCCGTGCCGAGGCTGTCCAGCTTTTTGAAGCACTCCACGAGCAGGAGCACCCCTTCTACTATGAGAACACATACTCTCTGATCGATGCTGAACGCTACCGCCGCCGCTCGGAGCTCGATGCCGCCCACCGACGCGCAGAGCTCCTTCGGCAGCGTCAACATGCTGAGCGAGCTCGTGCCGCCGTCGCCGCCCGCAGGCGTGCCGAAGTTGAACACCTCCGCGAAGCCCGGCGCCGTGAGCAAGAACAGTGGATCTCACTGTTGGCTACTCAGTTCGGCGGTGCTGCCATCTCTCAGAAGTCTGAAGCTGCACCTGCACCTGTATGTCCCTTCCCCGTCTTGTTAGACCCCGTGGTTCTTACCGCTTCGTGTTCTCAGGCAGAGTCTACTCCAGAGAACAGCCAGCCCGAGCCCCGCCCTGTCAACTCTGAGCTGAAGCGTCGCCTCCAGAGTGAGGAGGATGACGAGGTTCGCGAGGCCCTCCAGCACCTATTGTTTCAGCTGGGCGGCTCTGCTCCGGCAAGCAAGAAGGCAAAGGTCGACAAGGGTAAGGCACGCGAGACGCCTGCCATTCCATTCAACCTGCCGAAGAGCAAGCCTGAGACCACTGCAAGCTCTTCTTCGCCTCTGTCTTTCACTGTTCCGGTCACCGCTCCGTCGTCCGCTCCCGCGAAGCCTGAGGCCGTACCTGCCAACCAGGGTGCCGACCTCCATCGCACACCTGCTATGACCCCTGCACAAGCACAGGAGGCCAAGGAACGTCTCGAAGACGCGCACGCTCGTGCGCTCTCCCTCGGCACGATCAAGCGCATCGAAGATACCCTGTCCACCCTCCAGTCCTCCTTCGTCTTCCCGATCGACCTCGATCTTGCGCGCCCCGAATCGCCCAGCGGCTGGGACTCCGACTCGGAGGCTGAGCTCGCCTTCACACCGAAGAACAAGCCCGTGCACGTGTACGAGTACGCGCTCAGCGGGCTCCTCTCGAAGCTCGATGCCGTCGACAGCTTCGGCGACGAGGCGATCCGCGGCCGCCGCAAGGAGGTGGTAAACAAGGTCGAGAAGGCCCTCAGGGAGATTGGCAAGCGCGTCGAGGAGAGCCGCGAGAGGGCCCGTACCCCGCAGGAACCGCTCACTGAGGACGCGATTGTTGTCCCCATCCAGGATGCTGCGCAGGAGAAGGCCGAAGTTGACGCTGCCCCCGTCTCTGTTGAGGCCTCTGTCCCGGTTGAGTCTACTGTCATCTCCGATACCGATGTCTCTCCCGCTCCTGCCGAGTCTTCTGCTGTCCTCGAAGCCGAACCTCTCGAGATCGCTATGCAAGACACTGAGTCCACGCCTTCTGTCGATACTATTCCCGAGCCTGTCTCTGAAGTGGACGTTGAACCAGTTAAGGCGGCCCTCGGAGATGATGCGACCTCCGCCACAGAAGAATCGGCACCTGAGCTAGCCATTGAGCACGCTCCAGCCGACGCCGCGCAGAGCGCTCCTTCAGACGACCACGTCCCCGAAGACGCTATAGAGACTACTCCAGAACGTGCAGAGACTTCAATGGATGTCGACGCGCCCGCCGTCATTGAGAATGCCGCAATACAATCTGAGACAGTCGCGCCTCAACCCGCTGAGACCGAGACATCACCCTCAGACGATACTGCTGCTGTAGCTAATCTCTCGTCAGTCATGGATACCATCGAGTCTTCCCCTTCGACTGCTCCCTCTTCTCTCATGCCATCCGAAGACACGTTCCTCCCGCAGTCGAATCCGATCCCCGACCCGGCATCACACAAGTCTGTCTCTGACGAGCCGACCGCAGCGGAGAAGGCGGACGATGACTTGGAGATCGTCGAGTCCGACGAGGCGGCTGAGGTCCTCGGCGAGCTGAATGAGGCGGAGTGGTCAGACGTCGGGGAGGCGCATTGATGCTCGGTACATAAGTACTTGGACTCTGGATTCGTGTAGCATAGGGTATTCCCATCCCTCATTTATTATTTTGTATAATCACATCGGACAACGCACATCAATGGGCATTATTGATATTGTATATGTTGGAGTGTGAATGAGCAAGTTCTTTTGTCTTTGGTGAGTCGCCTGCAAGAGTGGACTCTGCAATTGCCGGTACGTGGACTATTATCCAGTCAATTGCAGCAAAAGCTCACCTTTTTATCAGGGTCCGTTAGCTCGACGCTCGTGTTCGTAATACGAGGTTGAATATTGAATATATTAAGGCCCCAAGGAACTATAGGTATGTCGCTTATTGCAATCGTGGCTGACCGCAACGCCACATCGCACTCTGGCCAGCTGCGATCTCGATGCTGATACTACTGCGATATACTAGCTGTCGGGACGATATCTTTGAGGCTGGCACTGGCCCGTTTCTGAAAAACGCTGGCATCAGTGGTCGAGGTGTGAAGGTGTAAATTCATCGCGATATTCAAGAATCGGAGGCTGACGTCGCTGGCAGACGCCATGTTCGATGCACTTTCTCGCCCGCCCCGTGGGGCCTGAGAAACGTATACCACTAGCATGAGATTTTGAGGCTGGCAGCTCTCCCTAGTGCTTATAACGCGGAGGGTGGACTATCAGCCCGTCTTACATCTTTGCTTTCGCTTCGTAATCTACGCATCTCAAGACGCTTTCGCTTTCCATCCTGCCTGGCCCTCTTTGCTTCGCGTCAGCATGGCCCCAGCACTCGCCCAGCCCACGTCAGCTCTCGTTGGGTTTATGAACAAGTCTCCTGCCCTCTTCTGGACTATCACCACCGTCCTCACCGTTACTATCCTATGCTTTGCCTCGTACGCCGGCACCCAGCTCCACCGCCGCTTCAAGCCCAAAGTTATCGAATGGGTCGATCGCCTCAATGATCCCTACACAATCGGTCCACAGCGTAAGCGCTTCAGCCTCCTTTATGACGAGTCCCACAAAGTGATCGGTTTCAAAGTACGTCCACATTCACCCCTCACAGTAGCATGCTGAAACGCTCGTAGTACAAGCCTGGCGGCACCGGCTGGTCCTCCGATGTCGAGGCGAAGGTGCACATCGACTATCCACCGGCGGCGTTCAGCCCACGGCGCAAGTACACCCCTTCGCCGACGTTCGGCTCCTGGACGCCTGTCCCAGAACCGGGCGCGAACGTCACGAATTGGGCCGCTGACTACGAGAGTCGCGTGCGCGAGGAGTGCGAGGTGCGCACGCAGCGGAACGCCTACGCACAGTCCCACTCCGTCTGCCGCTCATCCTCGCGCACGAGCTGCCCCCGCCAACCCGAGCTCCCACCACCTGCACCCCATCTTGAGCGTGCTTCTGTCCTCGTCGAGGGCAACACCCCGACTCCTGGCGACTCGGACGTCGACGCCAACTCCGACGCGTCCTTGCTTGCCACGCCCGGTCTCGAAGCGGACGACTTTGGAGGTGACAGGCACTCGCCAGTCATCAGCGACGAGTGTGACTCGCCCGTGATTGACTGTGCCTCGCAGGAGCGTGGCCTGCGGATCATCCTTCCTGGCGGCTCGCCGTTGCTGCCCTCGCTCTCGATCCCTTCGCCGTCCAAGGCGCTCGTCAAGGACGCCTCGCGCCCGCCCCACTGGAACTTCTGAACGACTCTCTCGACTTGGTTGTCTCTGGCTCTGAACGGTCTCTTGCTTGTGCTATGGCCGCTCGTCTTGGCTCTCGTTTCTTGGCTCCTGGTCTGGTCTCCCGGCTGCGCTGTCTCTTGCTCTTCGTTCTTCGCTTTTAGCTTCTGCATAACGGAAAAGTTGGGTGGCGCTAGCTATCCTAAGACGCCCCCCTTCTGCCCTTACCTACCGCCATGAACCCATGTCTGCTCTTGGTCTTGTTCTCACTTTGACTCCCGCGATTTGTACTCACGTAATTGCTGCTTTGTTCTAATGTACAGGGAGTCTTGTACAGAAATTTTCATGGCGTAGTGTTACATTTTGAGGGGTATTTGCGTGCGGGGGTGTCATGGATAATGTAAGAAAGCGAATGGTGGCGCATAATGGAAAGCAAGCGAGAGCGTCATGAATGACTGTGTGAATGTGGACGTCGTCCAGATGCCGATTGTTAAACTTCTTCATCGACCCACTCTTGTTCACCTTGGTCCTGCCCTCCAAGAATGAATACAGGCCGAGCCCGACCCTGCGCAGGCTGAGCAGGGATCCTCTCCCTCTCTGCCTCTTGGCGTGCCCTGAACTTCTCTTGAATCCTTATCGACCCCTCTAGCAGCTGATATGCTCTCTCTACGAGCCTTTCCGCAAGGGTGCCCCGGAGCTTCTGTCGTGCCTCTTCCCGCGTGAGCAGGTACGCGCGGTAGCCCTTCTCGTCGGCCATGCCCGTGTTCGCCTCCCAGATCGCGTCCTCGGGTATTTGCCCGATATACCAGGATACGAAGTACTCGCCGCCGAGGGAGCCGGGCTCTTGTGGGCTCCTACGACCGTACCAGCGGTGGATCGACATGAAGAAGGGCTCGGTGTTCGGCACTGGGTAGTGCTGGCGTTGTTCGGCGGGGGTGGGGGCGTTCGTAGGGATGTATAAAGGAAGGAACTGCGCACGATAGCCGGACTAGGAGCGAAAGATTTCGATACTTGTCCCTTAGCTTCGTCGGACAATGGCTTGGACAGTACACGCACCTCCTCATATGCCTCGCGCAACACGGCCTCCTCTAGGGTCTCGTTTACGTCTTTGCGTCCTTTCGGTAGGAACCAGTACTTCATCGCACTGTCATAGACGACGACGACCTTCGCAGTGGCTGGCTGGAAAATGACCATGCCCGCTCCCAGCATGAAGTCTTGCGCATCGTACACGCCGTCGGGGACACCAGGCGAGGAGTACGAGGACAACCGCTCGTTCGCTGCCTCTCCTCGTTCCTGGGCTACCGCCTGCGCCAGAGTGTCGTCTGCGGAGGGTCTGTGCGTAGCGTGCCTGCCAGATTCGCTTCGCCGAGATGTGAGATACTCTGCAAATCGCCGTATCGGTATAGCTGAATATCGGCGAGCGCGTTGGTGTGTCACGTCTCGTTCTTCATCTGCACCGTCGACTTCGTGGGCAGCGCTGGTATCGTGCGCTCGTGCACTTTCCGTTCGCTGGTGTCGGGTTACATGCGAAGCGTCCTCTTTTCTTTGTTGTGCCTCGAGCGTTTGGTCCAGCTGTTGAGGGGGACTCGTCTGCGCTGTATGGACTCCACTACCTACGGTAGAACATGACACTGTAGGCGACGAGGCTGGGGAAGAAGAGACAAACGACCGGAGCGAACCTAGTGTAGCGTTCGAAGCGCGCCGTAGCCATCCACTTCCCCGGTCACTTGCAGCCGATTCCGTCATGAATGGGACAGAGGAGGGGGGTCACAGGAAATAGCAATGAGTTTGGTGCAAGAATCACGGCGTACGTAGTACGTCGCTTGCAAACCCATGCAGAGTACTAGTATAGGATCCAGATCTCGACAACCGCCCGAGTAAAAGTCAGCAGAGGCAAATTCTATTGCTTGAAGTCAGGCAATCAAGAGGTTTATGAGGCCCGAGTATCAAGCTATATCGAGAGCCAGGTTGTGCATGAGCGAAAATGAAGATTGCAGGTCACAGAACCAGCAACATAGTAGAGGATATGCCGGGGTCCTCTTAGTCCCCACGCGTAGCGTCACGTGCGCCGTGGTCACAAACAGTTCTGGGGTCCGGCTGTAATAAATGATCGTTCTTTCAACATTTGACATCAAGTGAACGCTACCGAGAAAACCGGTACAGTTATCCACCGCTCCTTGAAACACCACCACTCCTTGAAACAGCGCGCAGTTCAAAGCTTTCAGGGTGACTTAAATTAGCAGAAAAATCATGGTAGACGTATTCTTTCTGGAACTCTTGCAGAGTGACGCTAGAACACGAGGGAACATGTATTTCATGCTGTAGAGCTGGAAAAGTATGTTTTCCCATGTTGATGGCACATTGATGGCCTTCTCAAAATTAAAGCCATGAGTTAAACCTTTAGGCAGCTCCACTGACGCTTGCAAGTGCATCTCTGAATACACTATACCCGTTAGCAAGGGTAGAGATGTCGTATGTTGTCCAACTGAACTGCCGGCCCTTAGTGCGTGGGACGGGATCGGGCGCTTCGTCAGGTAAAGTTGCCTAAAGCGGTTACTCATCAAGCCAGAAAAGGGTGTTTCAAGGAGTGGTGGTAGGGGCGATTGCCATCAAAAGTGCGGGATCCCTCCCCTTCACAGATTTCTCCACTGTTGGTCTCCAAAATATTCTAGAGTATGTGAGAGATGTGCGGTATAAGTTATACGAAGTTCTGGCTCAATACACAAAGTGGAACACCGTCAATGGGCATGGAGAATTTGGCTGTTTCAAGGAGCGGTGGATAACTGTACCGCTCTCATATAGATGCTTGCAATAACGCCACCTGCAGAGGTCAGCGCTACTGACACTGTCGAAAGAATATAGAGTACTCGAGCTTTCGTTGATGTCGCAGTTACTTACCGTGACTATGGTTTCTCCAGCATTTCAACTCACGCCGGCAAGGTAAGCTGAATTATCGCATGTATTCTGTTCCTGGTTTGCTGTCTGCGCGATCCTCTGGACGACAGTGTTATGAACGCACCGTAAATTTGCTCATTTGTAAGCAGCTCCCTCGACAATTTTGCTGAATGGCTGTGTCCTCGTAATATCGCGCATAAACTTGACACCGTCGACCAAAATCTCAAAGTCGGTCTTCCTCGCGTTGGCGCGGGTCGATGACAGCGGACGCAACATGCTGTAGCCTCAAGTACACGGACAGTGGAGCGAAAGATGATTTGATAAACGGCCTGGCGGACAATCGGCTCGGCTGCCGGATACCGAGGGAAAAAAATACGACATTTCCTTATTTATTTTTTCAAGCTGTTTTGGCATATTTTCTGTGACAAAAAAGTTCCAAATTTCTCTCGTGCCTGTCCTCACGGACGTCACCGCTTCTACTCGGAGGTAAGCGGGATTATCGCGTCCCAGTGATGGTGTCTTGGTTTCGAGAGGCTTCTGCTTGAAAGTCTCACTGACAAGATCTCCGATACACGGCGAAGCGTCCTCGTTTAGTTTGCTGCTGTAGCTGCTACATGTTTCTAGTGATGGCTCGAGGCAACTTCTGACCCGGAGGACAGTTTAGCTTTACTTGGGGGGGACCAAATTACGCATATTCTCAAATTGCACCACATTGAGTTTCCTCTAAACGTCAAGACATCTAAAAATTCTTCGCGCTATACTTTTCATAAGAAACCTAGTTATTGTGACGAGGTACCTGAAAATATAAGTGGCGTGTAGCTAAGTCCGTAAGAACATCATGTTGCCGATTTTGCGCGCACGCAGGTCCTCAAGCACGCCAGCGAGCTTCACAGACCGTGCTCGATATAAATCAATATTGTTAATTGTTGGCCCGTGCCATCCGGACGATGCATCCAAGAGGTACATTGGCCTGGTGACACAATACACAGCGTTCCAGATTCAACATACCATAGGCGCAACCATTCCCCAGCCGCCATTCCATCCAAATGTTTAGAATGCAATAGTTTGGCCGGTTTTCAGGGCATGGAGGTGACAGAATGAACTGGTGGCGAATATAACAAGTCTGTTGTGAATTCGGGGCCTTGAAGACGCTGGGGAAAGAGAGGCTTACAATACTACTTGAGCGCGGGTCGAGTGGCCGCTCCCTTCGCGTGTCCGGATGATGGACTAGCAATGGTCCATACGCCGTTGTCAGGATACAGCCTGTCGCCTCTTCGGGGGCGAATTATCCGGATGGCGGACGCAGTCTATATAGGGAATATTCAGGGGTTCTGGTACTAGGCTTACCCTGACAAGAGCGTAGTGGAGGCCGATCGACCGTATACATCAACATTTGAGCAAAGAACGCAGTACGTTGCATGCCGTAGTCGGCACATGTCTCGTTGCTGTGAAGCCGGTCCTTCGGGCGGGGTCAGGTTTCGGGCATAACGGGCAGTATCGCCTCTTCCGAGATCTAACATTAAGTACTATACCGGGCGGAGAAAGACAGTAATGAGTCTACTTTATCGTGGTTCTTGCAGGTCACAGAACACATACCGAAAAGTGTGGTCAAGTGGAAGCGGCCGAATATTAATATGGCTTGGCATGTCGAAGAAGAAAGCCCGCCCTTGCTACTGTATATGGCTCAGGGCGCATCAATTATCAGACGCCCAGAACTGGAACGAGCGCATCCATGAGACATTATTCTTAACCCACTCCATGCATCTCTCTAGCTCACAAGCATAATTTCCCCGTCGCAACTGAACATCTCCCGTAGCAATGCGCCTCACCGAAGGCTCATCTCAACGCCGGTACTGCCTTTATTCGCACAGCTAAGCTTTTCGTCGTCTTGTAATTTTTGGAACATGGCGATACGGCTCGGCTCATCTCGCATGTACAGCTTCTAGATAGTTCCAGATGGTTTCTTCACTGCAATTGCTTAAAAGTCTTACTATATTGGTGCACAAACAGGAACAGAACCCTTGCATCGCAGGACTTGCGTTTATCAACACTGTTGGCCTGATCGCCGCCTGCAGAGAGAGAATAATCATTATGAGAGCCACGTGTTGGAACTAAGCTTCACTTTCTGACTCCTAGGCGATGGCGGTTCGTAGGGCTGGCAACGTACGTCTACAGTCTCACTTCATTGCATCTCTGACTGATCAGAAACCCGGGGGATCGTTCACCACCGCGGCGATGCACAGATTTAAGTAATCCTCGGTTCCTAGACTCGCAGGGAGCATGCAGCGTAGAGTGAGCAGCTTCAGTCTCTACGAACGCTTAATTAAAGTCTTGACCGGTCAAATCCGTTCCACCGACATCCGCACAGCCTGCCGATCATGGATCATCACGCATCCATTCACAAGAACCTGTGCTCCCTGCAATTGTCCATTCCTCAACAGAGACAAACGGTGAACTAAGCAGGCTCACATCAGTTCGAGTGGAGCCCGGACAGCTATATCATCTTTTGATTCTCTCGAGTGCCTTCGCTATTAGCTCCCGAACGCTGTTTCATCTCTCACGTACGCGACCATCAGGTGTGGTCTACGTTTAGTGAAAAGGATATACGAGTTTTCAAGATCCTCTTGTCACCCACGTTCACTCGACCCTTTGTTCTGTCTGAGTAGGCCTTTTCTTATCTCGCCGCCTCCTGGTTATCTCCTTTGTTGAGGTGGATTGTGAGGTATGTGTACGTTGTGGATAACGTTGTTTCTGTTAATAGCTGAGATCAGAGCCTTGGGATGCGGATTGAGAGGCATTCTACAGGCTTTCGCCTGCCTTGTCGAAAGGTCATGGGACAAAGGGATTCTGGCTTTGCATCAAGTGTGACCAGGAGTGGCGGAAGCTCTGGGAAAGGGTCGGCAACGGGGTCAAGCTCGACCGTAGTCAGCTCACTTGCAATGGCCACGCCGACGAATTGGACAGCCTCGTCTGGGCAGACCAGCTTCCAGGCGAGCCTACCGGCAACACCGGCCAGTTCGTTATCTCCAGTCACTTCATCTGTGGCAAGTGTGATTGCGGGTTCTGCATTTGTCTCTCTTACATCGCAGTGGGGACCATCTCTAGAACACCACCCGTCGCGGTCCAGTGTGTCCTGTAGGTGAATACTCATTTTTCTTTTCTTCTCCGGGACAGCTGACTCATTTAGGCAGCCCAAGTTCCACAATCAACCCTCCATACAATTCCCCCTTATTCGCCTCTTCCGCACCCTCGACGTTGTCATTATCTCCTTCATCAATCTCTGATACATCTGTCTCAACACCCAGCGACACCTCGAGTCCCACTTCAGCTAGTTCTGTGGCTGTTTCCCATCCAACTAGACAGTCATGGTCCACCTCGGCAACTACTCCATCGTCTCAGGTGACCCAAAGTTCCACAACGTCCCCCATCCCTATAGGCGCTGTAGGAATTCCCGAGACTTCCCTCTCGACACCGGGATCACAAGCACTAGAGCCCGGCTGGACATTACCCCCAGCCGCCGTTACAAGTACGTCGCCTACTGTGACGGCCGGAGGCACTGCAAAAGTTTCGAGGTGTGTGATTTGCGCTCAGAGCTAGAAAGCACGGTTAATTAACACAATTCTGCGCTTGCAGCTCCGCCTCACACACCGCAATTATTGCAGGCGCTGTGGGTTCGGTCTGCGGCCTGTCCCTCCTTGCTGGCGTCTTGTTTCTGTTTTTCTGGTGTCGCCGGCAGAAGGTTGTCCGCGCTTCAACCGCGTCTAAAGACCCGCTCTGGAAGCGCCGAAGCGTTATGGCGGTGTCACCCAGCGACTCGCTGCAACCCCCGAGTCCCGTGCTCCGTCCCGGCCATTCGAGCGGGATGGCAATGATACAAGTTTCCAGCGACCCATTCGGCGCGACGCCGCCCAATTTCATGCACGCACTTGCAACACCGCCCGGCTTCGCGCACGCACTCGCGACGCCACCGCTCGACGCAAACCCGTTCGATTCGTACTGCAGTGACACCCCGCGGAGCACGACACACCTCATGCAAAGCGCCACAGCTTCGCAGTCCTCGCCTGACTGGGTCCCACGTCGCTTTCCTGATGTGCCTATCATACGCGTGCAGAGCGCGAGCACCGATGGTTACAATAGCGCTGTATACCTCAACCGGACGCCGTCGATCTACTCGTCTATGCGGAGCTCGTACTCTGAGTCGACGAACTTGGTCCCACTCGAGACACCAGAAGAGGAGCATCACATTCCGAATCCATTCACGAATTCTTCCGCGAGCGTCGGCAGTACCAACGTCTCGCCCAGCGCGTCACCTGTGGACACAGAGGCAGCGACCACGGTGCTGAAGGATATGGCCGATGCACATCTCGCTGCGCGCACGAACCGGCGAATGACGATGAAATCTTTGCAGGGAGATATCGTCGCGACCCCGTCGCCCGTCGACGCCATTGACCGGTTCTGGGATATCCCTTACCTGGGCTTGCGGGACAACAGATCCTCTGAGTCCTTGCCTCGATCATTCTCTCCAGGTCCCGGACCTAGCTCTCGATACCCGTAGCACATCTGTCCACACCACGCCGCCTCTTTTTTTTTCGCAACGTATATACTCAAGACTCACCCACGACAAACACACTCTTTAAACCATATTAATAAATATCTACCGGTGCTGGGCACCATTTCTTTGGATAATGTACCGCAAGAAGCTGCGACGATGCTCAGGATAGTGTGTAGCGCCGGCACTGATGGGCAAATATGACAGCTCATATTGGTCACCCAAGCTATATAGTCTCAAATTCAGCGTTTCGCTCGAGATAAGCATGTAAGAGACTGAAAACAAGATCTCTTCGAAGCCTCTCTTCGATTGGCGCTAGCGCCACAAAGCTGTGACGCAGGGAGAGAGAGCTAGGTTCCCTTCACAGATGTATCTCACGCGTTCTCAATCTCTCTATTGATACCTACTGGCCACTCAAACAGACAAGGCCGCCGGGGCCAAAACATGGCACAATAAAGCAATGACCCCCTACATCGTGTTGACGACGGCAATAGCCCCTCCTCCCACCAGCAAGGCAGCGATGAGTGTGATTGCGGTAGTCGCAGGCGTCAGACCCTGGCCGAAGGGACCATCCCAGTTGTCGGGTGTCATGAGCGTAGCGAGGCTGGCAGGGACGGTCACGTTGACGCCGCTCAGGCATGCTGCGGTATAGTCTGCAGCAGGCGTCAGCTCGAAGAGCAAACGGTTATACGCAGGTCACTCACTTGTTAAGAGAATCTGGTTTCCCGCAAGTGGATCCGGCATGGGACGATTCTCCGCGATAAGGGTACTGAACATGCATTGTTCGCATTGAAGGATGGCCTTCATCGTGGCATTAGTGCAGAGACAATTGTCGTCCGTGCATGCAGCGATAGTTTCGTTGGCGGACGTACACTGACTGCCGCACTAAAGTAGTCGAAAACCTGAGTCTAGCATTTGTCAGCGGAAGAGTAGTATGAGGTGACGCACTGCGACCTGGAGCGCACTATCCGAGACATCCAGAAACTGAGTGGCAGGGATGCTTCCGAGATCACCAATGTTGATAGCAATTTCGAGTGCAAGGACTGATGAGGGGAGTAAAGAGTACCTCGGTAAGTCCTGCCAGCTCCAAGTCAGCACGGATGAGATTGGCCTACCTCGGCCAGCGAGTAACGCGAAGAGAGCAGTGAGAATCGCGAAGAGCTGCATCTTGCAAAGAGCGAGCGACGGCCTGCCGGAGGTCAATAAGAAAGAACGAGGTGAGAGGAGGAAGGGAAAGGCGTTGAGACTGTTGTCAAGAGCCCTGACGTTATTTGAGGTGGTCGCGGGGCAGTTCGCAACAGTTTGATCGAAGATTTACCATTTTCGGTAACTTTGCGTTCTCATTGCTCAAAGTTTTGTTTGCGGAGGACTTTTCAGTGCTAAACGATTTAAGGCTGGTCTATCTCGTCAAAACAGCTGTCTTCGTCGAGTGACGACGAACGGCGAAAACGAGAGGCGATAGATCTCGTAGACGCCCGTAACTCCATTTATATTCAGCGCTTCTAATCTCCTGCTTTTGTTCGGTGCCGTTCGCATCCACGCAGTGAAATATTGTGTAGACTTGGAGAAGTACGTAGCTTCCGCTTTGAATTTGAACACCAACGATTAGTGATGAAAAACCTTCATGAGTTGGCATGTGAGGCTTATAAGCTCATAGATTTACATACAGTGCCAGTGCCCCATCATTAGCGGTGGCTTCGCGGGACCGCTATCATCTTCTCTCCGAGCGCTGTCAAGTGAGTTCTTTTTTTCATGCTGTGATAAGTCACGAGCTCAATGCTCCATCTTAAACCCAAGCGTTATCTCCACTCGCGGGAGTCGCTATGCCCCGCGACAGGGAGGCCCGCATGACGACTTCGATAAGAAGCCTCTGGAGCCGGCGACTTGCAGGCACAGGTAAGGCGCCTCGCACAGGGACAACGTGAAGAATGTTAAAAACCGTGGACAGTGATGCGGGTACTTAGGACGTCACCCCCACGGCCCCAAGAGTCCAACTTGCTTCTCTGACCCGCCCTTTTTCCCTGAAGACTTCCATCGCTGAGCATACTACTTCACGGCTCTGACGACGTAGCAAGGCGGCCTTGATATGCAAGAACCAAAGCTTCATGCCGTGCAGAGCCGCACGGGTGCTGCTACACGAGCCGACGAGGATCTCCTCGCGAGCTTGGGGTATAAGCAGGAGTTTCAGAGAGAATTCTCAGGCCTCGAGGTAAATGTGTATCGCTACCCAGCCCACCCTCAGGCTCTTATGCTTCCCTTAGACGTTCGGTATTGCGTTCAGTATCATCGGCCTGCTTCCCTCCATCGCGTAGGTCCTAGTTTGCTCAAATACATCGGTGGTGTTGACGCACCGATGCGCAGATCTGTATTATTCTACTCGATGCCAAATGGCGGGCCTGCAGCCATGGTCTGGGGTGTAAGTCTTGTTCCATCTTCCTTCTCGTAAATTCATGCTCACGGGTACAGTGGGCGGTCGCAAGCATCTTCATCCTCTTCGTGGGCATGTCTATGGCTGAGCTCGCTTCCGCGGCTCCCACATCCGGAGGTGTACGTATTCAACACTCGGCTAAGGCTCCTACATTGCAAAGTCGCTGACGACTCGGAACGCTTAGCTCTATTTCTGGACACACTCGTTGTCTTCTCCACGATGGCGAAACTTGTTAGCATGGATCGTCGGGTGTAAATATGCTGCGTCTCTACACGAATCTGGCTGACGGCGCTTGTCACTCAGACGCGAACACCATCGGTTCCATTGCGTCGATTGCATCCATCGACTGGGGGTGTGCGGTGCAGGTTATGGCTGCTGCGACAATTGGGTCTAAGGACCAGTCGTTCTCTGCCACTAACGGTCAGATCTAGTGAGTGAATATTGCTCTGATTCATACGAGAGCTTTACTTATGGTCTTGCGATGGCAGTGGTGTGTACGCTTGTATCATCTTGTCACACGCTGTACTTTGTTGTCTCGGCACTCGGATCCTGGCGCGCCTGCAAAGTGTCTATGTCGGACTGAATGTGCTGTGAGTTCGCATCATCACTCAATTCGCTCGCATATATGCTCATCTTGCGCCTCCTGACAGCCTTTGCCTCGCGGTCATCATCGCCCTTCCCACAGCGACTCCCAAGGAATTCCGCAACACAGCAAGCTTCGCTCTGGGCGACTTCACCAACCGTGAGTGTCTTACATGATGGCCTTAAGAACATTTGATTAACGCGTATCGTAGTGCACGGTTGGCCGAATGGCTATGCATTCATCTTGAGCTTCCTTGCTCCGCTTTGGACAATCTGTGAGTTGTTAGCGTCCTTGACTGCTATCGCAGATTTCTGACTCGCTCTCCCCGCAAGGCTCCTTCGACTCGAGCGTCCACATCAGCGAAGAGGCCTCGAACGCCGCCGTTGCTGTCCCCTGGGCTATCGTCGGCGCTATAGGAATTGCAGGCATTCTTGGATGGGGTGCGTTCAATATTCTGCTGCCAGTTCTCTCTTTACTGATGAACATTGCAGCTATTAACGTCTCTCTCGCCTTCTGCATGGGAACCGACATAGAGGGTATTTCGGGCAGTGCCCAGCCTATGGCACAGATTTTCTTCAACAGCTTCGGCCAGAAGGGAGCACTTGCCGTCTGGGCCTTCATCGTCATTACGCAGTACATGATGGGCTCGAGCATGGTCCTCGCCGCCTCGCGTCAGTCCTTTGCCTTCGCTCGTGACGGTGCGCTGCCCTTCTCTGGGTTGCTTTACCGCATGAACAAATACACGAAGACACCCGTCAACACTGTGTGGTTCACCTGTGGCTTTGCGGCCCTGCTGGGACTTCTCGTCTTTGCAGGAGAACAGGCGATTAACGCGATCTTCTCATTGTCGATCGTAGCATTGTACATTGCTTATGCGTAAATCCGCGTCACCCTTTACCCATTTATCTACGCTGACATTCTGTACACAGTATCCCAATTGCCGCTCGTTTCCTCGGCCAGAACAACTTTCAGCCAGGCCCTTTCTCGCTTGGCATATTTGGCGCTCCTATCGCAACCGCTAGCGTCCTCTGGATGCTCTTCATGGGGGTCGTTTTCCTCTTCCCGATGACGCCCACCACCGACACGGCCGATATGAACTACACATCTGTCGTCCTCTTCGGCACGCTCTTCTTGAGCTTGCTGTGGTATTATTGTCCTGTGTACGGCGGTGTGCACTGGTTCAAGGGCCCCGTACCAACAATCGCGGAGGATGCGCCAAGCGTAAGCGATGCGACTGTTGACGAGAAAAAAGGCGCTACTAGAGTGGAGGCTCAAGCGGTGTAAATGCCAAATATCTGCTAAGATTGTGACGCGAGGGATGCTTTACCTTAAGTATCGCACTGTAATATTAGATCGAATGTACTCCTTAAATCCGTCATGCATGGATCGTTAGTGCCTGAAAAAACTGCACGGGCACAGTCCTCATGAAGTTAGATAGCGATTCTTAAGTTTGTTCACGGTGAGCCTTGAGGCCTGAGGCCTCGCGGGCTTTGTCGTTCGATTAAGGCTCCAACCGTTTTGTTTGTTTACTGTGTATAAACGTTTATTACCGTTTACTGTTTCCGTTTGTTTACACGGAGCCTTGTAAACTTGCTGTAAACGTTTATACACAGTAAACACACAGTTTTCTCATGTAATATGTGATGGTCTCTGAGTCTCATATGTCTTTATTTTACTAACAGAGATGGCCGGTTTATGGCAAGCTGCGGCGCACGCTCTACCGCCCGACAGCTGGACGGTACGACAGCGCTAAGCGCCAGAGGCCGCCGCGCCGCCGCGACCGCGTGTACAGCGTCGGGATGTGGGTTGCTAGGGCGCAAACTCATCGATAACACTCCAGATATCAAGATAAGCAAGCGTGATAATAAAATATATTTATCCCGCAAGATTTACAGCCTGGGGGTTCATGCTGGCATGCTAAGACATCGGACCTGTCTTCTTGAGCCCTTGAACACCCACGTCGTGCTCCACCACGCTGCGCCCCTTCTCACCTATGAGCCCTCCAACACTTGAAGATATTCGCAAGCTCGTTCAAGAGCTCACGGACCTTGCACCAGCATTGCCAGAGTCAGTCCCTCTTGCAAAAAAAACCGACAGAATCAGCAAGATTCTTGCCAGCACACAAGGTGAAGACGAGTTCCACACCTTCAATCGTCGCTACAATGCGT